AATATTATATTGAAAGCGATCTATAATGAAATATAAGTTTTTAATTATGTAATTGGAGTAACAGTTGTTTTTAGACCTACCATTCATATTTGAGATTTGAAGGGAACATCCTTTACAAAAGTGTTTCTTTTCTCCTTTACAGTCTATATAAAAACTTGCCCTTCCACAATCATAAAGGAGGAGAGCGTATTGAAGTTTCCTTTTCGACTGTTGAAATAAAGCATTTTATACTTAGTTTTGAGTAAAGTAAAGAGTCACCTCCAAAGTGATTGACCATTCATAATGTTCTTCTAGTGTTGATATCTTCCTTTCGTCTTTGTTATTTGATATTCTAACGTAATTTAAATGTTCAACAAAATTTTTTGAATTCGACTTTTGATGTTTTACATAAGACATTTCCTCTTTTGACAATTTCTCTCTTTCATTATCGCATCTCTTCCTAATTCTCCATTCATTTAACTCTTCTTCACTATGCGCTCTCGGACAAAGATTCAATTCTTCAGGTTGATTTGAATATTGACATATTTTACCATCGAAATGATTGTCGCATAAACTATATCCAGACATCTTTTCAGCTGGATCCGGTTTACGAAAACGCCAATTCTCATCGTCCTTTGATTTGGAGCGATGTTTTGGAGAATCGCAATGATGTCTTAGCTGGGATTCCGAGTTACAAGTATTATTACATAGAAAACAATTATAGGCTTTTTTTTGATTACTAGATAGTAAATCTGGAAATTCTTTCTTTATTAGTCCTGTTTTATCGCTGATATTCCAACCTCTTGAAGGTAAGTTATTATTAGAGATTGTTGTATTTACTCTTTCATTGTCCGAAGAGTGTTTACTCTGAATTGGCTTGCAACTCTTGATAAGTTGATCAAACGCTTTACATTTATGTTTATGCATCCATTTCCAGACTCGAAGTTCTTCTTTTGAATGTGCAAATTTGCATTTATCATCAAGAGGACAAGTCTTTTGTCCAAGTTGATTTCGACATTCTTCAAGATATCGTTTTGGAGGCCATCGGATAATCTTTTTTTGATAAACAGCAACTTTTTGAATATCCCAATGATATTCATTTTCCTTGTAAACATGACAAGTTTTCGATGGATGTTCTCTTGTACATGTTTGTCCATTTTTAAAGCATTTGCTACATAGCCATTTTAAATCTGGTGGTGATTCTGTAACAATTTTGCTCCCTGTAGGCTTGAATTTATTGTTTGCACTTGAATATTTCATGGGAAGTTCCGATCTTACAAAGGTTTCGTGATTTTTTCGAATACATATGGTGTCCGCATTTGAGATTTTATTAGTCGTTGCAGAATCATGTATTATCGTTGGTTCGTTATTTGAGTGAAAGTCTGATAAACCATTTGAATTATCAGTAGTATCAAGGATATCAGTTTCAAGCTGGTTGTCTTTTCTCTCGAATGGTTCAATAGAAGGTAGTTGATTCCAAACCGGTAGTAGAGATGATTGTGGAATGTGTTGTTCGCTAGGAGTCATATTTCTGACACCCCCATTGAAAAAAGGCATTGGAGATGGACTAAATTGTGTAGTGAGAAGAGGAATATGAAATGGAAAAGGCGCATGGGGTGCTAGTTCCGGACGATATAGGAACATCTCCTGAGAATAATTGGGCATATCGTATTTTTTTGGAAACTGTCAATAAAAAGAAATTGGCGTCTTATAACAGATTACTCGCTTAAGTAATAGTTAATAAGAATATTGATAATATTGATAAATAAACTTTGAATTTACGTTGTTAAAGCTATTCTGAAGTATTTAGTATAAGCCAAGCAGTTTTATACAGTTTATTAGGTAAGATGGGGATAATTGATACACTTTGTATTTTTAGTCATAAATAGATCACTCATATTAATAATTTTAGTGTAACTTATTTCTTAACCTTTTTGGATATCCGATGTATTTTTTTGGAGTTGATTGTTTCTCCATACTCCATGAATTCATATAGAGATTCTTACTGAACCTTCACTCAAAGTTTCATTACCAAAAATAGCTTTTTAAATATAAATATTCCTTGAAGAGGCCTAGCTTATTCACAAAAAACACAATGATTTTTTTGTTGATTGTAACGATGCAGACATGACTTTCAGTTGCTTACACCAAAAGTATATGTGTAATGGTTTGACAGAACCGAATGAAAGTGTTCACAATGAAATTTTACAGATTAAGTAGTATATTTGGAAAGTATCAATAATATTAGTTAGACGGTTTTAAAATTACATCAAAGTGTATAAAATATTCTCATCCTGCGGAAACAGTTTAGGTTTCTTGCAGTTTCGTTTTGTACCAGAACAAAAAAATTCAATTTCTTTTCAGTAGAAAATATTCGATTGTTTATTTATCTAACCAATGGATTTTAAAGAATGATTCAATAAAAGCTACATTTTTATTAATGCATATATAGAATACAACTGCGTAACTTAATATAGGTATATTACGCAACATCGATAAAAAAACTCACTTTCAACAATTAAAAGTAAAATTTCCTTTTATTCTAACTAGTTATATATAGATTTTTAAGAGGCAAACATAAAATAAGTTTGCTTACCATTCGTAAAAAGTTCCTTTTAGTTTATAATGAGCGGCAGCGTAACGTAAACTAAAATAAAACCATACTAATACTGTATATGAGCGCATGCGCTTTAATCATTACAGGCATTTAGACAACGGCTTATTGAAATACCCCAAAAGTTCACAATGGACGTATTGCCACATTAACAGTTTCAAAAGAATCCAATTCTTCACCTTTTTCACTGTACTTTAATTCGTTTCCGTCAAAGCATTTCGTGTTAATATTGAAACACATGGTGAATTTCTAGGTAATAATCTACTCTACTACATAGATGAAATGTTCAGAACAACAACGTACTTTTGTTTTTATGATGATCATTTTACTTTTAGAATCTATGTCACCACGATATTCCATAACTCTTTTATAAGTTGAGCGCTTGTCCGAGTGTTTCCAGTTCCTGTAGGTCTTTGAATAAGAGTGTTTTTGTTTGAAATTGCTCTTCGAATAGCTTTCTTTTGATCCTGATTTGGTTTTTTGAGATCATCATTTCTCTTTCAGATTAATAGATTGTTATCGTTATTATTGCATCGCTATAAGCTAAATGATTTATTCCATGGCGATGTTAAATATACCTGTAGTAGAAAATATTGCTGCAGTTCTACTATATACTAAATCTCTCTCTATTAGATAAGATCAAACACTGTTGCAATCAATTCAAGAAGTTGAAGCTTGAATATCTATTGAATAGATACGATATCATATATTTACAACCATTCTTTACAACATATCTTTTTTGATCATAAAAATGATTATGAAGTAATTGCACCTGCTGACCTCTATTATATAAAAAAAGAATATATTAGCATTAGTCATAACTAATAAATTCTTTAAAAACTGAATTTTAATGACATTGAAATATCGAGTGATTGAAAGAAAAGAGAAACATAAATATTATTAGTATATTAAATAGAAATTTATGTATTCTTTCAAAAAAATTTATAAATAAATAATTTCAAAAATAGCTGATTTATGGAAAAAAAGTACTAGCACTTGAATTATAGGAACATCCCTCCGTCTTATCCGAATTGAAATTCCCTTCTAATCTAAACATTTAATGTCTATAAAGAAGGACATAAAATACTTAATATGAATAAAACTATAGTTCATATTACAGCAAGAGTCAACTTCATCATCCGCTTCAACAGCTTCAATCATTCGAGGTCTGATATTGATAAATTGAAGAAAGTCATCCATCTTTATAATTACCCTTACAATTTCGATAAGATTATCATCCTTGCCATGGTGCCTTTAAAATGCCTTTTTTAACGATTCCAACGACATCTATAGTTTACACATGACAAAAAATATACCTCTAGTTAACCTGTCGGCATAGAAAATACTATTGTAGCTGTATACTAGAGCCTTCTCTCTTAGATTGAGAGTAAATATTGTTGCAGTCGCTACTACAGTACTTTTTAAAAACTACTTAAAAGTACAGATAGCAATTGCTGAATATATCCTTTAAAACAGTTACGTTTACATAAAGTAATTTTCTGAGCGGAAGGCATCGATATATCCGTATAAGGGTAATATTTATCTATTTAATTTATTCTTTGAATTGTAAATATGAGATTAAAAAAGAAAAAAATCAGTAGTTAGAATACTTTATCATTTTTACGGTTGAATTTGTTTTATTATAAGAAAAGTTGATTTTAATACAACCATTAATATAATACTACTCCGATAGACCCTATCCGTGAATACGTCTAAAGACAATGTTTCATGGAGTATCAGTGAGATTAGACACATAAATAGAAATATAACATAAATAATAACTATACGATAGAAACTATTGAATACTTCGTCATACTTCGACGTAATCATTCTTTTGGAATATTGTAAGTATGCCTAAATCAGAATTGAATGGGTTAACATTACAAGAGACACATGACACTTATAGAACAGGTAGTAAATTCTTAATATTTCATTTGTCTGTTTTGCCCAGTCCTAGTCGAATTGGAGGAATTAGAGTAGCTAGAAGAGAAGCGTTCATCGGTAGCGTCAGTCTTCCCTTGAGTAATTCGATTGCAACAGAAAAAACGAATTAAGAGATTGATAGAATTTCGTCTAAACGACGAATAAACACAAGTGAATATAATAACGTTGACAAAGCTGTTTACGTTGGCTGACCACATGACAATAAAGTCTACAATTGGTGGATGTTCAATGGTTAGATTAGACGCAAAATCAATAAATACTAGGATCGAAAATGGCAGAAAAGCAACTGCAAATGCTGCGCCTGATATCAATATAAGTTTTACAGCCTTATTATTTCTTTGCATTTTAGCCTTATTTTCTTTCAAATCTTCACTTAGCATCTTGTTTTCTTTCAGCTTTCTTATAATGTTGAAAGTTGCGTAACTCATTAATATCGTACTCAAAAGAGGCATATAAGGAAAAGTTAGTACATAAAACCAAAAATATCGAATTTGGCAAGGGCACATAAATTGAGCATCCTGATATAAATAATATTCGTAGTTTTCAGAAAAAAAGAGTGGTAACGAAAAGCTTGAAATGGGAACAAACCACATTACAAATATTGCTATTCTTATTCTTCTTAAAGTAACAATTTGACGATATCTGTTCAAAAATCATTGAATACTTAGACATTTATATAAAAAAAGGTTAATAATTACTTTATTGAATGAACAATTGCGAAATATCTATCCAAAGAGACGAGAACTACTGTATACATTGAAGTAGTCACACTCGACGAATGGATAATTCCAGATACCTGACACCAAATCATTCCGTATGGCCATCTTTCAATAACAGCTGAAACAATCGATGGTGCAACTGAAAGTAAACCGCAAGATAAATCGGCAACTCCCATATTGATGAGACAAATTCTCGGAATATATGGAATTTGTTTCGTAATTCTCAAAACATTAATGCCAAGAATATTGCAGAAAATAATAAGAAAACTTATAATTGCAACAAAAGGAACTCTAATAAAAATTGGTAAAGGTAGAACTATCTTTTCATCTTCGTATGAAAAATTTGAATTATTCATATTTAACCTGTTTAAAAGTAACTATCTATAAGAGATATACTGCCTTGTTGGTGAATAGTTCTTCCTATATACTTACATAGATATATACTGTATATATATAAGTATATTCTCTCTATTCATTAACATTTTTAATATAATGCATCCAATCGGAGCTTTCAAAAACGAATTTTAGCATTACTATCCTCCTCTCATTAATGTAATTAACGAATACTGCAAATAGTTCTCCTCTATGAACAAATCATTCCTTTAAATTTTTAAGTTAAATAGCACTTTAAATATAAAATCTTACCAGGGAGGTTTCTTTAATTTTCCCATTATGACTAGATAAAATAATTGTGTAAACGGACAGGTAATTAGGTTATTAAAGTATCTTCTAATACTTTTAAGCAAGGCTATAAATAATATGAGGATCGCGTATGAACAGTGTGAGTAGTACAGTATGACCATTCGTAATTTTAAGAAAGTCACAGTGGAAAACAGGAGAATGGCAAGTCCCTATTAGTATACTAATATATGCTAATTGTATAATAAAAACATAAAAAGGCGTGTGTTTCTGTTATGTCGGTGACCTTGCTTTGATGAGCGATATATGATATTATAATGAGGAGAATGAAGAAAAGAAATATTTCAAACAGTGATACAACAATGATACGATAGGAGAAAAAAGATTCTGAGAACATGATTTTTTTAGTATTTTAATTTGTACTAAATTCTCATTTATTTAACAATTTTATACCTTAAAGAATATAACAGTTTCACTTCATTTTATAATAACTCTCCTAAGAGAGAGAGAGATAGAGAGGGAGAGAGATTTTTGCAAACTCTATCGTTAACTCCTGTGTAAGATATAAACTTATTAGAATATTAAAATCTTTTCTTTATTTTGAATAGAATTCTTATTACTTAACTAAACAAAAAAGCATTCTTTATTACATTCAAAACACATAACTAATGAACTATGAAATTGTTAATCTTCGTAATTGGTATGGGTTTCTCTATTCATTTGCCTCTGAGTCAAGTCTTTGAATAGACCATTACTTCTTATAAGTTCATGAAAGCTACCCTCTTCAGCTACCTTTCCTTTTTCTAACACGACTATATTATCAGCCTGTTTGATAGTTGATAATCTATGAGCTATTGTTATTACTGTCTTATTTTTCATAATTTTTCGAAGATTATCGTGTACTCTCTGCTCTGAATGAGTATCCAAAGCGGAAGTGGCTTCATCCAGTATTAAAATATCGGGTTTTTTAATTAAAGCTCGGGCTAAGGCTATTCTTTGCTTTTGACCTCCTGATAATTGAGCTCCTCGCTCACCTACTAAAGTTTGTAAACCGTCGGGAAAGGCATTAACGAAATTCAAGGCACAGGCATTTTCCAAGGCTTCTTTCACTTCTTCTTCGGTTGCATTAGGTTTGCCATATTTAATATTTTCTTCAACTGACATTGAAAAGAGAGTTGGTTCTTGTGGAACGTAACTGATATTTTCTCTTAAATAATCCGTATCCATGTCAGAAAGATTATGACCATTTAAATTGATTAAGCCAGATTCTGGAGTGTAAAGTTTAAGAAGAAGAGCAACAATTGACGATTTACCGCATCCACTTGGTCCTACTAAAGCTGTTGATATTCCTGCTCTTAGCACCAAGTTCATATTATTTAGGACATTGGCATCCGGTCTGGAAGAATAGTGAAAGGTGACATTCTCAAATTTCAAATCTCCTAGTAAAACAGGGCGAGAACTTTTAGTTTCGGTTTCTTTCTCTCCTTTAGAATCTAGCAACTGAAATAATCGTTGACTTGCCCCAGTACCTCTCATTAATTCAGAATAGAAACTTGAAAGACCGCCCAATGCAACTCCTACGTATGCAGCGTACAACAGAAAAGAAGATAAATCTCCCATGGTTAAAGATGAGGTAGACATCATTATCCCTCCGTAATAGAAGACTGATAAAACAATTACGTTACCGGATAAACCGGTAAATCCCCAAAATGCGGCGCTCATACTAGTTTCTTTCAATTGTAATTTTAAGACTTGTTGTAGTTTATCGGAATATCGAACAACTTCGTCACTTTCTTTAGCAAAAGATTTAACGGTAATCATATTGCTCAACCTCTCCTCAGCAACGTGCGTACTTTCCGCTAAAGCATCTTGAACCTTTTTTGTCATCTTTTTTAAAAATCTACCATACATAATAGAACCAATAGCAACGGCCGGAACAATACTTAAACCAACTAAAGACAATTGAGCTGAAGTCCAAAGCATCATACCAACTCCACCAACAATAGAACAAAGTGACCTCAATCCATCCGAAATATTCATTGTGACGGAATAAGAAACAAGTTGAGTATCAGCTGATAATCTTTTATGGAGAGATTATATGATAAAATAAGGATTTTTAAGACAATCCTATATAGATATTATACAATAATTTTTTACCTATTAATTAATTCTCCCGTTTTTCGTTTATCAAAGAATTCCATTTTTTGATTAACAATCGCTGAATATATCCTTTCTCTAAATCTCTTTGCGATTCTTTGTGCTGAATAACAAACAGCAAAAAAATTATTAAATTATTATTAAATAATTATTTTAAAACATTAAACCTGAGCTCTGCATTAGGTAGAAACGACCTATATTTCCAACTGCACCAATAATAAATATTCCTAATAATAATCCACAAAATTCATTTAATCGTTTCTGTCTCTCTTCTTCTGTTTGAGTTGTATAGATAATATCTAATACTCTGCCAATTCCGTATGGTACTGCTAAGGTTACTCCACTCGAAATAAATAGCAGACCGATAGCACCTGGATAGGTTTTACAGGTTAATGGCCTCCTTTATAACTGATTTATTCAACACTTACTAATTAATCTAGCTCTTTCGGGTTTAGCTAAGGAAAATAAACGACTTAAGTCGGATTTGGAAAGTTGAGCATTCTTTTTAGTTCCATTTGGTTTCAAAGCTTTCTTCGTCTCTTCCGAAGAGAGCCGTCTTATTGATTGCCCAAGCTTTAATGATGATTTGTTCATAAAACTTCCTTTAAATAATCGGAATGTGGAACCAAGTCTTGTCATATTTTGTAAGTACAAAGCGTAATGCATTCTTGACCTTTTCTCTGACTTATCTCTTACTTGTTAAATGTATTATCGCCCAAAAACATCTGGGAAGATTTCACGATTGTAGTGTAACTTAGAGAGGCATTAAATCAGATTAAACTTTATAATAAGTTTCACACTCGTTTCATAATGTTTTAACAAACTAGCCTTCTCTTTTTTAAAGTTTGGTTAGCTATTGCATATTTTTATTAGCAGTTTCATCAAATATACTATTTCCAAGTGAAATATTATATCTTTTTATTACCAGTTTTCATTTTATCTTATTAATATACTGTATATACTAGTACAATCGCAAAGAATAGCTGAACAAAGGAGAGACAAAACATCAACAAACTTTAATCCAAAAAAAGGGACAAGTCACCTCTATTACACTTATGCAACGACCGACTAATTGAACTCAATCTTTACAGGAAGAAAAAACTTCAATGTTCCCAAACTTAAACAGCGACAAATAGCATTACTATAACATGAAGACGTAACTATATAACAGAATTTCTTTGGTAACAACCATCTACTTTGTAAAAATAGACAGTCTTGTTGGTATTAGTGAATTCTAAGAAATAAAAGTTGTGATAATGCTCATAGAACTGGGAGATTGATTGATTAAAATTTAGAATTTTTCTAAAGTTATAAACGTTTATTAAATGTACGAATAACTTTAATAAATCAAATCTTTAAATAGATGTGGCAGACTTATGTAACACGTCAGACGAATATAGGACAATATGTGATATAATTAGAATTAACTACATCAGATTTGAATACATTTGACTTGTAAATAATAACGAAAACCTAACTTTGCCTCTGTCGGGTTACTAAGTGTTTAGTTAATATCTGATATATATATATATATATATATATATATATATATATATACATGTGTTTATGCTAATTAAAGGTACTATTGTGTTCGATACCGAAGTAGGTTTGGGCCTACTTAACCCAGACGGATCATGAGATATAGGAACGTACACAGTCACCAATTAAAAATTGAGTAGTACTGATACAACTCACTTTTGAGTATAAGAATAGAAAAAAACTCATCCTAAGTAGCAGGCAGACAGAAGAGTTTGATATTCTAATCTTTGAAGTCGCATTAGTTGTAAAATTCATCAATTTCCTTTAAAATAACTGACTCTAGTTCGAATTTTTGATAATTTTACGTTGGGAAGATTGAAGGAAAAATGAGAATGGTTCAACTTATGCTAGTCATTCTGTGTACTGTTGTCTACTGCCAAGCTAGCCCTTTAAAACTTCTGTCGTTTAATACTCGCTTAACAGCCGATGAACTGTACACAAGAAGTCGTTTTCTTAAGACTGTACAGACATTAAAGAGGCTTGACGCTGATGTATTATGTTTACAGGAAGTCTGGAATGATGAACATCTCTTTTCCTTGATTGAAGATCTTGAATGGAAATTTCCCTTTAGTTACTCTTTCGTGCACAATGTAGGTGGTCTATTGAATGAAAAATTGGACTTGCCAAATTCGAAATGCTCTGAGAAGGATGGAGATAGATTGTTGAAATGCATAAAAAACAACTGCTTAAACAGCAAAGATTCTGAAGAGTTTCATTCTTGCTATGTTAACGAGTGTAATCCTTTTGACTTGAACTTAAACGAGGCTTGTAGAGAATGTACAACTCTTCAAATTGAAGCTTGTATTAAAATTATGCCGCAAAATGTGAATAAAGATAGGATTATGGAATGCCTTAAACAAATTAAAAGACCAAGAGGAATTTGCTCTTCAAGAACAATTGATACTAAAGCTAATCATGGATTGCTTATGCTTAGCAATGTACCTTTAAATAGTCAAAGAAGAGGTATATTCACTAAAGATTCGCTAATTGCAAGAGGTTTTTTGGAGGCAAAAAACAATTTTGGTGAAAAATTTGTATGTACTCAAATGACAACTGGAAGATCATCTGTATATAGTGAAAGTAAGTATTGAAATCTAAAGTGAATTATACAGCATAACTCAAAAAATATCGTGCTAAACTATTAATATATTAACCTTTTCAATAACAGCAAAGACGCATTTCAACAATTGGTACGATTTAAAGGAAAGCGAAGTAGAACAACTGGTAAACATGTATTCTCAATCAAAACAAACTTATATTTTGGGTAATTTCAATGTCGGTCCGGCCATGCCAAGTAATGGAATTAAACCTTACTACTCCGATCTTTATAAGGTATAATAATTTTATATTGTTCCACAATAATTGATATAAATTGACAAATAGATAATGGAAGATCGCGGCCTGGAAAACATTATTGTGAGAGAAGCTGGCAAATGTACACTTTGTGCTAACAACGAACTGGCAAAGGATGATATATCGAATTCATACATTGTGGATGGTTGCATTTTGGTCAACGTTGATCGCTGTAGATTATCAAATGAAGTTATTTTCAAAGAAAATATGCTACTAAATCCCAGAACTAGAAAACACTATCCACTTTCTGATCACTACGCTACGCTATCAACATTTTGCGATAATTTAGAGCTATTCTTAACTAGCTCTGATGATGGCTCCGGGAGCGGTGGCAACTGAAGTCAAAAGCAAAATGTGTAACTTATTCAATAAATTGCTCTTACTATAATATCATGATTTCATTTATTGAACATATCGATAAATTAACCTAGGCCTAGCTCTATTCAAATAATAGAGCGTGAAGTATAAGCAAGTGGCTATAAGATACAGAACGGAAATCAGATAAAATGCTTTTACGTAGGTGGATGTTGAATCGAAGATAACTCCTGTTCATAGAAGAAGAATGTTGATTTTTAGTTTTCACATTTATACCTTCTTCTATTGGTAAAGCTTAACAAACCTGCTAAAGTAGGTCCCAGTAAAATTCCAATACCAATACCACTTCTCACTATACTAAACATTGCAGTCAAATGTTTCCCATTTAACACTTCTCTGCTTGTACTATGCAAGGCCGCTAATATTGGACCTCCAGCTACTCCGCTTACAGCACCGAACACCATAGTTCCCGCAAAAGTAGTTACCAACGACCAAAGACCAGTTATAATGCATAAAAATGCGCAGCAAAAGGCGTATATAGGTATAAATCTGCCTTTAGCTCGATCGCCCAAAGCTGATGTTACAAAACGAGTTATCAACTCGAAAACGGCAGTTAAGATCATTCCCCTTGAAGCTTTTAATTGACTTATACCTAAAGTCGTCATATGTTTAACCAAAATCATACTAGGTGTATAATAAGCCATAGATTTAGTTATAGATGCAAATAGCCATATTCCACCAAGTATTACTTTAGTTCTGAGTGCAAATTCAATTTCATCCTCTTCCTTAATCTCTTCGTAAGCTTCCAAACAGAAGAAACGATTCATAAACGGAATAGTTGTTAACAAGACAACTGTTACAAGAATTACAGCCAATACGAGAAACGTCCATCTCCAACCAACTTTTGATAATATGTAATACACCAGTGGGTTAAAACTCAGCACCGCTGTTTCGTATATTAGAATTACTCGATTGTGTATTTATACATGTTTAACAGCTTTACAAAAATATAGGAAGGATAGAAGAAAAGTTATATTGAAAGAAATCGCTAATGGCTTCTAATAGAAATGATAGGCGTATGGGAAGAAACAGTTGAAAAGATCAACCAAAGGTATGTATTTTTAGGAGATTAGTAAGATTAATTATCGTATTTTTTACCTATAGGATAAGCACAAGTGACGATACTCGTAGCCAAAACGTTTCTTGGATGAGAATATGGAAAATATCTATTTAGAGCAGAGTATTGTGGGTTTAGTAAAAATGTGGCACCAATTCCAAATATTATTCCATGAGTTAACAATAAAACACCAGCATTTGGAACGAATATAGATCCTATACAACCAATTGTTGATACAGTTAAGCCTACTAGAAGAGTTTTTGGAGTTCCTATTTTATCATCAACCCAAAAAGCAACCGGAGCTAATAACATAGGCCAAGCCGTAGCTAAAGATCCTATAAAGTCTATAAGATGGATTATAAAGTTGCGATTAACAAGCGTAAATTACTCTTTTTTTATATAATATTCCATTTATAAAGTTTTTAATAAACAAAAGAAAAGGTTAATACATGAATAAATAATTGAAATATGAAATCTTTTTACCTAGCAGAGCCATACTAGTTTTAAAATCTTCATTAATAAAGATAAGAATTTCACTATAACTAAATAATAATCCCATAGTAATTACGAATTGTATAATTGAACAGGTACAAATTATCCAATCATGATATTTAATCCCTAATTTGTTTTCACCTTCTACGTCCTTGACGGATTTTTCAACAATATTCAGAGTTTCCATATGCATTGAATTGATTCAAAGCAGTTTGCCAAGTATTTACTTATAAGATACTTTGACAAATAGATAGCTTTTCTCATTTATATACTTATATATACGTTCTACATCTGTTAGATTTAAAGATACTGTTGTAATAATCTATTTATTATTTTCACTTTTCATAGTGAAAATCATTAAAAATAAATGGAAAACAAATTTTACTCCCGTCTTCCTCTATCTTCCATTCTTGTTATTATTTACCTTTTAAACAGGAAATATATCACTTTCCCATAACTATTCGATAAATGTACGCCTATGTTTTTATGTTGTACAAAGTCTGTGTAATGATAACAACAATGGAATGCTTTTAAAGTGTTTTTTGCCTATCATTTGAATTAATCAAGCAAGAATGAAAATGAGTGAGAGTATATATATATATATAAATAAAGAGAGAATTGATTAATTTGTATTTATATATAGCTCTTTATTGGACCAAAATATTGTTCACTTTTTCATTTATCTACATGCTTTGTTCCTTCTCTCTCTTCAGCAGAGTTATTATAATAATTATGCAGATTATTAAAATGGTTCAAGATGAAAGTTCAAACAGTTTTTTAATATGTACTGTATATTTTATATGCAGGTAGGGTTTGAGAATGAGGTTAGGGTTTATTACTTTCTATTTGGTGTAACCTTGACACTTGGTAAATTAGAATATATTCCATTTTCGGATATCCCTTTCAGAGTTGTTGGTCTTTCGATCTTTTTTGGTTGATTGCTTCCGTCGCTTTTCACAGTTATCCTTAGATTGCCTTCGGTTGGCATTTCAGCCTGTATCGTCTTCGTATCAGTTCCATCGGGAAGGGGCACTGTCCTCGTGCACTCTTTTTTGACGGCGTGTCCATTTTCCTTGCTTTCGTGGGAAGCACCTATTACCAATGTTTTGTCTTCTAATTTAACAGATACTTCTGATATATCGTAGCCTGGAAGATCAACTTTTATTATGTAATTATCTCCTTGCTTTTCCCAGCAACTGTTTGATTTCATAAGGTCTTCGGAAAAGATATTTTTCATCTTTTCTTGAAACTCTTCCTGGCTCTTAAGAATTTCTTCCGGAACGGAGAATTCAGGAAAATCGACTCTTTGCAGTGCCATTACTTTTAGCTTAGTGGCGCAAAAAAGTATTACAGTTTTCTACAGGAAAACGTAAACATTGCTGGAATTCTTCCAATCTGGGCTAGCATAGGCTTATGTAACAAGAACTTTCTTCTTTTCGAAAGAAAACGATAAAGAGGGAAAAACAAAAAGACAAAAAGCAAGTGACTAGATGAATGGTATATTTATCTCGTCGTTAGGCAATCGAATATGAATACGATCACAGGTATTCGAACGAAAAGGATTAAAAGGGTGGCCAATAGATTGTAAAGAGTTAATCCAACAGGGGTTTCATTGCAGTAAGATGAAAATAGGCCTAGAACAGTAAACAAGTTTTACATGAAACTTACATCGCTCGATAGTTCTATGGTTACCTAAGTAACGGGTATTACGTGAACTAGAATTAATTATAAAGGTAGTATAAAAGATTCGTCAAAGGATTCTAAATAGTCGAGCCGCTAATGAAAAAGACTATGTGTACAGTAACCAGGGGACATTTAGCAGTAAGGGCCATTTCAGTTCGATAAATACCTACTTGTAGTCGGATATATTAAATATAATAGGCGTCAATTTTTTTGACGCTTTCAATTAACAACGAATCTTCTACAGAATGCTTTTGAAAAGTAATTGGAATTAATAGAAGATCAGATGAAAAAAATGACAATTACCGGCGAGACATTCCAGCAAAGTACGATCTATTTTTCTCTCTTATTTGGCAGTCTTTCTCCATTTTTCTCCCTTCTTCATTCCGATTGTTTCTCTCTCTCTCTCTCTTATTCTCAATTCTTAGTTCTCCTATTCTTCAATCAACCTATGTTTCGAACTATCAAGCTCATCCTTTTTCATCCTGATTTTTTTCAAAAATAGGATACCGGCTACTATCAAAGAAAGGTGAAGGTACATTTTCGGAAGTGTTCAAATGCCAATGTATAGAAGACGGCTCTTACTGGGCATGTAAAAAATTAAAGCAAAGATACGAAAGCCTTGAACAAGTTAATCAATTAAGAGAAATCCAAGCGATGAGAAGATTAAGTGAACATTCTAATATACTTAAATTACAGGATGTTATATTGTATGTGATCTTGGCTATTTATAAATGTAGATATGCATTTTAAATTCATTAATTCCCTATTTTTTTCTTCCCCCATCCTCCGTCAATCCAATCATTTATTGGATAACTTCAAACAACGTCTGATAAAATCTTCTCTCTCTATTCGTTAACAAAAAAAAACGCCTCTACAGTGAAAAACAAACTGGATCTTTAATACTTATATGTGAATTAATGGATATGAATATTTTTGAATTAATTAGGGGTAAGTGATATTTTTTTTCTTATAATTATTATTTATTGAACATGATTATATGATTCTTAATATTTGAGTGTTTCGAATATTCTATTACTTTGTAAGCCATTCTAAATTCGAACAAAAAAACGAATTGTTTATTCAAAGCATATGGGAAAGGAAGGAGTGCTAAAGTAAAACAGAGGGGTTGAGAGAGACACAGAGAGAGAGAGAGAGGGGGGGGGGAAAGAAAGAGATTGAGAGAGAAGGGTAGGAAATGAGGAGGGGGAGGGGGTGATATTACAGGTGTAAGGAAACGGAAATTATAGCATTTTGTTTAAAAAACAGCAGCAAAATAAAGCTTGTAAAGAGGAATAGACAGACAGGCAGAGTGAGAGAGAGAGAAAATTTGTTGGCTAATATCCAATAGCGGAAATCGGATTAGAAGAGATTAGCCGATATGCGTAGAAATTTTGAGGAATTATTCATAATAAAAGATTAACATTAAGCGGTTAAATTTCTTCATAAAACAATAAAATTGTGTTATCAGGTCGTCGTCACTATTTAGATGAGAAGAAAGTAAGGAATCATATGTATCAGCTATTAAGAGCAATCGACTATATGCATCGGTTTGTACTATTAGACAATAGTGCTCTATAAAAAAAAGAACATCAGAGAGAATCCTCTTAGTATCCCTAATTAAGGGGAAAAGTCTCTAAAAGATGCTATTTACTGAGATAAACCCTCTTTAACGAATTTTTGCTCCTTGTCATCTTTTACTTATAATAACGGGGAAAATATTTCTATTTTAGGCCTATAATATCTATAGTTCATATTTATATTATTTTCCATTTTTTTGTCTATCCATCTATCTATCTATTCTCTATATTTCTTTTCCTTTGTTATTTCCATTTTTCAGGACGAAAACATAATTTAGCAGAAAGTAGAACTAAACGCCTTGTATTTCAATTACTCAAAGCTGTAGATTACATGCATAGGTAAAGGAAAGAAGAAAGATTTAACATTAATTACTGTATACATATTTATATATATATATATATATATATATATATATATAGAGGGGAATAATAATATATTATTATTATTTATTACTAATATATATAATATATATATATATATATATGTCTTCTATACCACACATTCTTTCCTTCCACACACCCAAACAAATAAACAAGTCACACTACCTCTTTCTTTTCATTCTTTTACCTCTTTTCTTGAATGAATTAGCATTTTTTTTTTTTACTTTTGTTTATTTCTCTCGCTCTTTCTCTTTCTTTCTTTCTTTCTCTTCATTTTTCTTATCTAAACTGCTTTTTTTTCCGCTTTTATGCTTTAAACATTAAATAATTACCTTATAATTAAGGCTTTTTTTAACTAAAATACGCGTTTCTTTCTGTATAGAAATGGCATTTTTCATCGAGACGTTAAACCGGAGAATGTGCTAATAAAGGTAAGAAAAAAAAAGAGATATTTGTATTATTTATTATATTTATCTTGGAAAACAATCAATGAAGTTTAAGTGCGTTAAACAATTAATATATCAATGAATAACTACAATACATTTTAAGAAAACCAATAATTATTAGATTTATTCTATACTCTGCTGACATCTACCGACAAAAGTTAAACTTTTACTGTATAATAGTGTAATAATAGTACTATTCGTAGTATATTATTTATCATGCGACCTTTTATTAAATGGATCTAATTAGATTAATTGTTAATAGGATTATATATTTGTTATTATTGTTGTTATTGTTTCCTTTGAAATATTTTAGGACGACGTTTTAAAGTTGGCCGATTTCGGATCATGCAGAAGTATACATTCAAGAGCTCCTTATACCGAATATATATCTACCAGGTGGTATAGGGCTCCTGAATGTCTTTTAACTGATGGATACTATAGTTTTAAAATGGATATTTGGAGTGTAGGATGTGTACTTTTCGAAGTAATGTGGTAAAAAGCTTTTATCTTTAATTTTTGCAAATAGTTAAAATAACTTAACTTAATTAATATTCATGAATTAATTAACCTAATTATTTTTAACAAAATATAAATACATATTTGTATTTAATCTATTTTTAGTTTGTATCCACTTTTTCCTGGTTCTAACGAAGTGGATCAAATATCTAAAATTCACGATATAATAGGAACACCGGATCCAAGCATTTTGGATAAATTAAAAAAGTCAGTAAACAAATTCTATTTATTTTAAAGTCTAATTTTTAATGGAAAAGTAAAAAAAATAAAAAAAAAAAAGACATTCAATAAAAAATTTTTCAGTAAAACTCGTGGAATAAATTTTAACTTTCCACCAAAAAAAGGATCAGGAATAGAAAAATTAATGCCCCACGCTCCTAGAGATTGCATAGATCTTATCTATAAAATGTGCACTTACGATCCGGATGAACGATTAACAGCACGTCAGGCTCTGAAACATAGCTATTTCAAGGAATTAAGGTTTGTTATTCTATAGGATAGACAGGGAGGGAAATTAGTCGCTTAGTATTAACCTATATTTTAAAACGGACTTTGCGTGTTTCAAAGTAGGAAACTAATTGGGTATTTCATCGATTTAGCAGTAATTCCAATACGGCAAATACTTTTAATTCTTTAGCTATAGAATTTTTCAAGTAGAGTTTATTTGTTATGATTCATCTTAAGCCGATAAGCGATAAAAAGTCAACATTTGTTTGCGCTATCTTCCACGTGCATTGTTCATATCTTGTCTCCTACTCTTCTTCTTTTGATAACTAACTTGTAAAGAGTATAAGTATTATACTCTTTACAAGTTATTTATCAATGAAATAATGTACACGTTGTATCATTAACCGGTAAAAGGCCGTTGGCTATTGGTTATGTACAGGCCACATGTTATATATTACATAGCAAATCATATATTAATACTAATATGATTAAAGTTTAAAAAATATATACAGTATATACGCTGTATACAGTATAAAGAGCACAATAAAGAAAAGGAAGAAGCCTGTTCTATGTGTTTGCTATGCGAGCGTAAAGGAATCTACTAATACTTTCAAATCTATATTAATGATTCAAAGAATTGCTTCTTTCTTTCAAGTTGTTCAAGTCAAAAAGCTTATAGAGAGATTTTATAATTCTTGCTAATCTATTAACAAAAAAAAGGATATAATATTCTATACACCTGAATTTTGCTTATATACAGTATATATATATATGTATTGATACCAGTAAGATTACTTTTAATTCTGATTTCCTTCGAAAAACATACAGATTATTAACTATAAAAAAAATTAAAATATTGAACGATAATACAAAATCCTTTCATTTTGTGCTGAATAATATAAAATTGGAATTTATTTTGGATAATTTCACGGATATTGTATGGTTTTTTTCTGTCTGCCTGTCTATCTCTAGCTCTCTCGATCTATCTCTCCCTATCCCTCTCTCTCTCTCTCTCTCTCTCTCTGTCTCTCTCTCAAACCTTATCTGTCTCTACTCTACATTTTCTCTCTCTATTAACTGTTTAAATACTATGAGTTCGAATGCTAAACTACCGCCTGTTGAACTAGGAAAAAGTCTAATTTTGTAAGTATTTTCATATAAATAGTATATTCTTGTTTGTCTAAGGAAAAAAGAGAAAAGAATGTTGAAAAAATTATTCACTACAGTTTATTAAAAGGAGTTTTATGCGTTTTAAATGTGTAATTAACCGAAATCTTTCTTTTGTAATCAAGAAATATTACATATCAATGTTTATCTTATAAAAATAGAAGTATAGAAAATCAGAAAAGTGGAGCATTTTACGTATTTTGATTGATATATATATATTTCTATTCTATTCTCTAATAAGAATTTTTCTCTAATACAATGGTAAAGTATATATACAGTATCCACATACCCGCATATATAATGCACATAGGCTTAGAAAACTGAAGGAAATTCGTTGTATAGTCAACACGAGGTTATTGTAAGCGTCGTCGACGTCATTTACTTTTTTTTTTACTTGAAAGAAGGGATTAGTTTTATATTTTGTGCTTAAAAAAGAAAGTCTTCTCTTTTTTGTCCTTTAACAATGAAATAGCAAAATGTATGAACTTTTTTTTTATGAACGTACCTAATACATACAATATTCAATCTAATAAATAATAGCTCAACTTTGATACTTTAATAGTTAAAAAAAAAAATCCAGTTTTAGATAAGCGCGATACTGACGTAATATAAAATGAAACAACTATTGTCCCGACGTATTTAAAAAAAATCAATTTATTTGTAGAAAAGTGTTTAAAAAGTGAACGAAAACACCCACTCCACTCAGCTATTTGTTATATTTAATCTTCTCTAAGTATAATTCAAGTTCAAAGCTATTAAAACCTAAATAATTAGGTTATAGTTATATTGTATCTACATATACTTTTATATTGATTATGGGATTTAGTTTTAAAAATGTCTTTCTTTCAATGTTCAACAGGGAACAGGAAAGGAGAGCTAAAGCTGAGAGACGAATGGAAGAAGAACATGCCAATTCTGTGAAATTGTTAGAAACAAAAGTTATCTCTAATAATGCGTCTACGACGCCTAGGCCTACATCAGCTACTCGTCGTAATAATAATTTTTTCCGATCGGAAGGAGTAAAGCGTAAAAAAGATAAACATAAACGCCGAATGGTTTTATCTAGTAATAATGGAATGGCTAATGAATTGCCAAAAATGAATGTGATGCATTCTACTTATAAACCAACTTTTCATCTAAGTTCATATACAACAGCCGGTTCTTATCCAAAGATAAAGGCAAAAGAAATATCCTCGACAGACCCTTTGCCCAGAATTAATACACTTTTTAAGCAAAAGAAAGTTAAACAAGTAAGAATGAATTTGCAAATATAATAGAATATTTTTTTTTGTTCTTTCATAATATATCTTATCTTTAATCTGTGTTTAATAAAAACAGAGCAATCAAACGTCCAAGAATATTATAAACGGCCATTATCAGTTACCGTCTATAGAACGGTAGGAAATGAGGTTATAGTGATGTATATGAATATCATCAATTTTTTGTCAAAAGACTTAATATTTTAATAATTTTGTATAACCTGTTAAGACCTAAATTTCTACTGTTAGGTGAAGGAATTAAATGTATTTCTTTATTTTTGTATTTTTCACGTAAGATGTCTAATCTTGAAGCAAAACTGCATGAAACGATAATTTTAATCTTTCATATTTATGTATAAAATATACAATATATTATATAAATATATATTTTAGTATATATATATATATAAACAATAAGCAATAAACTTTTGGTAATTTTAATAAAATGTAATCAAATTTTAAGGTAACATTTTTTTTGTGTTTTTAATTGATAACAAGAGGACATTTATCCGACTAGAACAAGATAAAAATGATAAAAGAATGACAAAAAAAAAACCGTCTTTCTCGTTGGCCTCATTAAGTTGGGCAACAAGGATTATCGGCTATTAATACCACGTCGACTCCGTAAGTCTCAATTAATTCCATAAGAAAGGAACGGTCGCCCTGGGGATGTAAGCCCATTGAGGTAATATGGTCAGCCGTGATACTTTTCTCTTCAGAATTAGCCAAGTTTAGTAATGTATGGAGTATCTTATTGTTACATTTAGTGAAGAAACTGAAATATATTATAATTTTATTGCTCGTTAAAAAGAATATTCTATTAACAAAGAATATTTACTTAGTGAATATGTCCATTTCACTTTGGTTTTCATCAATCAATCCGTTTCTAGCTTCATATAGCTGGTTTAATCTCATAGTATCTGCGGGAGTTGGTTTTGCAATGTCAGACAATGAATGAGAACTTGTTCTGATGTTTTGATTGTCAACGTATAAATCGTATAATTCACTCTTTAATTCAAATATCTTTTCAGTAGTACCTAAGAAGAAACAAACTAAAACAAGTGATATATATAAAATAAAATCCATACAAGCTACATAAGAAATCTCGCTCTGTAATGAATCTATATCGGCTACATTGACGAAAAAATGTGGTTTACTCTCGATAGTTGATAATTGATAATTTAAATTATAGTTAGCCAACCAGCAGGTGCAATAAACTGTTAGTAAAGAGAACGAGACAAAATTCTTAGGCATACAGATAAATATGAATATTTTCATTAGGTAAACCTCTGTAGCAAACATCTCCAATTGGCGGTGGTGAAAAGAAAAGTATTCTTTTTTGTAATAAGGCAAATTTCCATATAACAAATAGTTTTTCAGCAAAGAATTTTATAAACATTTCAACACAATTGCTCGGGTGGCTAACCTGTTTTTTTGTACACATTTTAAACATACTATACATAAATATGTACATATATGCTATATATATATATATATCTGAACAGTATATAAGTGCCTACAGCTGTTAAAATTAAAAATCTATAATATATAAATACTGTATATTATACTTTGTTAATAAAAATAAATACATTTACATAGATATATTAATTAATAAATTAACCACTTCTATAGCTAAACCGTTGATTTCCTCATTTTCTATTACACATTTCCTCTCGTGATAGAACTTTTCCAAAGCATCATAAGAAGACGGTAGAGTAAGAGCGAAGCTAGAAACAAAAATAATTGAGTCTATTATTTATTCTATTTATAGCAATTATGTGAATTAAAAGAGAAGAAAAAATAATAAGAAGACAGGGAAAAGAGACAGAGAGAGCGAGGGAGAAAGAAATTAAAGACATATACCTTTACCTCTTTCTCTCATGTATATACAATATAATACATAGTTTATATATTCATTTAAATGGATGATTTGTACAGTAAACACTAGAATTCAGGACAACTGATAAACATACCTAACTTGCTCGGTTAGAAATGGTAAATGTTCGTATAGTGAATTGTAATTTGCTGATAGGATTCCAACGCTTTTCATTCTAGCACCACGTTCCAGTTCATTAGACACAGATAACTTTTCAAAACAGGCTAAGCCGAAAAAATTACCGTGTCGAAAGTAAACAAAGTCTGTCTTTAGGGTATGAGCTCCGCTACACAATGCTTTAAATTCGATGCCTTTCAAATCAATATCATTAGGTTCTTGCCATTCTATAATGTTCCCTTTATTTATAAGAAGGTATCTATTAAATGGACAATATTCTTGTGTTCATTTATTGAATACAGACCGGCTTTTGTATCGAATGCAACAACAAATACGCAAACTATTCCACTGCTGCTTATTGATGCTTTGTTGTGTATTAATTTATTTTTCGATAAACACTTCAGGACTTTATCATCTTCGAATAAACTCCTTAATTCTTCGCCATTCTCTAATATTTCACAATTTTCGATAGGATCATTCAATAATGGTTCATTCTCTTCGGCAGCCATACTTTTACGCGCATGCGCAAGAGAGTTTTGGCGCCAAAACCGAAAATACAAAAAAATAAACAATATTCATCATTTATACTTTATTTATCGTATACTGTCAGCATAGTATTTACCAGAACGTCTTAAACTTTCTTCAAATGTATACAAAGGTTTATAACCAAGGACTTTTTGGGCTTTTCTGTCGGTGAATGTTAGCACTCTGCTAATTGCTTTTAACATATTAGGTGATGGGGTAAGATTAATTCGGACGAAAGGTGAAAAACACAATGTAATTAATTGCAAAAATAAAGTGAAAACATACAAAATTCCCATAGGAATTTGAAAGGGGCAAATTCGAAGCGACATCTCGCGAATGAAGTGCTGAAAGAAGCGATTAGTGTTTGAAAGCGGCGTATCGTCCAAGACAAAGTACGCCTCCCCTGCGGCTTTTTCGCCGTCCTTATCAAGACTCTGGTGGGCAACCAGGTGGGCCCAGGCCGCATTTCCTACATATGTATACTGGCACTTGCTCTCTTCTGGCACTGAGGGCTGGACAACGTAACCCAAAACGGGCTTAATTGCCTGTGGTATGACCTGATAATCGCCCTCACCGTACATAGGGGTAAGCCTGAGGGAAAGAGTCCTTAAAGATTTGTCATTGGCATTTAAGACGAGTCTTTCCGCTTCACTTTTTGTGTGTCCATAACCAGGGAAGATAAAAGACGATGGTGGTGTTGGCAAAGATTCGTCTCCGTCTACGATGTCGCCTCCATCATGTAGTACAACGTTAATGGAACTTGTATAAATTAGTTTTTTCACTCCAGCCTCTTTGCAAGCGTTGATAACATTTTTCGTGCCCTCGATATTCACGCCACGCATAGCTATCGAGCAAAGTCCGAACAAAGTACATTATTTTTTTTATGACAAGTATTTGGAAAACGATTAATTACCTTCATAATCCGGACTCGTTCCGTAACTAATGACGCTAGCCAAGTGGAAGACAACATCAGCTCCCTGGACGGCTGTTCTTACATCAATGAAACTACATACTGAACCGACAATTATTTCCATACGAAGTCGTTCGTCGTAATCTAGCCGTTTGCGGAACGGTTTCAGATCAAAAGCTCGAATAACATCATCCTCAGCGGTCCATCTACTATGCAGTAGCTCAAGAACGTGCTGACCGAGAAAGCCACTAGCTCCTATTACAACAACGAGCATATCGATCGTGATAGTCTTTGGCCAGCAATATATAGAAATCTTATAGATATATATCGAAAGATCTGTATATAAGTATAAATTCATGTATAGGCTTAATTATCATTATTTTTCGTCTTTTGCACACTACACGTGTATTAAAAAAAAAAAAAACAAATAAACAATGCGTGCAAAGCACCAAATTTTTATCCATATATATATAGTATATTATATATATATTATATATATCATATATATATACATATATATGTATAATTCTCTTAAAAACGCCATGTAAAGTAAAACGCACGCACACTAAAACACGTACAGTTCTTAAAACGTCTATTACAAAGTTAACAGCTAACATTTTAATTTCTTAAGCCTTAAGTAAAACGTTAAAGCGGCACAGTTCAATTGTTTTTTTTTTTTTACACGATACATAACATAACATTTACATTTCTGGTTTTTTTTTTGTTTATATGTTTGTTTTTGCTTTTTTTAGTAGAAAATAAAAAAAACTGTACCATGCAGATAATTAAAAGAATTTTTTTGGTTATACAAAAAAAAATTGTATATAACTATATATATACATAAAATATACATACTAACACATATATATATATATATATATATATATTAATGTATATATGAGTTAAATTGGCAACGACGCTCCGTATTCTTCTTTTTTTCGATGATCATGCAAGAAAAAAAATAAATGACAAAAAAAAATAATAAAACAAAACATAAGAGAAATAAAACAAAGGTGAGATTTTGATTGTTCGCTGCAATACGGCAGAGAAGGTAAAGTTTTTTTAAAGAAGTCCATCTTGATAGTTGCCTTGGCAAGCTTGCGACATATTAGGTGCATCTGGTTCCTGTTTTGGGCTGGTGTTGGGTGTCGTACCTCCAGAGGCAGCTTGAACGGCATATTTACTGGCGTACATATTGGCCTCCTCTTGCCCTTTGCCGATATTCTTCTTAAATCTGATTCGTTTGTTGCCAAACCAATTTGATACCTATGAAACGTTACATTTCAGTGTTTATTTACTTGTTAATTGTATCCGCATTTATTCTCTTTTAAAGACGATAAAATTCAACGAACCTGTGACACAGTTATTTGGCATTTTCTTGCTAATTCTTCTTTGGCTTCTTCACTGGGATATGGGTTACTCAGATGTGAATAGAAATACTCGTTTAAGACTTCGGTTGCTTGTTTACTAAAATTTCGTCGCTTGCGCCTATTTATTAAAAATTTGACAGAATTAGAACAAAGTTAATTATAACATGGCTTATCATAATAAAGATAGTTTACCTTGCGTCTAGGAACCTGGATCTCAATATCATTACGGCTTCACATGTACTCTGCTTCAGTTGCATTTCGATAGCGGCAAATTTTCGTCGAATTATAGAAACCATACGCTCGATTTCTTTTTGCGCAATTGGTCTCGTTCGACTTTGTTCCCTTAATAAGTTAATGACGTGAGTTGTGAATTCGGAACAGGCCTGTCATAAGTAAAAAAGAAAACAGTGAATTCTTAAGTTTATCGAACGGATTACGCTGAGGAAAATTAAACAATTCGTTTAAGAAAGGGGACGTGTCCAGTTCCTAAGCAAACATGCATTTTGGATTAGGCTTAGATTAATGTACCATGTCCCTTATCACCTATTCATTCGATTACTTTCTAAATTTCGTACTCACTTGTTCGTATTTTTCGAGTTCCGTATGATAAATTTGTCTAATTTGAGCCAATTTAGCTCTATAATCAGAATGTTCTATAGCAGATTCCCCACCAGAATTAGCAGCTTGGGAAGCCGTTGAAGCGGCTGTTGAACCTCCTCCTTTTTCAGGTCCAGCAACCCCTTCGGCTATCAGCATATTGTCAAGCCTCATTAATTGTGGATCTTGAGGCTCATCATCCTGATTACCGCGAATACTTAGCACTGTATTGAAGAAAGAAATTGGAAATTTATAAAAGTAATCATCAGAACGGACAAGACACGCGGTTTTTTTCGTTGCCTAGCAACAGCTGGGTTAAAGGTGTCCGAGGTCACGACCCCGAAACGACCAGCCGTTGCAATAGAGAGAAGAAAAAGGACGAAGAAAAAAAAAGGCAGCTAACGCAAATTTCCTGACAAACTACCGGCTAGAGACTTCTAAGCATTCTATGAGATGCTAAAGAGAAGCGATATTGCACCTGCACAGCTTGACCTCATTCTGTCAAGCATCTTGCGTCACACAAGTAGCGTTGACGCGTTGCTTTAGAATAGCGTCGAGCGCAATCACTACGTTCGCCCTCAGGCTACGTCATCGTCCATTAATCTCCCTCACCCGCCACTAAATAAGATTTTTAATTTAAACGCCGCCGCCTTTTTTTGTTCTATGCGGAGAAAAAAAAGCGCCGAAATGCGATACCCTTCCTATCAATTACAGCTTATCAGTAGGAACTATGTTTGTAACCGCGTTTGTGATATATGTCGAAGTATACGTGTTTCTCATCTTGAAAAATTGAAAGTGATATTCTATAAAGAAGACTTATCGGTGTTAGTACTAAAGAATGCGCTCATAAATTTACACATTTGAGAACTATTGAAGCGAAAAGGGCGTCACCAGTCAAAAACCTACCCGTTTTTTCCTTGATTTCGCACAATACACTAAACAAAGCTGGTTTCATTCGATGGCAATTGAGCGTATGTTTCCTGTAGACAAAATATGTTACAACGCAACATTAATCAAGCCATATTCTTGACAAACGCGCATCGCAAACAAAAATTAATTAGACAAACTACCGCGTCGCATTTGTCAAAACATTCCGGCATGGTATAAAATTTTCAATAGTGAAACTAACCTTGCTTGTGCCTCATCCAAACTCTGATCGGTTATATTCATAATTTGTTGGAGAATTTCTCCAATATCTTGTTTACGGGATTCTGAATGATCACCGGCTGAATGGTGCATATCCGATTGCATCTGATATCCGCCGCCCATGATAGCATTACCGTGAGATGGAGGAGACGCTAAATTATTCTGAAATCTCTGTTCATCCATTGCAAAGGCGTAATTAAAGAAAAAAGCCGCCAAGACTCGACGGCTAGTCTACTACACAAAATGGCGGTCAATATTAAGGCGATATCCAATCACCGTTCAGTTTACATCGGTCGTTAATCATCATACATGCGCTAGCGCCATCTGAAGATCAAAATTATAGACATTGAGGTGCTCTTTAGGCCTAAGATTTCCTTTAAACAAAAACCATGAAATTTAATCTTCTTTTCAATAATAAAATTTCTGGGAAAGCAGATGTCTTTACGGTCACAGCTGACCAGTTAAGACCTTATTTAAGCAGATTTTAATCAAATCTATACATCAAGCTAACAGCACTATCCTGTAATCTGACCCGATACCCGCTTTGCGGTATTGCTGATTCCTACCGAACGATTTATACGCCTAGTGAGGGCATAAAATTATGTTTAAAATTCCTATGGGGATTGCGTGACAAAATCAATATGCTAAAAATGAAAAAGAATATCAAATAAGATAATTAGAATGAAAAAGGAGCAAGAAATCCTAGCAAATATTAATAATACAAAAGGATCTCTTTTTCCTTCTTATTCCCTATTCCGTAACTGTTTGTATAAACCATATATATGCTAAATTGTTTTTATGCTTCTTAATACATTATTTTTTATTGAAAACATTTGGCAATATTGAAAACCTCTGTTGTTCATTTAAGCCTATAGTATGTTCTTTTCTATTTTTGTTTTTGGTCAAGTCGAAAGATGGCGCTTTTTTATATTTATAGAATATTTAAATTTAAGTGAACTTTTAAAATTTCAAAATATATCTGTAAAACACTTTCAAAAATAAAAACAAAAACATGGTTAGAGGAGACACTATCCAGAAGCTGCATAGCTTTTCTCATAGTAGTTCTACCTCTAAACTCAATAAAAATGGTGAAAGATTAAACATTGATAGGAATTTACTATCAAGTTCTAGCGATGCTGATAAACTGCAAAAAATCTGGAAACTAGGACAAAAGAGTCCGATACCTCTACAGTACAAAGCCACTTGGACAAGTGAATCTGATTTAACTTCACCTTTTAATGAAAGATACCCTAGAAGGTGCTCTTCAACTGATTCATCACTCCTTTATTCGCCTAATCCCAGCGAATCGGATAGCAACTCTATAGACACATTTTTTGTTCAGAGTACGACAATGCTTGAAACTATAGAAGAAGAAGGAGAGGATAAATCACATTTTTAGATTAAGGATGGTCAGTCTAACGAGTATTCTTGAGTTTCTTCGTATATAAATTTATTTAAAATCAGTTTATCTATTAATTATCATTAATTTTCCATACACTAAAAGCATAAAGCAAAGCTTATAAAATCTGTAGTTAATATTAAATATTTGAAAAAGGAAATATTCCATGCAGTTGCTCTCATACAGTTCCTACTTTTTGCTTAAATTTTTCAACTTCCCGTAGAACAACTTCTTCTACTTGTTTTTTATTGGCTTTTGGATTTTCTTGTATGAACTTAGCAATTTCCAAATAGCATTCCGTCTGTAAATTGATAATATATTAACGAACAGTTGAATTAGAAACAGAATATGTAATTTCGCATACTCTATAGGTTTCGATCGTGTCTTGCTTCGAAATTCTTTTGTAAACTTCATAACCTATTCTTGCTTTAGTTGTTATTTCAGCTAGCCATTTTCCATCGTCTCCTTTTTGCATCCACATAAGAGTACCTATCTGAATGACGCATACATTCCCATTTATAAATTCTTGTATATTTTCTTTAAATTCGAATAATTTGAACGTTTAAACCATGGATCTTACCTGCTGTAGAAGATCTGGCGTTGATATGCGCCATTCATCAGAGTTAAATAAGGAGCTGGCAATGGACATTACTATATTATTATTATTATTGTTTAGATGTTACCAAATCTCAGTCAAATATAATACCAAAACAAATTACGGTGTCCACAAGATAAAGCTAGTGTTGCCACCTTGCGCCCGGTAACGGAATTAATCACATTGCTAGGGTATATAATTAATTGTTTATTTAAGTCACCTTTTGTTATATAAACAAAAGTTATATGAGGTTTTGCGATACAGACCTGTTGCTATATCGTTTTTCAATATTTATAACAGCTTCCGGGTGTGTCTTGTAGAATATATTATGCAAACTAAAACTATTAAGAGGTCTGCTTTTAGGGTCGAGAACTCTATTTATTCATAAATCTTATGGAAATAAGATAAGGATTTTGTGTTGGATTAGATAGGGGAAAGTGCGATTATTCTGTATTGTTATTTTTAATTTGTATTTGAATTATGAAAAATTCTCAAACAACAGGAACACGAATTACACAACAGTAGCTTACTTATAAAAAGTGGCATAAATAAAAGATCTTGTTCTATTTGTTTAAGATCTTTTTTCGGTAGTAGAATGATTCTACCAACAATATAACGATTATAAGAAAGAACATAAAAAGGAATATTAAAATTCATTTCCATTTGAGTAGAAAGAAAATAATAGTTCATGTTTTTCCTTGAGCTCTGTTAACATTTGCGTACATCTCACTAAGAAGATCGGTTAAACAAAAAAAGTTTTGGTTTTTAGTTTTCTGGCAATAGTTCAGAATCAAAAGTATCAGACCGGCTTAAATAGTCTGAGGAAGACGAGTCTTCATTTAACCTCGCTGATTCAGGCATCGATTTAGACGTTCTCATTTGATTGCATTCTCTCGTATTCTTCTCGAAATAACTCATATACTTGGCCGGTAAGCGTCTGGCTGTTGGCGGTTTGGGTCGTCTGGGCTGTGTTGATTAGTTGTTATTCAGATAAATAGATGTGGGATAGGGAAAATAAAATTAAAATTACCGCTTTTAAAAGTGTATGCTGTTGAAGTACTGAGAGCTCCTCTTCGTCAACGCTATGCACGCCCTCATCCTCCTCTGACTCATTTTTCATCTTTTCGTACAACTCCCTCTGAAATCAGCCCTAGATTAGTCTGATTTAGATTGTTTGTCGAGCGAATAGACTTTGCCAAAATTGCACTTAATCATTTTCATAAAGGCAGTTAACCGTAAATTTTTGCGTAGGAGCTAGTGGATACAATATAACGTTTCTAATATTCCTCGCAGTACATACCTTCTTGTCTGCAGGTTGAATTAGGTCGGATGTCTTAAGTAGCACCACTTGTTTTTCGTTACTGTAGAATATTTAAAAATCGATTAACCAATAGTATAATATTTTGAATTGATTTAGGAGGAATAAGTCGCTTGTCTTAATGACTCATGGCTGGTGCAAAAATAAGTATCTGAATTATTTCACGCTTATAAATATAACCTAAAATGTTAACTATGCTGCATATGCCTTAAATAATCAATAAATATCAAACCTTAAACTTTAACATAGGGATTAATACATAAATAATATGTATAGTGTAAGTACATATGTACGTTCTGCATATATTGTATATTGAGTCAATAAAGAATGCTTATATATCATAGATATTTATATAAATATAAAATATACTTTATGTTTTTGTATCTTAGCGAAATGATATAGCTTATACATATTTTTCTATTTTTATACAAAAGTAAGCCTACGGCTAAGTTTTACATAAAACTTTGGCATTATCAGCCTGTTTTCACAATGACGACCTTAGCCTGATTGTATAAACTTACGCCAGAGGAAATGAATTATCAGTTCTTTTTAAGTGTTCGTTATCCGTTAGTTCATTCCCAATTTTTTGCCTGGGTCCTCTTCTATTCAACTTCCAACAGATGCATGCTATTATTATAGAAATAAGGACAATCATTCCTCCCAACGATGCACCAATAATGAAACCGAAAGATGAAATAAAATCAGGATAGTTTTGCGTTAGCACTTCGTAATCAGTTGAAGGCGAGGTAGAAGAAATCATTGTCAATGTGTCTCCTTTAGTCGGAGTCGATGCTGTTGAGTAATTTGCTTCCGGTGAGGTTGTTGAATTCTGAGTAGAATTCGACGTTGCGTTCGATTCAACGTCTAAAAAACTGAGGAATATGACTGTTAAACTGATTAGCGTCCGATAAGGCGATGGCATGCTGAAAAATATCCAATTTATTTCTTTCAAATTCTTGCCGGCTATCTTGTCCGTTTGAAAAGAAAACAAAAATGGAGGAATGGAACGGCGGGAATTTTTTTCGGAAGATTTCCACAACAATAGAATGTTCTCTCTCGTCTGTTCTATTATTATTTTATATAAATAACCCAAATGCAAGTGTTCTTGCAATCGTTTTATTATTTTCGTTGATAGCGCATTGCGTACACTATTTCGTCTGCTCGTCGAATTTTTGAGATGTGACTAAAGCGACACCTGGTCATCGATCGAACGTTGCTGGATTTTGCCGACGATGGATAGGCGATAGAATAAATGAACTCCTCTCCTTACCCTCCACGTTCTCTCTCCGACACGCTCTCTATATTTTTTATTGATTTTGTCTAACGAAACACCGGAAAGAGTGTGAGAATGAGTGAGAGAGTGAATTAGGCAGAGACGATGGCGGTGGGGGAGCGAGGTGTGAGGTAGGGGATGATATAGAGTATGAGAAAATGGAACAAAAATAATAAATATATATATGCATATTTGTAGATAGACAGAGGGGAACGAAAGAGTGAGCAAGAGATTGAGAGGGTGGGAGCAAAGGGAGGGTAAGAAAGAAAGAAAGAAAGAAAGAAAAAGAAATAAAGAGGGAGACAGATTGAAAGAGAAAGAGACAAGGGAGGAATTAATTTTCATTATTTCATCTTAATTTATAAAGGATTGCTAACGACAACTTGCGCTTTCGAAACTATTATATTCTAGATAAATTGATAAGATAGGAGAAAATAGTTGTTTAATAGCCTATAGACTGGTTATTTATTTAGTTAAGCAAATTTAGTCATAATAAAGTATAATCATCAACGACAAAATACAAATATATACATAGTTTTAATGATAAACTATGTAACCTTTATATTTTATCTATGAAAAAATTGATAAAAAAAATGGTACTTGGTTTGATTGCATTTTACGGTTAATTAGAAAGCAAGCTTTCCTACTTTTTTTCTGAGGCCTATGAATTAATCATCAAAGCGGCGGCGATCTCCGCTTCTGGCTTCGGTTAATCAGATTAGATGAATATTTGCGTATGAGCCTGTTCCCTTTACAATTTAAAGAAGAGGGGGAAAATGTATTATAGGCCTATTTGAAGTTTTTATGAGAAAAAGAGTCGTCTATTGTTAGTACAAATTGATATAGATTCGTTATCTTGTAGTAAATAAAAGGGCGAAAAATATCAGTAGCGCCACGGACGTGCTTAGCAAACGAATGCGGCTGCAGAGTTGCAGTCGATAAAAGGTCAATTTCAAGCCATTTGCGTGCCGTTCACGTATTACTCCTGATGTATTATATAGACTTATGGATTGTGATACTGCATACGTATTATGTCTATTTATCTTTTGCATTACGTACAATGTTGAATTTGCTTAACTCCCTTTCTAATTAATTATTCATTTATATATATTTCTCCATTAGGAAAGTGTCGTTAAGAGGGTTAGAAAAAGAATAATAGATCAACATAAACAATTTACACATGTACTATTGTTTCTTCATTTTAGGAAAATATTTAATATATTCTTCTGCTGTATCTATATTTGCTGGACATTTGCCTGTAAATCATTTTAAAGTTCCTTTGATGTTCTTCTTCTAAATGCTCACCATTGCTTTCCAACTCGTCTTCATCTTGATCTGATGCATTATCGACAATAGCATGACTTTCATTATTTGCTCTATAACAATCGGCGTAAACTTTTATAGCTTTTTTATATATTTTCTTGGCAGCCTTTCCATTTCCCCTCAGTTTTGTCATGGATAGAAGCTGTAGAAAAGTACCCCATCTGTGTTTTATCATACCGCATAGTTGTAGGATGAGAACCAAGGCGAAAAAGAGCATAAATGCTAAGCCGGCTGGTTGAAATTTATATCCTCCCCAAAGTGTGGGTCTAAGACTAGTATCAGCTTGAAGCATATAATTAAATAGGACCCATAAGCCATTTGCCAACCACATACCGAATCCAACTTGGTTCCTTAAATCTAATAGTTCACTACGTACCCTCTCCGATTCTTCTTTAGTGGGATTCAACGGCTTTAGATATTTTTCTATTAACTTGGTCCAAAAGATTTCCTCTTCTGTGTTCAACAGTTCCTTTTCGTTTTTACGTACATTGATCCATTTATTTTTCAAATGACCTGCAACTGGTGTTGCAGTATCATTTTTCTGATTATTCTTACTTGTATCTATATTCGTTTGGTCTTCTTCAACCGCTTCACCAGCTTTAACTACTTCAGCTGCTTCACCTTCCTCTGCTTCTAATTTTTCTCGGGAATTCACCAGTCTTGGTAAGTCAGTTAACAAAGATTTCATGTCAGCATGTATGGAACTTAAAATGCCGATCATTTTACTTTGATTTTCGGCAGTTTTCGAGGTAAATAGTTGATTTATGATATCTTTAATATCATTTAGAACTGATACTCTTGAAAATATGCCAAAGAACTTTTTCTTCGATTGAGTCTTTACATCTTCTGTCCCTGTTTTCACCTCTGGTGTTTTGCTTTCTCTAGTTCCCCAGCTAGTCACATGTAGATTGCACATGGAGTATATAACGAGTATCAAATATCCAGAGGGTATGGTGAGGAAATATAAGATACCATGCGCTAAACAGTAAACCTCTTGAGGATGAACAATGCCAGCAAAGATAAAAGCTACCGCAAACGCAACTATAAAAACTAATGAGGGGTTGATTTCTGACAATCTAGTTGCTGATTGTATAATTGAGACCAGAACAATAAGCATAATACTTGTATAGAGAGTAGATAAAAGTCCTCCGATAAGAATTTGTGTGTCGTTCTTACACTTGAAACATACAGCAATATAGAATACTGCAGGGCCCAAAGCTACTCCATAGCATACCCAAAGGTCCCATTTCGGAAATACGGTCGTAAAAGCTGCTGCAATACTTAATAATATTGTCGAGGGTCCTAATATAGTCGATATCATTAAAAAGAACTGGTATAATATGTAGAATGGGCTAATGTTTTGATTATTCGCCCTTACACTTTGAGAATCGGATAAAAGATCAAAAATATTAGCCAATGTTGAAGGCATCCAGCGTCTTCTCTGGAGAAAGAATTCCTTGAAACTTTCGGGACAGAAAGTTAATGCATCAGAGGCAGCTGTGTAATCTACTCGGAATCCTGCTTGAATAAGCAATGTACAGAGCCATCTATCTTCTCCTTGATCCCACTGAATGTGATGTACTGGTTCTTCGGCTACGGATGCGTACTTTCTAAGCACATTGTTAGATAGCAGACTTGATCCTCTAAATAAAGAGAAACAGCCAGGAGAACAAAGAACACTACCTAGAACATGCTCTGTTGACTTTTGAAACCAATGACCAATAGCATACTCGAATATTTGATACCAGGTCATCGGACCACTTCCAATGGGATGTATACGCCCACAGGCTGCACCAGTTTTTTCATTCTTCGTCATTCTATTTACCAGTAATGTAACGGCTTCGGGTTTAAAGTCTACATCTCCGTCTAAAGCCAATATAAAAGTTTGTTCTGCTTCATCTTTTTGTTCCGCAGTCATTTCACTTGGCAATCTCATATCTCTCCAATTCTGTCTTCCTTTGGACTCTTCATAATCATTTTCCACTCTAGCCGTATCTTCGTCATTTTTTAATCCACAGATTTTGAAACATAGTAGATAATACATATACATAACTTGCGACCAACGTTTCTTTCGCCTTATTTTATCTCTATCCTTTAAGTGGACATAAATCATTGTTTTTCCAATAAGTTTATAAACCAATCGACCTCCGTAAGGTGTTTCAATTCTTTTGGGAGGTTCTAAAGGAACACTCGTCTCACAAACAGAATTTTGGGCTTCCTTCATAACATCCATAAGTCTTACCACGTGTTCATTGAAGTCAATTTTTCCATCATCTGTCTTTTTCATGGCATCGTCGAATAATATGTGAGCTAAATAATGATTAAAATATTAGAAATGATAGAATCTTACTTAAAGCATGTTCTACTGACTTTCAAATTCATAGAAACTACTTTTTGGGTTTGCTTCCTCTTCTGAAGAAGTTTTCTTAGGCTTAGAAGTCCCTTGTTGATTTTGCCTTCTCTTCTTACATGCTTCCTCTCTTTTTATACTGAGATACTTGTCCATCCTAAACACAGATTTCATTATTTGCATCATTTCATTCCTATTTTCGTGCCACATAGTTGCACAAGCATACACTTTTTTCACCCGCTGTCCTGGCTGCTGAGCTTGTTCTTCATTGAGTTGTGGAAGCTCATCTGTAGCACTCAAAAATCTTCGTCTTTTATTCTGATCTATTCCAGCAAAATGTTCTTCTTCTTCTGCTGTTGGATTTTTTTCTTTTTCGTTTGCGTTCTTTTTAAGTTTATCTAATTTATGATGATCTTCTCTTCTCTTGTTAAGTATTAGGTTAGAGTTGATTGTAATCATATTGTAGAGCGGCAGAGCAAATATATCTTCCCTTTTCGCTAGAGGTGCCGTGTTTTTATGCCAAATGTGACGTCCAATCCATAATGTTGATATCCATGCCACCAAAATGAATATGATAACAAGAGCAGTCTGCAAGCCTGTCATGTCGAAGTTTGTAAGTTTGATTTCGAATGAACCGCTTGATATAGCAGGAATGTATCCATTGGTTTGCAGAATTACAAATACAACGAGTAACGGAGTAGCTATAGTTACAGGTACCGAATAAGAGACGTATTGCATTTTCGTCTTAATGGCCAAAGATCCTGTATAATAAGCTAGAGCTGCTCCAATACCCATTGATATTGCAGGTGTCCAAAATATTTCAACGTACGTCTTCGTATCAGCGAAAGGATGGAAGCTGAAGGATTTTACAATGCCAGGTCCCGTAAATTCAAACAAGATCCCAAAAGAAATCACAAAAGTAATGTGGCAAAGACATAACACCATATTGGAGATATTTCTTTTAATTATAAGAGCACCACGTAGAGGGTCAAAAAAATCTACAAAGTTCTCCCATATTTTAAAAGAACAAAATAGTAGTGACACCAAAGGCATCCATATATTAGCTAGATTGTCTGCATCCACAGCGAAATCTAATTGTAGACCAATAGATATCAATGGAAAAATAGTGCATAGTAATTGTCCCATAAATGCCAATATGTCAAAAGCCTTATAAATTTTAACACGTAAATTAACTCTGTTATTATCACCATCATTATGTAATTGAGGCGATTGAGAGTTTTTGCTGCATTTCAGAATCGGTAAAATTTTTAGAAAGGATGGAAAAAGTGAAACCGAATATAAAAGTCCTATACCAGATAAACTGCTAAAGATTGGTAGTATCCTAGTTGCTAACAGAACTTGACCAACAGCATCCAACAGTTCCAAACAGACAAGGAAAAGTAAAACTTTAATTTTCGGTCTGCTCTTATCTCCAAAAAGAAAAAATGCGAAGCTTATTAAGCCAGAAAAAAATGGAGGAATGCATAAGAATAATAGCAGCTGAGACCAAGTTCTTTCGTATTCAATTTTAGCTTCGTCAGAGGCAATAGAGTCATTTATGAGTTTTAAGTTTTTATTCAAATTGGAAGTCATCCATAGTAATCCCAGACTGCTCCAGATAATTCCACCTAATGTACAAATAAATAAAAGAACATACATAACTACTTTGAGTCCTTTTAGCGCAATATTAAAGTTTTCACTAGCTGAGGTTCGTTCAGACTGTATTATGTCCGCTTTGTCCCATGGGCTATATAAATAGATACAAAAGTTATAATGTATATACTATATAATGTAACATACAGTTTTTCATTCTTCGCTTCACATTCATCTTTTGACGTATTTGCTAACGTTGGCTCAGCTATATTATTCAATTTATCCAGCATTGATTCAGTTTCTTCATCTATTCTATCTCTGTTGTCAATGTTTCTCGCGTTTCTTGCTCTCTTAGTTCTCCTCCTAAAAGATGAACGCTTCTTTGCAACTATTAGTCTGTTTAAAAATAAATGGTAATGTGATCGTTAAATCGGAAGATACGAAGCAAAAAAGAGATCATACCTTGTCTGTTCAGTCGTTTTACGATTAGTTAATCTTCTGGATATCAAGTGCGTAGTTCTACTCGATGGCCCATTTCTCCTTTCATAGCTGTGCAAAAGGGTCTCCAAAATTGTATATGCAGAAGTTTGCAAATAAACTCTCTTCCTTCCTAACCAGTAGTCGTTTTTATCTAATTCTCCTCTTTGCTCTAAGTAGCTCATACAATCTTTTGTGAAAGCTTTTTCATCTTTTCCAGAATTCTCAAAATTTTCAGCTAACTCTTCTTCCATGTGATGATACCTTTTGCTAAAGTTAATAAAGCTAAAGCTAATAGGACATATCTGTTGATACAATTTATCAATATCCCTTATTAAACTATCTTTCAATTGACGATCTACTACTCCTTCATCATACATCTCTGATTCGCCTGTATCATTTGTTTTTATACATTTGACAAAGTATGGATTTGAAATTTTTAACAGTTTCATTATTTCTGCTATTGAATTACTGAATTGATTGCCAATAGTTAGATTGTTATCATTATCATTCTCGCTTGAGTATTTCAGTATGCTTTTTCCCATTGGTGCCAAAGACAATTTACCGGTATTGGAAACTTCCATTTTCATACTACGTATATTCTCAATTTTGATATTACCAGTATCTTCAATAGGAACTGTAAAAATATCTTGTATAAAGGGATTATTAGATTCTTCGAATATTCCCTTTATCGTCCTACATTTGTAATCAACGTTTTTGAGGAGGTATCCTTCCGCATCGTAAAGTACCTCTCCAAAATGATGTAAGATTGTAAATGACGTTTTAACTGGCCTTTTAACTGTAAAATAATTTTGACGGGGAAAAGCACTAGCTTTCGAGATCATTTGACGAATAAGATCATAATCATCTTTCAATCCTTGATCATGGTTATTCACTATAAGCCAAAACATTTGCAGCAAATGTAAAGCTTTCAGTTTGCCATCGACAATTCTTTCACTTGGATTATATATCTCTCTGTCTTCTTCATATTGACGTTTCTTATCTTCTATAAGGCTTTCAGTATAGAACGAATGAAGTTCTTCGTTCAGAGAATTACATATCAATTGTTCAAATCCATTTTTTTCTCCTTTTCCATCTCTGCTAGGTAAATTGAATAGTGAAATCATATTTGGACGAGTTTCCGTCAATTTCCCAGAAATCTTTTCTATTAAGTCTTCTTCCATTGCCATAACTGAATTTACCCTATTAACTATCCAATCAAATAGACTGCAATATATTGTTTTGGCTAAGGAGTCTCTGCTATATTCGGCCATTTCTAATGTATTTTTGAAAAATAGAGATGGATTATGGAGAGAAATATCAGCCAAGAGAACTTTGCGAAGCATTGCTATTGAAATTCCTAAAAGATTGGCCGCATTCCTAAAGTATTTATTATTGCAAACCGTTAAATCGCTGCTACCATTTTTGTTTTTCATTTCAAATTTAATATTTGTCAGATTTAATACGGCGGAGATCATCGCAAAGATTGTTCCCTTATCCTGAAAGAATATAAAAAAAAGTACAGTAGAGCAATGCAGTATTATTTAATATGGATTAAAAGAGACAAGATATCTTTACATCATCGTCCAAATTCAGGATTTTCATTGTTTCTATTAAATGGTTAAATTTGCCTTTAAGAAATTTCTCCTCCTCTGTGCTTAACGTTTGAGGCTGATCTTCAAAATTTTGAAGAATCCTTTAGAAATGGAATAATTAGAAAAAAAGGGGGGATTAGAAAGCTGTAATACTTATTGTTGCAATTGATAAAGACATTTTCCTCACCTATAGTTTTTAATTTCTTCTAAGTGAAAATTTTCTTTTTCCTCATCACTTAATCCTGCCAGGATCCAATAGAAGATGTGAAAGTTAAAATGACCCTCTTCCCTCTCGATCAATCGTGACTTTTCAAGAAGGTACACATTCAGAAATGATCCCTTAATTAATCCTTCTCCATCGACGAAAACATTAAACATTTTCGTAAATCTAGTGGAATTTTTATTCTTAGGTGTCTTAGCAGTACCAAAAACATCAACTAATTCATTAGCTTTTAACATTAATTGCCTTAAATTTCTAGTTTGACGGATGTTTCTAAAATCCTGCTTAGATGCAATATAGTTTAACTGATTGATTATTTTCTGAAAAATTTCGCCTTTGCCAGAGCCGGATTCCCCAGAAATAACAATTGATTGATTCTCTTTGCTCTCCAATAGAGTTTTTAAGGATCTTGCTACAATAAGATTGATATGGTCTGGTTCACGTTCAAAATTGCCGCCAATCAAATAACGATCATCATTATTCTAATAGAGGAAACAAGGGATAAATTTATGAAAAAATGTAAATATTTATTATGTCAATCAATTGATTTGGAATAGTTTTACCTCTTTAAATTCGATATCAATGAATGGATTCGTAAAAATAAGAAGGTCGTTTAGGCATTCCTGAAAGAACATTTATTATAAAAGGATCTATTTCTTATACAGAGAATTTTGTTTAGTCCAATTCACTTCCGCAATAAAGTAACGAAGTATTTAAAAAGTGAAAATAAGAAAGGAAGAGTAGAGGATAAAGAAGAAAGGAAAAGAAGAAGAAAAAGAAGAAAGGAATAGGTATTAAAAAATATTAATTATACATAGATACATAGTCATATTATAAATAATACTATTATAAGCTTACATAATAATTGCCATCTTGAAAATTTTGAGCCAGCCTATTGTTAATATCCCTTTCTTCGTATCCCAAACTTTGCGACATATTTATCTTGGTTTTGTCTTATTAAAATACTAATAAAGTAGTTATTTCTTTCATCATAAACAGTAGCTTTAACGATATAGAAAAGGAAGAATATTTCGTAAAGTTACCGCGAAGAGTGCTTGAATAGACACATTTTCTATATAAAAGGGTGTTGGTAAGCCTAGTTGTCATTTTAATAGAATTAGGTTGATAGGATATACAGTATACCATATATTTAAACACGATTATGTCGTATAAACATATTAGAAAGATCAATAACACAGATTTACTATATTACTTGTATTATTAATTAAAAGATAATTATACTATCCTTTCTCTTCTTATGTAAAGAGCTTTGTTAAATTCTTTCTCTTTTTCGAAAATATATTATATATTAGTATATAGAATTCCCCCTCCTCTCTCTCCCGGCATGCAATCTATGATAATAGACAAAACTTTTCTTTAACCTTCCTGATCTAGAATTTTTAATGTGAACAGCAAACCCTCTTTCTAATGCTCGGTAAAGAATACAAACTGAAGGATATTTATCCCACAAGATTTAATTCGCTTGAGTGACGCGCAGAACGAAAGATAATTGATGTCTAATAACGCTATTGTCAAGCTATTTCAAATGTATTTCATCTCATTTTCCTTTCATTTCTATGCAATAATATATTTTTTAATCAAATATTTAAGAGAAAAGGAAGAAAAAATATAATATTTTTTTACAAGTAATGAACGATAATAGGTTAATTAAATATATTTCATATAATTTTAAGAATATTAAATAAAATATTCATATTGAAAATTGCCCTTTTTAACCAAACCGAAACTAAAAATAAGCTTTCAGACTAATAAATGTATTTCCCGCTTGAAAGAGTGATTTTAAACGATTAGTTATGGTAAATGTTCTTCATGTTGAGGGATTAGTAATTAACAATTCATTTTCATTAATTAAATATCAATATACAGTATAGTACTAGAGCTGCATAGTTTTTATATATATAAATAGATTATTTCACTTAATTACTAATTGGATAAAAGTTTAATTAACGATAAAAAATCTTTACTTTTTATCTAAAAAAGCTTTTAAAACATTGTAAATTCAAGTTTCGTTTTTCAATAAACCAAAATCGATGTGAGAATAATTAGCTTCTTTTTTTTTTGAAGCTATTAACAAAGCTATTTATAGATTATCTACTTAGCATATAAAGTGGAAACGTATAAGGGAGGGGAGGGCGCCCTTGTATGGAAAAACGAGAAGGGAAGAGAGACAGAAAAAAAGAAAGATAGAGGGAGGGAGAGAGGGAGAAAGAAAAAGAGGCAATAATAATAGTTTTTTCAATATCCAGCCTAGGGAATTGAAGTGATAATATACGATATTAATGAGAAATTAATTGCCCTGGTGAATTATTGATTTTAAACTTATGAAAGAAATCAGCATTCACAATTTAAATCATTTCTATAGTTCGATATAATATATCAATAGGGAGAGGTAAGAGGGAATAAGAGAGAAGGGAAAATGTAATTCACGTAGAGCTTTTCTAAGATTGTTATCTATTTACTCGAGTCATTTTCCCAAAGTAATTAGAAAGGGCATTAAATATATCTCATTCAAAAATTGTTCTCCTCCCGTAGTAGAAATATATGGAGAGAGAGAGAGAGAGAAAGGAAGGGAAAAAATTGGAAAGAAAAAGAAATATAGAACGAGTCTGCATAGATAGACTAGGACATAGATAGGCAGACGCACATACACTAAGATACTCCAATATATATTTTTTTTTTACTTCCTCTCTAAAGAATATAATAGTTGTAGGCTCAATTATGTCATAATCCTACACTAAGGAAGATAGAAGAGGTGAAAGTATGACATGTAACACTTCTTTTTAACCAGCTAATTTATATGTATGAAAAGTGTAAGATGTGGGTGGATTTAAGGATAGGGGGAGGAGACAATAAAGGTGTCGTTGTTCTCCTATAATTATATACAAGCCTCTTCCACCGTTACGTTCGATTGTGTAAGGGGGTCTGTAAAAAAAGAAAAAAAAAAGAAAAAGTTGCCTAATAACGCCATCTAGCGAAACAAAATAAAAGACTTTTAAATGTATATGAATCAAATATAAGATATCAAGTATTTTATTTATGAATATATAAATATATATTTGTAACATTTATTATGATATCTTATATAATATATCACATTTCTGCAACAATCTTTCTCTATCTTTCCATATCTCTCTCACACCCTTTCCCTCTCTCTCTCTCCCTCTCTCTCTCTTACTTCGTCAACTTTTATAGTTTTAACTTGTATTTGACTTTTTTCCCAATCGTACATAAGCGAAACATAAGGATTAGACAAAAATATTATCAACTACATTATGCTATAAAGTCTATACAGCAAGAAAATAAATAGTATTCAGGACAAAATAACCTTTATTACGTAATCCTTAATCCTTCTTTTATAATTTCCCATTATTTAGAAATAACAATAACGAAAGCAGAAGAAAAAACAAAACACTATACAGTATATTTGTATATATATATGTAGACAGTATATACAATTAGTGGACATACAATTTTAAAATAAACATTATTTTCGAAGGCCTATTTATTCCTTTAATAAACTTATATATGTCGTACAATAACTCATCAAGCTTTCTATTAAAAGTTTAATAATAGGCTTAATTTAAATCCTCTATGTGTAACTACGATATATAAATATACAGTATATAGATATATATATATAGTATTTTTTGAGAGAGTATTATTTAGACCATATGGAAGGTAACTTTTTCATGATTTTGTTTTTTATATAAACAGATTTTTGCAAATAGAATAGAATATAAAGATTAAAAATTGAAAAAAGTAGGCCTATAGTTTATCTATTCTTCTTCCCTCCCTTTCAGTATTATCGTATTTTTTCTCTCCCTCTCTCTCCTTGACCCATTCGTTTTTATTCTATTCAATTGATTCCACAACTTGCCTTTTTTGTATATATATATATATATATATATATATTAGTATATATATATATATACAGGTGTCAGTTTAATAGTTTTATTTGTATATTTTATAATCTATTGAAAATAACAATAACCAACTAGTTATTAGACTTTTTACAAGGGGTAATATAACTAATTTAAAACTGTTGACGAATACTCCATCTATCGTTGGAAAATATATAGATATATATATCTATATATACAGTATATAGATATCTTTCCTTTTCTCTATTATTGCATATATTTATTGAATGACTCCAATACTCTAATAAATCTAACACTCAAACGCCAATTAGGTCTAAATAAAGTGACTTTGAATTATAGTATGAATGGAAAAATGGTATAAACGATATGAAAAAGTCTAAAGAGATAAATAGGGATATAAAAGTAATAATTTACTCGTAAAAACTTTTTATCTAATATTTCTTAAACTCTTTCCCCTTTATCTCTCTCTTTCTCTCTCTCTCTCTCTCTTTCTTCTGACAGTCGAATATTCCCATTTCAATTTGACAAATATCTTTATTGCATTTAATAAGGCGGGAAGGTAAAATACTGAGAAAAGGTTAAAAAAAATCAAATCAAATCACTATCGTTTTATTTTTATAACTGATAAGAATCTCTTTTATTTTCAGAGTAATTACTGAATAGAAGAATCAAGAATGAAAATCTTTTAGGCGATTTGTAAAACTGTCTTAAGTTTGAATAGAAAGGGGTTGAACCAGGGGTACTCAGAGATGTTTATCTCTCCACCTTTTTTCGGATTTTTTTTTTAAATAAATAGAGCGCCATCTACTGAATAGTTTTGGGCGTGGTAAAAGTTTTTTATTTTCTTTTTTTCTCTCTCTTACTTGGTTTAATCCAGCACCTCAGCTTTACGTCTATTTACCCCTATTTACCCTCAATTCTTTTCGCCCTGTTTTTTACCGCCCCCTTTTCTCCCTTCCTCTTTCTTTCAACGATAATGAGTTCGACTATCCGTATCCTGGATATTTATTAATTCCAGTAGGCAGGTTCTAGCAATTTGGCCGACGTTCGTATCCGAGCAGTTTGTAACTTTCTGATTATAAATAGGCGATAAAATTTGATTAAATAGAGTCAGAATCATTCTTGAAATATCAACATAATTTGATAGCCTTCTGTTAATAGATATGTTATGGATGGAAAGAAAGCGGGGAAAGGGCGGAGAGTGGAAAAGAGAAGGTTAGGTAAGAAAGAGTAAGAGAGAGAGATATAGAGATAGGAATAGGGAGGGGAGAGGGGAAAAACTAGAAAGAAAAAGGGGAAGGAGGCAAAGGGTGAAAAAAGTGAAGGGATACATCTTCAATCACCCAGGGTGAGTTTATTGTAAATTTAACCCAAATAAATAAGATTGCCGTAGTACCCTGGTATCAGAAAATAAACTTTATTAGCACGTCCGAATCAACAGGTTAGCGTCTTAGCGGGTTCTTTTTTATTATTATTATTATTATTTACATTACTCACAACCCTTTTTTTTTTTCTTCTAAAGAGTACCCTATCTTCCCATATTACTAAGTCTTCGTTCGCTTGATTAATTTTGTCAGCTGGATATTAGGTTCTAGTCTGAAGAACAATTTCCTCTTCAAAACTTTTCTAGTTGTAAAAGTTCAAAATCTTTAAAAAAAATAAAAAATAAAGCTTAAAAAACCTAACCCCCACACGGAGAGCAGTCTCTCTTCAAAATGTCGAGTAGGTTTTAAAGACGTAACTGACCTTAACTAGGCTTAATGTAAAAGAAGAAGAAATCTCTTAATTAAGACCATTTCTATTGAAAATGCACAAACATTTATGAGATTATTAAAGTATGAAATGAGCTATTATTAAACATACTTAAACAGAGCAAAAAAATCGTAGTGTCAACAAGATAAAAACGTTTAGATAAGCAGAAGGACAAAGTTAAAAAAAAATGCGGTTAGGAAAACTATTCGTGGCACTCCTAAAAACACGCCGCCCACTTTGCTCTCTTTCTCTCTCTCTCTCTCTCTCTTTTACTTACTCTACAACTCTCTAGCTTTCTTGTACTAGACTAAATCCCTAGCAATTATAGGCCTAAAGAGCGACGAAAAGTTTTTTCTTTCGCATCCGATTACACGTGACTAACAATGCTTCAAAGGAATTAAGTAATAAAAACAACTATTGAGTAATACCTTTAAACAAAAATCCTTTGAGGATTAAACAATCCAAAGAATCTATTAAATTCTCCTTGTTATTTTCTTTATTTTAAGTCTTTTTTATTCATTTTTTAAGTATAAATATATATATATACACACAATCGGTGAGATCAAACGTTGCAAGAGTTTTCCATATATATAAATATATTAATATATGCATAAAATCTATTTGCATATATAATATATTCTATATATATATATAACATTGAGGAAATGAAAGAATTTAGATTATATATAAAATAACTATTACGTTATTCATATTTATAGATTCATTGTTTATATATATATATATCTATATATATGTAATAAATCAGCAAGAAATTAGTGTGAACGAGAGTATCTACGAACACATTCAACAAAAAAAAACTGAATAGAACAAAGTAATATCTTCTTTTCTAGTTTTCCATCCAACAAAAAAATAATAAACGAACAAAAATAAACAGGTAAAACATTTTTTTTTTAAAAAAAATGGCAAACAAATTATTCATTTTCTTTTCTTTCTTTCGTTTGTTTGTTTGTTTGTTTGTTTGCGTTAAAGAGAGAGAGAGAGAGAGAGATTTCCCTTTTCTTTTCTTTGTTTTTTAAAAAAAAATCACAAGATTTTTGGCAATCATTAAAATATTCCTATCCGTAAGTAATATCAGTTGGTTAGCTAATCTTCTTTTATCTGTTCATCATCTTTGTCTTTTCTATATCCGCCTTTGTGTTTTTCCCACATAGATAGAGAGATGTTTTGTTTGTTTTTATAATTTTAAATACAAAAAATTAATACAAACGAATAAAATAATAATAAAACAAAAGGAGAGACTAGTTTTTTGGTTGCTTTTTTTCCCTCGAAAACTAAAGAAACAAAAATGTTTTTGTAATGAGATTGTCCATAAATTTTGAGTGGAAGAGCAGTATACAATGAGAGAAGGAGAGAAGGAGAGAGAGAGAGAGAGAGAGAGAGAGAGAGAGAAAGGAATTAGGGAGAAGATGTAAAATGGAGTGAGTACAAGTCTTTTGTGGAGTGACTTGTAAAAGGAAGAGGTCTTCTTTTTCTTCTCTTTCTCTTTCCAAGTTTGTCTTTCAGCAAGTTTTCTGGTTTATTTATACAGAGTCGTCTTACGTCTAAACGTGAGAATGAGGAGATTGATTAGACGGAGCGGTTATAGGCTGAAAACCGTTCGAGGAGGACGATTTAAAAACTTCTGGTATGGGTATTTTCGAAGAATTACCACCTGCGATAAAAAAGATAAGTAGATAAAAAATGGTATTAGATTGCAATTAGCGTCGGTTTTAATTACATACCATGAAAAGGGATAGGATAATCGGGCTGAATACGACTACAGCTGGTGAAACTGTTAGCGTCCTGAGCCTGTTGAGGTGATGAATGAGGAGTTGCAGATCTGGATGTGTAAGTCGAACAGCTCGAACATTTTGTACTCGTAGAAGCATAATATTCGGAGTGGGGTGACGGGTGGCTAGGTGGTTGCGACGGACAATTCGACTCCAAGTCTTTTTTATCCTTTCCTTTCATCTTATATACGCAAACTACCGTGACAACAACGGCTATAGTTACCACGATTACTGTCAAGCAGATGATCAAAGTCAGTTGTATCTCGTCACTGAACTTGGGGGATTCGGGGTTTGATGGCGGGGTAGATAAAGTTGTTGAAGGGAAATACTGATTCCCTTTAGTAGTCCTTGTCAACCTTTCAGTTCGTGGTAATGTAGGACTAGCTGTTGAACACAACAAAAAGCATGATAATTTGAATGTATTCTTTAGATTGCATTTTCATTTAACAGAAAAATGACTACGTGATGAGCATGAAAAGAGAATACCCGCATAATATTTGCATTATTGCGTCCTTCTAAAATGAAGGTATGAAAGGGCGCCAGCGGGCATTAAAATGTTACCCGATCAGGGACCATTCATACTCCCCAGGGAGTGATAAAATGCCATATACCCGGATAACAGATATCTTGGGTGCTAATTGTATGTTTATCCTCCTACGCCTCATAGCCAGTTCAAGCTTTTTCGCATTCCACAATTACGTCGTTCAAATAGCTTTGTTGGCTGTTCAAACAAAAGATCTATTCGGCCCGCCGAAGGGTAAGGGGAGTTGTTTTTGGGTTATTTTTCTAAAGCACTCCTATCAATTTCTATTTTGGTTGTTTTATATAAGAAAGAATTCATTTGGGATTTTAGAGCTGGCAACAGGGTAAAAAAACTAAAACTTTTACTCTAGCCTTTTATCAATACCGCCCTACCCCCTACCCTTCACCCTCCCCCCTTTCCTTCTCCCCTCATATTCTAATTCACCGGAAGCTGATGCACGAAACATCTGCTCAAGAGAGAACGGCAACTTGAATACACGTAGGATATCGAATATCGGTGCCCGATATACTCTCAACTCCTCCCTTCTTTTTGATAAGAGAAATATTTTCTATTAAAAAACCGCCAATGAGGGTACTTCGATTATATCCTATAGTTGTAAGTATGAAAAAACTGAATGGAGCCAAAAGATTGAATTTTATCTACAAACTTATTCAACTAAGAGTTCTTTCAAGAAAGGATAAACGAATTTGAAATGCGGGTATTGGGGAGAGTTGAGAACATTGAAATAAAATATTAATTTACTTACCAGTTGAATGTTGAACTTTAACGTAGAATTCTATCCTCTTATCCGGTTCTGATAGTAATTCAAATCTATATAGACCAGTGTCGCTTTCTTTGATGCTCTTTAGTGAAAGTGTGACCTTTTGACTAGATATGGATAAAGTTATTCTATCGTCGATTTGAGGTCCGTTAGTGATTCCTCCATTTCGGACGATAAAAAGCACACTTTTAACTTCGCCTCTTTCATGCCAGACTACGAAGTTCTGATGATAAAGGTCTTTAGGTGGTTCTAATATTAGTTCAGCACCCAATATTGCTGTATAAGTCTCCCGGCAATTCACCCCTGAAATAAAAACAAAATTTTACATTCTTAAGCCTATATATCTTTCTAAACTGTTATCTTTCCTACTCAAAGTTTGCCTAGCAAACGAGGGCGGCCGGTGCAAATTGGTTAGAAACCACATTCACATATACATTTTTTGCCAGATATATAATATTTAAAGGAAAACGGGAAAAAGATAATAAACAATTCTTAACACTTTATATCACCTCTATAACCTTTGTTCTACGTTCATAAACGCCCCACCCATCGGATCGTCTAACCCCCCCTCCCTCTCTCCTTTCCCCTGTAGAACTGGCTGATAGAAAAGAATCCCACCCATTTGTAAATCCACTAGATTTTACCTTTCTAACAAGATTAACGAACCAAGCGCATCGAATCGCATTATGAAAGAAAAAAAAGAGAGAATATAAACGATTTCATACACAACACCTGGGCGGTAGGTTTTCTTTTTCCCTTCTTTAAATATATAACGCAGGTGTATAGTGCCACTCTCCTAAAACACTTGACACTGTGGGTGCAAAGGCGGACGAAGGTTTAATGGAGACGAAAGGGGGGGTGTGCTTAGCAAGAGGGGTGAAGTAGACAGAACGGGGTAGAGAGAGAAAGATAGATAGATACGTATTCATATATATTCAATGTTAAAAGTACACAAAGCTTTTATCTAATCTCTTCATTCTAATTACATCTGACAACAAAACCCTTTCTGTGTTTTATTTAGGTATAAACGCAATAAAATGAAATTTAAGAAGAAATAAAAGAAGAAGAAAACTAAAGCGGGAAAACGTTAATAAAGAAGAAAAAGTTAAAAGGTAACGTTTTTCCTTTTTATCCCTTTACTCTCTCTTTCTATCTCTCTTTTTTTTCTTCAAGTATGATTTATGGCCCTCTGAATAATAGGGCTTGTGAAAAATGAGTTAAACATGTCGATGGGTTTATAGTATTAAATAATTGCCTCCGTTTCTGGAGAAATCTTGTTTTTCCTATAGTTTTTATGCTGTACAGTATAAAGTTTTATCTCATTTGATAGGCAACAGACCAACCCAACACGCACACACATTTATATATATATATATATGAAACTCCTTGTTTTTTTTACAGTTCTTGTTAGCTAGTTTGGTTATTATCTAAAACAAGATTAACCTATAAACTTATTGAAATACTATCGAGAGAAATCGAAGAGTCAACTATATAACTCGGAAAGATTGAAGAAAAGATTGAGAGAAGCGCGGAAGGCAACAATAGACGAAAAAGGGGAATAGATAAAAGAAAGTGAAAAATGGAGAAAGAGAAAAGTATGTTTGAATAGCGCAACACTTGTATCTAGTTAAATGACAATTCCAGAATAGAACAAGTTATTCTTTATAGCTTTGTCTATCTATATGTTTTACTCTTTCTTTTTTTTTTCTCCACCCCCTCTATCTATCTCTTTCTCTTTCTATCTCTCCTATTGTGATTTTTTATCTCATGTTAAAGAATTACACACTTTAATAAATGTACGCCTATACAGAAATATTTCCTAATATTTAAAATAAAGGGCTTACCAGTCAATAGAAGGCACAATAGTATAACCGCTGATGTCATTCTTTAATATTTCTGTTAATCTTTCTCGAATAGAAATTAAAAGCTGTGATTTACAAGAAAATTCTCTGAAGAGGAATGAAGAGTTTTTCTTTCTTTCAAGAAAAAAAACCACTAAGCTTTCGGTTTTTTTTCAATTTGTCATAAGAAAAACAGTAGAGATTGAGAAAAAGTTGACAAAATCGATCCGTTAAGTTTCTGTCTGTTGTTTCTTTGTAGTAAATTGTAGTCTCCACAAAAATAAAACAAAATATCTTCAATGAATTCAGTCCGAATAGTAACAAACACTAATTATTCAAATAGTAGTTAAGTCTTGGTTAAAGTATTGGAAAGAGAGTATATTCTTTCGCGTTGTTGTAAGTTAACTGTCTTACCGGTGAATGAGTAAATTGAAAAGGCATCGGCCCTTATAATCCTTTTACCGCAGCGCCACCTAGCCGTGGAGTTGTAAAATCTCCCAACAGTGATTGGTCATGGGTAACGGAACACTGACAAAATATTATCAAAAGATATTCCTTGAAAGAAAAGTCCTTATTTAGAATATAATAGGAAAGGGCCTTTTTTCTGAATAATTGAATCCCTTGCGAAAACATTTAATAATAAACTATTGGAACGTTGATCGCAAATGTACACAAATTTCTATCCAACCTTACCACATCGGATGTTCTTTAAAATGGTTTGTATTGTTGCCCCGTTTTATAGTTATTAATAGTTCACGAGCCGCAAAAATTGCTTAAGAACGGTGCCCCAAATTCAATCTTACGACTTTTTAATAGCAAAGCAATGTTAAATTGAATAAAAAAAATGACACGGTATTCAAATTACCAATATACTTTTGCATTGATATGTATTTTTTTTTTAAAAAAAAAAAAGTTAACCGATTTACATAACTAAAGTTATATTTTTACTTTTTCTAATTCGTAGCAAAATTCTAGACATAACAATAGAACAATTAAGTAGACAAAAAATCATCAATTCAGATTTGACGCGTGCGTTTAACGAGTGAAAGTCTCTTGAAAATGATTCAGCTTACGGGCATGTCAAGACAGTAGCGATTGCGCAACACCTACCAAAAGCCTAATTACGACATAAAATCATTTCTCCATTTTCTTGGCCGAAGGGCATACATTAAACAATGTCTTGTGTCAGATAGTAATGTCGTAGTTTATAGATATCAATTTTTGGCAGGTGTAAACAGGTCATTCAATTTAGAGTAAGCGAAAAAACATTAAACTGTATTAAAGAAAATATTAGGCTAGATCTTTTAGACGGGCTTATAGTCTAATTTTGTTTCAAGTTTTTTGTTTTCGCCGACCTTTCGGACGGCTTTCATAAAATCTTCTTCGATCGTATAGTCGCGCTCGTCTCTAATAGCGAAAAGTCCGGCTTCAGTACATACGTTTCTCAAGTCAGCGCCGTTGAAATCGTCGCTCAATTTCACAACTGCCTCCCAGTCTACAAATGTAAATAAAGAGGTAATTCATAAGGGATAACATAAAGCAGGCCTATATAGGCTTTTCTTACCAATCTCGCCATGTTTCGCAATAGGCTGAGCGTGAATTTTTAAGATATCCATTCTAGCTTGCTCATTCGGTAGCGGAATTTCTAGGAGAAAAAGAGAGAGTAAACAATTTGCTTGCAGAGCCGTTTGTTTAAAAAATCCTATTGAAGTCGAATACGAATAATATTGGCAAATATTTTGTACCTATTTTACGATCCAATCTGCCGGGACGTAAGAGGGCTGGATCTAAAGTGTCTGGCCTATTAGTAGCCATTATCATCTTTACTTGCCCCAATGCATCGAAACCATCCATTTGATTCAGCAATTCCATGAGAGTTCTTTGAATTTCTCTATCAGCACTAGTACCCTCTGAAAAACGCCTTCCGCCTATAGCATCAATTTCATCCATAAAAATAATACACGGCTGGTGATCTCTTGCATAACCAAACATTTCTCGGATTAAACGAGCACTCTCTCCAATATACTTGTCTACGATTGCACTTGATACTACCTACAGACAGATAAATTTAAATAACAGATCGCGGTTTTTTTTTCCCAAACAAAAACAACCTTCAAAAAATTAGCGTCTAGCTGAGCGGCTACGGCTCTGGCAAGTAGTGTTTTTCCGGTACCGGGTGGGCCGAACAATAAACACCCTTTCGGAGGAGTAATCCCAACGCGTTGGAACAATTCGGGGTTCATTAATGGAAGTTCAATTACCTGTTTCACAGCACGTTTTCAGTGAACGGTGTTAATAACAATGATGTAACCCTACCTCCCGCAATTCTCTTATTTGTTCCGACAAGCCTCCTATTTGGTTGTAAGTAATTTGACCAGGATCTTCGATTGACATGTTGTATACTAATGGGTCTACCTCTCTTGGTAAGTACCTGTCACAGATTGAATAAAATTGAATTAAGGTGTAACATTTAATTTCCTTTAATCAAGATTTTTACCTCATGATTGTTAATGTTGTCATATCCAGAGCTACCCTAGTACCTGCTCTTAGTTTCGATTTGTCTATTTGTCGACGGCATCCTACCACATATCTTGGCCCATTTGTTGCCTTTACAATAACTATTTATAAATAAAAATCATGCAATTATTGCTGATTCTATTTATTTTACAATGATACAAACAATTATCATCAGTCAATTGTTTAAGAACTTCTCCAACGATTTGACCAACACTTTGTAGAGCTTTTAAATCATTTTCTGATTTATCGAAATCTTTCGTTAGCTGTTTAAGTTGCTCTCGAACTGCAAAAAATTTTACGACCGATTATTAGGAATTGAGCGAAATTGGAAACGTGAATCGGCAAAACACGTTTAAAGTTATTTTATACCTGTAATACGAATTATTTAAAGTTTTACTTACGCTGTTTCAGTCTGGCATCAATTTCTTTATGTTCTAGTAGCTTTTTCCTATAATCATTTAAAGCCTTTTCCCTTGGATCGGGAGTTTGTTGGCCTGGAGATACTACCGCTGTTGCCGCCGCCATTTTGTTGGAGTAAAGATTTCGGAAAATATACTATTAACCAAAAAGTCTGTATGCAGCAGATACTTGCAATTAAGAGGTATACAGCCTAAAAAATTTAACATTTAGCAGAAGTTTATGGTATTTCAAGCACGAATTTTATATACTATCTAAGAAGAGTGAAATTAGTAGATCTTTCTGATCAAGTAATTGAATTTAAAGCATTCTGAGCGAAATTAAGGATATTCTCTTTCGTAATGGTCAGTTGATGACAATGAGTAGTTTTCTTAACAGTTTAAATAACATGTAATTGTCAATTTAAGGGTTCCGTTATAAAAGACGTTACAATTACCGATGATCACCCTTCAAATTTTCTAAAAGAAAAGCATTCCGATTATATAGAACATTACGGTTCAAAACATGATGTATACGTAAGTGAAAAACATAAGTCATATTTTCCTCCAAAAACTATTCCCCTACATATAAATATATAGGAATACAAAATGTCCGAATATTTACGTATGTGCGGTTTGTACTGGGGTTTAACTGCCATGGATCTTTTAGGCAATTTAAATAAAATGAGTAGGGAAGATGTGAAACGCTTTGTATTGACATGTCAAAACGATGACGGAGGATTTGGAGCTTGTAAGGATCACGATTCTCACATTCTGCATACATTAAGCGCTATTCAGGTATGAGAAAAGTAAAGATTTATGTTGTATAGAGTTTCGAAAATGAAACCTTAACATCCGTATCATCTAGATTTCTATGATGTATGACTTAAAAGATGAAATCAATGTTGAGAAGACTGTTGAATATATTTGCCGTCTTATTCAAGATGATGGAAGTGTTATGGGAGACGAATGGGGAGAAATTGACACCAGATTTAATTTTTGTGCTGTCGCCTCTTTGGCATTATTGGTACGGTTCGTTTAATATTTTTCTTCCATTCTTATTAAAATAACATACTACTATAGGGCTGTTTGAACAAGATTGAATCTAAAAAAGAAGCTATTATCAACTACGTCTTATCTTGTATGAACTTTGACGGAGGGTTTGGTGTTAGGCCCGGAAGTGAATCGCATGCTGGACAAATATACTGTTGTTTGGGCTGTTTATCTATTTTAGGTGCTTTGGAGCATGTCGATAGAGAATCTTTAGGGTGGTGGCTAGCCGAACGGCAATTACCGTCAGGCGGCTTGAATGGTAATTATGTTTATTTTGTTATGTAATTGATTTAAATTAACGTTTCATTTAGGCCGTCCGGAGAAATTACCTGATCTCTGCTATTCGTGGTGGGTCGTGGCTTCTCTTAAGATTATTGGAAAGGTCCAGTGGATTGATAAAGTAGGAAAGAAAAACATTTACTTTATTTTTATCAGAATACTGTGAAAAGTACTTATCCCTGACAGGAAAAGTTAACTAGATTTATTTTGGCTTGCCAAGACGAAGAAACCGGCGGCTTCGCCGATCGACCCGGTGATATGGTTGATCCTTTCCATACACTTTTTGGAATTGCCGGTCTATCTCTTTTGAAAAGTACCGACAATGACGTAAGAGACGTTAATCCCGTATTTTGTATGAGTCAAGACCTTTTGAACAATTTAGGTGTAAAATCGTCGATAATATCTTGACACCATTGCGTAATTTATACAAATAATTAGACGCCTTAATTAATTTATTTGTTCTCGTTGAATGTTTTAAATGATAATAGTCAGTTGATGAACACACTGTAAATTACACTTTAATTTTGGGCTGCTGGCCGACGTATTCGTCCCATCCTTTCCGACAGGTTGTCACAATCCATTCATGTTCGTCGTCATCTGCGAAAAAGCCAATTACCCACTCACTTATTTATCTAATTGTTATTGTTAGAAATACTTACCGGCATTACGAAGAAATTTCCTTTCGTAATTTACTACGACTCTTGTCTCAGGATCGTAAAAGCCATCGCCGGTATCATAATGACCATGGGGAATTTCTTTAGGGGGATTTTCATTGGTCAATTGAGACCTACCAGCTGGTTCCATGCCTTTACAGACTTCCGTATAGAATCTATTTTATACAATAAACGTTATTTTTCAAGAATTTTAATGAATATATGCCAAGTAATTCGCTTTTCACCTTCTGTCGTAGCCATCACAATACTCCCAATCGTCCTCTTCAAATTGTAATCCATCAGCAAATGTAAATTTGCCTTCGATCGCAATTCCTTTATCCCAAACTGCCTCGTATTTACTACCATTAGGAAATCGTATTGTTCCTTTTCCGTGAAACATGCCGTCTTTTAATTCTCCATCGTACTCGGTTTTTGTTGGTAAACTATATTTACCCTGCCCCTCCATTCTGATAAGAAAGTAGAGCGATTATAAAGAATTAAGCGAATATTACTTAAATTAATGCTTCTTTCAATAATTTACAATATAATTGAAATAAACTTTTAATAAAATGCTTCAAATAGCATTTATAGTCGTTTTTAGATTTGAAATTTACCTGCCATTTGCCATATCACCCTCATATTTACTCCCCATATATTCCATCTTTACTCTGTATGAATAATTGCTATGGTAATGAACGGTAGATGGCGTTATTATATATATACTGTATATGTATACAGTATACAGTATATTGATACACTTTTGCTCTTTAATAATATTTGATAAAGGAATTCTTTTGTTGATTCATTTCTATTTATTTATTGCAAAGTCATATTAAATGTATTTAATTTTCATAGAAGCAGACATATTTTACTCTCTTCTGGCATAATTTGCAACAAAAGTATATTCATTAGATCATTTCGAAATTATAATCTTTCTAAAGCAAGAACGAACGAGCGAACAACACGAAGATATTCTTTCAAAATACTCTCCATAAAGCGGACTAGCCAATAAACAAAAACAAAACGAAACACAATTTGACAAAGCTCAAAAAATGTCTTACAAACAATTTTCTTAAAGATTTTACTCTTGCATTCATGTAATTACTTTTTTTCGATTTTTCGCCTATCTATTACTTTTGGAAATGTATCACAATCCAAATAAAGCCGGTGGTCATATCCAATTGCTCTTATCACAGTTTTTGTCGCATCATTCGAATTGTCAGGCATTTGCTCAGAAAACGTCATAGCAAATGTAAAATGAAGAAAAAGAGGAGAGGAGAGAAAGAGAGAGAGAGAGAGAGAGAGAGAGAGAGAGAGGGAGGGAGAAAGAAAACAAAGATAACAGTTTGTATACCTATATATGTATATATTCACATATACATATATACATACAGATCATATATATAGAAAGAGAGATAGAGAGAGAAAGTAAAGAAATATTTAGAGAGAAAAAATATAATAATAATAAATACGTTAGAATTATATAGTTAAAGCGATCAACTCAAACGAGCGTTTAAGAATGTAGGTTAAATACAAATAAAGTTTTTAAAAACGTTGTTTTTTTTGCATTTTTCAACCAGGTCCGTAATTTATTTTTCTGTGTTTTTCTTCGTTCCTTGAAGAGGAAGACTGGGCTAGGAGTTGGCCAAGTCAGTTAGGCCTATTCGCATATATGAAACTAACTCTTCTATCGATGAATGAATACTTAATGGTTTTTTACATTTTGAGTCCAATTTCGCAAAGAACTCTATTAAATAGGAAGAAAGGAAGGCAATTATTATTTTATTGTTATCTAAAGCGCCATCTTGTGTTAAAATACAGACCTTGATAGGGTTTAGCGCGATAGTCAGCATGGTTCCAGAATTCATGAGCCTCGAACAAATAAGACACATCGGACATGTAATTTTGCGTTATTTGGTGCAAGTTTGCTGGTACAGATACTGTGCCACCAGTAGGTACGGGTTGTGGGCTAGGAGTTGCTCCTCCTGGTGTGACACTTCCCGGTGTTTTAGGAGACGGTGTCGGTCCTTTCGGCGCACTATGGTCATCTATATAACGTTTTAAGCGCTTGGCGTCTCCACGCCGGAAAGTAAATAGCTTGAAACAGAGTATCGATTGAATTCTTAAGCTAGAAATAACAAAACAAAAAAAAACCAATATAAAAATCGGCAGTCAGATTAGAGAAAGAAAGAAAAGAAAAAACAAATTATACGAAAATAAAGCTCACTTCAGAACATATAACTTGCGTTCTCTCTCCGAACACTTTGTTATGTCTTGACCGTCGAACGAGTTAATTTTCCTAAAGATTAAAAAGAAATATGTAAATAGAATCCTTTCGTCTTTCGCTTGGTAATATAAATTATTCTATTACTTGACTAGAGGTAGAGTTTCACGGTAATTAGTAAAGATTGTTTTTGGGTCACTGGAACGTTCTTTTGCTTGAGCCCATTCAAGGAAGTGGAGAACTGCTTCCATGTACTTAGTCGACTTTCGCCAATTATCGTTTTTCTATTAGGAGAGTGAAAACTCAGAGTTAAGGGAAAAATTACAAAAAAAATGCTTTAAAGGGAAAAAGAGAGAGAGAGAGAGGGAGAAAGAAAGAAAAGGGAATAAAAGGAAACTAATATGCTTCTATTACAATATAAATAGTTACATATATATATATATATATTACTAATATATATATATATATATATATATACATATACTGTATATATGAAAGGAAATCTAAAGTACAAAAAAGAAGGTTTAAAAATTGTAATAAAATAGATACAATCTTTGATAATATATTATCTTATCAGAGTTTTTTCCCTAAGTAGAAATTTAAATAATAATAAAAGATAAAAATTATATACATAAGTATATATAAGATTTAATATACTGTATATATATTATACTGTATATTTTACAGCGTTAGCTCTTATCAACAAAATATATCTTAAAGAAATTTTGGTTTATCTCAAATGAAAAAAATCTTGAAAAATTGTAGAATATAAAAGAGAGAGAGTGAGAGAAAGAGAGTGTGTGATGGAGTGAGTCAGTGAAAAAAAGAAATAAATAAAAACTTACAACGTTATCAGCTTCTCTCTTGCATTCTTTAGCAGCTTGCATAAGATAATAATCAGGATTATGTGTCGAAGAACTGGTTGATTGCTCGACTGGTTCCCTATTTGAGGACAAAAGGAAAGAAAATCGGATGTAAATGATTATCTTTGGAAAGGGAAATAGCGCTATATTAATTAATACAAACTTCTTTATTCGCTTTTCCCCTCGATCTTTAGTTTCATTTGGACTTTTCTTTCTTTTCCTTTCACGAGAAGATGTGGGAGGAATAGTACTGTTACTCCTTGGTATTGAAACGCCAACACTCCTCAACAATTCCAATGATAGGGAGACAACTGTAGAATGCCTACCATGAACTTGAGATGCACCCACGGGCGCCACCCCGGCATTAATATTAGGGTTATTAGTCGGCATTTCGGTAATGCTGTTCGGATTCGAAGGGGTTGTAGAATTTAAGGGCGTTATTACAGCCATCGGTTTGCGTTTTTGTGAATTTGAATTGTAATAGGGTTGTATGTTTAGTTTGGTTTCTTCTGACTTTTCGTCTTGGGCGTTGGGTCCATTAGAAATATCTTCAAAAGATGAATCACTATCGCTGCTTGGTACAGTTATGGGTTTGAAAGGTTTGGTTATTTTTGATTTTGTAGGTGATTTTTTGTTTGTCGGTTGTTTCCTTTTTCTATTGGGTTGTCTCTTACTGCCTGGAGAGTGTGATTGAGCAGGTTCGAAGTCTTCATCGCCAGAATCATCGCTACCGCTCGAGGTGTATACTGCCTTTTTCTTCGCTTGACGGACTGGTTGCACCGGTCCGTAGGGATAGTTGTCTGATTGGTCCGTCTTTTTCTTACCATTTGTGGTCGACGACTCTTGCGAATTAGAAACATTTGGAATATTTCCAATAAAATCTGCAATTTTCCAAGTATCCTGCGCCACTGGTGCTGGTTGATTCAGCATAGGATCAATATCAGCCTGGGGAGAAGCTATTTTTTTCTCATCGTCCGAACTAGACGCCTCGCTGTCGGATGACGAACTCGATGATGATGAACTTTCATCAGAAGTATTCGTTTTCATCGGTGGCCTAGAAATAAGAAGGGAAAAAAAAATCAATAAAGACGGTAACTGGCAAATCGTTAACGGACGTTCGCGCAAATACTAAGCGTTAACATACACTTTTGAGCCGTTGTCAAGGCGGGCGTTGAGAGTTTCTAATAGGGTCACCACACAAATTTAAAGACATAACTCTACAATCACATCCCTGATAATTGTAAACGTATAGAAAAATCTTTCTTATACCAATATATAATAAAGATTAATAATAATTACAGGCATATTATCGTGTTCTAAATTTGGTATTTATGACGAAATAGACAACATTAGAATAATAGCAGTAGTAAAACATAAAAAATAATACAAAAAAATGACGTCAACTGTCCCTTTATAATTCATTAATTAACTATTATCTAAGGGAAATAAAAAACGTCTGCGATTATTCGATTTTTTTAACTCTAAAAACAGAAAAAGTATAGGAAAGCTATTATCCCATAATAGACTAGAGTTGAATTAAATAATAGGAAAAGAGAGAGAAAGATATGGGGTGACTGCCTAGAAGGGAGAGAAGAGGTAGGGGAGGGAGAAAATGAGAACAAACAAAAACATAGAGTAATGAATAGAAAAATACTAAAAAGTTCACCCGAAATAAAATATTAAAAGTTATAGTAAGAACTTATACAAAAGGAAAAGAAAGACCTCTACGTAGGCGTTTAAGAAGAACGATAAGTCATATTTTTTGCTTCTTACATTCCTTGTTGTTTGATTGATTATAAAATAAGATTAATCCACTAGTTTCAAAAATAGAAAGCAGTTGTAAACATTAAATTGCTTTCAAATATCCTATTAAAATAAACTAAATCAATATTGTATAGGTACAGGAGATGCAATAGAAAAAGAGGAGGTGGAAGACGGAAAATGAATGAATGCAAAATTAAGAAAATACAAAAAAAAAAAAAAACAATACGCCAAGAAGGAAAGATAATAGGGGTATTTTTCAGAAGAGACAGAGAGAGAGAGAGAGAGAGATTTACTAAACATGTACGTTACGAGTTTGACGTTAAATAATATAAAGTAGTAACAACGGTAACAATAGTCGTTTCTTATAATAAATAACAGGAAGGAGTATATAGAGCATCCAAGGAGTAATCTCTTTAGACTATCCTTAGTAAAAACGCAACATATGCTTATTAGTAATAAAATATCGATTCTACTACTGCTAAAACTTACATTAATAAATCATATAAACTATTGTTTATACATAGTTAATAGCTTTTAGATAACAATTTATAACTAGTATATTTGCTATTGTCGTTGTCAGTGGTTTTTTTTTAATAAAACAATATTTCCCGTTTAGTTAATTTAAACATTCGAATGTTCCTTCATCAGTAACGTTACTGATCTGAATATACTGTATATGTTTTATGTAGTATCAATAGAATTATTAAATTTTAATAAACGTCGATTTACTAATAATATTAAGATATTAAATTATTAGATTTAGCTTTGGGCAAAGTGAATTTTATACTTTTAAAAAGAAAAAATAAAAAGGTAAGCTTTTTTTTTTTTAAAAAAAAAAATTCAATCTTTTTTTCCTTAAAAAACATTTTTGCTTCGTTGTAAACTAATATAATAAAATTTTTCAATAAAACAAACAACAGTTATAACGCAATCGACAAATACCAATCGATATCGTGTCGGTTTCATCCCTTTATATACTCTATATCTACAGTATTTAAATTAATCTTTATAACGTTATATATGTATACAAATTTATAAAGATATTTGTCTACTTTTACTTACTAAAGCTTCAAGATTAAACTCATTACAGATACCGTGTTCTACCGTTCAGAAAAGACTGCATTTACGCCATCGATTGCGTCACGACTATATTAAATAAAAAATGACTTGGAAGGATATATAGATTTTTTTAATACATGGTACAAAACATTAATGAACGCTGTTTGTTACCTGAGTTTAGACGCTTTGAGCGTTACAGAAACCATAGCTTTTTGTTACGTAATCCGTAAATCATCTTCAAAATTCTGGCCTATCGAGGCCATGTTATTTTTTTTCCGAGAAAAAAAATTTTATAGCGAAGGCGTAGATTAGAGTGGAAAAAAGTAAAAAAGCGACGAAGTAAAGACGATTCGTAAAATCTACGGCATTCCTCAATCCGGGAATAATATTACAGTCATAGCTAGCCGAAATGCACCAGCTGCATTATTATTCATCCAGTTGAGTTTTTTAGACTGGCGCAGCGTTTGGTATAATGCGGAACTCGTATCTCGACTATCTGCTTGTTTTAAGAAGCGATCGATAACTTACCGAGTATCGTCATTTTCTTTTAAGTTGTTAGAATTGATGTCAGACTTCTTAGAGCATTCCTCCTAAAAATTCAATTAAAGTGATTTACACCAATGAATTAACATTTGTATATAGAGAAAAAAGAAGAAGCTACAAGCGAAAAAATTGTTTGCTGTTGAATCTTTCGCTTCTGCTTTCATGTTTTTTTATCACCTTTTTTCCTTCTTTACTAATTTACTTAATTGTTTAAGCAGACAATGGAAAATTATTATCAAATATATAAGGTGTTTCTTCTAAATATGTTTTATAGCAATATATATATATACTGTATATATTATAAATTGTTCTATTTATTTATGCACTTTTGCAAAATCGGCAATTTAACAAGTAAAAAAAATGATCTAGATTTTATGCATACCTTGTCGTCGTTATCTTCGTTATCTGACGAATCACTCAATGAGTTAGAATTACCATGGCTTTTTTGTTGTTCACTTCTGTTAGAATAGAAATAATTGTTATAATGATATTATTTATATAACAACTTATTTAGAGCATACAAGATATAAAAACACCTAAAGAATACTTACATATAGTATATATATATATATAGTAAATTCTATATATAAACTATTATTAAACTTATTTATAAATTGATAGTTGAACTCTTATTATCCTTATTCAATTTTGTAATTAGGTTTCAAATTAAATCAAAATATAGAATACGCCATCTACCGATCGAATAGCTATTATTATATTGTAAATAAAATTGTTTGCTAACCTAGTACTGTTGGAATTCGTTGCGTGGCCTTGGATTTTTTCCTGATCTGGTAAATTTTCTATGGAGAAAAACATGTTTAGGAATTTGTGAAAAGATAGGGAAAGAGATTAAAGAGGGAGAAATTTGAAAAGAAAAAGAAAACAAGTATAATAAAATAACTTAATGATAAGAAAAGAATTTTTGCATTAGTATAAAAAGAGAGAGAAAAAAAAACTTTTAGAAATAGAGATAAATAAAAACAAAAAAAAGTTTAACTTACGTTGAACTTTGGTCTGAATCTGTTAAGTGAAAAAGAAAACGGGCAAATTTAGTAAATAAGGAGATACGAAAGCTTTTCGAAATCGATCAAAGAAGCCTCGAGGCAATTGAAACGCGAAAAGCGACACTGACGCCATAGGTAGACGTCAGAGAGAAGTATCACCATGGTAACAACAGAGAGAAACCGGAATTGAACACCTACCGAGTTTTTTACGGGGAATGCGAACTTGCTTGCAGGTTCGATAGATGAAAGTGGTGTTACAAGCGTCATTTCCTGAAATATGATACTTGATATCTTTATCAAGAAAAAGCCCAATATTGCGACAATTTTACCTTAATTATTTCTTGAACTTTCTTATTCTTTTCTTCATCGTTGTTGACAAGCTAAAAGTGGATAATACATTATGTGGGTCATTTTAAAAGTGTAATTGTAATAAGGGGATACAGGCGTCAATTTACTCCCTCACTTGACGCTCAGCGTGCTGATAAAATAGACGCTAACCTCATTCGTCGTCGGTAAGGCCAAATGCCGCATGGACTTATTCTTCCTCTCTTTCGTATGTTTTGGAGTAGACGTATAGGTCTTAACAGAATCGCGACCAGGAAATTTCACAGTAGCAGTGGTTACAGGTGTTGATGGTTGAGAATTGACCCCATATAGACTATGTGGATTGTTACTTTTGGTCTCAAAAGTTTTCATAAAAGTGTCATGAGAGCATAGAGAGTTATTTATACGAGCTTTAACCGAATCGTCACGTTCAATCTAATAGTGAAAGAGAATTCATAAACATCTTTTTCGAAAGAAATGATTATAAAAAACTAGAACATTTTCCTAATATAGCTCAAATCATTTCCTAGCTTACTACAGTTACATGCTACCATTCTAGAAATACTATCCAGTTTTTAGATGAGGATAAAATTAATCAGCAATATAAACATCGTTGTAATAAAGATCTTACTTAATGATCTTTTTGCTTTTTTTATCTCTCACAATGGATCATTAGTTTGTAATTTCAATTGAGGAAACAAACTTTTTACATAAACTATTTAATGAGCAGTAGAATGAAAACAAAGTAGATAGCAGTGTCTTTTAAGAAATTGCTTCAAGGTTAATCTACTCTTAGCTTTCGTATAACAACAAAATTTTTATAAAAGTTTTCTCAACACGATAAACTGTACTCTTATTACCTTAACAGGTGCGCCAAAGAGGGATTTTTTAGTTGCAGGTGTTTCTATAAGATTTGTGCGTTGTGATTTGTCTCTTTGTTTCTTCGATTCCATACGTTCCTTTTCGGACAAGCTGAAATAGTATACATGTATTTATATGTTACATATGCAAACTAAAAACCAAACAATAATGAGTTTTTTTTTTCAAGATAGCTTTTAATGGAAGACAGAGAGATGACAAAGAGAGAGAGAGAGATAGATAGATAAATAGAGAGAGAGTGAAGGATAAAAAAAATTTGATACAACAAAAATGAAACAATTTACTTTTTTGTAATAATTCTAAAAGAAAAAAACAAGAAAAAAAAGTTATTTTAGTAATCTTAATCAGTTGACGATATATATCAAATAAAGAATTTTTTTTTGTTTTATCCTATAGAATTGTGTTTTAAATGCGATCTTTTCCACCGAAACTATAAGCCTAAAATATTTACACAGATGTACTACAGGAAAGAAAGAACAATGACACGTTTAAAAATATACGATCAATAAAATATGACAGTTATATAGGAGTTTCGGTTTATATGTATAACAGAAACGGGACAATTCTAATTTCATAATATTTCGTTTTATTATTTATAGGCCTTTTTAGAAATCTATTTGGCATCGATTCAATAAATATGACCTTAAAAAAATGTTTAACTGTTCATAACAAGCGTAGGACAGACATTAACACTTCTTTAAAAAACTATCTGATTACTTATAAATTGTAGGGGAATGCTGCTTTCTAATAATAAATTTGGATTATTTTTATTTTACGATCGATACTTTTTTAATCCATTTTAACCGACCTGTTTAGCTGCTCTAACATATGATACATATTTTCGTATGAATTTTTGAGTTTCACTGGAAGTGATGGTATCGAAAATTGAATCCGTTAATTATATCTTAATTATGTCAGCTGTTTCAATTGAAGTTTAGCGAATCGAAATTTTTCTTCTTCTAACACATTACATAAAACTGATCCCTACGAATAAACAAGTACGATTGATAAAAGAGACTTACCTTTTTCCATTACTAGCCATTTTCTTCAAAGAGCAGAAAATCAGGAAGGTTTAGACAAGCCACTACATAGTACACGGCTTAAAAAAGGGATGCTTTTAAAAAGGCGATTCCTTCAATTTATAAGCTAAATTTTCCTGGTTATTACAGTCCAATATTTATTAAATAGTTAGAATAGATTTTAAAATTTCGATAAGTTTCCGAAGTCTATGATCAAGCAGCTTTTTTCTTTCGCATTTGTTCTGCTTGTCAATGAAGCTATCACTCTTTCGTATTTTTCCTGGATAAACATATAAATAAAATTCCTATTATAAATTAGATAATATTCAATAATTTTTTGCTACAAACACATTTTACGTCTTAAAAATATTAGACGTTAGTACGAAAATAATGGGATGGACTCGGACTTTCTGAAGCGGTTAAGACGTCATAGTCTCGTTTTGGCACAGGAACTGGAACCAGTCAATCGCGTGTTTATATTACATTTTCGCGCTTTAAAATTCAAACGGGCAAAAAACAACTATTTCCCTTAGATCCGTGTTTATTTAAGTCAAAAATGAAGACATAAGCAAGAATTTTAAAATACATTTTTCGCTTTTTTCACAAATTTGAAACGACAGATTCAGCTGCAAGAAAACAAAAGGAATAGCAAAATAATTTTTAACACAGCACAAGTTTCACAACCATTTTTTCGAGATTTGGCGAATAACAGACAGTAGATAATAATTATATCATTAAAAAAAATATGTTCTCTCATTTTTTTGCTTTAATCAGAACACCTGACGTTGGGAAGGGATGGAAAGAACACATTATGTGTCATGAGTAAGGTTGTTCATCTTATCAAAAATAACAGAGAAAAATGTTTCAGAGAGCATTATGAAATTTTTCTTTTTTTGCTTTGTTACATTTTTGTATCTTGTTCCTGCTCTATACACTTAAATTCGCTTGTTCCTTTAAATGCAATAGCTTCTTCACCCGCTTGTTGCCTTTCCAGTTTCAAATGTTCCTTTTGTTCCTAAAAAGTTACAATGTAAAATTAAATAAAAAAAACTCTCTATAAAAAGTAATCTTTTTTTGTCTGTTTTTTTTCTATCAATGCAATATTTTTGTTTAACACGTATATTCTTACCCGTTTATTTTTCCAGATTATTAATCCCCAAACACACCAGTAAACTAAAAATCCAAAACCTTTGACAACTCCTCCCAAACCAATATAATTTTTTCGAAAATGCAAATTATCGTAAAAAAGGCACTTTCCCCATGAACCACAGGCTCCCCTCCACTTTAAACAAGACCTGTCAATTAGGCCGGCAAATGCTAGCGGAGAAGGTACATTTCCTAACAAACGCAAAAATATCAATTGAACGCCTAATGCGAGTGAACGTTCAGCATCTTTAACACTTCTGTTGGATAGAATAGAAAACATTTTTAGTAAAAGAGTAAATATAACTCGGTTTGAAGGCAAAGAAATTCTACCTTAGAGAGATCATCAGCAATGGCATTTGAGTGATACCGACCAGTAAAGTCAAACCAAACAGCATGATCACATATACAGGAAAACTGCTGCATTGTCTTTTACAGGGACTATCCTGGACCAATGCTGTTAAATTACTTAATTGATGTCCTTTATGATTAAGATCCTTTATAACACATTCACAATCGGTGTAGTTGAATTTACATCCAGCATGACACGGTGAAAAATACGTTAAACCATTTGCTCCACAGACAAAATTAAGATGATTATCGGAGCACCTACAATGATCATTGCAAGAAGCAGTCAAGTTTGGTAAATTTTGCGTGAAATCAGACGAGTTGCTTTGAAAATATCGAGATGTTATGCCAGCTAAATTCGGATTATCGCAGCCTAACGTAAAAAGAACAAGAAAGCCCATTAAGATAACGATATTGACAGCTAGAGTGAGTTGGATGGCGCCTTTTGCTTGCAATTGAAACCTCCGGAGAATGTACCCTCCTATTAGAATACCAAACATACACCCGGGAACAGGTATTAACCCAGTTAAGAGATTTGCTTGCGATTGACTCAAAAGAAATTGGTTTTCCATGTATTTAGGTGTGAATTGAATAAATCCTATAACGACAAAAATTTCCGTTGTTATTCCTATAGTTGTCACCATGAAAAGAGCATTTTTCACAATAGATAAAACAGCTCTCGGAAGCTGTCTTAAGCTAGTTCCGTACGATGCTCCATCATTATCTTCATCTTTTCCTCCAGTGCTCTCGTTAAGAGGCTCTTCAAGTTCTCCTTTACCTTTCTCTTCACTTTCTGTATCTATCTCTCGCCGGCTTAGCATTTTTGGGAAACTATACATAGGTATAGTTAGGCAAATAAGGAGACCTCCTAAAATCAAATAACCTCCCCACCAAGCTCCAACCCACTGGGAGTCCGTTGAATGCATATTCAACTGTTTAGTGTCAGCTGATAGAAAGTCAACATGGAATGTTAACACTAAAGAGCCAACTGCAAAGCCGATTACTGGACCGACACTTCCAAATGCGTACAGGAAACTTATGAAACTAGGAGCCCTATCTTTTGACACATGATTGTCTATGTATAATGGACCAAGTGTAAGAATAGGAGTTGATCCAATACCCATCATCATTTGGGCACAACAAAGAACTGCGATGGCAAATATGCTACTATCGAATTTATCGCACCTCCCTTTGTCGATTACGTCACTTAGAACCTGGTAAGAGAAAATAATTTTTTAGATATTGTACAATGTTATATTAATGTTTATGAAATTTGTTAAACAGATGAGAGATGTGAGAGAAAACTCAAAAAAGCATATGTTTTAATGCACCAGTTCAACACCGAAAAAATTAAACATACTGTTAAGTTGTTGTTAGTGTATATATATATATATATATATATATATAAATTGGTTGATAGTAGATATTTATAATCTTATATATGTTATGTTTGTTATTTTATATTTTACCTCTGATTCTCCCTGTTTACAATACATAAAGTTTTATATATAAATGTTCTGTATTCATACAATTTATTTAATAATTTATTATTAATAAGTATAAAACAAACCTTTTTAATCGGATTACAAAAATTCTCTTCTGTAACGTTGTCCAAACTGTATCTTAAGGAATAAGGTTTAACAAACAAATGTGGAGTTACCATAACAAATGAACCACAAGCCATTATAAGTACTCCAGATGCGATCCAGAATGGTATATGACGCTTTGCACCTAAGAAACTAACTATACTCAAGAATCCTACTGCTGCAGTTTCGTAAGCGGCCGTTAATAGAGATGCCTTAGAAGATGAGACATCAAAACGCGTCTCAATTGTTGTCAAAACGGCCGAATTGTAGCCGGCTGTGAGAGCCGATGAGAACATTGCCAACATACTTGTACAAGCTATAAAAATTTTTATAGATGCACACTTTTGCAAACACTGGGGTCTATATTTGCCCCATCCCATTTCTGCCTTAGCGACAGCCATGGTTTCGTCTATTTTTCTGGAGTCATTTCCATCCGTTTCCGGTTTTATAGCATCGTTTTCGACGCTTTCCATCCTATATATTTTTTGATTTTCTTTTTAAAACTCACGCTTGTTTTTGCATCTTGTCGTTGCACTGAAACTTTTTTTAGAGAAAATAAACGCAAACAGAAAAATTTAGGAGGATATTGGATCGATATAGACAAAAAGATTTCTAACCGTAAATCAACGCTAGGCCTACTTAAAAAAAACTCGAATCGATTCCCTATAAAAGAACGCCAACTGCATTTGACAGAAATCCATAACCTCAAAATTTACGTAATTCGTATTCCCTTTTTTTTTTACTTGATTTATTTAGACGTACAAAAAAAATTTTTTTGCAAAAAATCTTTCCCTTTTAAAAGTAATTAATTTATTTGATTTTCTTGGAATCATCAACCTTAAATGTTAATATGCCATTGGGAAAATATACAAGAAAAATTACGCCGTGAAATAGGATATTGGACCAAACGACTATATATTCAGCAGCCGCGAAATATGTGTAAACTGAAAAATAAAGGAAGAAAATTGTTTTAAATCATTTGCTTTTGGGGGAAAAAATTAATTCTTTAAAAAATTCCTACTTCCTGGTTCGCAATAGGCATTATGCCTAAAGAAAAAGTAGAGAGAAACCAAAAAGGACGTTAAGTTGAATAAGAATAAACCGGTTATTTGTAGGAAATTTTTCTTTTCCTGAAAGAAATAAGTCGTCTAGAAATTTCTTTTTTTTTCTTTATATCATGAGTCCGAGAACACCAAGACGCTAAGCGTCAAGCGCATCATCAATTTTTTACGCCAAAGACAGAAAAAGGGGGTATCAAACGTCTTTAGCTTTGTATACACTCGATCGCTTCCGATTAATTCGGTCGAATGCCATTTCGAAAAAGTGAAAACAAATAGAGTTGCATATAAAGACTTAGAAATTATTAAAATGGCATTAAAAAAGGCTTAGATTTCGTAAACGCATATTCTTCAAAAACTACTAAAGAACTCACTTTCTCTTTCCAACCCTCTGAATTGGAGGAAGTCACGTAGCACAAGACGCATGCAAATAACATATAGAACAAGGAACACACCATGAATCCAATAAAACTAAACTCGTGAACCCCTGCGTAAGATAACAAAGGTTTTTCTAGTAATGTTAAAAATAAATAACATTTTATCACCAGCATTCTCCGTGGACGAGATCATCGACAAAGTCATGAGAAAGATATTCTCTAGGGCATGCAAAATCGGCGACAACGTCGCCAAAATTCTATATGGAGCGCTTTCGGAAAATAGGTTTTTTGAGCTGCAGGAAATCGACATTTTGCCTTTAATTGGTAGTTTTAATTAAAGAGAATTCTAAACGAACCGATAGAATTCATAGTACATCACGCATATACTCAGTCTTTGCATGGAATGAAAACCTATACAAATCCTCCAAATATATTTTTGCGGAGCGAATCCACCAATTGCCGAACTAATACTTGGAAGGTAATTTGGTACCTGTGCATATCGTAATAGGTAATTTTATTTTTTCAGCTTAACAAACCAGATCCTTACTCGGCAATGTGTTGCTGTAGACGCTTCAAAATCTTTCAATAGGCTTAAACCTATACAAATGATGCTCCCAAGTAATGGTAGAGAACAATTAATGAGAGCTATCGCTTTTGCGCTTTGATGAAAGTAGATCGCCATGCTTAATTTAATTTCTTTTCGGATAAATGGTTGATTGATAAACAAAGAAAAAATATAATAAAAATAGGAACAAAATTAAAAAAATCTGAATAAGACCATTGCTATTGAAATAGAATTGGCAACAGGTGATTATTTATTCCACTTTTGTACAGAGAATGATACTAATCATTTCCTAAAACGACAGTTTTGTCGACGATAACACGGGAAGCATCGACCAATTACTTCAAACTTTGTCTTGACATTTCTAATAATTACTTTGGTAAAATGTCACAATCGAATCATTTGCATATATTTTTTACATTTTAGAAGATGTCAAAAGCAGGTGCGTTCTATCAATTAAAACGATTTTAATTGATTTACCATATTATTTTGTAATAGTTGTAGTACAAAAGATAGACCTAGCGCTTTTGATATGGGATAATTTAATTTAGGATAGCAATGAACAGACTTACTTTACTTTCTTCGTTTGAGGCAGAAGTGTCTTTCCTTTCTAACAACCTATTTAGATGAAAAAAAAGAAATAAATAAAAATAAAGTTCGCTTAAATAAGACTCAGACTATCTTTGACAAGTTAGTCAACAGGGAAATCGATCTAACGAGATTGTGCGGCTATCGAAAAATTTTGGGCATCATCAATCATATTTTATAGAAAACATTCTTTCCATTATTCCTTTTATGTGCCAGATGCTGGCGATTCTTGCGTTAGCCAATAATATCTAACACTTTTAATATCACGGTAACGAATTATTTACGTGCTATATAATACAAAATAGAACGTAAAAACAATGAAACGTAACACCAAATTAATAATGGGTCTGCGTTTGTTACTTAGGTTTGTCAAGTGTCGCATTTGCAGGCTAGGACAATGCTTTTCGCTCTTTGAATTATATTTCGTTTGTGCATTTGTTCTTAACCAATTTCAATTTTGTCTTCTTTTCAGTCTGTTATTGTTTCGATGAAGAAAGAAATAAAGAGAGTGGTTGAGAAATATTGTAGGAGGGAGGGAGGGGGGGGAGAAGTTTATTTTGAGTACATGTCAGTATAATGTTGTTATAAAGAACTGGTCTTAGGCGTAAACCAGAATTTTATTTATTAATTTTATTGCTTTGAGAAAACTATTCCTTTTTTTCTTCGCTCTAGTCAGCTTTCAAGCCCCTCTTAGTTTTTACAGCTTCATCCTGGCTTTTTATTAGATACTATTTGTTTAGACAGTCGTTAAAGACATAGTTTATGGCAATATTATTCCGAATGCTCTGAATTATTCAGTCAACGTAATGGCTTACTTATAAACAGGTGAAATAACATATTTCTTCTCTACCGATATCTATTTGTCGCTTTTAAAGTTGGATATTTACAGTTCAGGACTCCCAGCCAAATGACAAAAAATTATACAAAGTTATTTAATCTTCCCGTTGGCATATTTACACACTCTTAGATAAGAAATTGGCATTTCCATTAGAATGTTAAGCACAAATTGACATCAAAATCTCTACAGTCTTTCAATTTGATTCTCAATGAAACTCGTGAAGCAAACCGAAATAAACCATCAATTACCATAGAAACACTAAATTTACATAAATCCATTTCGATGGATTACCAACCTAATCCAACCCTACGTATTAGTTGCACATTCGTACAAGAACATAAAAGTTTTACTCGTCTCCGCGAAAGTAAGGCATTGGGGTTAACGCTCTATAAATCAGTGTTTAATATAAACACATGATCTGGCGGTAGAAAATGTGTACATCCCAGGAGCGTGGCTCGCTGAATCATAAAAAATAAACAGGAATCGCCAAAACGTCGACGAAAACTAAAATACCGCTATTTAACCATTCTATAGAATGGCTAAAAAGGCAAAAGCGTAAGTGATAGGAAAAAAACAGTTCTTACAAACCTCTCTTTGACTTTTCTACGAAAACTACAAAATGAATAGACCCGCACTGAATATAGAGCGTACATTATATTTTTTTTATATTAAATATATTTTTTAAAATACCACCTTAAAATCATAGATATTTTTAAATTTAATATAAACAATAAATAATATTTTTTTTAGCACTCTGCATATTATAATTAAATACATGAAGTAAATACATGATCCATTACTTCCTAGCGGCTGAATTAGAGTCTTAAATGCTTAAAATCTCTGAAAGAATACACTTATTTCAATGTTCCTTTGCAAAATTAATTAGGAATATGAAGAATACATTTTTTTTTAGTTTTTCATGAGTTTCTATAAAACTATCAAACTTTTTTAATGTTTCATGAAACATTTAATCTATAAAGTTCTTTTACCGAAACTGAAGACAACTCAGGTAGACTTAGACAACAATAACAAGACAACTTTTAAAACTCTTTAAAAGCAGAGTATAATTTATATTTTTCTATCAGCCGTATCGTGTTAAAATTCACCTATATAGACGCAGTTAAATTGACTATTAGAAGATACTTAACTTAAAATAGAGATTTAATGCTATTAGGATTTTTAAAAAGGATTTATGCAGTTTAGTAATATTAGTTTTTGCTTATAATTATAGGCTTAACTATTGATAATAAAAGAAAGTTTTCACTCTCGTTTTATGCAATTTATAAAAGTAAACTTTTCCTATTTTTTTTATTAAAAAAAACGCAAAAAATATTGAAAACAGCTCAGTTGGATGACTCAAAGTCTGATTGTTGGTGAATTTTTTTATAAGTATTAACTTCATTAGCAGACTATACGTCATATACATTTTTTCTTTGAGACTAAGAAAGAGTTTTTAACATAAGTCTATGTAAAGCTTTCTTTGTCAGGAGATGGATAATGATGATAGAATACAGCGTATAAGAGAAGCGCCTATATTGATTACGATATCCATCGATAAACGCCAAAAAAAATTTGCGAAAGATAGTGGAGAAGCTTCGAACAGGACTTTTTCGCAGTCAAGAAGGAATTCTTTTAAAAATGCTCTTCCTACTTATCCTAAACCTGTGGATGCAACTGCTTCATTCGAAAGAACACTGTATAGAAAAGTATCTTTGGTAACGGAAGTAGAATATAATCTGTCCAATCACAACGGTAATGCACAATTAAAACGGGATATTGGAGAGAACTTCCCTTGTTCCTTTTTTGGCTTTCTCGATCTACAATTTTTGAATAGATTCCGTAGTCCTATAGCAGTTCTGACATGCTTGTGCATAGCCAGTGGATTACAAGGATTCATAGTTAATGGATTAATTCCGGTTGTTTTAAGCAGTCTAGAGGTTAGGTTCGGACTGTCGAGTACTGATAGCGGAATTATACCTGCAACGTATGATACGGCTGTTGTCGTTTTTCTTATACCTATATCGTATTTTGGAGGAGTTGGTCACAAACCACGTTGGTTAGGTCTGGGAGTTTTAATAATGGGCCTTGGGGCTTTTTTATTTAGCTTTCCACATTTTATAACATCGGAATACGTCGATACGGATAATAGTGGAACATCTCCTTTCTCTTGCAATTTAAATAGCACGAATCTAAACGATGATTGTTCAAAGCCCTTCACTTCACTTAATAATTTTAAATATTTATTCTATTTTGCTAATTTTCTTCACGGCGTCGGTGCAGCTCCTCTGTTTACACTTGGCGTCACTTATCTAGATGAAAATTTGACGGTTGAGAAAAGCTCTATGTATATGGGTATTTTTTATTCCACTTCTCTCTTAGGCCCCGCTATTGGGTATCTATTGGGTGGCCATTTCCTGTCATATCACACAGATATCAATAGAGGCATTAATATCTCGAATGACATAAATGATCCTAGGTATGTGTGTGTCTATATATATATATATATATATATGTACTGTAGAGATAAAATTCCAAGCTATTAATTACAATTTACACAGTAAACCATTAATAAACTTGCAATGCATTATATTTTATTTAGATGGGTCGGAGCCTGGTGGATTGGTTTTATCATTGCAGGAATAATATGCATAATCATTTCCTTGCCAATAATTTGTTTCCCAAAAGTCCTTCCTGGTAAATTAATAATTTTATTGAATTAGTAAGATTTCTAATATATATTTACATATATATGTATATACTTTTTAAAATTAGGAGCGGTAAAAATTCAACAAAAGAGATTAGATGAAACAACTGCAGGAGCTAAGTGTTCAGTTGTTGTTTGTTCGTCGGATTCAACAAGAGATTTTTTAAAAAATGTTCCAAAATTAATAAAGGATTTATTATGTAATGGACCATTCGTTTTGCTATGCCTTGCTGGAGCTGCAGATGGTTTCGTTCTTAGTGGTTGCGGAGCATTCCTACCAAAGTTTATGGAAAACCAATTTGCTCTTACGGCAAGTTGGTCTGCAATGTTGGCGGGATTCATTTTTGTTCCTTGTGGAGGAGGAGGAACTTTTACAGGTGGTTTCATCGTCAGATTTTTTGAGTTGAAATGTAAATCTATCTTGAAAATATGCCTAATCTTCTCCGGGTTAGCAACATTAACTTATTTTGGAATATTGGTTGATTGCGACCAAGAACATGTTGCTGGTATCAATTATCCATATGCTAATCACACGTCCATGAAACAGCTAACAGTCGATTGCAACCGCAATTGTTTCTGTTCTGACAGTCATTTAGATATGGTTTGCGACCCACTAGAACAACTAAACTTTGTCTCCCCTTGTTACGCTGGTTGTTCTAAGGTCAAGGACGAGAACACTTGGATAAATTGCTCATGTGTACCATCTGGTGCAGTGAAGAAAGGAAGATGCCAAAATACTTGCTATTTCCTTAAAATTTTCCTACCAATTATAGCGTGCCTACTCTTTCTTACTTTTATAACATCGATACCAGCCTTATCGGGGACTCTGAGATGCGTTGTAGAAGAAACAAAAAGTTTTGCTTTGGGCATTCAATGGATGATAGTTCGTTGTCTCGGTACAATACCAGCACCAATAATTCTTGGTAACGTTTTTGATTCGAAATGTCAATACTGGAAAAAGGATTGCGGACTTAAGAAAAATTGCTTTATCTATCAAAATTGGGGCATGGCTCGAGATTTGACTATTATTACCCTCTCGACAAAATTTCTAACAACATTGTTCTTTTTTGGAGCTTTCTTGCTCTATCGTACTGACCAGAGCAAAAGGGGAATAGATGATCCGCCCAGCGTCAACGATGAGGATAAAAGCGATAGTGTTATGCGAAGGATTACTCCAGTGGAATCACTAGACGAATCTAAACCCATGCTTAGAGAAACCGCCTTGTAATATGAATAACATTCTTTTCTTTTTTTTACAGTAGCATTTTGTTCTTAACATTAAGTTCTAATCAGTTCACTTGAAAAAAGTTATATATGGAATTTTTTTTAGATTTATATTTAAAGAAATATTTTTATTTTATACACATTTAAAAAAATTACTTTAAAGCCTATATGAATCGTTCGGAGGTGCTGATCTAGAATTTTCCAATTTCTTTACTTTTTCACTTATCATGTCTCGGGCTTCTTCTGATTTGGGTGTTCTAAATGGTAGGGTTGATAGGAACACTGCTGAAAATATAGTTAGTAAACTAACGACTTTATTTTGCCCAGCCCATAGGGAAACAGTTCGAAATATTTGCATGACTTGAATGTTCTTTTATTCTTTATCAGCTTTTGGAGGGTCAATCAAAACTCCGGCTAATTTTATATGTTTCCTTTCGTGTTCTGGTACAAAGTCGTCGTTAAACTGAAGACGATACCAAACGTAATGAATAATGCCAATTGATGGAATAGTAGCAAGTAAAACTTGGTATTTTCTTAAAAAATTCAACATTTGCCTAAAGCTACCATGAAGTTGATGTCAAGGTTATAGCCTGGTTCCGAACCCCGTACTTGAGCGTGGAACATCGTTCCGTCTTCAAAGGTGAATTACATAAAAGACATTCCTCTTTTCTCAAAGGTTTAATCCGTACTAATGATGTGATATTTAATTAATTATCCGAGAGAGTGCATATACTCGTATTGCACTTACAGCAGGTTCAAAAAGAAATTAACAGTAGATCTTGTTTGTTCTGTTGATTTGTAGAAATTTAAACTTTAATCCACATTTATTGAATGTAAATGTTGCACAAAATGAGTCAAATTCGTTAAAACTCCTTAAAAAAGTATGATATTCTGTCAGTAAAAGCTTTTTGAAGTTGAAAATTCCAGCAGGATTTGCAGAATATTTTTGTATACAGAAAAATTATTTCCAGAGTAAATAAAAAGTATATACATATATCTATATTGACCTTTGTTTGTCCAATATACAGTCATCCATTTAGTCAAAGAAATCTGACGATGGAAAGAAACAATGTATATTCTTAAAGTTTAGCTACCAATTGCACTTAGACACATCAAAAAGGATAAAGCATCTGAAGATATGAAAGAGAAAAGATGCAAAAGGAAAAAGTATCCTTTTCAATTATATTTTTATGAAAACGAAACGTAAAGGACTTGAAGAAATCTTGTAAGTGTTTCGTTAATGCTAAAAGCTACAACATAAATTATCAATAAATAAACTAGCTTTGTATTTTATAGAACTATTTTAATAATTTTGCAGTTGATCTAATGCTGTAGTTTAATTGCAATAATTTGGAAGTTTCACGAAACAGGAAGAACTGTATTACTGCGATTACTTTTTATTTGAGATGAGAATTTTTTTCTCGAAATATCGCTTCTTTCATCCTCAGTTGGGAAAGGAGCTGTAACAGGTGGAAGTACATCGGATATTGTATTCTGTCTGTTTTTCAACTTTTGCACTCGATCTCTCGCTTCACCTAGACGGCTGTTGGCCTCTTGTAGCATTTTGGCATCGATATTAGCCCTGGAAAGTGCTCGGTCATTCTGTAATAATAATTGCCTGTGTTCCAAGTATCTTTGTACAATGGCAGCCTGCTCAGCAGTCTGCTGCCTGTATGCTGATACCATTTCAGATTTGCTGTGAAGTTGATCTTCCTTAACAGTTGAGCGATCATGCTTCATTAAAGCGTTTGACACAGATGTATTCTGGACGGCAAAATCACTCACAAACGTCCTTTCTCGCTGTCTAAATCTAGAGATTGCAGTTGACTTAGAACGATGGGCTGTTGCACGCATTAAGGCAGTTCTATGAAGTTCCTGCCTCTTTTGCAATGATTCTTGTAGGCTTTTTAGCTCTCTCTCACGCCATATAAGGGCATTCGTCCTTTTTTGCTCTTGAGCTGCCTTTACCCTTCGTCTAGCAGCTTCCCTCTCTTCTTTCATACTCATAACGACCTCAAGTTGATGAGCTAGCTTCTCGGCTTTCTGTCGATCGGAATAGGCCGTGTGAACGGCTCTAAGGCAAGAAAAACTTGAATCTTCAAACAGCTTCTTTACCATTTGAGAACTCTCCCCACTTTTCTGCTTTTTCTTGGAAACAGGTTTAATAAATAACTTCTTATCTATAGCCTCATGAGCTTCACTCATGCCGTGGCGAACGTCTAAACCCGCATTTCTTTTATCAATCAATAATTGGGCTGTTGGGTTAAGTTTATTTCTGACAGGTTTAAAACCCCTTAATCGAAAATTGGTGTTCTCCGGGGCATCGTCCTCGTCTTCGGCTTCCGGTGAATTTGGCGGGTTGACAACCGGACCAAAGAAGTGCCTAACACTGGGCCTTTGAACTCTTTTCTTCTCCTCAGCAGTGGGTGGAGGAGGTTTCACGGAACGTTTTGACCTTCCCCTGGAAGGTAATTTAACGGTTGTCTCTTCTCCCAAATATGCATCTACTTCGTCATTTTTCTTGGAGAATTTTAACAATAGACCACCATCTTCCAATTGAGATTTTGATACGCATATACCCTTGAAAGCTATGGAACTCTTGACCGATACAGCACTACCGACAGATCTATTTCGAGACTCTGCCCGATCTGTAACGATCGAATTGGCAGAGCGTAAACGCTTTCCAGATTGCTGGCGAGATGTTTCAACAGTACCAGATCCTGGCCGTCTATTTGCTAAATACATATCATAATCCATTCTTGTAGTGTCCATCTGAGATCCCATTACTTTTACATTTTTAAATAACCTACAACAAATGTAGATATCAGAATATGATACATAAATACACAGAGTATAGCTTAGAGTACATAGTTTGACATAACAAACCTGTTAGGTTTCATATGCAGGTGCTTTCTCGTCAAGTACCCTCTAAAAATTCGTTGCAAGAGAAGGACTGGTGAATAGTGAGCCAAGCACTTATTAGTTTTATTAATAATCTCACAAAATATCTTCATTTCATCTTCATAGCTGGCGTTCTATCAGAATAATATATCATAAATAAAATTACGCAGTATATATACATTTATTACAAATATTTGGATCATTTACCTGACTTGCATTCTCATATAGATTTATCCTAAAGTTATTAGAAAACATGGCGAATCGACCACCGAATTTGGCATCTTCTATAATTTCTTCGTCGCTAATTACGTGATGATCTAGCGCTTTCAAAGACCATAAACTATTTACAACATGATGTCGATAATTACGTTTTAAACTCAATGGAGTATCATAGAGTGTTAGGATAGTAATAGAATCCAGAGCCCCCAATGATTTTATATGTTCTATCGAGCCTATCGGATTGTCGTGCAGATGTAATATTCTTAGATCTGTGAAATTTTCCCAGAAATGAAATCCAGGAATATTTTTAATCTAATTAAGCAAAAACAACTGTAATTCAATATTATTCTAACAGCGTTTTGAATGATATACTTACTAAATTAGAGCTAACGTCTAATTTAATTAATTTTGTACAACTTTGTAAGCCTTTTATATCCTCAATGTAGTTATTTGCCAAAGAACATATACGTAAATTAGTAAGTATACCTAAATCTCCTACACCTCTTAACCTAACACCAATCAACTTTACCAAACGAATGTTTGATAATTCATTATTTCTCTTCTGTCTAAATATTTCAAATCTTTTCCATGGTTGCTTTTCAAGAACTTCTTTATCAACTGGTTCAAACTGTTCTTCTTCTGGGAAGAATTGAGATGATATAAATTCTTTTGCTGGAATAAGAAAGTATCCATTCGCTTCGGCCTCTCTGATTATTTCTTCCTATGATTTTAGTTTCAAAATGTTTGTTATTGCGAAATAATTCATTTAATTTTACTTTTGAACCTGTCTAAATTCATCTGCAGTTTTAACTGGAGCCAAATGTTCCTCTTTTGCAAATTGCTGTTGCCCTCGAACCCTTTGCCAGCTGGGTATGCTTACCATTATCTTTTTATGGGTTACTTAAATTAATCTGTTTACTTGTCAATTAAATTCAATAACGACCGCTCATAATTGGATTGGGTTGCTAGGCAAGCATGAGCGATACTTAAATACGTACTATTTTGTATACTATATTTTGCCGGGTGTTCACAGGAAAAACTGGTTACTTCTCTTTGAAATTAATTTCAATCTTTTGCTACTAACCCCATTGTACGATCGACAAATTTTTATGGTTTATTGTGTGGTATATTTTCACAGACAATTACAAAAAAACAGATTGATATAGTATTGCGCTAACTCTGATGATATATAAAAAAATGTCTTTTTGAACGATATTACCAACATTTCAAGTAATTTCTATTTTCTTAAAGCTTCAAAAAAACTCAATGCGAATAGTTAAAGTGACAACTTAGAATCCTAATTAAAATTCATCTCCTTGAATTCGAAATTTGTTTATTTTTGGTTTTCATCTTTCCTAATCAAAGTGATCAACCGATTTAAAACGTTGAGATAACGTTTTCCGGCCCACCATCTCCAAGGATAGTTTGAATTTTTGAAAGGGATCAAGAAGATTGCTGATAATGTCAGCTAAATTTTGGAAACCTGGAACAGAAAAACCAGGAGCCCACCTTAACGATGAAAGAAAAGGGGATAGCGAATTTCGTTTTGTATCATATAATAAACATAGACATTTATCAATACAACAACAGCGTCAACATTTGCCAATATTTAAAAGAAGAAATGAAATATTATATATGATAGACAGATATAAAGTGGTTGTAATTGTCGGCGAAACTGGAAGCGGAAAATCAACCCAAATACCACAATACTTATTGGAAGCTGGATGGGCTGCTGATTCAAAGAGTATCCTTGTAACTCAACCACGTCGGGTAGCAGCAGTTTCCCTCGCTTCCAGAGTTGCAGACGAAAGAGGAACGATACTTGGCCAAGAAATTGGATATATTATACGGTTTGAAGATTGCTCCGATGACAGAACAAAAGTTAAATTTATGACGGACGGCATGCTAATCAGAACTTTAATGAGAGATCCACTGTTAGAAGGATATTCAGTTATTGTTATGGATGAAGCTCATGAACGTTCTGTCCAAACGGATTTGGCATTAGGCCTCTTGAAGAAAATTATAGCTAAACGTCCTGATTTGAAGGTTATTATATCCTCTGCAACTCTGGATGCGGAAGCTATGAAAAATTTCTATAACACAAACTTAACGGACGATGATAGACTAGATACAGCTGCAATCTTGACAGTTGAAGGACGAATGTGGCCGGTTGATATCTTTTTCTCAACTAATCCAGTTCCAGATTACCTTGAGGCAACCGTTCAAACTGTATGCAAAATTCATGTTGGACAACCAGATGGCGATATTTTAGTATTTTTAACCGGAATGGAGGAAGTTCAACACGTTGTAAGAGAATTAATCGAAAAAGCGCGGGCTATGTTAAAGAAAAGCGATATCAAACTGAAGATGAAAATAGTACCATTATACGCAGGTTTACCAGGGGCTGATCAGTTCAAAGTATTTGAGAGGACGCCCAAAGGTATGAGAAAAGTTGTTATCGCAACAAATATTGCAGAAACCAGCGTTACCATAGACAGAATATGTTATATTATAGACTGTGGCTTTGTTAAACTAAGAGCATATAGTTGTAGAACGGATGCATTAGTAGTTATACCAATTTCTCAGGCATCAGCAAAACAAAGATGCGGTAGAGCTGGGCGTGTTAGATCCGGATGTGCTTACAGATTATATACTCAGGACTCTTACGAGGAGATGAATGAAAACAATGTGCCTGAAATTCAGCGCTGTAGTTTACCATCAGTCATTCTACAACTGAAAGCCTTGGGTGTGTCAAATATCGTAAGATTTCCCTTGGTATCACCCCCTCCGGCCCAAAATCTATTAACTGGTGCAGAATTATTGTACGCATTGGGTGCTATTGACAAGTCCTGTCAATTAACCGAATTAGGAATGAAAATGGCCGAATTACCTGTACCACCTATGTTTTCAGCTATGCTATTAAAAGCTCCAGAGTTTAATTGTAGTCAAGAAATTTTAACTATCGTTGCCATGGCTCAAGTAAGAAATGTCTTCGTCGTACCACCAAAACAGAAGAGAGAGGCAGAGAAGCATAGGAGAGTTTTTGCAGTTGCTGAGGGTGACCTTATATCTCTTTTGAATGTGTATAGGTCGTTTTGCGAGAATGAGCAATCGTCTAGTTGGTGTCAAAAAAATTGGCTTCATTATAAGTGCTTGAAAAGAGCAATTGAAATACGTGATCAGTTGGAAAGGTGCTTGAAAAAGCTTAAAATTAATACTCGATCCTCAACAGATGACGTTGAAGCAGTTACGAGATGTCTCGTAACCGGTTTATTTTCTAATGCTGCAAAACTTTATCCAACAGGCGAATATAGAACAATAAGAGACAATGAAGTTTTGCATATACATCCAACATCTATCATTTATCCTGTGCGACCTCCACCGGCCTATGTAATTTTCGGAGAATTGATTATGACATCTCAAAATTATATGAGAGACGTAACGGCTATTGAAGGAAAATGGTTACACGAATTGGCCGAACATTATTATGATTTTGGCACTGAAAGAGAATTATCAATTAAAAGAAATAGACTGGACGAGGAAAGTTTGACGGATGTATTACAGTTCTGACGGAAGATAATGACATAGTTATATACAGTATAAGAATAATAAATCTTTACGTTTTTATTAAATATTTACTATTTTAAATCATTAGCTTTCCTGATCATTCCCAACTGGTTTGAGGACCGATTTGTTTAACTCTATGGAATCTAACTGTTTATTCGCTTATCTAAGAGATCTACTTGGAAAGTGATACATTACTTTATGAGAGATCATTGTTTAAAAATTTCAAATTAGTTTAATCTAGTCTTATCTAAGAAAACACATTCCAACTTTTTTCAACTTAGCTTCTCTCTAGCGTTTCTTTGGAAACATTTTACTTCTATTCTAAATTGCTGTTAGGCGTATATAAATTATTTACTTTTAAATAGAATTAATTAGCTATTTTAATTAAACTTCTTTTGAAGATTGTAATAGGGAAAGTAATTATTCTAAATTTTCTCTTTTATATATCCATTTTTTAGGGAAATAAGATCCCACAAGGCATATATTTGTCGCATAACTTGTTAAATATTTCTTTATAAGTTTTCTTTTTGTTGAATTATATACAAGTGAATAAAGATTTAAATTGGTAGGTTTTTAAAAGATACGAAACTGCGCATTAATAGCCTTTTCCGCTTCCGCGTTTTTCAGCGAAAAAGACTTAGCAACGAAAACGTTATCGTTGTTAAGATGTCTGATGAGCCTAAGGAACGACCAAAGCGACGTAGAAAACTTCGAAAGTTAGATGGTGAGGCGGATGGAGATGTTCAACCCATAGAAGATAGTGTTGATCATCAAGATCCTTTAACTGTTAAAAAGAAGAGAAAACGCAGAAAGAAGAAGGCAGTTGGAGATCTACCTCAACCAACTGACCAACCGATCGGCATTGAAACAGAATTGCGTGACTTGAACGAAGATATAGTAGAATGTGATCCTAATTGGCAGATTACAAATACAAAAGGTCAAGGAACAATGAAATCTGAGTTGACAGACAAAATATTTATAGAGAAGAAATCAGGATTTCAATCGACTACCAAAGCCAAACTGGAGAAAAGAGAACGAATCGACATAATAAATAATAGAGAAAATGTACAAGCTGAAAATCACCAAAAAAACACAATGGACTTTGCTATATCCACCCAAAAAGTAATAAAAATGTTCTCAACATTCTGTATTGGATTACTCGGAGGTGTTGGTTTTTGGCACATTATGACATCGTTCATTATGTATAGTGACCTTACAAATGACGAATTCTTAAAAGGTTCAACGAGATTAGCATCTCCTGGACAAAGTTTCTATTATCTTATGTTTGCAATATGTACGATATCAGTCTGTGATAGATTTGACTTAGGCCGACCTACATCGGTTTGCATGCTAACCCATAAATCAGGAGTATTCGCAATTATTGTCTACGTGATAGGACTTGTTATATCTTTATCTATGGCTGCAATAGAACAAAAAATGTCAGCCTGGAATGACAAAAAAGACGTTTGGTCAACAGTTAAAGACAGGGATGACGATCTGAGTCTTTGGTTAAAGCTAAATACTGCAAGAGGAACAATGGCAATAATAGGGTGGTTTGTGATTAGTTTACAAACAAGAACTGATAGATTGAGTGATAATTTAATTATTGCTAATGAAGATATAATGAATGACATGTCTATGCCATCATTCGAAAAGAATAATGTAACAAGTCATGGAGTTACTAACAGGGCTTTCAGTAGTATGGCTTAAAACTAGAATTTTAGACTGATTAGCATATTTTTTTAAAGAAAATACAACTTTTTGCTACTATTTATAAATAAATACAGTATTCAATTTATCCTGTAAGGACTGTATCATAAACCAATTTTTACAAATACAGCATACATGTTCAAGATGTACTTCTATTTTTAAGAACGAAGGAGAAATTTGAAACAAAAGACAAGTGTTTTTTTTTATTATATTACAACTAAACACAAAAACTTTTGTAAAATTTCTTGTATTTAAACAAGAGAATTATAAAACAAAGACATGAACAATAGAAAGATAGGGAAAAAAGTTTGTTTAACTGAACAGACTTTTAGCAAAATATGAGGAGCTGTGTTGGCTGTTTCTTTTTATTAGTAAAATCAAAGGTTTGTCCCTGAGCATTTAGATCTAGGTATTCATCAACTTTTAAACTGAATAGCTAAAGTTATTTTCAAACTGACATAAAGCAGCCGACTTAAATATGTAAAAAATGTTTATAAGGAATTTTCTTTATTAACAAAGTTTATCTCAACCGAATAAAAGTTCAACATGCATCTCTAGTTAACATAACTCCCCATTTACTATTTAAATATGTTCAGTTTTTACAATCTGCCAGAACCTTCACACTTTTCTGTTTCTTCCAAAGTTTAATTATATTTAAATCAAATCCGCAACTGAAAATAATTATGAATATTAAAAAGATATGAGTTTGGAGAAAAGAAATCTTACCATTCATAGGCATTTCATCGATCTGTGTTGAATAATATTGTTCAATATCACGAAGAATACGGATATCGTCATTTTTCACGAAATTAATCGCCACACCCTTACGTCCGAAACGACCAGAACGACCGATTCTGTACAGAAATTATTATTTTAGCTATTTTTTTCAAATAAAGAATAATTTTTACACACCTGTGAATGTACAATTCTCTGTTGTTGGGCAAGTCGTAGTTGATGACAAGGGAGACCTGTTGAACATCTATTCCTCTAGCCCAAACATCAGTTGTAATTAAAACTCTTGTCGCTCCACCTCTAAATTCTTTCATGATTGCATCTCTTTCTGGTTGCTTCATATCACCGTGCATCTTAGAGACTGTAAAGTTGGCATCAAGCATTTTTTCTGTGAGCCAGTCAACCTTTCTCTTAGTATTACAAAAAATTACAGCTTGAGTAATTGTGAGGGTATCGTACAAGTCGCATAATGTGTCGAATTTCCATTCTTCTCTTTCAACAGCAACAAAAAATTGTTTAATTCCTTCCAACGTAAGTTCATCACTATTTATGGAAAATTATACTCTTAATGGATAATCAATTTCAGATTAATAAATGCCTACCGTTTAACCAATATACGAATTGGATCTGTCATAAATTTACTGGTCATTTCCAAAATTTCATGGGGTAATGTGGCAGAGATAAGAATAACTTGTAGTCCAGGAGGTAAGTAACGATAGACATCATAAATTTGCTCTTTGAATCCTTTATTTAACATTTCATCAGCTTCGTCAAGAACAAGCATTTTTATAGAACGGGTTCTCAAATTACGTCTTTGAATCATATCTAATAATTTTAAAGTTTGAATATAGTAGAGATCAGAATTATTCAAGTTACAAAAATACGAACCAAATACTCGACCAGGAGTTCCTGAAACAATATGTTGGCCATAATCCAATTTACGAATATCTTCTCCGATATTTGTACCGCCAATACAAGCATGGCATTGAACATTCATATAATCGCCCAAGGCAAGGATAACCTTTTGAATTTGAACTGCCAATTCTCTTGTAGGTGACAGAACAAGAGCTTGAGTTTCTCTTACTTGTGTATCAACTGTTTGCAAAATTGAGATGGAAAAAGTCGCCGTTTTACCAGTTCCAGATTGAGCTCTAAAAGAATTCCACTTTAGATATTTGAATTGTAATCAGGTTTCAAAACTTACTGGGCAATGACATCCCTTCCTTTAACAATTGGTTCAATAGCTCTTTGTTGAATAGCGGATGGTTTCGAGAAGCCTGAACAAAAATATTTTGTATTTTGAGCAAAATACGCATCGATAACGTTTCGTGCCGGCGTGAAAAAAAAGAAAATATACTACCATAAGCGTAAATTCCTCGTAACAGCTCCTGTCTTAATCCTAGTTCATCAAAAGTTGGTACAGGATTAACTTCTTCGCTAGTTTCAAATTCTAAATGCTTTAAATCGTCAGTCAATCCTCGAGATCCTGAAGAAGACGCCATTTTACGCAGATCTATCCCGGAAGTTGATAGATTCCAACTTCCGGTTAGGTTGCGGCTGTTAACAAACCCAGTCGGCCAACTAAAAGTTATTAAAATATATCATTAGAAAAATTTTTATAATTATTTATAGCAGGTTAAATAAGTTTTTTAAGTTAGTTTACTATAACTTAATTCGATGGCATTTTTTTCGGTAAAAAATTGGCCTATACATTTCATATATTTATAATTTAAGCAAGAAAATTTATTTAGGTGGTATTTGAGTAATTATGAACTTATACTTGGAAATAAAATAATTCAAAAGAGAATCTTCACATAAAAAAAGTATAACCGGTAGCTTACCGGTAAATTTGCACATTTCACCAAATCGAGAATTATTTTTCTGCAAGTTCATCTGATACAAAAGTATAGTTAAAAAACATTCTTTCTTTTTGGAACGTAAATTGTACAATTATAAGTTGTACAATAGTTTTTTTTATGAGAGGTAAATATGCGCATGCGCAGTATCATTTACAGGAAGTATAGTAAAGCGTGCCTACAGTCAAACCGCCAGTCGAACATTTTCTAAAATGCTTGTTTTGTTCGAAACACCGGCGGGTTACGCGGTATTCAAAGTAAGCAAAGATATTTAACTCATGAATTAAACAATAATCTTTAAATTTTATCGCCTCTGTAAACTTTTCCGCCCTTTTCCCTCATTATCGCTATACAGCGTGCACGTGTTAATGTCAATTTTCTTCTTCAGCTATTAAAAGAGAAAAAGCTAGAAAATTGTGACGATTTGTTCAAAGACTTTGAGACACCCGAAAAGGCAAAGAAACTGTAAGTTAAAACATTTATGAGTAAATTAGCAACTAACACTGGTTTATGACAGTTTGAAGTTGACACATTTCCACAAGTTCGAAGACACAACTGAAGCCCTTCGGGCCGCCACCTCCTCTCTAGATGGAAAGGTAGACAAGAGTTTGAAGAAAGTCATAAAGAAGGTGATAGCTAAAGAAGCTCAGGAAAGTTTGGCCGTTGCTGACGCTAAACTTGGAAATTGTATAAAGGTATTTTCGTGCAATTTGTAAATGGCGCATATTGCAAGGTTTTTCAAACAGGAAAAATTTGACATTAAATGCATCTCAGGAACTGCTGTTCAAGAACTAATGAGATGTATTCGTACCCAAATGGATTCGCTTATAGAAGGAATAACTAAAAAGGAGATAAACGCTATGTCTCTTGGTTTGTCACACAGTTTGTCCAGATTCAAGTTGAAATTTAGTCCGGATAAAGTTGATATTATGATTGTTCAAGCTATATCATTATTAGATGATTTAGACAAGGAGTTAAATAATTATATGATGAGAGCAAAGGAGTGGTATGGGTGGCATTTTCCTGAATTGTCCAAGATAATTACAGACAACGTACTTTATGCTAAAGTTGTAAAACATGTTGGTAAGTTATTAAAATATAATTTAACATATTAGTTAAAAGAATGATTAAAAAATCAAATTTTCATTTTATTCGCTGATGAAAACAGCACGTCAGTATGAAAATTGTTGATTATACTATCACATCTCTTATATGAGATTTACTCTGAAATAGGATTTGCACACAGGTGATCGAGTGAACTGCTTGAAGACTGATTTCACAGATATTTTGACTGATGAATTGGCAGCTGAGGTTAAGAAAGCTGCTGAAATATCTATGGGAACTGAAGTTACTGAAGAAGATATTGACAATGTTAAAAGTTTATGTGAACAAGTTCTAGAGATAAATGATTACAGGGCACAGTTATATGATTACTTGAGTAATAGAATGATGGCAATAGCCCCAAATCTATGTATCCTTGTTGGAGAACTTGTTGGTGCAAGATTAATTTCTCATGCAGGTAAAGATTGTTTTGTCTATATACGCTATATTTATGTAACGAATGATGTAAACGTATTGTCTCTAAAGGCTTTCAAAGTTTAATGATTAATCAAATACGATTCGTCACTACCTCTGACCAATAATTTAAATACCTAAATGATAAATTTATGTCATTTAGATGTTACTAATTGCTTTATATCCTTTACAGGATCTTTGATCAATCTTGCCAAACAGCCAGCGTCTACTGTGCAAATTATTGGAGCAGAAAAAGCACTTTTCCGTGCACTAAAAACTAAGCATAACACTCCAAAATATGGTCTTATATATCATGCATCATTAGTCGGACAGACAACAGCGAAGAATAAAGCAAAGCTATCAAGAATGCTGGCAGCTAAAGCCGCTCTAGCAACCAGAGTTGATGCTCTTGGAGAGGATGTTGGTCAGGAGCTAGGTTTAGAACACCGAGCCGCCTTAGAAAAAGCTATAAAAAGAATAGAAGAGGGTTCATCTACTACAGTAAGTATTTTCTCCTTTCTAAGGATTTTCCTTTATTAAATGATTAGATTATAAAGTAGTGGTCCGAAAAACTATGAGGACAAATAATTTACAATGACTTGAGCTATAAAAGCTCAAAGGCTATTTTAATCGAAATCTTATTCTAAAGCCATAAATTCTTTATTATAGGGAAAACGATTGAAAAACTTCCAGGATGGCCCACCAGCAAAGAAGACGAAGTTTAAATAGACTGACTAAATTGTTTTTTTTTTATTATCGTTTATGTTTTTATGTTTATTGTATGTTTAGTGAGTTAAAGTTGTTTTTTTGCATTTTACGATGAAATGGAAAACTATAATATATGATAAATTAGTAGTCTGTCAAAATTTCATTCCATCTTCTTTAGTAATCAAAGTTAAACCAAAAATTCATAACAGATATAACAATAGTTTAACAGCCAAATTGACTTTCTTCAACATTTTATAAGGTTTATTGTATATAACAACTGAATAATATAATACAAATATTTAATTTACATGAAATGATAGAAATCGATTTTTGTACAATGTTTATGGCGATATAGGTTGACACAAATTAAGAGATGTAACAATTATTGTCATATCCTAAACAGTCAAAATTATTTCGTTACATACAAACATATTTAATAAAAATACAATTTAATATAACCTATATGTACAAGGTCAAGTCGGAGAGGAGGTTAACAAGGCGTCTAATTTGCTATTTCTTAAAATTTTTTAAAATAGGGTAGATATTTTCAAAGGCATCGTCGATTTCTTTACGGACTTTCGCCCCTGTATACACAAACCAAGAATTTAATTGATTCAGCATAGTAAAACAATTTCAAATTACCTGTAAGAACAACTTTTCCTGATACGAATATTAAAAGAACAATACGTGGTTTTACCATTCTATATATAAGGCCAGGAAATAACTCTGGTTCGTAACTGTAATTGAAAAAGAAAATTGAAACTTGAACACAAAGCAATTTCCTAACATTAAACAGTAAAAAAATACCTTGAAAATTGCTGATGAGTTAAAACCAGACCCTCAAGTCTTATAGGAAACCTGACATCACAACTGCCGACCATATTTTGAATTTTAAAATCTAAGAATTTTGCTTCAAAACCTAATTTTTGAATAATTCGAGCATATTTTCTGGCTGCTAATTTGGCAGAGTCTTCACTGAAAAATTTATAAAAAGCATACGTTAATAAAAGAGTATTTAGTTAATTTTAGTGCTTTTAAATTCTAACCTTTTCGCTCCAGTACACACCATTTTACCTGAACTGAATATTAATGCGGTTGTTCGAGGATCACGAATTCTCATAATAACTGCAGCAAAACGCTTTGGATTATATTCTGCGTTTCTTGCTTTAAGAGCAATTTTTTTTAAATCCAGTTTTACACCCAAGCTAACTGTGCACACAATATTTTGCAGTTGAGGTCTAATGCCAGATGACTCAACTGCAGGAGTTGCAGGAGTTGCTGGAGCTACCGAAAGTTGAGGAGTTGAGGCATTGATGGAGTGGGCTGGAACGGACGGAATTTGTGGAGTAGGTGGCATAGGTGTTGCTGCCGATGGTGTTGCTACAACAGGAGTTGCGACTGCAACTGGAGTAGGCGCGCCAGGAGTTGGAACTGATGGAGTCAAAGGTCCATGAGAGAGATTTGATTGACCCGATGTTGTAACAGCCATCGGAGAGAAGAGACTCTGATTTTGAGAAAGTTTCCATAATCACTTTTCACGCCTATTAATTTAAATTATTACCTGAGTGCCATATATATTGGCATTAAATGGGGAATTAACCGAATCCATAACTCCAACGTTTCACTATCGTCTACCCAAATTACAGTTCACACAACGGATATTAACCAACGGAAGTGTACAACTGTTTTAGTCTACCCATGAAAGAAAAATTCTGATTGGATAAGTAGGGAACCAATCACCGTGCGTTTTATATTTTCGCTGAAAAGTATATAAGATGCGGCAGCGCGAATGTCGTCCTCTCACTGCTGAGTCTTCAGACGGTTCAGAATTAAAAAGTTCAGAATTTCGAATTACAACAGCATGTCTAAGCCTACCTTCAAAGTCGGTAAGTTGACATGCATCTGTATATCGAAGTTTATAACTTTAATTATAATCTTTTCCTTTTTACACCAACAGCTGATATGTCTTTGGCCGATTTCGGTCGTAAAGAAATTAGTATTGCAGAAAATGAAATGCCTGGATTAATGAGCATGCGAAAAATTTACGGCCCAAAGAAACCACTTAAAGGAGCTAGAATTGCTGGTTGTCTACACATGACCATCCAAACTGCTGTTTTGATCGAAACCCTAACTGAACTTGGAGCCGAAGTTCAATGGTCATCGTGCAATATCTTCTCCACTCAAGATCACGCCGCCGCTGCTATCGCTAAAACCGGAGTTCCAGTTTATGCCTGGAAAGGAGAAACTGAGGAAGAATACATTTGGTGTGTCGAACAAACCATTGTCTTCCCAGATGGTAAACCATTGAACATGATCTTGGACGATGGTGGTGATTTGACAAACATGGTTCATGAAAAATATCCCCAATATTTGGCAAACATCAAGGGATTGTCGGAAGAGACCACTACTGGTGTCCACAACTTGTACAAAATGATGGCCAAAGGAGATTTGAAAGTTCCAGCAATCAATGTAAATGATTCTGTTACTAAGAGCAAATTCGACAACTTGTACGGATGCAGAGAATCATTGATTGACGGAATCAAGAGAGCAACTGACGTTATGTTGGCTGGTAAAGTTGCCTTGATTGCTGGTTACGGCGATGTTGGTAAGGGAAGCGCTCAGGCTCTTAAATCTTTCGGAGCAAGAGTAATCATTGCCGAAATCGATCCAATCAACGCTTTGCAAGCCGCTATGGAAGGCTATGAAGTTTCTACTGTAGAAGCCGCCCTTCCAGAGGCCAGAATCTATGTCACGACTACTGGATGCAAAGATATCCTTCGTGGTGAGCATTTCTCTCAGATGTTGGACGATTCTATCGTTTGCAATATCGGACATTTCGATACCGAAATCGACGTTAAGTGGTTGAATGAGAACTGTGTTAAAGTGGAAAATGTTAAACCTCAGGTTGATAGATATACAATGAAGAGTGGAAACCGAATTATTCTCTTGGCTGCAGGTCGTCTAGTCAATCTGGGTTGTGCAACTGGCCATCCAAGCTTCGTTATGAGCAACTCATTCACTAATCAAGTTTTAGCTCAAATTGAATTGTGGACAAAGAGTGAACAATACAAAATCGGAGTACACTTTTTACCTAAGAAAGTAAGTAGCAATATAAATTCTAAATTTGGATTATCTATTAAAAACATTTTTTAACAGCTTGACGAAGAGGTCGCGGCAGCCCACTTAGAACATTTGGGAGTTAAATTGACCAGATTATCTGATGACCAAGCCAGCTATCTCGGAATCCCGAAAGAGGGACCCTACAAGCCAGATCATTATAGATATTAGATTATTTTCTACGTTATCACATTTATTTACCGTGCTTATGCTGACATGAATACAGTAAATGTTAAAATTCAACCACCAAAAACGAATCACTTGTGTCATTGTAACATTAAAGGTTAACTTATTATCTTAAAAACGCAAATTGTAGTGTAGTATAGAGTGAAAGATAGTTGTACTTTTAACAAAAGATCTAAATATGGACCATAGCCTTCGTTATCGTTCGATAAAAGAATTCCACGTGTTTTTTCTGCTGCCAACAAATAGATGGCGCTAATATCAGAAAAAGTTTAAGAAATCGGAAATAGAACTTGTGTATGGGCACATGTTTAAATGACACTCGGTTTTTTGGTTTAAGTAGAAGAAGCAAGAAACGGGATAGATATTAACAAGATATTGAAATGCTTACGAGCAACTCTGTTTTCCAAAAACACAATCACAATTTGAAAAACAAACAGTTAAGTTTGTCCCGTCACCGCTGTAGATTGTCATGTATGACCAGTTAGATACGGCCGACAGAAAACGTCCCCAAGTGAAATTTTTGAAAGCAACATTTCGGATTGAAAAATGGTTAGAAGGAGTAAAGTAGCTTTTGATTTGTAGTTAGGGGGTTTCCGTCTAAGGGTTAGGGATAATCAAAAGGTTAGGGAGAGACAAGGTTCGGGTTAAACCATACATGTGAGGACGTTTTCTGTGGTATCCGTTAGATATGCCTATAAGCTAAGCTCGTTGGTAGAATATAGTTTATTTTAATCTTTCAAACAAGTAATTGAACGGTTACAAAGGCTATCTATTTGAAGAATATGGGCGAATAGGAACTAGGAGCAGCAAGAAATTGTTCTAAAAGAAGATTTTTTTTATTATACCCGAACAAGATAAAGTGTCAGCAAGAAAAAGTTGGTATAGGCTATAATTGGAGCTTCAGAATCTGTAAGGTTCAAATAAATTTGTTAACAATAAAAATAGCATATTACAGAATCTATTAGGTATCTTCGTTAATAATGACATAAAGAACGACAATCCAGCAGAGTGAGCTGAAAGAACTGAGAAAGTACCATACTATCTACAGCGAGACCTAGATAGTACTTCACAAGGAGCCTTTTGTTTCTATCAAATTATTAAGAATTATCTTCTGCCTATATTACAGTTCACACAACTTATATTAACCAACGGAAGTGTTCAAATGTTGTAGTCTACCTATGAAAGACCTATTTTGTTTGGATAAAAGACGAACCAATCATAAAGCGCTTTGTATGATGGTAAAAATTATATAATGCGAGGAATTTTATAGATTGTCCTCTCACTGCTGAGTCTTCAGACGGTTCAGAATTAAAAAGTTCAGAATTTGAATTACAACAGCATGTCTAAGCCTACCTTCAAAGTTGGTAAGTTGACATGCATCTGTATATCGAAGTTTATAACTTTAATTATAATCTTTTCCTTTTTACACCCACAGCTGATATGTCTTTGGCCGATTTCGGTCGTAAAGAAATTAGTATTGCAGAAAATGAAATGCCTGGATTAATAAGTATGCGAAAAATTTACGGGTCAAAGAAACCACTTAAAGGAGCTAGAATTGCTGGTTGTCTACACATGACCATCCAAACTGCTGTTTTGATCGAAACCCTAACTGAACTTGGAGCCGAAGTTCAATGGTCATCGTGCAATATCTTCTCCACTCAAGATCACGCCGCCGCTGCTATCGCTAAAACCGGAGTTCCAGTTTATGCCTGGAAAGGAGAAACTGAGGAAGAATACACTTGGTGTATCGAACAAACCATTGTCTTCCCAGATGGTAAACCATTGAACATGATCTTGGACGATGGTGGTGATTTGACAAACATGGTTCATGAAAAATATCCCCAATATTTGGCAAACATCAAGGGATTGTCGGAAGAGACCACTACTGGTGTATACAACTTGTACAAAATGATGGCAAACGAAGATTTGAAAGTTCCAGCAATCAATGTAAATGATTCTGTTACTAAGAGCAAATTCGACAACTTGTACGGATGCAAAGAATCATTGATTGACGGAATCAAGAGAGCAACTGACGTTATGTTGGCTGGTAAAGTTGCCTTGGTTGCTGGTTACGGCGATGTTGGTAAGGGAAGCGCTCAGGCTCTTAAATCTTTCGGAGCAAGAGTAATCATTGCCGAAATCGATCCAATCAACGCTTTGCAAGCCGCTATGGAAGGCTATGAAGTTTCTACTGTAGAAGCCGCCCTTCCAGAGGCCAGAATCTATGTCACGACTACTGGCTGCAGAGATATCTTTCGTGGTGAGCACTTCTCTCAGATGTTGGACGATTCTATCGTTTGCAATATCGGACATTTCGATAATGAAATCGACGTTAAGTGGTTGAATGATAACTGTGTTAAAGTGGAAAATGTTAAACCTCAGGTTGATAGATATACAATGAAGAGTGGAAACCGAATTATTTTGTTAGCTGCAGGTCGTTCAGTCAATCTGGGTTGTGCAACTGGCCATCCAAGCTTCGTTATGAGCAACTCATTCACTAATCAAGTTTTAGCTCAAATTGAATTGTGGACAAAGAGTGAACAATATAAAGTCGGAGTACACATTTTACCTAAGAAAGTAAGTAGCAATATAAATTCTAAATTTGGATTATCTATTAAAAACATTTTTTAACAGCTTGACGAAGAGGTCGCAGCAGCCCACTTAGAACATTTGGGAGTTAAATTGACCAGATTATCTGATGACCAAGCCAGCTATCTCGGAATCCCGAAAGAGGGACCCTACAAGCCAGATCATTATAGATATTAGATTATTTTCTACGTTATCACACTTATTTAGTGTCTTTTTACTGACATGAATACAGGAATTATCAATTTACATCTAAAAAAATGTCGCTTGTGTCATTGTAATATTAAAGGTTAACCTATTTTCTTAAGACGTAAGTTGTATTGTGGAATAGAAAGTGAAAGATTGTAGTATTTTTAACGAGAGATATCTAAATATGGCCCGTTGGCCTTCTTTTTTTCGATAAAAAGTAATCTGTGTTTTTTTTGCTGCCAACAAATAGATGGCGCTAATATCAGCAGAAGTATGAGAAATCGGAAACGGAACTTGTCTTTAATCGCTTAGCTGTGAGACGAGCACATGCTTAATTGACACTCGGTTTTTCGGGTTAAGGAGAAGAAGCAAGAAACGGAATGGATGTTAACAAGATAATAGAATGCTTACGAGCAACCCTGAATCCCAAAACACAACCACAAGCTGAGCAGCAATTGATTGAAATAAACAAGATAATTTCGTTTGCCCCGTCACTGCTGCAGATTGTGATGCATGATCAGCTAGAAATGCCTATAAGACAAGCTGGTTAGTAGAATATAATTTGTTTTAACCTTTTAAACAAGTAATTGAACGGTTACAGGCGCTATCTATTTGAAAAATATGACGAATAGGAACTGGGAGGAGAAAGAAATTGTTCCTGGAGAAGATTATTTTTTTATACATGAACAAGATAAAGTGCCAGTCAGAAACAACTTAGTAGAGGCTATAATTGGAGCTCCAGAATCTATAAGGTTTATAAAAATCAGCTAAAATATAAATAACACGTTTGTAACTGTTGATATTTACGTCACAGAAATCAATTAGGTGTTTGCGTTAGTAATATTATAAAGAGCGACTATCCAGCAAAATGGCCTGAAATAGCTGAGAAAGTACTACACTATTTACAGAGTGACCAAGCGAGTACTTGGCAAGGAGCTCTATACTGTTTATATCAAATTGTTAAGAACTATGAATTTAAAAAAGCCGAGGACCGTGAACCTCTCAACCGCGCTATGAGAGTTCTGCTACCATTATGCCTTGAACGTTGTAAACAATTGATGGCTGATCAGTCACAAGCGGCAGTTTCTGTTCAAAAGCAGATTCTTAAGATTTTCTACGCTATGATTCAATTCTATTTACCTTTGGATTTAATAAGTAACAACGATTTTACCAATTGGATGGAATTGATTAGACAAATTGTTTCACGACCTATTCCAGAAGATGTGAATAAGGTCGACGAAGATGAGAGATGCCAATTGGTATGGTGGAAGATTAAGAAATGGGCACTCCATATTTTAGCCAGAACTTTCGATCGTTACGGAAGTCCTGGCAATGTTACAAAAGAGTATCACGGCTTTGCCGAGTTCTTCCTCAAGACATTTTCGCAAGGTGTGCTTCAAGAACTACTTGCCTTGTTGGACAGTTATCGTAATAAGCAGTATGTGGCCCCCAGAGTTTTACAACAAATTATGAACTATTTGAACCAAGGCGTTTGTCACGCTATTAGTTGGAAATATATCAAACCACATATGTTCGCCATTACGACAGACGTAATTCTTCCATTATTATGCCACAGTGAAGAAGATCAGCAAATGTGGGAAGACGACCCAGTAGAATATATTCGAATAAAATATGATGTTTTCGAGGAGTTTTATTCTCCTGTCTTATCAGCTCAGTCTTTGTTACATAGTGTGTGTCTTAAGAGAAAAGAAATAATGCAGAAGGCTATGGGCTTCTGTTTACAATTATTAACTAATGAGAATCTTGAACCGAGACAAAGAGCTGGAGCTATGACTATGATTGGATCGGTTGCAGATATTTTATTGTCGAAGAGAGCATATAGCAATCAAATTGAAGCATTGATATCTACTCATGTATTTCCACAATTTCGCTCTGAGCACGGTTACTTACGAGGTCGAGCTTGCTATATGATTCAACATTTCGCTCCTGTTAAATTCAAACATGAAGAAAACCTACGGCAAGTGGTTGAATTACTCACTCTTGCAGTCGTTGAGGATAAAGAACTACCCGTTAAAGTTGAAGGAGCTATCGCTTTGCAACAACTTCTGTCTGAACAAATAAGCGCTACAGAATTGATGAGACCGAAGATTCACCTTATAATCATTAACCTTTTAGAAGTAATTCGTGAGACAGAGAATGATGAATTAACAACCGTTTTACAAAAATTGGTTTGTACATTTGGAGAAGATGTTGCTCCAGTTGCAGTCAATATTACCACACATCTGGCACAAACGTTTGCCAAGGTTATTGATAGTAGTGAATCAAATGATTCGAATGATGATAAAGCAATCGCCGCTATGGGAATTTTGAATACATTAGATACAATTGTGACTGTTATGGAAGAACAACCAGAAATTGTTGCAAATATTGAGGGTATTGTTTTGGATGTTATTGGTTTAATTGTAAAGCAGAATGTTATGGAATTCTATGAAGAAATTCTGTCATTAATTTGTAGTTTAACAACAGCCCATATATCTGATAGAATGTGGAACGTCTTTCCAATGCTGAAGAATATGTTTGAAAATGATGGATTTGACTATTTTACTGACATGTTACCTGCTTTACACAATTACGCAACAGTAGATCCTGAAAAATTCAAATCAAATCCAGCTTATATTGAGACAATGTTTAATATGTGTAAAACAATTCTCACCTCTGATAGAGCCGGAGAAGATGCTGAAGCTCATGCAGCTAAACTTTTGGAAGTATTGTTGTTACAGTATAAAGGAGAATTGGATGGAGTTTTGGAACACCTCGTTCAAGTTGCACTCGAACGATTAACACGTGAGATTAAAACATGCGAATTAAGGGGAATGTGCTTGCAAGTGGTTGTTGCGGCTCTTCATTACAACCCAAGACTTTTATTAGAGATATTATCAAAGATAAATTTACCAAATTCATCTGAACCATTAATAACTTCATTTATTAAACAATGGATCCATGATGTTGATGTATTCTTGGGTTTACATGATAGAAAAGTTTGTGTTTTAGGATTGTGTACTTTAGTGTCTTTGGAACCTGAAATTCGACCTTCGGCCGTTGAAATGTTTGCAAAGCAGATTATGCCTGCTTTTATTATTCTTTTCGAAGGCTTAGAAAGAGCTTACAAGTCAAGAGCTCAAGCCGAAGATAGCGATGATGAAGTGGAAGAGGAAGAAGATGACGACGACGAAATTGCCGATGATGAGGATGTGGTTGATGACGAGAGTGTTAATTACTTGGAACAATTGGAAAAATCCAAAACCCTTTCTGGTGACTATGAAGATGACGATGAAGATTACGATATGGAGGAAACGCTTTTGGAGACTTACGAGACGACTTTAGACAAAGAAGATTGTCCGGTTGACGAATATGAGATTTTTGTACAAATGATGCAGCATCTACCAGGAAAAGATCCTAACTGGTACAAACTTCTGACCGAAAATTTGGATGGAAAACAAAAAGAAGCTATACAAAAAGTCATTCATACAGCAGAACTAAGAAAGCAAGCCTCAATGGCTAAAAAGATCGAGCAGGCTGGTGGCTATCAGTTTACCCAAACTTCAGTGCCAGCCAACTTCAACTTCTCGAACGGAGGTCATCCACAAAAGTGAAAGAATAAAAAATAACAAAAAAAAAATCTTGAAGAGATATCTGAAAATATTTCGAATTATATTTATTTATTATTGTCATTAAGCTTCTTATTTATTATTTGAAAGGATAATAATGCAAAGTGCATTTTCTGCAGGGCTTTGCAAAAACTGCATTCAGTTGCAGTTTTCTCATATATACTGCGAAATATATTTAAGTAATATTAAGCAGTATTGGTATTGTTTAAGGAATGAAAGTTAATTAAGTTTTGTGGGCCTGAATTTATGCTTTAGGAATGCTTGAATATGTGTATGTCACTATTTCTGTTGTGTGATTGATTGATAGTTTCGGTTAAAAGCAACATTTTCAGGATTTTCATAAGTGTTCAAGTGTGAGAGTTTTGTGAAAAAAAAACAACTTTGGTTAAAAAGGTTTTTCCTTCCAAAGAATTATCTACTCGGAATCCATTATTTTGCATGGATTTAAAGTTTCGTATTAAGTTTACGAAACATGGTGCTAGTCGCATTCCGGAGGAATTTCATTATTCCTCTTTCTTGCCGTCAGAGCTATTTAACAAAAATAGTCTTCGGCTATTGTTTGTCCCTGCAGACGTTAAAATTTTTGCGTCATTTATAAAACAGCTTTTTTTCAGCCTATTTCTATTATACTTATGTTTTAGTTGCTCATTTTTTTCGGAAATAATACAAAATATATTTGTGTTTGATGGTTAGCTGAAAAAACTTCTTACTTTCTTTCGCACAAGTAGAACTTCTTTCCAAATGAAATTTATATCTTCTTTCTTATACATTGAAGACGTTATCCAATCAAGTCGGTCATGTAGTACGTACTACATGCTTATCAAATTTCAATTGTTAAGCTCTGCCTTTTGTAATCACGGTGCAATTTACAACGTAAATGAATAGTAGATGGCGTCTCTCCACAGCGGTTAAAAGTTTTTTTTAGAACAATGACCAAACAATCATCTAACTAAACACGAATAATAAGGGAAGGAGGTAGGGGAGAGGGTTTCAATGACAAAAAGAAGAAATAACATTTCAACCCAATTGAGTTAAATACAAGAAAATAAACAAAAGATATTATGTAATCATTCGCCAGAAATCAGTTCATAACCTATTTATATCCTCTTTGTATCCTATTTATAAAAAAAGTGAGTGAGTAATAGATTGTTACAGAGTCTTAGGATGAAAAGGATAAAGAAAGTCAGTAAGGAGGAAGCCATACACCGGAGTTGGCGAAAGTGTTCATATTGGAATATTCCAAATAGAATAGGTATTTTTAATAATTATATAAATTTATGCTTGTGCAGCAATATTTTAATAAAGCCAATTATATTGAAAATATTCTTAATATATAACTAACATCTATAATAATTTAATTGATCGTGTGGCCATCTTATTGTTTCTATTGTAAGAGTATGCTATTTTTCTCTAGTTCGTTATCGCGGTATAAGGGCCCCATCACGAAAGTTTGTCGACTATATAAGCAACCGAAAATCTCTTGTTCATTCACCAACTTCCAAAGTGTTTCACTTTCAGGTTTGTTTCTAACATAACAATTATCTATTCTAACATTATGTACAATGTGATTCTTGTTTCTAGCTTAATTACTTTCGTTAAGTATGAAAGGATCGGCTCTCTTTCTTGTATTCTCTGCGATTTGTTTGGCAGTGAATGCTACTTCTCATCCATCTTTAAGTGTAAGTAGTCAAATTTTATAATAATTCACTTAAAATACTCTATTTAATCTCCTCAAGGATCCTCTATTCACAAAGACGAAATATTTCAAGTTATCTTTAATCTGCGATAAGGCATGCGTAAGTGTCTTTGTAATTAATAATACTTATAGTTCAGTATATGAATGAGCATAAAATAAACATACAGTACCTTACCTTGAAATTGAGGGGAAATGTTGAAGATGTTATACGCGACCTTGTTGACAATGAAGTGAAACCAGTAAGATTATTCCATAATTCCCTAATAAGATTAGAAAGAGAGAGTATTTTGTATGTTATTTCAGAGACTTGGTCGTTTGAATGTAAAAACTTTTCTCGTTCAATTGGAACTGTGGGACAAAGCCAACGAGTTTTATTATATAGAAAGCGGTAGCGATTACCTATCACAATTGAAAGTTTATCGTGAACAACATTTAATACCTAAAGTATGGAGTGACGCTACAATAGCAATTACTGGATATCGTTTTAAGGGAGATTTTAGTTCCGCTTTTCCCAATTCTGTTTGTTCTCCTCGTATAGCAATCGGTTACGTTAAAATAGATACTTCTTCATCAATTAGAACAATTGGATCATATATAGCACATGAACTTGGTCACATTTTTGGGCTTGACCACGACTACGAACCCTCAAGTATTCCGGATTCTCAATCGTGTTGTCCATTCGGAAAATCGAATTGTATTATGAATCCTTCAATTACTTCAACTGGGTTGGAAAATGGCGCCTGGAGCACATGTAGTACTGATAAATTTGTCAAAGATCTTCAAAAACCATCTAGAAAGTGTTTGTGGATTAAACCAACAGTTGTTCAAGATAGTTATTGCGGTGATGGAGTCATCGATGCAGGAGAAGAATGCGACTGTGGAAATTTCGGTATGGGCTTTTGTAGCAACTGCTGCGATACCAAAGAATGTAAACTCAAGGAGAATGCCCAATGTACAGAAGGTGATTGTTGCAATGATCAATGTCAATTCATTTCTGCCGGTCAAGTCTGTAGAAATTCAACCAACAGTTGTGATGTTGAAGATAAATGCTCAGGAAGTAATTCAGAATGCCCAAATGAAGTTAAGACTGACGGAACAGAATGCATTGATACAGTTTCCGTGGAAGGATATTGTCTGAAAGGGTCATGTATGACTTTGCAAAACGAATGTGAAACTCATTGGACAAAAGACTTTAAAGCATCCGATAATTGCGCAAGAGAGTCCTTATTGGTTGGGGATGAATTTTACAACTGCGGTATGAATGGTACCATTATTAAAACGTGTACGGAGGAAAACTATAAATGTGGTCGTCTTGTTTGCTCATATACTAAAGGAAATTACAGAGATGCTGTTGATACTATTCTGAATCCATTGTATCGTAATATTGAAGGAGAATCGTGCTTGTAAGTAGATTTTATGTAAAGTTTAATATTATTAATTAAATGGGACAATTTGGTAGGGTTCTCGACAAATCAGCATGGCTAGGTGGTGGATGGCAAATGGTATCTGATGGTGTTAAATGTGGAGATAACAAGGCCTGCTATAAAACAGATTGTGTTGATAAATCTCAGGCATTTGCTTCAATTCAAAGTCAAGCGGTAGCACAGAAAACGTCCTTATGTGGAAATGGAATTATTGAAGATGGAGAACAGTGCGATTGCGGAGCAAAACAATGCGGTTGTTGTGACGACTCTTGTCAATTAATGGCTCATGGAACAACTTGTAGAAGTGAATCTTGTCGCGAATGCAATGGTTTATCCCAAAGTTGCAGCGGATCATACAAAAGCTCTCTCACCAAATGTGATGGCGATGAGGGTTATTGTGTTAAATATACAACAGGCATTTCGGAATGTATATCTCATCAAACCAGCTGTAAAGCTCTCTTTGGCGAACTGTCTGATGTAGATAGAGGGAGCATGACGCTTAATAATCAAAACAACGATTTCTTCAATGTAGGAGGTATTTATTTGACCAATAAAAGCTCCATGGTCGTAGTATATAGGGAAATACCAAATGTGGCCAGGTAGGGCAAACTTCTTCTTAGCGTTGTTTATCAATTGATTTTAAGAGGAAATTGTGTTTAGATCCCCCGAATGTGGAAGTTTGAAATGTAGAGTTCCCTCAGGTTCAAACGCCCGAATACCCGGTTTTTCTGCTCTATCGACTGCTATTGAGAGCAGCCCTGACAATGAAGGAAGAGTAACTAAGTATATAAAGCTAATAAAGCCCCTGCAATAAGTCGAACAATTATTTACTGCTTCCCCACAGAGTTGCTCGATTTACTCACACGACCCATCCGTACTATACATATGCCAATTACTACGTCATGTATATGTACCTAGCTAGGACAGGAACACCCTGCAAAACACTAAACACTCAGCAGCCTGGAGTAAGAAAAATTGCCCTTCTTATTTTTTTGATTGTTTTTTTATGAATGTTTTTTTTTGCAGTACTGCTATTCCAACTACAAGAGAGCGGCAACGTACCTTCCAAAGTATTATCCAACTAGTGTTTGTATTGCAGTTTAACATCAATAATTATAGAGATATTTCGGTTGAATACAAACTTATCATAGAAAGTCAAAACAAAGTTGTTTCGCCATATTTTTTATAGTATTTATTATATATTACATAATTTATTATTATTATTCTTTCCATTTAAAATTTATATATAAAAAAAGAAAAAATATTGTTATCTTTTATAATTTGTTTTTTTTTAAATTGATAAATTTTTTGCTGACTCAACAAAAAACAAAAAAAAAACTCTTCTTTCTTATATAAAAATTGAGCAGCTAAATTATTTAAATCTTTCAAAATTTTGTTTTTGTTTTAATAAAGTTTATGTTTTTCATTATTTTCTTCTTTCTGTTTTATTGTTATTGTTTTTAAAGATTAAAGGTGTTGCTTTAAAAAGCTTAAAACGCTTGTTTCGTAATGCTCGTTTACTTCTGGATTTCTTATACCATGTCGTTCTCTTGGATATATCTATTAAAATGAGGTCGTCTATAGAAATTAACAATGAATATAATGAAAAAGTATTATACCTGTAAAAAGTAATGTTTACAATGCTTATTGAGAGCTTCTATTAAAAAGACTGTATGTTGAAAGTGGACGTTATCGTCCATCAGACCGTGAAATATTAATAATCTGTTTTCTCTGAAATTTAAAGTATGCATAAATATTGGATATAAGGAACAAGTAGAAAAAACACCAACTCATCGGGAAATTTCGGTACCATATTAATCACAGAACTCTGTTCATAGTTTGCTTTTGAAGATTCGGGTAAACCCATATATCGTTCAGTGTAAGCTGTGTCATAAAGATGCCAGGCAGTAACAGGAGCACCGACAACTGCTAGCTTAAAAACATCGGGTCGTAACGCCAAACCCACTAGCGAAAGATACCCGCCATATGACCAACCATGTATGGCAACACGATCTATATCGATGAAGTCGCAATAATATGACGCCAAGCTCTGTAATCCATCAACTTGGTCTTGAATCTCTATTTGGCCAAGTCTACCCAGTAAATCTTTCTCAAATTTAAGACCTCTGTTGCTAGAGCCTCTACAATCAAGCACAACAACAGCAAACCCAACACTAGCGAACATATGCAGACGATGCAATCGACTACTTCTTTGGGTGTTTGTAACCATTTGAACTTGAGGCCCACCGTAGACGTAGAGAATAGTCGGGTATTTCTTTCCAGGTTCTCTATTAATAGGAGAGTAAACCATAGCATAAATATCCGTATCATGTTGCCTTAAAGTATATAGTCTTGGAGGCACGTAATGTTCAGGAAGAGCTACAAGATAAGTAAATATACAAATGTTTTAAATAATCCAATTATATAACTTCCAACTCACGAGTTCGAGCAAGTACTGTTCCAATGTTATCTATTTCAAATCTAGAATCACTATGAGTAATTTTAAATGCTTCAATACAAGGACTCGTATTCAAGTTACTATAAACTGTTACATAGCTGGTGCAAAGCTGAAGAAAAATAGTTTTATTTTTATTTTATATAAATAATTTAAATTAATATTTACAGGATCCAATTCGACGGCATGGCTAAACTCTTTGGCAGTTAAGCATTCGCAATCCCTTTCGCAATCAAGTCTTGCAACGTATCTAATTAGTATACATTTGTATATGTATTCATGGTTGTTTATATGAAAGAGTTATTTTTTATATATAAAAATGCTAAACCCACAAATGCTGTTCAAGAGGTGTATCTTTAAATGCTTGAAAATAAATCAGCCGCTTGCTTTCGTCAATCCAGATCTATAAAATTGACAAATTAAAAGAAGTAATTAATCTTATTTCGAGAATAAAATTGACAGATTTGTAACAAATTCTTACTTTTTTAGGCCATATTTGCCAATCTCCTCGGGTAATTTGAATAAGAGAAATTTGCTTTGCATTTACAACACCTTGATTTACACTTTCGTTAGTTAATTGGCTTAACTGAACCGTTATCTTATATAGATGCATATATTCAGATCGTTCACTTGCAGTTACGAAAGAGATATAATCATCCCTGCTGTCATTCAAAAAGTATAAAATATCGTGAACGTTCAACCAGTAATCTGTTGTTTCTTCGTATATAACGTGAATAGTCTTCTGATCACTGGTGGAAGATTCTGTGCCGTTTACTTTTACAGAAAATGATTCAAGCGGTATAAGGACTATGGCAATTCTTCTTTGCCTTCTGTCAAGTAGTGTTGCAATAATACTGTAAGGTTTTCGTTTTAATTTAGTAGCTGTAGAATTGTTTAATAATATCTTACTATCGTCCATCTGGAGTCCAAGATGCTCGAACTAAATATTCCATCCAAGGGAAAAGATTTGTAAGGGTATCGAATAGGTCAAAATTTTCAACATCGTATAATTGTCCGCTGGACAACAATTTAAATTCAACGATTTTTAATTTACTCTTTGCGTTCTTTGTACCTTTAAGGTAATTGTAATAACAACAAAATAAACATCAATTCAGACATCATTAGATAAATATTTACCAGCTCTTGGATATGGAAATTCTTCAACATCTTGCCCATCTTGGGAGCATATTTTCAATGTCATCACTTCGCTTTCATCTATAACCTCATAGAGAATACGGTGTGTATTACTACCAGTTTGTGCTGGTTGCCACCAATAGCCCGTATATCTATCAAATTCCTCTTGTATTACGAAGCAGGGAGCACCTGCACTCAACCCTTCTACAAATGATAACATTAAGATATATAATTAAATTAGATACGGTTAAAGTTAATATTTTTAAAATTATATATAATTAATAAAATTTTGTTACCTTGACTACTGAAGGTTAAACGGTGTTCGTTATTTGTAGCATAATGAGTAACCCATACATCACCATCACATACAAAAGCAATAAGTTGATCATTTAGTGGACTGATTTTCGGATCGATTCGAGATAAATTTTGATCAACGCTAACTTCAACAGGGCTAACAGGAGTGCTCTGTGGAAATAAACATTTAAAATGTAATATATTGCTTTAATATAACATATATACATTTTAATAAGACTTTGCTTGGGTTTTTTTTTGATTATTCAAGTTATTTATAATTTGTTTTCCTAAAAAAAATCATATTTCACTAATGTAATTTTTTCTTACAAGCCTTTTGGAATCTTGTATACATTTCAGTGTCCGATTTTAAGGCTATATGTTTGGACAGTATCAATATTCCTTCGTAGAAACTTAACTACTGAATTTCTTTGATGGAAAAGTACAAAATAAAAAAAAAGTACAAACAAAGTCAGCTGTAACAGACAATGGATTTATTTTGACCGTCCTTTTTTTATGACACCTGCTAAATCGATTTTTTAGCCTATTCAATTGTTACAAATAAATCCATTGATATTTTTTGTCTTTTTATAACTTACGGAGAGATCTCCTGATCCGGTCATGTCGGAAAGAACATACATATTTTTTCCCGAAGTAAAAGCAAATGTCCCTTTTTCGGGGGAAAAATCAAAATGGGTTATGCCAAAAAACCCTATCCTCTTTCTTTCTCTTAAAAGTTGTTCTTCTTTTGAGAAACATCCGCAGTAAGTCACCTTAGAAGGATCCATTAACTTATGCCATTCAAGTTCTGCTCCAGGGATTTCGCTTTCATATTCAACATCAATAACCACATAGAAAAGTTTTGATGGCATGCATAAAAAATATAAGCGATAAGCATTTGGCTGATAAGGTAATTTGCGAAAAACAAAATTGTGAGGAAGTTTGTTAGAAATTGAGGCTCCTAATCGTTTAGCTTCTCTGACACTCTCAGTTAGTTTTGTCCATCGTGTTGTTTTAGAACTGGATGACTTGTCACTCCAATTACTTAGGATCAACGAAGAATTGGCATTTTCTAAAGATGCCATACTTCAACAATTCTATTTTACAATGAAAATAGCAATCGAGATCGTGGATATCTTTAACGGGGGGGCAAAAGATTACGTAGCCTCAAGAACAACCGGTTATAATAGACAAAATATGGTACCAGTTCCTCTGTCTAAATTTTATACTCTGAACCCTCATTTAGTGAATACCAGGCTAAAATGTCTGTCCAGAAGAGAACTTGGGATCCTAATAAAACTTTTGATTTATCCTCTGATGAGTTGCGAGCTATACAAGAAAGAGCCCAAAGGGCTTCAAAATTAAGGAGCGAATGGCAAAAGAAGCTGAGTAGTCCATATAAACCTGTTGGATCATATATCGTAAGGAATATTGTCTTCACCTTGTCCCATAATCAACGAGTTCCTTATACTTAAAATATTATTTTACAGTTTGATCCAGCTCTTCAGCGATTTATATCCATGAGGGCAAACTATTGGCCTATGTTTAAGCCTACTATTAAGAATTTTGCTTATGCTTTCACCGGAGCTTTTCTCCCCATAATCGCCATGGCCTGGTGGATTGATAAAGATCGGGTAAGTCAACAAAATAGTTATATTTGATTAAATAAATGTAAAATATATTCATTAAAATACAGAGTCAAAGAGAAAAAGAATATAGAGAAGGAAAAGTCGCTTACAGAGATAGATACTGGAAATTCATTTAACTATTTTTTTTATTCCAAATTGGAAAAAGTTACAAACATTCGAATTAGAATGTCTGAATAGAGAACTGTAAAAAATACAAAAAATTTGTGCTCTGTCACTGATTCATGATTAAATATGAATAAAAATTTGGATTAAAGTAAATATTTTGAAGAATTCATAGTTCAATTTTATAAAACCATGTATTATATTAAGATAGAGAAAAATTAAGTTATTTGATCTTATTCCTTCTTAGAAGGAGGAGTATTAAAATTTCGTGAAAACATCAAAATAGAACATTAAATGTAAATATTAGGTCCCTAAACAAAAAGTTGATAATAACTTTGAACCCTATTCTAACGAGATGTGAACAAATACATTGTTTTTTATTTAATTGAATCTTTTAAGCACATTTAAATAAAAAAGAAATTTACTTTGCGATTAACTGACAAGAAAATTACTTTAATAGAGAACTAACATTAAATTAAAATTTAATAGAAAACATTGAAGAAAATTTTTAGAGCCCTAGCGAAAACTGGTACACATTTTACTTATTAAAAATGGCGTTTCGTTATTCGACGTAGAAAACAAAAGTTTTTATAAAAAGCAGCAAGATGTTGTACGTATTTATGGTGAATTATGGCGTATTTTATACATTTGAAATGGAATATTTATATCAAAAGTAAGTAAAGATTTGCAATTATCCCTTTCTGGCTGACAGATCAATATCAATTTTTAGTGTCTCAGCATTGCAAGAAGCTATTGCTCGACGATTAAAAATAGAAGTGTCTAAACAAGTTCTTATAATTAGCTCAGGACAAGTATTATCACCTAAGACGAAACTTGTCAAATATGGTGCTGGAACAGTAAGAATGAATTTTTTTTAATACTATTACGAAATAGTTAGTGTATAAACAAAGATACGAGCTTTATATAAATTCCTCTTCTATGGAACAGCTGTTTGTGTGATAAGCATTTGTATTTGAATACTAAAAGAGACACTATATTAAAGAGTGTGATATTATTTGAAAGTCGTTGATTTTAATAGAATTTCTTATCGTCTTTTTGATGGTTTAGAAAGAAAATATTAAGATTGTTTGTACAAGTATCTATCTGTATACTGTATATCGAACGGTTACCGTCGAGTTCATACTCCTGTGCTTGTTGTCTATTCAATAGCCCATTAATGCTAGAGAGTTGAATAACCCCCATATGGCTACATGCATGTGTGTGATGTTTACTTATCGATAATTATAATATTTTTATTTATTTTATTATTATTCTGTTTCTTTTAGGATACAAGTCCTATATATTTATTTAGTAAAAGAGCAGAGGAACTTATTAAACCTATACGGCAAGAGCAACAAGAAAGTCAAACAGGTATTATTTTCTTATAACAGAAACTAAGGACTAAAAATTAGAATGATAAAAAACTGTATTAATTTTTTTCCAGAGGTTCAATTAAGAGACAGTGTTGACGAAGCCCTAGATCTTTCACCATCGTTTCAAACTGTGACAGTTCGGTCTCAACTAGCTCAGGTTAATATTTTAACAATTATAACTGTTATGAAATTATTCATGTTTTGGTATTGTTTACTAATCCGTTACGTAATATTTTTATCGTTATCACAGCGAATATATGAAATGAGTAAGGAAATAGCGAAAAGAGCCGAAACTTTAGTTCAAGAACAAACGTATCAACATAAAGCTTTTATTGCTGCTATATCTAATATGCTAGACTTGATAAAGTAAATATTATCATTAAATGATCATTATTGTAATGTGAATAATCTCTATTCAATTTTATTTATTTATTACAGATGGTACAAAGAACAAGTCGAATTTTTCAAAACAGCGTTAAAACGTTTTATGAAAAATAGGGAGAAATTTGTCGAAATTTTACCATCGTTAGTAGTTTAACATCAGATACAATAATTCAATATAGTCTAATCAATTCTATTTTTAAATAGATTTGACGTTTCATTAGCTCTTCTTGCAAAATTACCGCTTTTAAAATGCTTAAACGCTCAAAACACTAGTAGTCTCTTGCAATCGTCAATACGAGATATTGGAACAGATGTTTCAGATCTTACACTTTTAGAATGGATTAATTCAACCGTAAATATTATTTATTCATTTAAAAATAGTAATTAACAAATTGTGCAAATTATCAATGATTATCTCAGTGATAGTTTTCAATTATTTATATTAGGGTAGCCATTCTACAAGACATAGTATCAAGGGAATGTTTGAAGCTTGTAATAGAGGGATTGAGCAGATAACTCCTCAAATGAGAAATGAAACTTTAAAAGGAGCCAAGAAACTATTGAAAATTGCTGAAAATGAAGAAATGAAAGAAATTATTGGCTTGGATAGAAGATTAGCAAGTATGGAAAAGTTAGTTGAAAATGGACAAAAGATAGTTCAAAATATTTTCGAATTAGCTCAAGGATTAGTTCAAAATGAACAGCGTCTGAAAAATACTGCAGATAAATCTGTACTATTACCGCTGTGTGACAGTCATATAGAGCAATTAAAGATGTTGATTGAACATTTCGATACGATTCGTGACATAAAAAGAAGGTGTATTGCTTCTAAGAATGAACTATTACAAAACCTACAAGCCAGACTGAAATGGGTCGCAGATGTTGAAAAAGATTTACAGCATACAGCTTCTAAAATGGACATGATTGCACAACATTCTCATAATTTATCAGTTCAGTTAATGGTTTTAGTGCAAGTACATGAGTCACCTTTTTTGTATTCGGATGTTGTTGTCGAGATTCATAGGAGAAGACGCTTCTCTGAAAAATATTTGGACTGGGGAGAAAAATTAGCTAGCGAAGCTACTGAATTATTTAAAGATGAAGTTGAAAAGAGAAAATCTACTCATAAAAGGTTACACAATCATTTTTTGGAATGTCTCTTTCCTGGTTTTGATGATGCTCCGGCTCGTTTTATAAGTGAAAAAATTGAAGCTTTCGACGATAAGCTACCCCCTGTTGAAAGAGAGGACCTTGAATTTTTACAAAGTGTTGTTCCCGAATTGGCTGAAAGGTTAGGGATTCCTAGCGAAAACGAGGATATAATAGTTAAGGGAGAAATAACACTTCGTGAATCTGATACCCATACACCTCTTCTAGTCATGGATCCAGTAAACGGTGAACCTTTTGAGTCATACAAAACAGCTGAACAACCCATTACTCGTACCTCAACTGATATACACCGAGTGCCACGTTTTCGAACCGATTCTATAGACAGTTTTAGCACGAGTCCTGAAACATTTTATTCTTTAACTGCAGAAGGTTCAAGCCATGATCTACCAGCTAAATTTTTCATAGAAGAGCCCAACTGTCGAGATGGAAGAGTTGTGGCACTGGAAAAAAGTTTAGAAGAGAAAGCTCGAGAAATTGATAAACTGATGAAAAGTTTGACAAAAAGCGAATCAATTTCAAATATTACTCAGGATAGGTTAAACAGAGCCTTTAGTATAGTGCAAGAAGAGGCTAGAAACCTTAAATTATTATATCAGGATATATCATTGGGTATCAAGGAATATAAAACCTCTTTTCACCAACATATAGAAACAGTTAAAGAACAGTTGATGGGAAATTTTCTTCAGGCTATTCTGAAAGAAAGGGAAGAATTACTACAGCGTACCTCTTCACTTGAAAAGGAATTAGCCGAGTCTGAACAGGCTCAAATTGAACTCAGGAATAATTTATTGCTTAACAACGAAATTGAACAAGAAAAATCGACGAAAATCCACTCTGAAAAAATTTTAGAATTGAATGACAAAATTCGTCACATAGAAGATAATATTGCAACATATGAAAAGGAGATAGAAGAGCTAAAAAGTGAAAATCACTCCTTAAATACCAACATTCAAAGATTGAATGAAGAACTTCAGAAAAATGTTGACGAAGCTCAAACAGTTGAATTAGAAAGAAATAATATTATAAAAACGGTTGATGAACTTAATAATTCTTTAAAAACTCTCCAAGAACAATTACAAGAAAAGGATAAAATGCTTAAAAAGTCTGAAAATGAGAAAGAGATTTTAGAAAATGCAATAAGCAATAAGGATAAATTATATAATGAGCTAATAATTGTTCATAAGAGTGAACTTGAAAATATTCAAAAAGACTTTAATTCAGATAGAGAAATCTTACAGAGCAAATTAACAGACGAATTTAACATGAAAATTGAAGAAGAAATACAAAAGCGAAAAGTTTTACAAGAACAAATAAAAATTATGAAAGACGTAAGAAAATAAACAAATAGTTTTTATTAATTAAAAATTAATTATTCTCTATGTATATTTTCATATACAATTTTAGACTGTAAAGAAGGAGAGGAGAGAAAGGCTCGAAGAGCTCGATAGAATAGAGAAAGAGAAGAAAAACGATATTTTGGAATTGAAAAATTCTTTCGCAATCGAAAAGCAAATATCCATTGATGAGGCTATTACAAAAATGGCTCAAGAAAAAGATATAGTTATTGAAAATTTAAGAGAAAGGGAAAAACAGATGGCGAAGAAGCATAGTAAAAGAGGTATAGTTTTGCTTTTATTAACAATATGTAAGTACGATGTCAGTGAATTTAAAACACTTTTTATAGACAGCAAAAATCCTGCAATTGTAGTTGCTCAGGATAGTAAAGAAAGGTTTGAAGAAGAACAAGTCGATGAAGGAATTTCATCTGGCATGGTTTTATCGTATATACCTGTTGAAGAATCAGTTATAGAGGTTAAAGAACAGGATACAGCAGTCATAGAATTAAGAGAAGTACTTAAAAATTGAAACTATATAACATCAAGAAAGAATTAATTTTACATTTTTAACTTATTTTAGAAAATAAAATTAAAAGAAGATCAAGTTTCTCGTCTAAGGAAAAAAGTAGTAAGTAAAACTTGTCACTATCAAGCTTGTTTGGTAACTGTATTCTTGTTTATTTAGGAAGAATTAACAAACAGCATGCACAGTATGGTTAAAGAAAAGATATGCATATCTCAGTAAGTTGTTTTTAAATTTTCGTGTATAGCTAGTTACCAATTGATTGATTAAAATCTATTTCAGATGTAACAGTGGCGATATCGCACTAATTGGTCCTAGCGAAACATATAATCACTATTTATTATTTCTCATCAATCAACCTCTTCACTTTGTTCACAGCGAATGTCTACAAGAATTGGGACTTAAAAGTAGGAATAAAAAATTTTTTAGACTATTCTCTATAATTTATTACCTCTTTGTTAAATATTTGCCTTTAAAGAAATGACAAAAGAAAAACCAAGATCTAAATGGATTTTAGCAGAAGTTGTTGAAAAAGAATACTGCCTTGCAAAAAAAGTATTTATACAAAGCTATATACGATAGTTCATTTCATTAACTTTTTCTATTTATTTTTAAACAAAGCCATCGAATAGATTTCTTTTATCCGTTGGCACAAAATTTTATAGAGTGAAACTAAAACGATACGACAGTGACTCAGAACCAATGGTGCCTTTTATGCCATCGGGTGAACCACTTGATGAAGCGAAAACAACTCCCCCTTCCGCCTAATTCAAAAATTTTTAGACTGTCATTTAGTAAAAATTCAAGTTTTTTTTAAATTCATCTTTTATCTCTTCCTTTTTTGAATGAAAAAATTCAAAAGTAACATCTACACATAAACAAAGAGTGTAATGTTAATAAAAATAATTTATTTTAAATATATATTTTATAAAACCATGTATTCTGTAAACTTCTTAAATACAACTTTATTAAACAAAAATACGTAAATCTTAACATATTCTATTTTACCACAAGAATCAATTAAATTAAAATGAATGATTTTAAAGAGAAGATCCAATATGATATTTCACCATTTTTAGATTTTCGTAATAAGAGAGGTCAATTTCTCTCTTACCAGCTAATTCATCTCTCGTTCGATTATATATTAATTCCCTCATGCATTGAAGGGCAAAAGGTTGGTAATCCAAATGAAATTTATTCGCAAATAATTCTTTCCTATTAGCCAATAATGATAAATCACCAATACTTAGTATACAAATGCCACGGACCCTTTTTCCAGCACAAGGATAGTCAAAAGGGTAACCTCCCCAATTTTTGAATCGCCCAATAAATAGATATGTTACAGGATCCGTTTCAGGATTACCAGTATATGATCCCGGAATGTGAAGTTGTGGACTGTGATTTAAACTTGGAAAATATGTTTCAAATCCCCTTTGAACAACTAAATAAACTGCACCTTTTGCAATGGTAATTCCTTTGTTGAAAGGTATTTTGGGTTTCATATTAATATCTTTCTCAGTTCTTTCAACGTTCCTTCTTGCTACAGTTCCTTCTAAACTGTTAGCTCCTTTTAGAGATTTTAGAATTTTTATAAGATCCTGCATAGTTTGAAGAGGAAACTCTTGAGCTGTCAAATTGATCAAGTATTTCCACTTGGTTTTTCTCTTCCATAGATTTTTCATACATATAATTTCTGGTTCTAGAACACTGTAAAATCCCCATTTGACATCCACAGCTTCCTTTTCATCAATGACCTCAATATTATCAAAGCATTTAGCAATATTTAAAATAGCAGACCAAAATGGTTGCTTCGACTTTTTATCAACGTGAATACAGTATTGGTTGTGAGGACGATATATTGTTTTCAAGAGATACTCGAATTGAGCAGCATCTTTGAAGGTTAATATTTGAAAGGCTAGAGGATAATCGGTCTCTTCTCATGTCGGTATAGTTGTAGCATAGTGTCTTCTATACTTTGTACAGTCACTTGCTACTTTTTGATCAGGAAAAATTGTATGTTTAACAGAGTCTTGCTGTTTGATTATGGTTTTTTGTATATTCAACATCATTATTAAATATCTTACTACAATCAACACCCAGAGCTTTGTACTCGGGAAGAACAACCGTTGAATATGGTATTTTCGTCAAAATCGAACTATTTTCATTAAAAGTGACATGATTATCTATTAGATGTTTGTTATCTTTATAATTCTGAGTAGATTTTTTTAAAGATGGCAATATTTTTTCTGGAGTATTTGAAAGATATTTTCTCGTATAAAACTTTACTTTTTCAATATGAGAATCGTAACTTGAGCCATTTGGAGGAGGATTCTTAGCAAAAAGAAACATTCCATTATTGAATGCTATGACAATTATTGGCGTTATTGACATAAGAATAGCGACATAAATTGTTACTTTATTGCTGAATGGCTTCAATTGAAATTTCTTTCTAAAAATAAAAGAATAAGAAAGTGTTAATTGAATAAAAATGTATGAAATTACATATCGACAATGGTTTACTGATTTATTTTTGACTATAAAAACAACTAAGAATTAGACACAAAGAAATATTTTCATGAGAATCTACTTAGATAAATCATTGAGATCAAGGAAACATTTCATATCAGACAAAAGAGATATTATCATTAAGCGTCTATTGATACGATTTTATGTATAAAATAATCTACCTTCTAAAGTTGTACATTTCGGCAAATTTCAGTAATTGACGTTTCATATCTGTTGTGCTATCAACACGTATATTTGAGTTGTTTTGCTAGAAAAGACAAATTAAGCTTTTATATAACAGATAAGCTCGTTCTTAGAATGATTCAAAATGCACTAAATTCGGCTTAGTAATAAATCATTCTATTTAATATTTTTTCGTTAATTTCTAACAAAAGTTATCAAAAAGAACTATGGTGCATTTATTTGTAGAATGCAAGTAAAAGACCTTGAGATAAATTATAGTTTTCACAGCAGCAAGCATACCAACATTCAACAGTTTCTACCCATTCAATACTCCCACAATTAATACGAATTTTTGCATGTAATAGAATCAATAGAGTTAATAAAAATCATAAATCACACATTTTCTTAACGTAAAAAGTAAATATGTAAAAACTGAATATTAAAAATTTCTTAATGGACCAAAGTTTTGATTTTAATAACTTCTTATAACTTATCATTGAATAACAGTTAGTGAAGAGTTCTTCATATAAGTGTTTAATACTCTTACACATTTAAATTCATTCTACTAAGAGAATTCTATAATTGGAACACTGCCATTCAGTATTTAAACAAATACATAAACATTAAAATATTCTTAATAGTTAGAGCAGTAGTGATAATTTGTTTAACACTTTCTTTTAAAAAAATCTCTATAAAAGCATCCTTTTCTTAGATATTTGAACATGAAACAAAAAATATCGATGTTAACAATAAATAAGCCAGGTTTCAAGGAGAAGATCCAATATGATATTTCACCATTTTTAGATTTTCGTAATAAGAGAGGTCAATTTCTCTCTTACCAGCTAATTCATCTCTCGTTCGGTTATATATTAATTCCCTCATGCATTGAAGGGCAAAAGGTTGGTAATCCAAATGAAATTTATTCGCAAATAATTCTTTCCTATTAGCCAATAATGATAAATCACCAATACTTAGTATACAAATGCCACGGACCCTTTTTCCAGCACAAGGATAGTCAAAAGGGTAACCTCCCCAATTTTTGAATCGCCCAATAAATGGATATGTTACAGGATCCGTTTCAGGATTACCAGTATATGATCCTGGAATGTGAAGTTGTGGACTGTGATTTAAACTTGGAAAATATGTTTCATCGGGGTGAAAAGTATCTTTAAGCCAATCATTAAATTCTAGTGCAGTTGTATTATGTAGAGCGTAGTCCACGAATCCCCTTTGAACAACTAAATGAACTGCACCTTTTGCAATGGTAATTCCTTTGTTGAATGGTATTTTAGGTTTCATATTAATATCTTTCTCAGTTCTTTCAACGTTCCTTCTTGCTACAGTTCCTTCTAAACTGTTAGCTCCTTTTAGAGATTTTAGAATTTTTATAAGATCCTGCATAGTTTGAAGAGGAAACTCTTGAGCTGTCAAATTGATCAAGTATTTCCACTTGGTTTTTCTCTTCCATAGATTTTTCATACATATAATTTCTGGTTCTAGAACACTGTAAAATCCCCATTTGACATCCACAGCTTCCTTTTCATCAATGACCTCAATATTATCAAAGCATTTAGCAATATTTAAAATAGCAGACCAAAATGGTTGCTTCGACTTTTTATCAACGTGAATACAGTATTGGTTGTGAGGACGATATATTGTTTTCAAGAGATACTCGAATTGAGCAGCATCTTTGAAGGTTAATATTTGAAAGGCTAGAGGATAATCGGCCTCTTCTCGTGTCGGTATAGTTGTAGTATAGTGTCTTCTATACTTTGTACAGTCAATAGCATAGTCGGCTACTTTTTGATCAGGAAAAATTGTATGTTTAATAGAGTCTTGCTGTTTGATTATGGTTTTTGTATATTCAACATCATTATTAAATATCCTACTACAATCAACACCCAGAGCTTTGTACTCGGGAAGAACAACCGTTGAATACGGTGGTTTTGTCGAAATCCATTCATTTTGAGAAGTTAAAATCCTATTACTTGAATTTGAAATTGTGACCTTATGAAGTAGATATTGATTATCTATAGTACTTTTAGAAGGTATATACGAAGGTGACGGTGCCTTTGTTGGGATAGTTTTTAAATTGATGTCATAGACAAAAGTTGGAAGTTTTGAAGAAAGTAATCCAGTAAAGTAATATAACATCAGAATTATAGATATAAATGATAGAATGATGATGGTAATAAAAGCTTTGAATTGTTGAAGTTCCATGAGTGATAATATCCTATCTGAAAAAATAAATACTTTTTAAAGACATTTCTGAGAATAATAATAGCTTAACATAATTTCTATATTTTTTAACGTTGTTTAAAGTTACAAACAGTATACGTGTTATCTTTTGACACGTTGTGCTTTACTCCTTTTCATTGAATTTTCGGAATGTGATAAATGGGTGTTTCTCGTGAAAAAGTTCTAAATTCTTTACAAAGAAAGGTTCAAAAACCAATATTATTGAAATAAAACTTACGACTTTTTTGATTTTTATATTAATTTGATTTGAAATATTTCAAAAACACATTAATAATAATGTATTTTATAAAAATACTGTCTTTGCTTTCTTCATCACGTGATCGTATTTTCCAAAACATTCCTCATGATTTTTAGATCTCTCTCTAGTACCAGTTTTCTTTTAATCTAGTCGTGTTTTTGAGAGGTAGCATTCACAAGAAGTAGCATTTTCGATCGTTCTAGATGTAGGAGCTGTTTTCAAAAATGACTTGGTACGAAAAATTGTTTGACAAGTTTAGTCTTATTGACCGTAATGGACAAAAACGATCAATCGGTGATCTTATATCAGGATTGGATGAAAATAAACGTTTTTTTGGTCTATATTTTTCGGCTTTCTGGTGTCCCCCTTGTTGTAAATTTACACCGAAATTAGTGGAGTTTTATGAAACAATAAGAGAAAAAGGCAAGAATCAATTTGAAATAATTTTTATAAGTTCTGACAAAGATAGAGCCGACTTTGATAGCTATTTACAAAAAATGCCATGGTTTGCTTTGGAATATGATCATCCTCACTCCATAGTTTATGCGGAAAAAGTGGTTAGTATCTTGAAAGATTGAATGAATATATGTCAAAAATGAAATAAGAAACATTAACAATTTAGAAAGATATCGAGATTTTCATTAGAGAGAAAAGTTGTTTGATAAAATTATTGAATATTTATAGTTCCAATGTTCCATTATAGAAAAGGAAACTAGAATTTATAATGATTTATGAAAGCTTTATGTAAATTTTGGTATATAAATTAGATTGAATGAGATACTTGTCATGAAATTTCTAATACGATGAAATTGGAGAGAAAACGAGGTCAAATGGATAAATATACCATTATGGCTTTGACAACTATTCATGTTTTATTTTCAAGTAGGAAAATTAGAAAAAGATAAACTCATTGAAAAAATAGACAAAGAAAGAAATACCCCCAAAGGAGTCTACCCTGGGGAGTCGGCAAGATGAAAGAACTTTTCTTTTCAGAGGCGTTTTTATGCGTCGATTGTAGTTAGGAATGTTGTTCATTTTCTCTTATCTTTTCTTGATTTGTTGGTGTGGAAATTGTATCTTCAACCTACCGTAATATTTACTATTGGGGAAACTCTTATGATGTGATCATTGCATTATTTTATTTATACAAATGATAGCATCTAACCGAAGCGATACGAAGAGAGCTTTCTCATAGTAAACGATTCACTCAGCCGACCGAAACACAAATGCAGCGTTGCGGTCGGATTATTGATTGATGTTAGATAGCGTTTGTAAGGTATCGCTCGGTGGAGATAAGGCAGATGCAGCTAATCTAGAAGAGTGTAAATGTAGTGTAAAATTTTAAGATTCATAGGCATTCAATTTCACTGAAAAGAATAGTGCTAGGGTTCCAAAGAATTCGATATACTTAATATAGATGCGGGCGTTCTTTTATGTAGAGTAAAATATGGTGGGAAAATACAGCCCTTTATCTTATATAAAAAAAAAGAATAGTCTTGAACAAAGGGAAAAAAAAAACCTTTCAACTTCTTATCTGTATCTTTAAACACCCTTACCCTTTCAAAGGGATTAATTAAATGAATAAATTTGATTTATTGCTAGTCGGTACTACGAACTTTAGGCAATTTCGGATATGACTAATCTATAGCTTAGATTTTTACATTTGACAGCCTTAGATGTTTGTATAAATTCCAAACCAAATGATTAAACAATTCCCTCTCCGCATAGGCGGATATGCAAAAGCGTTTCAAAGTAACATCGATTCCCTCATTAATCATACTGGATGCGAAAGATGGTAGTTTGGTTAGAAATGACGGACGATATATGGTTTTGAAAGATCCGGAAGGTACTAACTTTCCCTGGTTCCAAAAAAGCGTGCAGGAAATTCTTGTTCAGGTTTGACTTGTTAAGGATAATTTAGATAGAAGATAATTGTAACGAAACCCAATTTTCAGGGTCCACTTAGCAAAAATGGATCAATGTGCCTAGCGAGTGACGCCTTAACTAATAAATTATTTGGAATACTCTTCTCAGCTCAGTGGGTGAGTAAAATCTTTCTTTTCTCCTAATTTTGCGGGCATGTTTTTTTTTGTTCTAATAACAACAGCTGCCTTGTCTCTATGCAAGTGTACTGACAGCTGAATATCCTAGATAATTGTTATGATCAAAAATAATTAATGATAAGAAAGAAAGAAAGGAAGAGAGAGAGAAATGGGGGAAAATTCAAATTTCTGTATGATAAATGCCTGATACTTGAATGCACACTTTTCCCATTCATCTCTGACATCTTCTTTGAATGAATGTTATTAAAAACCAATTAAATTATTTGAAAGTTGATTTATATATATTTCAACGATCTAATTAAAATTCATTATTCAATATAGTGCCCTCCTTGTCGGGAGTTTACCAAAAGATTAAAGGAGACAACCGAACATCTTAAGAAAAAAGGAATACAGTGGGAAATTGTCTTCTGTAGCGCCGACCGCAATATTGAATCATTTAGAGATCACGTTTCCACTTTACCAACTGATTGGTACGTTATACCTTTCGGTGACGAAAGGAAAGATTCTTTATGCAGATTTTTTAATGTTACTGGTAAGTAAACAAACCTAGAAATCGAATAAGATTTTTCCCCTAATATGTTTTACATTTATTTCTCTCCTTTCTTTAGGAATACCATCATTTATTCTGATTGACGAGAATATGGAAGCGATTAGGACTAATGGACGACTTTGTGTTACTATAGATCCAACTGGAGAGGTGTGTAATACACTTTATTATATCGAATTTTGAAAATTGAATTCTTATAAGTCTCTTTTATTAAATGAAACTTTAATTTAATCTTCCCTATTAGATTTTATATACAGTATTCCAAAGCTAGATAACCAACTACTTCTTGTAATAGTCGTAATGAAATAATCACTATATATCCTATATTGGTAAATTTATTATCTGTATACACCAGATGGCGTAGCAAGAGGATGCTCTTTTTTCTAACTATAAACAGTCTCATTCCATCTGGATTTTTCTAACAATTCTGATTTTTATTTATTCGGCGTACCATTTTATCAGACGAAAGAGATATTGTAAACAGTTTAGCTGGCTATCAAAGTGGTTAATCTTACCCGGGTCTTGGTTTTTTTCTTTTTGACTGTTATAGAAATAAAACTCTTCATTAATCTCTTCACTTTGAAGATGAGCTAAAGTGAATTGGTCATTAAGTTTTTGTAGGAGAATAGATCTAGTTTATACTCTATTTTATGACCTACTTTTAATATTTTAGAATTTTCCTTGGAGACCGAGACAAGTTGAAGATATAAACGACATTACAGCCCAGTCAATAAACGATACCGTGTCCCTAATCATTTTTACAGGTCCGTATGGAATTAAATCATTAGACTTAATTGGATCTTATGACATGTGTATTTTTAACCTCACTAATTATAGAAGGTATAGAGAGTCACGTTAAATCGGCTAAGGAGAATCTGCAAATTATTGCGGAAGAATTTGAAGAGAAACGAAAAAAGAGTAAAAGAGAAAATGAATATATGCCAGACATTGTATTTCTTTTTGAAGAGAAGCCTGTAAGTAATTAATTTTACGTAAATGAACTATTTGAAGTCCATTAATTATCAATTAACTGCGTTTCCAGAGTGAAGTTGTTGAATCAATTAAGAGCTACGCAGAACTAGAAGATCGGGTACCACTTATCGTCCTGCTTGACGTTCCTTCGCAGCAAATTTATATAGATGAAAATAGTATCATCAGTGTTCATCTTCTCAGGCGATTAATTGACGATTACTGCTCTGGGCGATTGATCATGTCTGAAATACCAGATTAGAGTTTATATTCTCTAGTTTGTTTCACTGTCTCTTTAGTCCCTTTATCTTTCCTCTCTTTTACCATATTCGTCTCTTAGGCTAACGATACGTAAAATGTTTTTGTTTATTGTCTTCGTGTTATTCCGTTTCTCTTCCTTCTTTTTCTTCTTTGTGTTCTTCTTTGTTTCTTCTTTTTATTACGAATTCTACTAAGGGAAAAAGGCTTAACTAAATCATCAGTTCCAGTTGTTTTTATTATAATTTTTACGAAATAAACGTAACACTTAAATAAACGGAAGTAGAATGAATGAAAACTCAATAACGAGATAAAGTGATAATATTCTTATAGCATCTTATGGATATGAAGTTGGTGAACAACAAGACGTTATTCTTTTTTTAATGTTCAATAGCATTTGCATACAACCATCTTTATAAGTTCCGCTGAGGTAGGCATAGATAAAAGGATTGAACAGGGCTAGTGCTAAATCTAATGAAATTGTAGCTTCTAATACTAGCCTGGGTACGCATTCACCGCAAAACACACCCATGAGAAGAGACACGAAAAAAGGTGTTCTAAATATGATAATAGCTAAGGTAATCATCGTTAGAACAATCGCAGCCCTTCTACTCTTCTCGTGTCTACTTTCCCTTATCTCACTTGTCTTTCCAAAAGCACGGAATCTATTCGAGGTAACAATAGTTGCTAAGTAAGAAATATTATTAGTTTCCGGTTGTTGATGGATCCTTCTAAATTTCCTCCTTAATTTTATATAAAGCTTAGCATTCCAATAGACTATACACGCTACGGGGATAAAATATTCCAAAAGGGAACTGAAGATAGTATAAGTTATATCATACCATCTTAACCCAATCTTGAAAGGAGAAAAGTATCTGCTATACCTTGAACAAGATGGGATTATATGATTTTTAACAACGTACAATTCAGCGAAAACAACAAACGGTAATCTAAGAAGTATAGATGCTAACCAAGAAATCACAATTTGTAATTGTATGGCCCTTTTGTACCTTTCTGGGCATAAGCTTCTCAAAGGTTCTTCGATTAATTTATATCTATCGTGAGTAAGTATAGTTGAGGTCATAGATATTTCAAAACGTACAACAGAATCTAAGCAATTCCAAATAAGACACGTTGCAATGCTAATTTCCCATTGTGTAATAGCCATCCTAAATGATTGTAGTGGAACGGAGACAAGAGCTATAACAAGATCGCATAGGGCAAGATTCAATATATAGAAATTTCTTCCACTCTCCCATACTTGCGTATTTGATGAGAAAACGACGACAATCAAAGTATTAGAGAAAATCGTAAAGAAATTGATTATTAGAGTTATAGCTCCTAAAGTCAAACCAAAAGGCTCCTGTAGCCAACTTTCAGGCGAATCTGCTGAATCATTCGCAACGAATTCAATAACATTGCTCAAGCCCATATGGACGGATAGTAAAAATTTTCCCTCTTTTTCTCTTTCTTTCTTCTTCTTCTTCTTCTTCTTTATACTTCTCTGTATCAATTTCCTTCCGTATCTGTCTTTCACTTCTCAAAGCAAACTGATAGGAAGAGTTAAAGAAAAATTTATATGTAATTGTGTTATCGTAGAACAGTGACCGCTTCCGCCGATTAAAACCAAGGAACTGTTGAGAAGAAGCGTGTGTTATATTAGTTACGTACTAATTCTACTTTTTTCCTTTGACATTAATCGCCTATTTCCTATTTTTATACTAGCTCATAAATTGCATTATATTATAAACAAATCACAGTTAAGAAGATAACCTTCTGCTAATTAATTTAATTCCTTTTTTTTCCTTTTTCAAACAATAGAAAAGCTTTGTTTTCCTTCTTTTTTTTCATTATATCTTACCTTTAAACTTTCCGAACTTCAATGAACTTAACAAGTACACGCACTCTTTGTATTATTTTATTATTTACATAATAATATATTCTAAAAAATTTTACCCGTCGACCTTCATTAGAGGCGTCTCTTTTTCAATTTAAACTTATTACGAGGTTTAGCGAAAATTTATACAAGTTTATAAATTGCCAAAATATTAATTTATCGTACTAGCTTCCTGATTGGTTGGCGAATTTTAAGATCGTATTCGGTTGTCATAGTAATACTTTAATTAATACTAATAGGAAATTTTCCGTCTTATCACGTCTAAAGGTCAATGAAAGACAAGAGAAAGTAATTTTAAAGTAAAATGTAAAAGATAATTAATTATTACATCAATCGAAATAATTAACATACATAACTTCATGGAGATAGAGTGGAGAGAGAGAGAGAAGAGAAAACATACATTTCCTCTTCATATTATTCCCATTTCTTTCGTTAATTTACGAGAAAATAATTACTTAATATCTCTAAGATGACAAATATCCATTTCCTCAATTAGTAACTTTTTGTTAATCTTTATTAAAGATTTAAAAGATTGTTTTTCAATTTATTCACAATTCTTCAATATCGTTTATATCATCCAACGATCCTTCACTATCCGCAATTGAAGGTTCGTACGTATATGTATAAGTTGTAACTAAAGTATGAGTCAATGAATCTAACGTTTGTCCTGATGAAAATGAGTCCGTTTCCAAATCGTCAGATAGCCACTCTTTAATAATTCCGTCTGGTTCATCGAATCCTTTCGAGTCATCATCTGTGAAATCCATATCTAGGAGTGAAAGTGGCTCAGATATGCTATTCCCTGTTTGATTTTCTAAAGGTTGATCCATGTGATACTCAACTTCGTGTTGCCCACCCTCCACTTCAGAAGGATATTCTGACGGCATTGAATAGTCGGTTGACAAAGAACTGACATCTGAAAACGAATCAAACTTCATACTGTCTTCAGAGGTGGAGAGATCGGAGGAAATAGCTTGTGTGAAGTCGGAAAAGCTATAATCAAGAATATCATCTTCTTTGAAGATTGAAGAATTCGTTCTAGTTGTTAAATTTCCAATAGAAATTGTACTAACTGATTGAAGATTGGCTAATTGATCGTTTTCATAATAAGAATACGTATAGGTCAAAGTATTGGAAGATAATTGACATTTAATTAAGTCATCGTCGTTATGAATAGGTTTATATATTCTTTGGTCATTATTTCCTTCTACATTATCAATTAATTCGTACATTTCAAACGCTCGATTGTTATTACCCTCATTTAGAATTTCAGGAAATGGCTCTTTTTCAATGAAATTATCAAAGGACTCGTATTTAATATCATTAGTGGAAAGATTAACTATATTTTTATCTTTATCCATCTTGTTACCTTGACATTTGCTAATGTCGCTAGAAGTTGAAGAAAAGGAAGTTAGATTGTACTCATTTTTTCTAATAGGCTCACTAAGTGTTATATAATCATAATCGCTATAATCCCTGATAGATTTCCGAATACTTTTAAGGAAATAAGGACAAAGATGGCGTATAATATGTTGTCTTGATACATTTTTATAATCAATAAAATTTAGGTCAAGGTTTTTGGATAATTGTCTAGCCAATACCTTTAACTGATCACATTTGTCAGAATAGTTTGTTATGTCGTATTCTTCTACCAAAAAACCTCCGAGTGTAACTTTAAAGTAGAATTCTCCGGCAGCAGCTTCAACTCCTTTTAATCGAACAAATACATTATGAAGGTGTCCTCTATAAATTAAACTCTCTCCTTTATAATATTCGTATCGACGACAATTGTGATCTATAATTATCGTTCTACCCTCTATGCACCAAATAAGCCGCATAACCAAGTATAAACCATACAATACCGATACTGTTATGTAGTCGTCAAGACCATTCGATGTCTTTAAAAATACCCTTAGAACTGAGAAGATAATTAGGCCTATTAACAGATTAAAATTTCTAACCGTATCCCAAGTTGTTGAAGATGTTAGAATATAAATACCCTCCTCTGATATTGTAAATGGATATATTGGATTTTTTTTCATCCTCTTCCTTAAATAGACTTCCGGCGATTGAAAGAGCCAAGAATTTCTTAATTTTTCCAAACTTAATTCTTTGATATTGATAGTTTTTTTCCAAATAGTTTGATTATTATTCATCTTCCATTGATGAAAGTGTATTCCCTTTTCCTTGATCATCTATCTATCTATCTATCTATCTATCTATACATATATGTACTTTTTCTTTTTATTAATGAGTAATTAATTATAAATTATTTATGCTAATGAGATGTATTTATAAATAAATAATAGTATAAAAAAAAGAGTAATGTGACCAATAAATTTTGAATATTTGAAATAAGCGACATCTATCATCTTGTTCTAAGAATAAATTAAAATCTCGAAATGCTTTAATTTGAGAAAATAATTACTTAAATTCTATGACGTAGTCATGTTCATTCTTTATATCATTATGCAGACATTTCCTATCTTTCTAGTTGTCTTTCAAGCGTTGTTCAAACATGTTTCGTTGCTTTTTACATGTTTGCGTCATATGTTTTTCCTATATGTATCATTTTGAAAGAGTTATTGGTACATGCCCTAACAACATTTCATCTTCAGCTTGGTACGAAATTAACGGTAATTGCTATTTTTCAAGTCAGAAAGGACAATTGCCAAAGGAGAAAGCTAAAAAAGCCGAGTTGGCGTGTTGGAAAATTAACCCATCGTTAAGAATCGCTTCGTTCCAAACTTCATCCGATATAAACGCCATTTCAGTTTTATTGGACGATTGGACCGAACACTATATTGGCTTATATAAAGAAAGTGAGCAACCGAATCGTAAAAATTGGACATGGGTTAACCCGTTTTATAACTATACTATGGAAGAATTTAATCCATCATGGAGTGGAGGTGAACCTAACGGGGCAAATGATCTATATTACGGTGTACTTTTTTCAACGTGGACTCCATCACTTTGCGATAGACCTAGCTTTATGAAGAATTATTATTTATGCTTACAATACGAATTTGATCCTAAACCTTGTATGGAAGAAAAGGGGATACACGTAAATCATTTCTTTTCTTACACATTCACTCAAGATCAAAATTGGAACGTCGAACCAAAGTATAACCTAATTAACTATAAAAAATTTAGATGTATTTCATTATGTTCCTTGGAAAATTGTAATATTATTATTTATGATCATGTAAAAAGCAGCTGTTATATTTGGACTTGGACTTCCGGACCATTGAAATTATTCTCCGTAAAACCGATAGAGAGTACTGCAAATCCATCAACAACTATTTTTGTTTCTAAATGTTCAAGACTGTGTAAATTTAAAAGTAATAAAATAATTTGTGTTTAACCTCTGTACTAATTATTCTACATTCCTCTCTTCTAATATAAATCTATTAAAGGGAACAAATAATGAAAAGATAGGTTAAATTATCAATATTTTTTCTCACATTATTGCCCATTGAAGAGCCAATAGAGATAATTCTACCAATTAACCTATATTTTCTATTTTCTTTTTCTTATTATTTATAATAATAAAGCAGAGAGACAAAATTTTTTACCGGATTTATTAATCAACCCAAATGTTCCGCAATAGAATTCTCCATAATAGTAATGGATTTAGGAAAGATAGAATACAATTTGGTCAGATAAATAGGTTGCTGATGAAGAGATATGTTTAAAATATCTTGTAGCATCCCAAGATCCTAATATATTCTAATCGTGGAGGAAGTAGAGTGTATACTTATATACATCGACTTAGAGAATTCGAAACAATAAGGCAAATATTAAAATTACATATCATTAGACACAATATAGAATTCTCTTCTTAATTTTGAAATGGTCTCCAAATGATAAAAGGCATGTTTATATTTGTATTTGATTATATACAGTTTATCTTGAAGCAAAATTGATAAAGATCAACATATTAGTTACGAACAGTTGAATTCTTTTCATTGTATAACTTAATATTTCTTTATCATCACTTTTTTCGTAACAGGAACAAAGTCCTCTTGAAATACTGAGTCAGAATTTATATTGAATATTTATAATACAATATCAATTCAAACAAATGAACCCAATGCACTGAAATTATTGGTTGACTATCCTAAAGATCGATGTAAATGATTTATGTTTCCGTACATATCTGTAAAATAAACATATTTGCTATCCTTTTTTTAACCTATTTTGTTTATTGATAAGGCATATAACAGTATTTTATAAAATATGGTATATTTACAAAGACTGCCCGGATTTCAGTATAGATTTCCAAAGCCACCATGGAGCAATTGTGCTTATGATAATCCAACATATGTTGGAATTTATGGTATAGATTCGTGTAATAAGTATCATATAAATGAGTTTATTACATACAAATGTAAATGTCAAATGGATATTAGCAAGTAAAAACAATTATAGTAAACAGCTATATTAAAAATATATTATTATACTCTTTCAGATCCAAATAGGTATAGTAGCAGTCATACTGACAGATTTATGTTTAGTAGGGAAACAACTAAATGCTAAAGTGCTGAATATATGACGTTCTTTTCCAACAAAATGATACACTTATAGAGTATCTTGTGCCCTTCGTTGTCAAAGTGTTCACTACGTTATAAGAAGTCCTATTAAAATACTTGTGGGAGAGAATACAGTATTCACAATGTTTATTAAATATAAAAAAAAGCATTTTAGATCTTACGGCAATTTCACTGTACGAAAAACTATGCATGCATTTAAGCGTTCCTCGATTTATATCCTCTTTGTTTATTTTCTGAAGTAAGCTGGAGTCCAACATTCACTCAGCCATGATTCATTATTAGGTGCAATCATTTTCTTCTCGGTAGGCGAAAATCGTTCGATTTTTATAGCTTCTATTGGGGTAATTATACTTGCCCATAGGTGCAAGTTTATTGAGCTAATAGTTTGGCCTAGCGAAAATTTTCTATGTTTGCGGAATCAAGTACTACAGATAAAATGAAAAAGAAACTAGAAATGACTTTCAAGAGATCTCATAGTTTATAGTAAACGTCGACAAAATAAGTTTATTCAATTTTGGCATCAAAATTTATTGGGGCAAAGAGTTCTTGTGAAATAATATTCTGTATAGATGGCTAATTATCCAAGATAACCAAATAAACGCCCTATGTATATTTCTGGAAACTTAGCGAAATCTCAAGCCATCAGAAAGACTTTCTGCTTATATAGTCGACCTACTAAACTAGTTTTTTTATGTAACAGTATCAACTTCACATTATAAATTATAGACTATGTTTAGAAATAAAATAAAAATCTGTCTTATTTTTTATAGCGAACAGTAAAATTTTTATAATTAATAACAATTCAAGAAAAAAAACAAAATGAACAAGATTAACCAAAAGTGTCTTTCTAAAAATCTCTACAAAAATGTGCTTTCGCAAAATACTCACCAATATCTTCATGAACCTGGAAATAGATAAAAGTTAACTAATCATCGACATTTCGAATTGGTCGGATCGAAATTTCTTCGTTAAATTAGCAAAATATACCTTTTATGAAGAGGAACTCGATCTACTATACCTCTTCCTTTTCTTTTTTGAGGACTTATCAATAGTTTTAGTTTTTCTTGTTTTCGATCTTGATCTAGACCTCGATCGACGTCTTCTTGACTTTCTGTTACTACTACGGGAACGTCGATGACGATGACGACTAGAGGACCTACTCCTTCGCTTTCTTGATTCTCTGTCTTTGCTACTCTTTCTACGACCATCTCGGCTACGAGATCTAGATCTTGTTGACCTCTTGTTTTTCGATTCTCTCCTCCTACTGTTATGAGTTTCTTTAATGGGTGATCTTTTTAAAAGATCTTCCCTAGAAGACTTGAAATCTTTGGATAAACTAGAACGCTTATCCAAGTCTGCGTTAAATTTTTAATAAGAGTAAATTTACTACTATTTAATTGAAATTAAATTGTTACCATTATTATCTTTTTTTGGATCTAGCATTTTCTGCTTAAATTTCCTTAGGAGTGCGTCGCTTCGATCAAATAACTGTTCCTCGTCAGTGGAGTCGTCCGAAGTTCCACTCCTCTTGTCCGACTTTTCACTGTCCGAGTCGTAACCAAGTCCTGTGAAAGTTTAGACGATTTACAAATGTTAAGAGTTATATCCTTTCACCATTAGCTGTCCTTTCTCATAAAGGTGATTTCACTTTAATAAACGATGATCAACTGTATGTCTATACTCATGTTTTTTGTTTAAACTTAAGACGGATAATTCTCTTTTCTAGACCAATATGAAAATGTAACAAGTTATTACTCACCCAGCGAAGTTATAGAAGCTAAAGCCGATGACTTGGCTATTTGTTTTGCAGGAGCTTTATAAAGAGACAAATGAACAATGATACATAATAAATATGTAGCTGCAAACCACATGTATTAGCAAGTTTTTCTACAAGTATACGAATATATAATTCAACAAACGTTAATGAGTTCATTAGAAGTTTAACAGACAAAAAATCTACCCAACTACCTTTCAATTTGGCCTTTTCAAAACATTTGGAAGCCTGACTGGCGATAAGCTGGTTGGTAACATCGAGAAGAATTTCAGTGAGAGCGTTTCTTGTGAAATTTAGCTAAAGTAAATATTAGATTACAATGTACTTTTAATTGTAAAATTGATTTAAAAAAGACTAAAGAACCCGTATTGCTTCTCTTTGTTCCTCATCCATCTCTTCCAAGATTGTTTCAAAGCTTAATGGTTGCTTTTCCACAGCTTGAGGGCTCTGCTCCATGTCCGATACATTTCCATCAGAATACTGTGGGGAATTTTTAATTTAACGTTATTAACATCTGTTGCAGCTAGCGGTCCCATTTCATGACACATTTATACAAAAATTTTAGCTAATTGGATATATATTTTTTAATACCAACATTTATATCATTTTTTGGACTTCCAATTAAATCTAATGTATCAGAATCATCTTCCATCCATTTTCTAGCGCTTTTCCTTCTTTCTTCAGCCTATTCTCAACATAACAAGAATGTACACTCGACAAAAGGGCTGTATGTTATGAATTTTTTACCTCTTGCTCTCGTTTTTCTTTTTCTGCCTGTTTAGCCTTTTCCTTTTCCATTTTTTCTAATTCTTCCCTAATCCACGAAGGTAATTGTTTTCGTCTACAGGGATCTATTTGATCTCCTAAGATTACAACAAATCATTAAAGTGTAATATTTACACATATAGAGAGTAGATATGGTAAATATAAAACAAACCTATTCCACTATCGTCTAAAAACCCGTACGGCTGAAGAAATTCGCAATAAATTATTAATAGTTGAAAGGTTTTTCGGGTTCTATTTTTTTGTTCTCACCTGTTCTGCTACGCTTTCAGTTTGAAGTAGTGGCTTCAGAGGTTCTAGCTCTACGGCTAAAAAGAAACAGTTTTCTTTAGTTTGCAAATATTGACAAAATCGAACAAAAATAATGGATACTCGAGATCTTTTAGTTAAAAAAAACTCAATTATAATAGTCTTGTGAAAAAATACAAATAATATACTAACAAGGCTGAAAAGGAGGTCGTTTGGGGATATCCATAATAGGCCTTGCTTTATTAGCACTGTTTATTGCATTGAAGTTCGGTGGCCTAGGATCCATGCTCCGAGGCTGATGTATAATAGGAGCCCGAAGTCTTTCGGGTATCTGATGATGCCTTGGCTGTGAATCTCTGTGAGCTATCCATTGTCGAGCTAATAGTGCCCAATCGACTGAAAAGTAATAAGAATTCAATACAGCTTCTAGGATGCATAAAAGCAGTAAAGTGTCTTTTTGGTTTAAATTGCTGATTGTTCTTTGCTATTGATAAATAATAAAATGATAATAAATATAATGCTTACTGGTTGAGCTTGGAACATTAACCAACATCTGCGGGCTCCAAGTAGCCGGATTAGCAGGTAAGTTAATAGGTAAACCATAAGGAACAGGCTGTCTCGGAGGCCATGGTGGTGGAGGACCTGCCCGGTTCCACATATCTTCTAATTTGAAAAGATCCTATTTCTTTCACCATAAAAAGGTAAATTTAACTGCAACCTCTAGAAATCAACAAATTTTGTGAATTCATTGCAATGTGCAGTTTTAACTACTTTAATAGACCTCACAATTTTAAGAAATCATTTTCATTTATTTACAGCGGAAGTAAAGTTGCGCATGCGTGATTGCTTTTGTGTTGTGATTGCCGATTGGTTAAGAGTTGTAAATATAATATCAATAGTAAATTCGAACGTTATCAAAACGTTCTTAATTTTAAAGATTGTTTTGTAAACAACATAAAAAGCGTCTTTTATATCCCAGAAAAGAAAAGGGGCTTATAAAAATATTTAGCATATTTGTGAATATATTAAGAAAATTAGTAGCATTTGACATCGAAATTATTAAAGAATGACAATCTTAACATTATACCGAGAAACCTTTCTTTAGAAAGATGATTATTAATAAAATAATGAATGAAAATAATTTCTCAATAAAATTCTGAGAAAAATAATAATGAATACAATATCTTGATGTTTATTTTAGATAGATATAGTTAACAAAAGATGGAATTGGGTTATTAGATAAATACAGAATTCTTTAGTAATAAAAGTATATATGAAGACGTTTATTATATTTAAACCATGCTTTCATTCAAAACACACGTATTTTAATTGAGTTTAGATTAGGAGCATGTCTAAAAATTTTAAATATTTTAGACTTTATTAATTATTTCTTAGATTGTTCTTACAGCGCGAATCGGTTAAAACAATGGGAGGATAAAGAATGATTTATAGAACATCACGAAAAGAACTACCCAGTACGTCATAATCAATTATGTCTTAAAACAAAATTATATATGAATACACCTAATAATACTTCACAAACAGAAACTACAATTTTTACGCCTATAAAAAATGGGCTTCTGTTGGCAGGATACGGCGTAAACACGTGGTAAATAGCCGGTGAAAGACCTATCGTTTAATTGCGCTGTCGCTTAGAATGAGAAAATTAAAGCTGAAGGAAGATGGAATATGTCGCATATTTTTCTCATCGCCCTTCAATGGTATGGAGGAGGAAAGAGAATTGGCAAAGAAATTTTGGCCAAAAATACAAGCATTTTGTAATTTTAATGGAATTCAATTTCGAGCCGTAGATATGAGATGGGGCATAACTACTCAGAATGTAGCAGAAGCGAAGGTTATTGACATTTGTTTGCAAGAATGTTCCAGGTCGGATATATTTATAGGCTTTTACGGACAAAGATATGGGTGGCATGGTGTCAATGACCGGGACTTACAAGAAAATTTCGAACGTTCTAAAATTAGATTTCCTTGGATAAATAGCTATAGGGATAGAAGTATTACAGAACTAGAGTTCATAGCAGGCCATTTAAATTGCCCTGGTGCTATTCCAGCATGCATTTGCTTCCGAGATATAGTAAGTCTAATTAACTTTTGCGCATTCATAAATTCAATTGTTTTCTCTTGTTAGAGTTATGATAATGAAAAATACGAAAAAGCTAAAAACGATGGAAATAATGAAAAGATGAAAGCTTTCTCAGTCGAATCAGCCAATGTAAAAGTAAGACTGCAAGATCTTAAAAAAAGAGTTACAGAAACTCGAGATAAAACAATAGGTATTCATATGTCTTACAAAACTCCATTAGAGGGCGTGGAATTTATGTCCTCTAGCATTTTGAGATATCTCTCAGAAAATGTTTGCAAGGAGCATACTAAATTGTCCCCAAGAGAGTTATCCCTTTGTCACCATGACAATTACGCAACCGCAAAATCTAAATCCTTTTTTGGAAGAAAAGATATACTAAAACGATTGTTCAATACGAAAAAGAATGTTGTTCTAACTGGTGAAGCGGGTTGCGGCAAGTCGGCTATTATAGCTACTTGGAGGAAAATGTTAGAGATTCCCTCAATTTTAAATACTATAATAATTAGTCATTTTGTTGAATGCAAAGATAAGATGTCTGCTTATCACATTCTAGAAAGAGTTAATTTAGAACTACTACTTGCCATGCAATCAAAGGGTTACGATATAGGGAAAGGTTTTATTCGAAATGGATCCAATCTTGAAGATCATATGAGAGAATTATTATCTATGCTTGATAAACTGAAAACTAGAGATGAAAACTGCGTGATTATTATTGATGGTTTGAATAGAATCGCTAAAAAGGAACAGACTGCCAAAGTAAAGTTTTCTAATTAGTTATCGATTTTTCTCATTTTAATACTGCCTTTTGTTACACTGTAGACGCTGGGGTGCATTCCAAACTTTCAACTTAAAAATCTACAAATAATTTTAGCAACATTGTCTTCCGATACTGAAAATATTGAAGAATTAAAAATGAGAGGCTATGAAGAAATAAAAGTACCTCCTCTTGATGAAGTATCTAAGCTAAATATGTGTTTAGTATGTGTTAATTAAAAACTTAGAATTACTATTTGAGAATTTCATCTCTGTCGATTAAAACAGACTATCCTAAGAGATCATTCAAAAGAAATGACCAAGGACCAAGTTAAGAAAGTGTTAGATATCCGCCAAACAAACAACCTACTCAACTTAAAATATCTATTCGAGGTACCTTGATGAAATATTTAATTTAAGAATTTGTTCTAACGTACTATACTTTCATAGAGAATATGTACATCAGACGCTCATAAGAAGCTTGAATTTACAATCGACGATCTATCATCTATTAAAAATATGAATACAACTTCCGGAAAAAAGTGGAAATTAGAATAAGCAAATTGAATAATAGTTTTTTGTTAAAAAAAGAAATTTTCAAATGCGATTTGCTTTAGACACATTTTTGCGGTAATATTTTGCTTGTTCAATAATTAAGTAAATAGACCTTATTATTACTTTATAAATAGAATATAAGTATAAATTTATATACTACTACTACTACTATATATAGTATACACTGTATATATATAACTATTTTCAGTTGTGTATCAGTTAATATCTGTACAGTAATAATTTCGAGGCAGTTGTTAGTCTATTTTCTCAATATTTGTATATTGATATTTTAATATATCGTCTAATGTAAAGTCTTGATAAGCATTTATTATAAAGTTGATGCCATATTATCGATGAAACAGTATCACTAAAAAAAATATTTATAACTTGTACATTTACAAATTGACGCACTCTATGCGAAATTTTTCATAATGAATACATTTTTGAACAGGGACTGTACTTTGTTAGAAAATAAAAGACTTTTTAAGTTTAATTATTTTTGTTGAATAAATATTTTGACTACTATTTGTTACTTTTGTTTTATATAATTCAAATAAAAGCATTGTTTAAGTTCTTATCAAATATTATTTCAAAAGAAAACTTTCAGAATCAAATTGGACATGGAATCAGTTTCAATATGGTAAATAATTCGTATCAATAAACATCGAAGACAATTCAAAACCATGTGTTCGGCTAGTAAAACACTCCAGATAGAAGTTCTAAAGGGCTGGTGTTCAGCTTTGCTGTAATCACGCATGGAACTGGATTTGATTAGGTAACCATATTAATTGTTGCACAAGAATCTTGTAAATTCCTGTTTTAAGTTTTCTGATTTAAAATTTACGTCTATATTTCACAAGAATAAGAGACAGACTCTAAATCATTTTTCTTTCCTTACGGCTTAGAATTGTATAAATTAGTCAAATGAGTAGCAAGAAATTGGGAAAAATTAGTGGCCGAGGTGGGCGATAATACAATAGATTTGAGAATTGAAAATTAAAGAACTTTTGCATTCTTAGGTAGCGGCGGTTCCGCTCGTCAGCAAAATGAACCAAAGAAAACTTTACCTAGGTTTATTCCAGCTGGATATGAAATGGATGAAGAGCTTGAAAAATACTCACCAGAAGCTCCCTTTCATCATGGATTCTCAAACTTGAGTGAAGTTCCTTATGTTTTGGAAAAAGCTGAATTATGCTCTGACGATGACTCAGTTGAGTCTTTGGCTGGATTTAGTTTTGGAAATTACCTGCAAAGCGATAATAGTAAAGAGCGAAACAGCAATGAAGAAGTTTTAGATGCACAGGAATTTCTTTCACCATTAAATCGATTAATACACGATTACAAGAGAATCACTGGTAAAAGAAAATATCCAGAAAATTTAGAGTGAGTCCATCGATTCATTTATGATTGCAGATATAATTCACAACTTCATGAAGTTGTTTTAAAATGAGCATTGGTAATACGACAGTTGCTAAAAGTGTTTTTTTTTGTCCTCAGACAACTTCAGGAAGAAATAGGTCGAACCGATAATGTAACAAATAATGAATGGGTGAGGAAAATTTTAGAAATATGGGGAACTGATCGAAAAAATTTCTCAGAGCAAAAATTAACAAACTTGTTAAATAAATGTTTCCAAGAAGTGGTCAATCCTTATTCAACAGCCATTTATCTATTTTATAATGCTTTACAACCTGGCCAAAAGTTAGGAAAGAAAAACACTCTAACAATCTTTATTGTTAAATATTTTGACATGTGGATTAATAACAGCCGAAATAAGTATAAAAAATATCTAAATCGCTCCATTCAGGTAATATTTTGAATTATTCAACTTCATAGACTATATGAAGAATCCTTATATATTTTTAAATAGGAAAAAGCATTTTTGTTTACTTTGAAATGTAGAGTTGTGCTTCATAAGATAGTAAAAAGCTTCGATTTAGCCAATTCAAACAACCTATTTTTGATACCTCATATTAATGTACTGCTCAAAAGTGAAAGATTTGTCGATGCGGCCTTCTCCATTTCCAGTTTAAAACTTCATAGCCACTTTGATATTATGGAAGTATGCCTGCCTTTACTCTGCCAGGATAAAATAAATGTTGTTGAAAAATATTGTGCTAGAAATGCTCTACAACAAGAGCAGTTTTTGAAACTATTGGACAGGCTTTGTGATCCTAGAATTAATGCTTTTTGCATTCCAACGACATTGAGTTTCAGTGAAGTTACCAAATCAGATCGGTTACAGTGCAAAAGTTTGATTAAATTAGCAATTAGATTAGCTAAGCTGTTTGAAATAGATATTAATCGATGCGAAAATATATTGAATTCTTCAAAATTAAAAGCTCTTGGCTACCTCATGTACCGGTATTTTGTTGAAGTATAAATGTTTTTTTATTGGTTTGTTTTAAAGAAAACTAAATTTTCTTTTTTCTTCAACAGAAAAGTTTGCAAACTGTTTCTAATTTTCGAGATCTCTGTGAGTCAACCCTTGAAGGAGGATCACTATACTTGAAGGAGAATTTTATCAATAAACTCTCGTACTATGACTATTTTGAAGCAGCTTATTGGACAAAGAGATTGGGTGTTACAGAAGATGCTGTACCCCAATCCGTGTGGCGCTATGTAGATCAAATAGATTCGGATAATGAAAATAATTTTTCAGATGATTCTATCAATAATGAAGATTATTTAAATTTACAAATATCCACTGATAGGATTATATTAATTTCTAAAAAACATGAATTTCTTGATGCTCTTAGAGCTTTATCTAAACCAGGGAACATTATAGGAATCGATGCAGAATGGAGACCCACGCTAACATTTAGTGGATCGTCTCCAAGGTAAATACATTACAAGTAATCTTTAAAACTGTTTGAATAACGTAACAATATTTCATACTAGAATGGCTCTACTGCAACTTGCACTGATTGACCGAGTTTTTCTTTTTGATATGTTGGCTCTAGTCGACTCCTTAGACGATATTTGTTGGAGATTATTCTCGGAAAAAATCTTTCTTAATGAACAAACAATAAAACTAGGATTTTCAATATCTGGGGATTTTACAATGCTTGTTCAAACGATTCCAGCATTGAAATATGACTTAGAACTTTCAAAGAATGTTGTCGATATCTTAACGTTGAGAGATAATGTAGATATTTTTGTTTCAAACTTATTGTTTTTTAAAAATACGAATTTTCAGTTAACAAAAGTTGCTCCTAATTTCTTCATTCAATCTGAACAACAAAAATATAATTCGAATTTGAAAGGATTAAGTGAATTAACAAACTTTATACTTGGAAAACCTTTAAATAAAAATGAACAGGCTTCAAATTGGGAAAAAAGACCGCTAACTAAAAGACAATTATACTATGCTGGTAATTAGTCAGTTTTACAAATCGGAAAGAAAGTAATTTCCTTTTTAATTATCTTGCAGCTTTGGATGCTCACTGTTTAATTGATGTCTATATCCAATTGAAAAGTGCTTGTCTTGAAAGAGGACTGAATTTCGACGCACTACATTGCATCTCCATTTTTCATTTTGACGGACAAAAGAAAACCAAAAGTCAGAGAACGCGCGATCGTTTTAAAGAAAAATTGAAATCAGAACAAACTGTAACAGACAAGCAGGTACCAGAAGTAGGCGAAAAGAAAACAGAATGGATTAGTCCTCAAGAGTTAAGAGTGGTTGTTGATTCTATGCTCGCAGGTTTGGGTCGGGAACTTCGAAAAATTGGAATTGATGCAATGATAATTGAGAATAACCACAAAGCTCACTATGAGTGTGCCGAAGTAAGTATTTAAACTTTTATCATGTCAAAAGTTCATAAATACATTTCAGATAGCTCTTAAAGATAATCGAATAGTCCTTACATCGGGTAGTCCTTTCTTATCAGTAAGCACTTAACATTGAGCAACAAATATATAAAATTAAACAATTTTTTCCTTTAAAGCTACGTTCGCAACTTGGCGAAAAATTAGTATTCAATATAGCGACGTGCAAGCTGACGGATCAAGTTAATCTAGTTGTTAATCATTTTAAAGTTAAAGTATCTATTGGTGATATTTTCAGTCGTTGTGTAGTAAGTTATTACTCCTTGTTTATAAGAAGTCGTAAAAGTATATTCCTCTGTATTTAGATATGTAATGGAGACAAATACATGTTTGTCAGACCTGAGCAATTAATAAAGGCAAAAGAAATGGTTTGTTATCGCCCAACTAAAGACTTTACTTAATAATTTTTTTATAATTCCAGAATGACAAGAAGAAATCGTGTGAAAGGGAAAAGTCTCCAAGACTTCGAAAATATGGCTCAATTTACAGAACTAAAAAAGAAATTTTGAGAGCGAAATCAAAAAAGATCCGATTTGACGAATTAAATTATGAATCTTTATGTGTGGGAAACGGCGTACCAATTCAATTGAACACAATATCGACACATAAATTAAAAGAAGTGAAAGAGTTATACATTTGTTGTACTTGTGGAAAAGTATACTGGGAAGGTGTACACTATGCAGATACTTGCAGTAAATTCTCACAAATTTTAAATAACCACAAAGATTCTTAAACTGTTACAATTTGTTGAGGTCAAAAAATAATACAAATCGAGCGATACTTTTGTAAGGAAGGCTTTGTCAACAATACTTTATAACATTCTTTAGATATATGTTTAACCTGGTTTGAACTTCCAGATGTAAAAAGAGCACTAATAAGCGTTTTATTTAGCTTCAATTTAAAGATCAGTATTTTGCAAGTTAGTGTTTCAAAAAAACGCAAATCTCCGAAACGTAAGAAAAGGTCTGGGACTCATTATGACAAGCTTATTAAAAGGAAGGGAGAAAATAACTCAAACAGTAAACAACTTATATTTTAACAATCCTTAGTAAACAAACATTTTAAAATTTATCAAAAGGAAATAAGAGCAAATTCAAAAAGAATAAACAATTTTAAGTTTTCCTTGTCATTATTTTTAAATATTGAAGAGCATGGTGGGCTGCTTCTGATCTAGCTAGCTCATAAGTTACGCCAGATCCGTGAACTACAGCAACTGGCATAGTTGATAATTGCAAAAGAACTTGAAAATTACCATCAAAGCCCTGTTCATCTAAATTAACATAAGTTACTTCGAAACGTTGCTCACTTGCAATGTCTTTGAGAAGGTTTACATATTGCATATCAACAGAATTAAGCTGTTTATCCTGTAAAGAATTTAATTGCTTTCCAGAAGAATTTCTCATATTTTGATAAAATTGAGTAACTTTCTGGCTCATCGTTGGCTGAAGAGGAGGACATGATTTAGTACTCTTTAAGGCTGTATAATTTGTGGCAGGATCGGAAGAATTCTGACAATCAAGATCTTCACTTGGATCAATCGTTATTGCTCCAGTCTGGAAATAAATTAGTAAGTTAACTTTAAGTTAAGTATGGCTTTTAAAATACGCACTTGTATTGCTGTAAGCATGACATGGGCGGCCTTCCTTTTAGCCATTTTCTTAGATTTACCTAATCCTTTTTCGACAGACTTGCCTAAACGAACGCTACAAATGAATTCCCTTTGATGAGGTGGCCCCTGCTCTCCCGTATAATCATAAATTGGAGGAGACCAAAGATTTTTCTGTGCCATCTCCTGCAATTCACCAACTGGATTTGAGCCTGTAGGTGGAGGCGTTGCTGGAGAAGATCTTGCATTGGCAGACGGTAAGACCACTTTACGTGATTCTGAGGAGTTAGATTTATTGCAGGTATCTTTCGTCAAAGTTGTTTCTTCAATATTTTCAGCTGACTTATTTGCTTCAGAAGCAACGAGAACATTAGACACACCAGTCATTTTGCTTAATACTTGAGATGCTGCATTGTGTTTTGCTTTCTTCTTGCTCGTACCTCGACCTGTACCGTAGAACTCCCCACAAGACACTTTAAATACGAAAACTGGTTCATGAACGGCGCCTTCGTTAGCAATTAAGTCATACTGAGGAGTTATACTTCGTTTAGTGCATAGTTCTTGTAAATAGCTTACAGGCGTTTTCCCTTGTAAGTTAGCCATTAAGGGAAATAATAGCCTGTTTTCTATCTGAAAAACAATAAATTAAATTATTTATTCATTTTCTAAAAATAGTAAGAGGCAACTAAATTTAGTTTCTAGTAGTAAACTAGTCATATCATTTTAGTCTGCAAAACTTTAAAGTATATGATGTATAATAAGTTCAATCTAAAAGACAATAACATTTATTTTGATTACTACTGAATTAAAAAAAATTTATGCTCTTGATAAAATCTGCTCTTACAAATATTTATTCTCTTTTATTCCTCGATTTTATTAGCCTAATAAGTAAAAAATAATTGCTCATGATTACGTTATTATCCCATTTCTTTGTACGAAACGAAACTAGGGGTTATCACATAATAAAAATATATCGAGTTCTTAAACTTTAAAATATGCCTATGCAACCAAAGGTCAGGTTGCACAATTATATGGAAAAAAAAGTTACTAAAACTAATAAATAGTAATTTAACTAGTTACCTTTCCATATACTAAAAATAACTTCAGTATACTGATGAACGATTCCGCTTCCGATTAACCGGTTGCAATTGATCGGTAACTATTAGTAACCGGGTATCCTATCCAAAGTCTATTTTTCAAACATTCTCTCAACAATTTCTGTATATCGAAGAAAACGTATTTTAAAATACAAGATAATTAATTTATAAATGTAAGGATCAAAACTTTGAAACCTTTAAATTCAATCCCAATGTGTTATTTATAAATAGCCACACTATTTCTCAAATTTAAAATTGAAGACATTTTTATTTTGTGCGTTTTCGCCTATCTAAATAAATTTAAGAAAAATATACAAATAATTAACAAGCCTTTTTAACTAGTCATGTTTCAATATCTGTTTGAAAATCGTTATCAATAAGATTACTAAGATTATTCATAAAGAATGCCTAGTGTTTTTTAGAAACATACTATTGTACGTCCAGACAATGATTAACTATGAATAAATGATAAAAATAGAATGAAAATTAGTAAAGTCGATCTTTTAAGAGTTTATTATAGCGTCAATTTAACTCTGCGGGAGTTTTATAAGAATTAATAAAATATTCATCAGCTTTGGCTATTGGCTATTGAATTAAAGAAAGAAAAGCAATATAATTTGACTTTTGTCTTAATTAGCTGTCTACAACAGAGAAATCGTACTTTTAAGCGAAAATAAGATTGTAAACAAATTAAAGATTTATAATTCAAGAAAGGCAGTTTATTTCAATCAAACAAAAGTAACTATTTGTAGCAAGTAATATTAGTTTATTTACATTTAAGTGCCGTGAATTAGCGCAGACTGTTATTAACTTTTAAATAGAAAAGCGCCAAACAATAATCCGTGAAAACGTGAAAACTGGTTATTGATTTATAGGTGTCGCTAGTGTGATTTACTCTAAAACCAAATGAGCCTCGTTCTCATTTTCGAAACTTTTCTCAAAGCTTCCATAGAAACGAACGTAGAAACGAGCTAAAAAAATGAATTTTGCAGATATAAATAACTTGATGCCTATTTTTTATCTCTAATCTGCAAATAATATCGTGATTAATTTTTTAACTTCGTTCATTCATTTGATAACAACAAAATAGTTTTTAACCAAAGATGATGTAGAGAAAAAAACCCGAAATATTTCTTACTGTTTATTGAATATTGCGTGCCGTAAGTAGACTTTAACTGTTTGATATTTTATTAGAATATCCGGGCGTTTATAATACGATATGTTAGATAATATTTGTAGAAATAAGTGTTCAAGACACGAACTAGTTTGCTTGTGTACATATACTATGCTTAGACGTCCAGATTACAAGCCTGAACACATGGATTCTACGTGCTTTAGTTTTTCAAAATGCTCAAAAATATGATCTTGTCGGTTGAAATATCAATAGCTTTTAAAAGTTAATTCGACTAGAACAATATAAGTAAAAGAATGTCGTAAATTCTATTAATAAAAAATAGATTCTCTTCTCAGAAAATCAAAGAGAATATTTATGTTCGGGCGGCAAGTTTTTTTTTTAATTCTATTCCTTTGAAATGAAAAAATAGTAGAATAATTTTCTATCAATTAAATATATATTGATGAACCGTTTTGATCCTAAGAATATTCAATAGATTAGTACTGATATATAATAGAATGATTATTCAACGTGAAATATAGAATATAGAAGAGAATTGTATAGGAAAGGGAGAATAGGGAGAAAAAAAGTTGAGTAAGGATATTCCTTATCACTTGAATTATTTGTAGTAAATCGGCCAAAAAACCTAACTACAGTGTGAGAAAATATCGATATTGTAGCAAGTACGCAATTATATCGCGTATCGATCACTTAAAAAATTCGTCAATCTCTTTTTTTTTATTAATTCAATGTTCTTCCTAAACTTCATCATACTTAATTTCGAACACAAACCACCTCTTAAGACTTTCTATTTATTCGATAATCCATTAGTCGATACATTCTGTCCACAGAAATATTTTGATTATGAGTCGTTATGAAGATTGTATAAGCTCGGATTCCGATAGTGATTCCTATGTTAGCGGCGACGAAGAACAATCGGAAGCTACTGGAGGAGCTGGTGTTCTTACTCTCGAGGACGATGAGGACACTACTCTCATTCAACAAAATGAACAAGTTCTAGTTCAAGCAATGGACGTATACGGAGAAGAACACGAAGAAGAAACTATTAATGAAACAACAAATGAGAAGGAAGAAATAACGGAAGAAACAACGGAGGATGATGATAAGCCAAAAAAGAAGAAAAAAAAGAAAAAAAAGTAAGTATAAATAATATCCATTTTATTAAATTCCTTCCTTTCAAAACATTTTCCTTAATCGAATAAAAAACATAATTAATATAAAAAGCAAATTGGAGAAAAGGAATAATCAATCTGGGTGAGATATATTTGCATGCGACTTTTGCATGGCTGTCACGTCTGTTTGAACTAAAAATAAAAAAAAATAAATATATATATAAATAAATATATATATATAATATATAATATATTATAGTATATTATGTTTTATATCTATGATGGGCGCAGCTTATTCACCTGAAAGCATGCTTTATTTTTGAAAGCTATAGCTTTTATATATAAAGCCGTTTACTTAAATTTTTAACGAGAATTGTTGTTTTGGGATTTAAGCTGCATTATAATGGGGTAATAATTTCCGATTAGATTCAATCAGTTAATTTTTCTTTACAATGTTTATTACTTTATCACTTCTTAATTTTATTAGAAGTGTATTTTTTCGTTTTTATTATGAAAAAAGTTAACAAAGGAAGAATGAAGGAGTGACAGGAAAAAAAAGAGAGAGGAAGAAAGTGAGAGTGCGTGTGTGCGTTTGCGTATGCGTATGCTGATAATTACATTGAAATAAATAAGCTGTAGGTTTGGAAATGCTTTAGGAAAGATCACATTTTCAATATTTCATCATATAAATTTTTTATTCATATTATAAACTTTTACATTCTACATGCATGATCTACAAATATATCCATTTCGTTATTGATTAGTTTATCTATCTCTTATGTGATTGCAGTTTATTACACAGTTGATATTTTTATATAAAAAATAAATCCTTCTCTCTTTAATGCAGGTTCTTGTATATCTGTCTAACATCCTGCAAATACGATTCTGTTAGAAGAGTCAGTCGAAGAGTGGGCTTTAAAGAGGTGGGAGAAGACGAAGATTGGAACCTATACTGGACTGATCAGTCTGTTGCCTTAGAAAGAGTTATGGAAATGAAAAGATATCAAAAGATTAACCATTTTCCTGGTATGGCGGAAATTTGTCGGAAAGATTTATTGGCAAGGAATTTGAATAGAATGATAAAACTATTCCCGAAAGAGTACAATGTCTTTCCAAAATCATGGTGCTTACCCGCCGATTATGGAGATTTACAAGCTTATTCAAGGGCTAAGCGGCATAAAACTTACATTCTCAAACCTGAAAGCGGTTGTCAAGGCAAGGGAATTTGGGTTACTAAGAACACCAAAGAAATTAAAGCTCACGAACACATGTTATGCCAAATATATGTATCTAAGCCATTTCTAATCGATGGCTTCAAGTTTGATTTGAGAATTTATGTCCTAGTAACATCATGTGATCCGTTTAGGATTTTTGTTTTCAAAGATGGATTAGCCCGCTTCGCCACTCAAAAATATTTGGATCCCACTCATGCCAATGTCGTAAGTAAATTATTAGCTTAATTTTCCCAGAATTTACCGAATCAGAAATAAAATCGCCCTAATACGCTAAACCACGGGGATAAAGTGATTTACCTGTCTTTATAATAATAACCTATTATTTACTTGTTTAGTTGGTTTCCCCCCGAAACGAGATCAATCGTGATTATCGAATTTTAATTTGTATTTCATTTAAGAGAATTTGTTGCTCGGGCTGAAAAAACAGGAATGGAGTATTTCCTCTTCACGTGTTAATTAACGAAAACAAGATGAAAGAGATAGCTAAAAATTAGGATAATAAGTTGGATGTGGGGGTGGTGGGTTTTGTTTCTTTCCTGCTATATTTTCAATTTCATAATAGGACTATTATGAATTCTAACGATACAGACACTACCGGAGTTTCCATTTAATGATTTATCATAAAGGAGTTAGGTTAGACGCCTTTAAACAATAAGATATCACTGTTCAATAGACTGTTAGATTGTTTGTATATTATTGTATAATACCCCACATAAAGCTATAGGCCTATTTACATAAAGTAGGTAGTTAATGGATATAAAAAAAAATAAATAATTTGTTGCCAAGTGAAAGAATAAAGAAATAGAGAAAAAACACGTTGAAGACAGAATGTAAATAGCTAAGTAAATTATCTAAAGCAAGTTTGACAAGGGCAAACACATCCTGGTTCTTTTAGAGTAAAAAGAGAAAAGTGGTATTATTATATATGAAAAAAGTTGAACGCCTTTTATACTCCCTTATCGATTCCTATTGATTCTGTTTTTTTTTACTTTAACTAATGTAGCGTTGACTAAGAACTGTCTGGCTCGGTTTTAATTAGTGTAAATACAAACTGCATTTTATTACGATAATATCTTATTATATTTAAACTACCTAGTAGAGTTAGTTAACATTATATTGGTATAGTGCGTATAGAATAGGATTAAAAGTTATTCTTAAATGCAACTAATACAAAAATTTTTAGTGCTTGTTATTGTTACTGGCATTAATAAGTGATATGCTTATCATAAGATCAATAAAGAAAGTTAAAAGGTTTCCTCACTTAATCTTAGTACGTGTTTAACTAATACTTTAAAAATATTCAAAGATATGATAAAATAAAGTTTTTCTGCCGAACATTAAAAAAAAAAAACAATGAAAATTTGATACTAAATTTATCTTATCGAAAAATTCCTTCTCTATAGTTTTTTTTATCTTTACTTAATTTATTAATATTTAATTAGTAAAATAATAAATAAAATATATACTAATTAATTTGTAAAGTTCTTAATAATATTCTTTTCTTCCCTTTACCTTTTCTCCCTTTAGGATAACGTCTTTATGCACTTAACAAACTACGCAATAAACAAGAACAGTAAAGATTTCATAAGAGATGACGAGGCCGGAAGTAAACGACGAATAACGACTATTAATAAATGGTTTGTCAAGAATGGTTACGACATCGATCAAATTTGGAGGGATGTTGACGATGTAATAATAAAGACGCTTGTTTCGGCCTACGGCGTTCTTAAACATAATTATCGAACTTGTTTTCCTAACCATTTTAAATCCTCGGCTTGCTTTGAAATTCTTGGATTTGATGTCATGTTCGATAAAAAACTTCGACCATACGTTCTGGAAGTGAATCATAGTCCTAGTTTTCATACAGATGCCAAATTGGATAAAGAAATAAAGGAAGCTCTCCTGCATGATACCATGGTATTAATTAACGTCGGTGCCATCGATAAAAAGAAGGTTATGGAAGAGGAAAGGAAAAAGGTAAAAGAACGACTGCTTCATAAGGGATCAAAAAAAGCAACCAGGGAACAAATGGATGCGGCCATAAGTAGTCACTTAGAGCAACTTGAAAAGTTTGAAGACGCTCATTTAGGTAATTTTAGAAGAATTTATCCTATGCGGGGTTCGGAAAAGTATGACAAATTCTTTCAAACTTCTGGTTCTCTTTATCAAGAAACTGCTGCCTTTAAAGCTCGCTCTGAAGCTGCGAGAATTCAAAGGGAAGAAATTAAAAGAAAACAGGAAAAACTCGACAGTATTCTCAAAAAGAAGACGAGTGGTCGTGATCCCTCAGAGCTCCGACCAGAGTCTCCAGGAGGAGGTGCCCGTCCAAAATTATTGACCAAAAGATTATCTAACCCAGGTACCAAACCAGTGAGAAGATTTACAAATGGTACAGTACAAAGAGCAGAAAACAAAGTAATATCGAACAATGAAGTTCTCGTCGAGACCGTTCCAATTGATTCAAGTATACCAGGAGCAATAGTTGACGATGAGGAACTAGAGCGTATAAGTGGCTTAATGCAAAGGGATAATCTCGTTAGAGGTCTGGGAGTGGTGGAGCACGTTTACAGACTACTCCATGCTACTCCAGGTACGAGTGGAGGTCATTACCACAGTCAGAATAAAAATCATTCTTCTCAACCAAGGTTACACAGCGTAAGTTTCCAAAAATTCTTTTTTTAATTAAGTTGAGCTGTTTCTTTTATCAAGTGTCCCAGGATTATTTTTTTATAACATGTCTTAGTCGGTAAAAATAACCACTCTTAAAAATTTATGAATCAATTATCTTGTTCAATTTTTTGCTTATGTACCTTTTGCTTAATTTATTTGAGAGCATATTTTTATAGCCCATTTATAGCATATTTTATAGTTCAATTAACTTGATAGTAGTGTAGCAAAACATTTTGAAGAAAAATAGTGATCATCACTTATTTTTCTTATTGGATATTATAATTCCTAATCCTAACAGTTCATTTGACTTTTTTTTAAATAAAATTTCAAAAGTTACCTAAAAGAAGAGCCCGCCGCCTCCCTGGACTACAATTCTTTCGAAAGGACCACCGTAAAGTGGCTCCTCTAGCTCAAGCAATGATCGGTCAACCTAATGGAGAGGAATCAACTTCTGATGATGACATTGAGGCCAACATCTCATCTCATAGGCCTCTCCCGTATGCGCAGGTGACGGCACGACAAAAAAAGCACTATTCCCTGCCACGCCATCTAGCGCTATAGCAATTTGTTTTGTTTTTAGTTACAAATCATTTCAGGCTAACTTGATTGATATGTTTGTGATGTTCCAATAATAGCTTATCACTCCTAATAATTATTAATATGTCTCATCAAAGTGTTTGCATCTGCAACGATAAAATAATTAAAACATAATGATCTTCTTAAGGCTCTTTCGATTGAGTGTCATTAAATTAATCATTTTCGTTGATTTTGCAGGTGTCATCTGATGACGTTTCAAAAAGGATCGAAGGAACTCTTGGAGGGGGAGGTCGTATGCTGTACACTACTCATCATCAACCTCTAAAACCGATCCAAAGAGAGAATAAGAACAAATCAATCACCGATCCTCAATGGCGTTTAGCCCTGGCGCCTCAAATGAACGATTCCATTCGTTTACGACCAAAAGGAAGAGACAAAGATTTGGAAATTCATAGAAAGACATCTAGTCATGGATCAAGAAAGGAATCTGGCGTAAGTTCTAATTGTAAGTATTATTTTGAGCGCGTACCAGCTTGATTTTGTCAACGCTATAGCTGGAAAAAGTTATGCCGTTTATGATTTCTTTTTGTTATTATTTAGTTTACGGATTAGAATTCTTCCCTTATTATTAGGACTGTATAAATATAATATATAAAAAAGAACAGTTATTTCTGTTGAACAGCTTACAGACTTATTTAATACGGTTTTGTCAAAGATTATTGATTTCTATTAAAGCCTAGAATATTTTGTATTTATCTATCTCTCCCTCAAAGATATTCTATCTGCTAAGGATTAATAGAACTCTTTTTGTGATTTTAGCGAAAACGCCCAGAATTTCTAGTGGACCGTCAGCACCTGCGATAACTCATTCGTTCTTAACTGCAGCTCCTCATGTGCTCTGCGATTCTGCATTGTCGGTCGTCTCGGCTCCCGCGCCGGTAATGATGAGACCTGATCAAGTAACGCCTCCTCCAATAGACGCTTTTCGTCAGAAGAGGCACGCTATCAGGCAAATCGACCAACAAGTCATCGCTTATAGGTGATAGTTACCTCCAGTTTTCTTTCTTATAGATTTATTGTGATGATGGACAAAAAATCCAAGCAACAACAAAACAACAAAAACTCTTTTCCGTCCAGCATTTTTTCAAAAATAATACAGAAAAAAATCTCTCAATAATCTATACTTCTTTGATATAATATAATACTCATATTATATAAATTTATTGTACTGATATTTATACTTTTTTCCCCTGCCAATCGTTTATTCTCACTTTTAATCGATCTTTTCCTTCTCTCTTCCTCTCTTTTCTCTCTTTTTCTTTCTTTCTTTTCATGAAAATCGCAAATGAAGGCTTTTTTTATTTTATTACAAAAAAAACAGAGAAGAATGACTGATGACTTTATACATCAACTTTACTAATAATGCATGATTTCTTATTAGAGATTCAATAAACTATTTATACTTGTAAAAATATTGCGCCGTTAACTGGTGTTGAATATTTCGTTTCGCGATAACCTTGACCTTTAACAGATTTCGCAAAAAGTAAAATGAAATAACTATCCATGATTTTTTTACCACAAACGTATTATTATTTTGAATGTTATCTATATTGTTGATTAAAGAAAACTAAGGAAAAATCAAAAGCATTTACTCTTAATTTAAGAATACGGATTATTTATGAACAATATTTAATAACAATGTTGAAATATTGCATTATAAATGCTAAAAAGATAATACCTATATCTTTGGCAACATCTGGAGTATTTTATTGCTGTGATAAAAAATTTGATGGAAAAGCGTCTAGTGCTTTTCTAAGAATGGGTAGAGCTGTTTCAACAGTAAGATTAAAATTTAAATTAATTGTCGAATCCTTATTTTAGTTTTTTTTCCCTCCTTTAACAACCTAATCAATTTGAAAAGGTTTCGGCTATTGTATTTGATTATAAATTAGCGTTAAGAAAGTTAGATGAGAGTTCAGACGTTTATAGAGACGTAAAATCTAGAGTCCATTCAAGAGCAGCTGTTAGATTAAAGGAACTTTGTAAAAAGAACGGAGGGGTGTACATTAAAGTTGGACAACATCTCAGTTCTCTCGACTATCTGCTACCTCGAGAATATACGTCATGCTTAAAAGAGTTACTTAGTAAAGCCCCAGTCTCACCAATTGAAGAAGTATTCGCCGTAATAGAAGAGGACCTTAACGATAAGGTAATATAACAAAAAAAAATCTATATTGACAAACGGAATATATCCGATATCTTATCAAAAGGTAGAGAATATCTTTCAAGAGTTTAGCGAAGAGCCAATAGGAGCGGCTAGTTTGGCTCAAGTTCATAAGGCTAAATTAAAGAATACAGGAGATCTTGTGGCTGTTAAAGTTCAACATAAAGTTGTAAAGCAAAATTCAGATATTGATATATTAACTATGGAAGTAAGTTAGATAAAAAAATTTGAATAAATTGTTTTTATAACCCGTTTTCTTTACTAGATTTTAGTAACTTTAGTAGGTAAAACATTCCCGGAATTTTCTTTTATGTGGCTAGTCGAAGAAACAAAGAAGAATTTACCTAAAGAATTAGATTTTATTCACGAAGGAAAAAATTGCGAAAAAGTTGAAAAAATGTTTAAACATTTAAAATTTCTTAAAGTTCCAAAAGTTTATTGGAAGTTTAGCAGTCATAGAATATTAACGATGGAATATTGCGAAGGAAATCAAATTGACGATACCGCCTACGCTATTAAAAATCAAATAAATATACGTAAAGTATGCTAAAAAATACAATGAAATATACAATAATTTAGTGTGTTTTGTTAACTTTTCATAGACAATTAGCTATTTAACTCAGTTATACGGAGAAATGATTTATGAGAAAGGTTTCATTCATTGCGATCCTCATCCTGGAAATATTCTTATTAGAGGAAAAGGAAGAAATGATGTTGAATTAGTTCTATTAGATCATGGTTTATATCAGGTGGGAATTTATGTTAAATATGATAATAGATTTCATCTATATCTAGTTCTTTTTTATTTAGACGCTAACCGAAGATTTTCGCATCGAGTATTCAAGGCTGTGGTTATCGTTAATGAAATCGGATATCGAAAGCATAAAAAAGCACGCAAATTTTCTCGGAGTTGGTCATCTTTATGGTTTGCTGGCTACTATGGTTACTTCTAGATCATGGGAGGCAGTTTCCGGAGGGATATCGAAAAAGGCTTTCGATCAAAACGAGGCAATTAAAGAGTCAATTATAATCTAAAAATACTCAAAAATTTACATTTTTTCAGGAAGAGTATATTCGATTACATGCTGGAAAATTTATAACCGAAATAGCCGAAGTTTTAGCAACCGTACCACGTCAAATGCTTCTAGTATTGAAAACAAACGACCTTATTCGAAGTATAGAGTATACTCATAATATGAGATCCGATCCGAGAAATCTTCTAAAAGTTGCTGAGAGTTGTACTAATGCAGTATATCGCTATGAAAAGGAAAAATCTTCCAAGTTTACCTATCTGTTTCTTTCTTTTGCTCATTCTATTGCTATTATGAAATTGGGTTTCTATTCCCATTTAATGTCGTTATCTCGAATTGGTTTGAGATATTTTCATTTCTTTAGGCGTTTATTCAGTAGCTCACAGTTGGCTCTGAACTAGTTTATTCGTTATTGATCCACTCTTAATTCAGTCTTAATAATAAATTACGAAATACACTTATACACTTTGTTCAACAATCTCAAAGAAATTCAAAAGAGTTTTTGAAAATCTTCAAGCGTCTCTCAAGTTAAAAATACAATGTATAAGATACTTAATATTTCGATAATTTATTGTTATTCTTTCTCTAGCAATTTACAGCTCTTGACTATATATTTTTACACAATATTAGGTCTAAATTTAAGACACAACTCTGCAATTAAAATGTTAGATGTAGAGTAAATTAAAGATAACAATTTTGTCTTAACCAAACATATACTGTTTCTTTTATGTATTATTTACAATAATGAATTCAAATTATCAATTAACATACAAAAACATTTTATAAATGATCCGAAACAAATTTGCTTCTCTTCTCTCTATTCATCGACCCTCGACTGTAAATTGCAGAATATATTAGGTTTTATTTGAAATCTTTTTAATGTCGAAAACTTACTATAAGTGGAGATATCAATCTCCTCAGGCAATTCTGTGATGTTTACATCAAATCGTTCTTGAACATCGTTCAAAACTTTCGCATCTGTTTCATCACTCACAAAGGTTATAGCCAAACCTTTTGTTCCAAATCTTCCAGCTCTAGCCACCTAAGTAAAAATTTATTTTGCTAATTACTAAACAATAGCTACACTTTCTAATAGCCACTTAAAAGTTAAGAATAAAAAGCTCTAATAATTTGCCTGTCGTACAAACGGGTAAAAATTGTTAAAATTTTTAACCAAATCCAAACAGGCTTTTGATGGACAAAAAAAAACTTCAACTTACTCTGTGCAAGTATGTGTCAGAGTCCTCTGGCATATCATAATTGAAAACAATGTTGACGCGCTCAATATCCATACCTCTGCCAAACAAGTTTGTCGCGACCAGAATTCTCTTATGAAAATCTTTAAACTGCTGATAACGAGACAAGCGTTCTTCTTGGGTCATCTGACGGTGAATTGCAATCGCCGGAAAATTTTGCTCGACCAAGAGTTGAGCTAGTGCCATGCAGCGTTGAACCGATTTTACAAAGATGATAACTTGGTTAAATTCCAAGACATCCAAAAGCTCGAAGAGTTTACGATTTTTCTCTTTATCTTGAAGCTTTACGTAATGTTGACGAAGTCCGTGCAGGGTCAACTTGGAGTCGTTATCAACGTAGATTTCCAAGGGCTGTAAGTACACAATAAGAAAGATTAAAAAACTGTACCCATTTTGACAATCTCGTTCTCACGCAGCCTTTTTGCCCAATGTTCATTATACAAATCTTGTAGTGTCGGTCTGCACTGCAAGGTTCTACCAGAGCACACCACTGTTTAAGAAAAGGCGGAAAGTGTCGATACTTTTTGGAAATAATGCGATAGTTTCCTGATGAAGTAAATCATTTGCTAGCTCAGCCTCTTTGTAAAAGCCAGACGTTAATGATCGATAAACAGCTTTGCGGATAGACTGTGAATCCAGATCCCTAAGTATAATCAGGACCCTTCATCACGCCTCAACCGCCGACATTTGATCTTCTATATCAGACAAAAGCCACCACAAAATGACTACTTTTTAAGAAAAAATAACGCTTTTCCTCCTCGCAAAACTAATTAAACCCTCATAAATAATCATCTTCAATGGACGTTTCTTCTTGTTTCATCCAACCTAGTATAAATGAAACTGAGTTTTCCTTTGCTTTATTAAAACAAAACAAAACAGCGCATCAGACAAACAACCAACAGGTGAGACCAATCAGCTTCTTGCTTCTAACTCTTTTAATTATCTTTCTTCAGAATTAAATTTTTTTCCAATACCCGCCTACCGAGTGCTTACTTTTAAATCTTTTATTCATTGTAAGTCAACCAATTCCGTCTTAGCCACATTTCATGACGATTTGTCTCATTGCGGTTTACCAGAAATTCGTAATTTAAAAAGATTCCGGATTTCTCTACTAATCGAGTACAGATCGGCCGTAATCGATACAATAGTCGCGATCAGTTCCTCATATAGAAGGAAATCATGAATAATTTGAGTAGGTGCCTTTTCAACGCGTTTCTAGGCAGCAACAGACGAGAAAAAAGGGATTAAGTTAACAGTGGAGGGCAGGCTGGGGGCGAGCGTTAAGAATCTCGATTCGTAACTATTTACATCTTGCATAAATTTCTTGCAAACAGGTCGGACATCCTTGGACAATGTTGCAGAGAACATCATAACTTGTTTTTGGTGAGGTGTTGTACGAAATATTTCTTGAACATCACGTCTCATGTCTACGTTGGTAAGATTTTAACATTAATAGCCATCAAAAGACTATATATAAAAGTTAATTGTTACCTAAGGCTTCGAGCATCTTGTCGCATTCATCAAGAATAAAATGCTTAATGTTCTTCAAGTTAAGAGATCCACTTCGAGCCAATGCCAAAATACGTCCAGGAGTTCCAACAACAATGTGCGGGGTATTCTTTGCCAAGTTCTCTTCATCCTTCTTCACCGACATTCCTCCGAAGAATACAGCTATACGAATGCTGTTCATATACTTGCTAAAACGTTCGTATTCTTTACTGATTTGGAATGCCAACTCTCTTGTGTGACAGAGAACAAGAACGGAAACCTAATAAATTTTAAAAATCCGGTCATTTTTTAGCGATTTCAACTTCAAGATTGTTCCATTACTTGTCCATCCTTAGGTTCTAATTGTTGAAGTGTTGTAAGAACAAACACGGCTGTTTTACCCATACCCGATTTAGCTTGGCACAGAACGTCCATCCCCAAAATTCCTTGCGGAATGCACTCGTGTTGAACTAGAAAAATTCAATTGTTTAATGCTAAATTCTTAGAAAAAAATTCTTCCTACATACCTTCAGAAGGATGTTCGAAACCACAGTCAACGATAGCTCTCAGAAGTTCCGGCTTAAGCAAAAAGTCCCTGAAACCACTACTGTGGATAGATACGTACGTTCCCTTGACATCCTTTTTGTCTTGGTTGTTTGTTGAAGCTTCGGCATCGGCTCCGTTTTCCTCTACAACTTCCTCATAATCTAATAATTCATTTTCGTTATCGGCCATGTTTCTCCTTTAGATTTATCGACTGAAATCAATTTAATCCGAATATCACTTATAAATCTACGAAATTAAATGGTATTCTGATGTTTTTTTCAAAACTTATGATCTTATAGCAACAAAGTGAATTAAAAGGGATCTGACTGCATAATTCTTATACTTCTACTATATATACTTTACTTACCTTCAAAAAACGATTCAAAAACGTTTAACGTTAGAATGACGCTGCAAGCTGGCAATATGGCTGTTCAAAGTAAAAACATTTATTATTGGATATTTGAAGAATATATTAGATTTTTAACCTATCACCAACGCGTTAATAAACAAGACTTTTTAAGATGGTAATCTATTCCATTTAAATGTAAAAATTTGAAAAAGGAATGAGCACCCCCCTATATACTCACGTGACTATTAATGCATAGTCATGTGATTTCTTTTGTAAACCTCTAAAGAATATTAAAAACTATTTCACTAGTTTATCTTAAACATAAATGTATTAGGCTTTATTTTACAAAAAGAATAATGAATGTTGTTCAGAGGAATTTTTTTGTGCACCTCTTGTTCTTTGTTCGAATAAAATAATAACTGAATATTAATACAGTAAACTGACATAGAATTTAAGTTTAATTAAGTGTCCTAAAAGTAGGTCTACGTTTATCAAAGCCGGATTAGTACCATCTATAATATACGACATATGAAATAATATGCAGTTACGTATCAAACAAAATGATAAACGAGTAGTTTGTTGTGTTTATAGCAAATACCATATTTACCATTCTCTTGTGTAAATGAACACTAGAGCTTCTTCATTAAAAGTTTTATTTCTTATAATAGTTGTACATTACAAAGTAAAATTAGTAACCTACAGTAAAAAAGCTGCAAATAAAGACAAAAGATTCAATTTAAGATCATTTCCGTTTCTATTTTGTAATTATTTATTCAAGTTTGTTATTGTATTTGATGTATTTTTCACATAGAGACTGAAGATCTTCTGTTATTACTGGGGTGAAGGACATAATTTGTTGCCGCTTAGGTATCAAACGAAGGATTTTCTGAATAGCCGCTCTAAAGTCTATTTAAGTCATCTAACTATTGACAAAGTTAATTGTATTATTAATAATTTTACCTATTACTAAAAGAAGATCATGACATTCATCCAGTATAAAATGTTCTACGCTATGTAAATGTAATATTCCTCTTTGAACAAGCGCCCACAAACGGCCAGGAGTTCCAACAACAATATGTGGTTTATTCTCCATAATTTTCTCTTCATCATTCTTCAATGGTTTTCCGCCACATATATATGAAACCCGAATTCCATCCATAAACTTACAAAAGCGTTCGTATTCTCTGCTCACTTGAAATGCCAACTCTCTCGTATGACACAAAACTAGTATGGAAATCTAGTATTGATTTAAAATCATTTATATTTTTTTATACAATTGCAACATTCGAAATTGTTTTCCTACTTGATTATCTTTAGGATTTAAGTGTTGAAGTGTTGATAAAATGTATATGATAGTTTTTCCCGTACCAGCTCTAGATGTACAGACGAAACTCTCTCCTGAAATTGCTTTAGGAATAAACTCCATCTGAACTGTACAAAATTATAGTTGTAATAGTTTAAAAACATATTATAGTATAGACGTTCGTTTGTACTTTTACTAGGGTATTTGATTTCTAACTTATCCATTGCTTGTAGAAGTTCTGGTTTGAGATTAAACGCCGTAAAGTCCTTTTTCGTTGTCTGATTATCCTTTGCCTTCTGATTGCCTTGATGATCATTTTGGGAATCTATGCAAATTTCTCCCATCTCAGTGTTGCTTTCAGCCATCTCTTTGGTAATTTAGGTTGTTGACGAATAGTTAGTCAGTTCAAGAATAAGTCTTTTAAAACTAGTAGAACTACTTTAAAGCGATAAACGTTTAACGAACGTTTTGATCAGGATTAATATCGCCATATTATTACGCAATCTATGAGAAATATTTATATTAAATCATGAGTCGGCAAGAAATATGTCAGTCAATTATCATACTAAATAAAATAAATAATTGTTACACTTTGGTCAATTCCTACTACCATTTAACGTTCTTTTTCTTGGAATGCATCACATGATGTATTTCATTGCATAAAACTTGTTTATAGCTTGTTATATAAAAAAAAGTAGATTAATTGGAAGTTTAAATGGAATTAAATCAAGAAATGGGCCCAATTAATTTATTCGAACTAAATATAGCAAAGAGTTTAGATCTTTTAAGGTTTGTAAAGAGTTTTTGCTGATGTTATTGTATTAATGTGGTTCCGTATTGTATTGATATAGCGTAGCGGAGAAATATTTGAAGAGGAGCAAGCTTTGCTGACGACACAAGTCACGTGACTTAAGATATCTTGTCATGTGATGAGAGTATGATAAATCCCCTTAGAAAAGCATATGGTTTATATTGAACAAGAAAACAGTCTTATTTTGAACCCCGAAATCATGGAGCAATACGAAAATGGTATATTTAAAATCCATATATTTATTAAACATAAAATAGCAGTTTGATTTTAATTCTATAATCCTAAAATTTCTAGAATAACAAATTAGTAGTTATAGTAATTTTTATTTGTTTTTTTTCTATTATGATATGATCTATTTTAATGAAAAAAAGGATAGAAAAACAAAAAAAAACAAACAAAATATAATAAATTCTGACAATTCAATCCTTTTTGCCTAAGGACAGAGTATTTTGTCTATTATAATCACAGCACGACCATAATAACAAGGAATACACAACTCTGTCAATTCCAGTAGAGTAATCCTATGAATAAACACATAGGGAAAAGGATAAAAGATTATAATGGAAAAACAGAGACATAAATGTAAATATTTCCAGCAGAAATGAAAGAGTATAATATCTCTTTTTCTATTTTAAAGAGGCTCTAGCTTTAGTCAACAAGAGTAGGATAAAATTTCAGATTGAAAATCTCTTTAATAATTAAACCGGAAATGCACTCTTGAAAGACAGATAAACAATTATATTTACCATTTTCGCAACTTTTATTATGATCTGGCAGAGATTTATTAGTATAGTTTATTCTATTAATGGAAATAGTACAAATTGCAAATTAGGTCTTTATTCATTTTATGACTAGTAATGGAATAGCATTTAATGTTACTTACTTTACTTATCTGTAGAATACAACGAATTAAATTCAACATTGGACGCCATTAATAATATGATGGATAATTTGGAGGCGAGAAACGACAATCTGGCTGACAAACTTCGAAGTCTATTAGATTCTAATAGGGCTATGAGAACTGAATTACAATCTCAAACAAATGAAAATAACACGCAATCTAATAATTCCGCAGAAAGATCAAATGAAAATGATAATCAAGATTCGAATTCAACAAAGAAAAACTAGAAGCAATAGCTTTTTCAGCTAAAAACACTATAATAATTTTTTCTTAGAAGAACAGAAGTGTTGTCTTGTAAATATATATATATATATATATATATAAACATATTAGTATATATTTAATGTATATTAATAGAATTATTGTATATATCTATCGTTTTCTCCATTTCCTACTCTCTAGTCAATACATTGAAGAAGAAATAATTGAATATATGAAGAAGAGTTTAGATAGAATCGCTTAAGTTTCTAGGAAATGTCAAAAATATACAGGAACTCACGTTAACAGTCTTATAATTAGTTGACGCCTTAATCTGATTAAAGAAATCACTAGAGAACAAACAAGTCTAAGAGCTTTATTTATAACTCCTATGAGATTTAGCCTAAGGAAAGATGACGTGGATATTGAAATAAAGCATGTAGTGTTTATATATAGTTTACATCCTTAATTTTGCCTTCTTTTCCATTACTTGCTCTTTCTAATTAGTATCAAGAATAACTCCTTACACCCTCTAAAACGTATAAAATTTTACTTTAAAGGTGTACAGGAAATATATAATTGTCATATAAACTCCCTCCACGTATACATTTATTGTAACTAGATTCTTATTCTTAGTTCTCCAATCCTTCGAACTAGGTTAATCAAAGGATTCCCCTTAATTACTATTTCGTCAATCTTGGTTATTGTTTGTATGCAAATAAAAGAAAGAAGAACGGAGACGGGGGAGGTGAGGAGAAAGAAGAAGTGAGAGATTATTACACCTATCGAGTTCGGTTACTACTTGAGGTTAAGAGCATTTGTTACACATGTGTGAATTTTTTGCCCGTAAATCCGTCAGTTTCTTCTGATGCACTCCTAATCGATTTTACGGCTTTTCTCTCTTTTCTTTTATCTAAAATAAAATGAAAACAGTATCTTAAGAAGGTAAAGAACATTTATAAATTACAATAAATAGTGTTTTTTATTTGTAAAACAAATGTAATAGTTTACCTACCTCTTTTATGTTGCTTATATTAAACTTTATTAAACGTTAGTTCGTTTCTTATTGGTAGGCCTACGCTTGCGAACGATCACGTGACAAGAGTGCAGATTATCATTCTGTGTCGAGCTTCTATCCTCGCCTTAGTCGCTATGGACCTTTCGATTGTTTAATACTTATCGATAATTATTGTCTTTTTACTTGGTGAGTAAAATGACCCTTTTCTTTTTTTTAACGTAATTAACTTTCCTTTTTCTTTAGTCCTTTTATTTTTTAAGTAAAATGTAAAGATAAAAAAGTTTTTTCTCTTTTTTCTCTCTCCTCTTCTCTCCCTTTCAATCTTATCCATTGAAAATAAACAAGCTACAGAGGATAGAAATCTAAATATATTTCAAAATAATGTTTCTTCTATGAAAAAACGATGCTCTTTGACGTTTTAATAGCATAGATGAATGTATTTCTTTTTTACCTTGTATTATTCATACAAGTTTTTCATCTCTATAAGTCATACTTTCTTATTCTTCTTCTTTTTCTTCTTCTTTCCTTTTCTAGTTTGAACGAAAAGAGAAAAATAAGATAAAAAAGGCAAGGAAGATAAAATCCCTGATGTTACTGGCACTGATTTTTCCCACGATTCTTTTTAAATAGGCTTGAGTGTTTTTATTTCGCTTATTCTCCTTTCCAAATCATGTCTAGCTTCCCTATTTCTTACTCATCTTTTAGCTGGCCACTTATGCTTCTCTCTTATAGAGCAGTTAAAAAAATATATAAATCAATGGACATTGACCTTCGAAGTCTTCAATTTCCTATAAACAAGCGTCGACTAGTTTGCCTAACCATTGCCTATTTTTTGCCGTTAATTGGCAATTATAGTTTAAATATAGTGATTTTGAGGTCAGACCACCCTCCAATTAGAAGTCGTTTTTTCTCTTACTGACGTTTTCCGCTATAATCTACTCTAGCTAACTGTTTTACGTCTAAACAACCTTTTTATATTTTAAAGAAGCCTATCTTCTCCTAACCTTTATAAGGCTAAAATATAAGTGTTACTTATAACGCTAACAATAAGTTGGCCGTTAATGTTTCCAAGAAGGGAGAAAACTAATTTCTTTCAAACCCGTATTTTATAATCCGATGAAATGATGGACAAATTAATGGAAAGTTGCGAAAAAAAGAGACAGAGTAAGAAAGAGCGAAGGGAAGTTAGAAAGAGAAAGAAAGGGAAAGAGGCGGAATAAGGCGAAACTGATAGACGGATAAGTTAAGAAACTAGGATATAAGGACAGATATAGACAAGCTGAAGAAGAAAAAGACAGGAAAGAGAACGGTAATAGTAATCAATAAGAGACGCGGGTAGGGTATTATATAGCCGCAAGAATATGTTATTAGCATCCGTTGAGATTCTGTCACATTGAAAAGTTTATTTACCTTAAAATTGAATTAAAAAAGCATCATAAAGAAAAACATAAGAATATGTTGAAGAAATATAGAAGAAATTCAATCATTCAGACTTAATCTACTCTTTTATAAACTTTCCAGTCAAGCAGGAGACATAAATCAGTCTAATTGATTTTTTAACTTCCTAATTATTGAACATAATTGAAAAATAATATAAATTCTAAATAGACAGGAATAGAAACCAGCATGAAGAAAGAAAAATTTAATACCATAAAAACAGTACAATATAGAACAAGTGTATTAAACCGGAAGAAGGCTTAGTGGCTTTATTTTTCTTCATTTTTCTCAGCCCCTTAGCAAAAGAAGGGATGAAGTAATTACAAGCCAGGAAAAAATGTGAATTTGTACTTTTTTCCTCTCTTCCCTCAGTATTCTTTTGCCGGTATAATCATAGTCTCTCTTTTTCAATCTCTTTCTTACTCGCACACATACTCTCTCTCTCTCTCTCTCTCTTTCTTCTCGCTCAATCTCTGATTTGCTACTTATTCGCTATACTTCTTTTTTATGCAGTTACTATAACAAGATGCGAAATGATTTGGTTGATGCCACAGCAGATGATTTCTCATCGATTCAAACTAATTCGACGAAAGCTCAACCCTTTAAGATTGCTTGGCCAGTTCTAGTCGTATTTTCATTCTTCTTATTATTTGGGATAATTGGAAACTTATTAGTTATATATGTTATATGCTCTAGACAACGTCTAAGGAATGTTACAAATTTCCTTTTGTTAAATTTGGCAGCAGCTGATGTCTTGTTCCTTGTAATTGGAGGAGGATTTGCAATGATTAATTACCTATTTTATGAATGGCCACTTGGAGGTATCGTTTGTCGATTAACTCATTTTCTTATGTTTATGACTTGCTACGTCAGCGTCTATACTTTGGTAGCCGTCACGGCTGTTCGATATTCGATAGTAGTTAATGGTTTACAATTCATGTGTGTTAGGACTCGTTGCCAAGGAGCTTTCCTAATAGCTTCCCTTTGGATCATATTCCTCGTCGCAAAAATACCAGTTCTACTTATTCACGATATAAAGAAGCAAGAGGCAACAGGGCGAATCGAATGTGTTATAATTGGCGCAAAGCAAGGTAGACACTTCTTTACTACCTTTTTCGTTTTCGGATACGCTCTACCACTCTCTGTTATAGCTTCACTGAATGTTCTTATAGTAAGATACCTGAGGGAAAAAAAAAGAAACTTGAGTAATCATTCGCACGTCTCACCAATTCAAGATAGGACACGCCACGTGACCAAGACTGTATTAATTGTTGTCATTGTATTCGCAGTCGTATGGTTACCTCTTCATCTTCACCTATTGATAACCTACAGCTACGGTAATGGAACATTACCAAACGTTAAATATTATAAAATAATGGTTGTAGTATTTCATTGTTTTTGTTTTTTCTCGCCTGTCTTCAATCCGATTATTTATAATTTTTGTAGCGAAGAGTTTAGATTAACTTTTAAAGAGGTTGTATTTTGCATAAAAAGCGCTAATATTGATAATCATCCACAAGATCATAATTCTCCGCCCGTCAACGTTTAGGAGAGAGAAAATAAACTTAGCTATGAAATATACTTTTGACATGCATATTTATGATTTACCATCTGAGATATTTTGGTACTTGCTCTACTTTTTTCTTTAAAAAAAAAAAAGACACAAAAACAAACAACAATTGCTATGAAAAGAATATGTAAGCTATTCAAAGAGAATATACTATAAATAAAGCAAACGAAAATTTACTTTTCATAAAGAGCAATGTAACAAAAGCATAAAAAATAAAACTGTATGGAGGATCAAATTCTTTTTCTTAACATATTCAATGTATACATTGCATTGTCTAACAAATGAGAACTTGGAACAATAGATTTTTCTTTAATACTTATACACAGAGCAAAAATAGTTTGTAAGCTGTTTGGTTTGATGTTTAAATATTACAAAAATACTAGAAATGTATGGTATATAGTGTATATATAGAAATTGTATACGTATGTACATATTGAAAATGATTGTATATGAAAAAAAGCATTAAAAGAAGCGTTGCAAGAGCACGACGTTAATTTCCTCTCAGCTCAGCTGAACTACTCTGTGGTCTCTTTATTTTAGAATTTTAAACGTTTTAGTTTAGGTATAAAATATGTATATTTTATTATATTATATCTAATCATATTTTATCCTGGAACAGTTATATCTTATAAACCCCCTCTGCAATTGATAATTAATCTCCGTTTTTCTATACTTATCAACTGATGCAAATCTTTCAAGGTATAGGTTATTATAATAAAAATTTTCACGCTGTCCCTTTCTCTCTCTCTCTCTCTCTCTCTCTCTCTCTCTCTCTATCTCTCTCTTTCTCTCTCACTTTTCATTTTGTTTTGTCCATCATTCCCCTATGTATTATTTGACCCTCAGCGTTTAAAAAAGATATAGAATTCCTATTAAAATAGAAAAGTTTCCACTCCATTAGAGACGAAAAGGAAATTTATTATCTTTTGCTACTCCTATGTGGAAAAGATTGGTAATATTTACTGGCATATTTTTAAAGAATATACAAACCAAAGCTAAAACGTTTATATAGTGTTTCAAAATAGATAAAAAATCCCTTTGAGAGCGTTTTATTCTCGTTTGCAGGCCTGGGAAACAGTAAAGATTAAGAATGGATGTAGGTAGGTGAAAAACGAAGATAGATAAACGAAGATGAGGAAACAAATGAAGTTTTTATGAATGTATATTTTATTATTTAAGTGCAAAACGCCTAAAGGAGTTATAAATCTATAGATTCGTAGAACATTATTTAAATAAGAGAATATATATTATAATGCCAAGAGCGCTTTTGCCTTTGCCGTAACCTTATATATATATATTGCAGGTTTACGAGCCGTAAGAAATTATTAAGACCTTTCTAGGTTAGCAGAACATGATAGAATTTGAAATAGAAGCATCTTCATTTATACGAATTGGGGATACAAAGAATTTTTTGACGCCTATAGAATTGGCACTGTGATGTCTGAGCTTATAAAACACTTCCATTGGCACAGTAAATATTGTCCAAAAAAAACAAAATATATAACATCAGGTTGGCACGTAAAACATCATCATAAGCAGTATCATCTAACAACTCGTTAAAGCGGGAAGTTGCGGTATGTTAGATGTAGATTCGTTGACCTTGGCTTGAGTTAAAAAAGTTCTGCCCTCGTTCTGATTTTCATTAATACTGTCTTTATCTTGTTCGTTCAAGTCTGGTTTTGGCCGGTTCTTACTATTATTAATCGAAGCGAATAAATAGCGTAAAACTTTCTCCTTTTGTTCCCAAGTTAGCTCACCAATGTCGACTCTATCCTCACTTTGCATTCTGTTTTAAATTAAAGAAAGTTTAAAGGGTGCTACTCGAATTAGACATCATACATATAAATAAAAGATAGGAGGGGGAGGGAGGGAGGTATTTGTTATATGTTTTGAATCGTGTAAAAGATAATAATTAATAGAGTATAAGCGTGAAAAGAGAGAGATATAGGATGATGGAATGGAGAGCATTATCTCTGTCTTTCAAATGACAATCATAAGCTTATTTCTAAACATGCATATAAAAATTAATAGAAAGATACATAAATTATATATGAAGAAGTGTGTAAGTATACATACAAATTCTATAGTTAGAATATATATGGATTTTTTAGGCAAGTATATATATGTACTTTATATATACATCATTAACATATATAAGTATGTATACTTTATTCTAAGCGATGATTTTCTATTGAATATTAATTATGTGCAGTGATCACAGCTGCTCAATTTTTTTTTGGAGGTGATGGGGGAAGATAAGATAAGATTTGATATTGTTTCTTTTCTTTTTCTTTTGACTACTACTAATACTACTATCATGCAACAAATTAGAATTTTGTTTATCATTCAATTTGTTAACTACTATATATAATATGCTTTTAGGATTTTTGTTTTTTTTTATGGTTGTATCATATAACATATCATACTTGTTTGTCAATTCCTCCATCTGTTTTCGCCTAGTTTGTTAATATACAGTATATAATATATATATTATAAGAGATTTAGGTAAATTATATATATATACAATATATAATATTAGAAATTAATAATAAGTTGTTATAAGACACTAATTAAAAGAGAAAGCTATATGTAAAGAAGATGATAAGAATATCATCTTTTTAATTCTACTTACAATGCTTCAGCTGCTTCTAAATCTTTAAAAACGCTGTTTGTGCTGGTATCTGACTTGTTAAATGTTCGAATTCTTGGATATTCTCCTTTACCTGCGTGAGCTATCAACATCCGTTGATTATAGGCCTCCTGAGCGTGTTTCCTATATTCCGCTCTGGAAAAAGAATTGATGATAAAAGAATTACTTAATTGAGTATAATACAGGCAGTTTCGTTTCTGTTCTCTTTTCTTACCTGTTAGATGATATTTCATTTTGAACTTGTTGCAGTGCGTCTAAAAAGAAACGCTCAATTTCAGTTCTCTCTTGTAATATATTTTTAGCTAATCGTTTGATTCTAGCGCATTCTTTTGTTTTCAGCTCTAGCGCCCGTTTTACTTTATCTAATTCGGTCATCGCTGATTGATTCTCCAACTTAGCTACATCGATAAGTCGACCAGCTTCATGATCAAACTCATTAACCACGTGACTTAGGGCTTTTTCCAGCGTTTCCACTTTATTGTTCAAATCAGTAAGTTCTTTTTTATTCTTTTTCTGTAGGGCTACCTTCTCTTCGATAATTAATCGATTCATTTGAACTTCATTCTGAAGTTCTGCATTCTCTTCCTTTAACTTTTCATTGCCTTTTTTCAAAACTTCTTCCGCTTCCATATGATAAGATAAGGCCTCATTTATTCGAACATTTTCCATGTATACAGATTTAGTTGTATCGTTTAAGTTAGCAATAGCCTCTGTGTGAGCTCTATTAGCTAATTCAGATATTTTTTGATTAGCTTCCTGTTGAAGTCTCATTTTTTCTTCAAAAAACCTTTGTTCCATTCTTGTCAAAGTGTCCTTGTGCTCTTTGTTGGCTAAGAACATCGCTTCCTTAATATCTTCTAATTCCTTTTGCATTTGTCCTCTTTTCCTACGGAATTCTTTAACGACTTTAAGTTCTGCTTGCATAACTTCCACTTCGTGGGTTTTAGAGGCAAGTTTTTGTTCCAATTCGTTGATTTGACCCTGAAGATCGTCTATTATACGCTCCTTTTCTTTTCTATGCTCTCTTTTCAGATCTCTTATATTTTGGGCAAGATCCTCTAATTTTTTATCCTTATCAATATCTTGTTTTTTCAAGTACTGTACAACGTCAATAGTATCCTTTTCTGTTTGAATCATTTGAACAGCCAGGCGTTCATTTTCTTTAACAAGCTCATGAGCTCTTTGTACAAATTGATCCTTTGAATTTTCAGCAATTTCAACTCTAGCTTGCCATAATTTTGAATTGGCATTAGCCATTGACTTGACTTCGGCATTTTTTGCCTTTTTACGTTCATCCTTCTTACCCTTCTTCCCCTTTTTACCACTATAGATATATACGTACACAATGATTAATGAGTCTCGTCTTTCTTATGTAATAGACTACTTACCCCTTCTTCCCCTTCTTTCCTTTTTTAGGCATGTTAATAAATAATTTGGCACAGCATAAATACAAAAAAAGAAAGAACTTCTAAACAATTAAAACTACAGTATTTTCAACACACCATCTTGCTTGTTGCTATCGTCACCATGACATCAAACATAGGTGGCGTTGCAAAAACTGTTCAAAACACAATTATATTCTAGACGAATATAATAATCTATAGACTGGATAAGTGGTTCATGACTAAAAATTAAATTGAAAATATAATGAGTAATGGATAACCAGTCGAAAAAATAAAATCTTAGTAATAATAAACTTATTTGAATGTAAAGTTACAGTAGTATTAATGAATTAAACTTGAAAAACACAAAAAATAGGCAACAAGATGAGAACATAGCATGTAACATTTTGTATTTGACTATAAAAGTAAATACAGACATTAATCGAACAAATAATTTACTAGACAGACGGCTAAGCACGTAGTTATATAGATACGATTCCCTCTCTCTCTCTCTCTCTCTTTCTTTTAAAGAATACAAAGAAAAGAGAGAAAAGATAATAAAATTTGTGTTAATAAAAATAAAACTTTAATTGAAAATCTTGTAATGATTCAACCTTAATTTAAACACTAAACTATTGCCTTGTTGTACAGATTCTATTAATCGATACTATTCGTTATTTTTATCGGTTGGATGGTTTGTAAATTGTGTTTGTATTACATTCCCATTAATTTATATAATATATATCCAGTATATATAATCGACTATTTGACAGATAAATAACTTTAGCCTTTTAATAATATTGAATAAGTTATTAATATATTATATAAATGTAAACGTGTACCATATGTTAGTATGCAGTATATATAATAAGGAGAGCAGCATTGAATAGGCTCTTGATATTGAAATAACTCGAATAAAGTTGTTAAGTAGAAGATAAAAAAGGATAACGGATGAATACGACGATTAGTGGATAAAAAAATGAAAGAAACCTCTAATTATGAATAGGAAAATGACTACTTTAATAAAAGGAAATGTGCAAATAAGTACTTCGATAGTTTCTCAATATCAGTTCGATAATAATCGATAGACGGCTTTTTTTTAATCGAGGAAGTAAAATTAAGCTCTATCGATCTAGGATTGAATGGAAAAGTCTCAGTCTGGCTTTTAATGCCGAACCGTTTGAGTTATCATTTTATTGCTATTTGTTTAGTATAAAGGTAGGAAAAGAGTAATTTTCTTCCACTTGATTGAAAATTTCGGAATGGCCGCTCCTAAGGATACTGTCTCCTTAATATCAGAATCGAACACTCCTAATGGAAATGGGTCGGTTGGTGCTCGACGTCCGAGTTTATGGCCATCGGCCGGAAAGGCTCTGGAATTGGCTCCCCACGAGAAACGGAAGCCAAGTATAGCGAGGAAGGAATCCCTTATCATTCCTGGGAAGATCGAAGACAGGCCTTCCAATGGACGGGATAGTCCGAATAGGAGACCGTCAATAAGTTCAAGGAGAGAAAGTAATAGATCGAATGATTCCAGAGTTAGTGCGATTGATTTCTCAAAGTTGGAAACCACAGGCCACAAGAAAGATGACGAAGAAAAAGGAAAAACCATTACGAATACTGATTCCTATATTAGAACAGCAATACCCTATCTACCTCAATCGCTAGCCATTCTTTGCTTAATACTCAACATTCTTCTACCAGGTTCAGGTAGCAAAAATCTAGGACATTTTTGTAATTTTTTTATTGAATAAATATGGTAAAATTTATTACAGGGACAATTCTTAGCGGATTATGTTTGTTTTGTTGCGGAAAATCAAGATTGGCCAGCAAAGACAATGATATTATGACTGTATTATGCGTTAACATATGTATTGGAATATCACAACTTTTCACCGTTACTTTTCTTCTAGTTGGCTGGTTTTGGAGTTTAACCTGGGGAATTTATATGGTTATTTTGGCTGGTAAGTTTAATTATTTCACCTCCAAAGAAGCGGAAGTAATGTTTAAAGAATAAATTGAATTGCATATTAACCCTTTCATTATTTTACATGTATAAACATTTTTAAACGTTCTCAGTTGAATATCGTCAAGAACAGCAGGCTAAACGAGAGAAACAGCTACAAGCTATGGCTTTAACAGCTTTTGGTTCACCAATTAGACCATGGTCGTTAAGAACGTAATAAACATAAAATAAATGATACAATTTTTGAATTATTACTTAATAAAGAACACTTGAAAACGACATAACTGAAAGATTATTGGCTTGAATGTATTCATTCTTAATAGAGTTGAAAAAGTTGAATTGATTAAGAAACACTGATTTTATCATTTTCTTAAGCTCTTTTCTAACATCTTCATTAAATTAAAGGTTCAAAATAATCGATCTAACTCTGCTTTGTAAATAATAATTACAATGGCTTTTTCCGTAAAAGATCAATTAATACAGTATACTTTTGAGATCAATATAATAGATTGCATAACCTGGTAAAAATTATCAATTCTCTAGACGGAAAACCTCGATTTCTCTTTCTTTCTTTCTCTCTCTCTCTCTCTCTCTCTCTCTCTCTCTATCTTTCTCTTCGTATCTGTTCTTTTTCTCTTAAATTAATGAATGAAATAGTAGCTCTTTCTAAAATTAACCTTTCGCTATCTTCAAAGATATCTTAATTATCCCATGGACATAAGATATTTATTTAAAATTTCCTGGAACACAAATAGTTTCATAGCTTACGTTCCGTTAATTCTCGTATCTGGAAATTTGATAAATATAAATAACCTGGATAAGAAGATAAATCAAGATTCTAATCGAATCTTCATCCCTATTTTGCCGCTTTCTCTCGTTTTATGTTAAAACCTTATACTCTCTCTCTCTCTCTCTCTCGTTGCCAGTTTTTCTTTTTAATTTTCCTCTCTACATCTCTATAATACCCCAAACCAGCTAGGCTTATTTTAGAATTACTTGAATGTTTTTTATACCAGCTCTAAGGTCGACTTAGTTTTGCTTCCACCATCGGTTAGACACGTGCGAATCTACTCAAAAAAAAGTCGAGTACTTGATGCGTTTAGTTTGTAATTTCGATTGATGGACAAAGAGCAAACACTTCATTATTAGTTTTTATTTCAATAAAAATTAATAACGTAAAAGTTAGTGAGAAGCCTAGTAAAGTATTTTTCCTGTTTTTCTTATTAAATGACTAAAAATAAATATTGTTTATGAAAAATATGAATAAAAGTCACACATTTACTTAGAGCTTCTATGAATAATTCGACGCTTTTCATCTTTTTTTTATATTTAGATCATACAAATTCCCTCTATTTTTTCCTTCTCTCTCTCTTTCTCTCGCTTTCTCTCCGACTAGATATCTCCTTTTTCTTATTTGCTTTCCAGTGCAACGTGTAGTGGAGGCCTACTTGGTTATTCCAGACGAATCACGTGGCCTGGATACGTAGTAGAAAATAAAGCAATCAGTTTTTTCACTTTGTATGCTTGGATTTGTTAAAAGTTTTCCTTATCTGTTATTACGCAATATGACGTTAAATCTTAAGTACAGTAAGTAAGAATTTCACTTGTGTAGTGTTTTCTTTTCAATCTCATTCACATTATGCTTTTCTTTATTTTTTTTCCTTTTATTTCTTTTGTAAACATGAGGAAAATTCAAAGTTATTCCTTCTCTTTATACATAATATAGAATTATCAAAGTTCGACGATACGAGTACGGATGAGACGAGATTTTTAATATCATCATCAAATTCAACAAATATGAAAGCTTTTGAATTAGCTTGGCCAGTTTTAATAATCTTTTCGTTATTTCTACTCTTTGGATTATTAGGAAATCTACTTGCAATTTATGTTATTTGTAGTCGGAGAAATCTAAGGACAATGACAAACTTTCTTTTATTAAATTTGGCTGTTGCCGATGTTCTTTTCCTACTAATTGGTGGAACTTTTACTATTATCAACTATTTATATAAGGAATGGCCTCTTGGAAACGCTGGCTGTCGTTTAACCCACTTCCTAATGTATACAACCTGCTATGTGAGCGTTTATACTTTGGTTATTGTTACTTCCGTTAGGTATTCGATAGTTGTCAACGGTTCTCCACTAAAATGCACACAAACCCACTGTAGAGTAGCGGCCTTGATAATTTCCCTCTGGATCTTTTTCGTTCTGGCCAAATTTCCTGTTTTATTAATTCATAACATGAGGAGACAGAACATCACTGGTCGCATAGAATGCATAATAGACCGTCCAACAGAAGCTGGAAGGCGTTTCTTTACAACATTTTTTATATTCAGCTACGTTCTCCCACTATCGATTATTGCCACATTGAACATCCTTATCGTTCGATTTCTTCGAATACAAAAGAGAAATTTAACCTATGTAGGTCATGTTCAAGAGAAAACACGTCACGTCACGAAAATTGTCTTTATAGTGGTAGTAATATTTGCACTAGCATGGTTACCTTTACACGTTCATCTATTAATCACTTATTGGCGTAATGGAAATCTACCAAAAGTTAAATATTATAGGATAATGTTGGTAGTTTTCCATTGTTTTTGTTTCTTATCATCCGTTCTAAATCCTATTATTTATAATTGTTGTAGTAAAGAATTTAGAACGGCTTTTAAAGAAGTTGTTTGCCCATTTAGAAGAGGATCAAACCATTCACTAATCCAGAACAGTCTACGTTTAACTAAAATGGCTCATAATAAACAGTTAATTTCTGTTTAAACTATAATACTAGTAGTGTATACTTGTAAGTAAAGTAAATATTTTTAACGTAACGTTCATTGTTTATAACGTTGTAAAGTTTTGCTTTTACATAAATAATCTGTATAGAGAACGAGAAGAAGAGGAAATAAAAATGATTTTCTATCTGTATATTGATTAAAGGAGAGAGAGAGAAGGAAGAGAGAGAAAGGGGGAGAGACGTTAGATTATAATAATTATTGGTTTCTTATAAAAATTTTATAAATAAATCTATAAAAGCAGATTCGCCTATTCAATATCCTTTTCCTTTCCTATTCTCCTGTCTTTTTTCTCTCCGTTTTGTAATAAATAAAGTTATCTTCCATCTATCTTCATATATATATACAGTATATACAGTATATTATATCTAATACGAAGCGGGGCTTGTCTACTCTTATTGTATTTAATTGAAGTGAAAATGAGTCAAGAGAATCCATGTTATTTATACAAATAGCAAAGTAGGTCTATGGCCAAAACATTAAAAACCCGGTAACCTTCTATTTTCAATTGAAACTGGAAAGGGAAAAAGATTAAATTAAAGTGTATGTGTAGTTAAACCCAAAAATTTCCTTTCTAAGAATTAATTAGAAGCTTACTCAAAACCCTTTCAATATGGAATGAGGATAATATGAACGACAACAATATAATCATTATAAGACAATTATTCCATCATTGTTATTATTGTTATTTTTCTATTCTTTCTTGTACCTTTTATGTTCTCTATTATTGTGGTTTTAATTATCTAAACATTTAGATAGGCTTTATAAATAGAAATATATATTTTTCTACTTTCTCTCTCTCTCTCTCTCTCTCTCTTCATTTGCAGAGAAAATTCTACATCAATGTTTAGAATAGCGTAACTATCTTCTTAGATAATATTTTAGTAACTTTATCTTTTTTGCTATCTCATTGCCATCGTCAAGTTAAATAATAAATGATACTAGGTAAGGAAAGTAGTGGATGAAGAAGTAAAACAAGCCCTTCTTCAATTTATCTCCGATATCATTATCATTAACTTAAAAGTACTGTTTAAGTGGAATTATAATAAATAATTGGAAAAAGAAGAGAATTTGTATTGAATATAGATATTTCATCATTCATAGAGAGAGAAAGAAAATTCCATTATTCGGAGAATAAATATAAAAAAGAATAAAAAATTATTCCTATAAAAGAGAATTCAATAGTTTCAATACGTCATGACTAAACAATAAATAATGATAGAGAGAATGAGAAAGAAAGAAAGATAGATAGATAGATAGATAAAATGAAAAAAATTGTATTAAAACATGGTCAATAAACCTATACAAAGAATGGAGTTTTACTGATTTTTTTCTCTTTTATTATCTATCATCAATTTTAAAAAAGCATTTTTTCCCTTTTTCAGCCTATATTAAATTCGATGAAATACTATAATTGGTCTCGTTAATTTATGGTCGTATATATACATACAGTATATATACAAATTATTTACAGATACTATAGAAATATATATATGTTTAGATTAGACAGAAGCAAATTGATATGGAATGTAAATATGGTATACGTACCATAAAAAATATAAAAGAAGTAGAAATAAACAATTAGAAAACTCCATTCGGGATGAAAGAAATTCAGATATATATTAACAAATGAGGCAGAAAATGGATAGAATTGATAAAGTGATAGTCGAGCGAAAGTTACAAATTTTTTAAGTCTACAATAGGACTGAAGAAAGACTGAATAAGATACCGCCATCGCCACTTTCACTTACTGCTGGGTCAATGATCTCTATCTTCTATTCATCGTTAAATAATCCCAGTAAAATTAATTAAAAATTCTCTCTTAGCGGTTAATAAGGATAATTGTAATGGAGCCAATAATGGTAATCTTATAGGTATTCCTTTAGAAAAACTTGACAGTATTGAAATATTTATAGAGTATTGAAAATAAAAGTGGAAAAGGTACGAATAATATGACAAATATCAAATATTTAGGTAAATCTCTTCAATAAATGGCCAAATTCATTTCGGTGTTGGTAAGAAAAAAATCTTCTTACAAATCTCCAGCCAAGAAATAGCCAACTTCCTAAAGCCTTATAGCGTCTATTTTACATCGCCAAAGGGAAATTTACATACTAGTTTTTTAACGAACTTACCACAGGAATAGCCGAAAAAGTCAAGTTGAGTTAACTAAAGAAATATCCCAAATGCGAAAGCTACCCTGGATAGGGTTAAATTAGTTGTCTAAAAGGGAATAAGAAGCTAATTACACCTGAAGATAAAGAATTATTGTCCAAAGGATTTTGGGTTTTTTTCTTTTAAGAACTTTAATAGAAAACTTATCAAAAAAAACAAAAATAATAGACAGAGAGAGAGAGAGAGAGAGAGAGAGAGAGAGACAGAGAGAGAGACAAAGAATACTTTTAAAGAACAAATAATAAGAGAAACAAAATGAAAAATAAACATAGTTATAATAGAAAAAAATATTTATTATTATGCTTTTTTTTTCGCCTTTTAATACTATTTGCTACATTCCAATAGCTTAAATAACAGAAAAAAACAACAATTTTTTTTAACTGTAGCAGTTAAGTATGTTAATTTTCAGTCTAGAATTAAAAAAAAAAAAAAAAAAAAAACTGAGACTTTTGAGAATTTTTTTCAATATATACTAAACCAACTGTAGCAAAGAATTTTAATTATTCGTTATCAGAGGAGAATACTACTCTTTGGCGCTTTAAGCGAAGTGGGTGTGTCGTTTAATTTACGCATTACGACCTAAGAACAAAAATGATTAAAAGATAAATTTTTAATTCTTAAACGATTGATTACGCAATAATTCACTTTACTTACGTTACACATTTCTCTAACGAGCGCCTTCTCCTTTTCATCTAATTCGTCGTCGGATTGGTTAAATAATGGAGTTGTAGACCTACTACTAGTTGTTTTTACGTTTGGTTTTGACATTTGCTGATGAAGTTCCATTACTTTAACAGCATTCGTTATCGCCTTGGGCTTTTCCGGGGGTTTAAGACAATCGTTTTCTTTCTAAAGAAATGTAATTAATCAATCAAATGTATTAAATTAATTAAACAGAACTGAATTATTTACCTCGTAATATGAAGATGCCGGTGATAATTCGCTACGAATTGGTAATGGAAAATATCTTTTTGCTCTATCGGCGAAATCAGCATTATATTCTGGAGGTTTTTCTGGTCTTATTGAACCACAATTGTTATGCTTTGAATTCTCTAATTTATCTATATATTCTTCTAATTGCTTTATATATTTAAATGCTTGCTCTAAAAATAAAAAAAGCCAATGAATAATAGTTGTCTTTTTGTCATAAATGATATCAAATGAATACCGTAAACTACGTTCATACTCGAACCGGATGTGTGGCTATCTTGTCCGTTTTCGTCCGTAGCTTTTTCTTCCTTTTCGGAATTACTACTTCCATCAGCCGAACCACGTTGATCTAATCTCTCTTGGTCTAAATAAACGCATAGCTCTTTCAAGTCAGTATTCTCTTTGGCCAAACTATTTTGTCGACCCTCTAATTCGCTTAATTTCTGCTGATAATTCAACATTTCACCCTTCATTTTGTCGGATGTAAATTTGAGCATTTGCCACTCTTTGACAAAGTTTTTCTCGTTCATTTGTTCTTCGTACAAGGAACAACAATCGTCTCTCAGTTCCTGGTTCTCTTTTTGTAATTGAAAATTCACCTCTTTTAAATGTCGAAGTTCTAAAAGGTTATGCTGAAGTTTACTGTTAAAGTCCTTCATCATTTCGTTACGGCGATTGAGTTCTGTCAATCTATCCTCTTCACAGTCTTTTAGCATACGAATTAACTTAGTTGGACCTAGACGAGTCAATTCTTCATCGCTAGCTCGAAGAATGTACGATGACGTTGACATCTCCTCATTTAGTGCCACAGGTGTTGTTTTCGATGAAAAGTCTGACTTTTTCTTAAAACTGGTTTTTAAGAATTCGGAATGAAAAAAATACGCACTCAAATTACTTTAAGAGTGAACCCGTACTCCATTCAATTTTGAATAATTATCGAATAGGTCTAAAAAACCGCTTTTATTTGCAGATACTGTGCCTTTTCAAGTAGCGGAAGTAAACAACTTTCTTTCCTCAACAACTGAAAATCGTATATCGGTTTTTAAAAAAAACTGGGTGCAAAGGTCGATGAATATTTTACCTTTTCTCTCGTTTGTTAATATGTTCACGTAAGAGAAGATTACAAAGTAATCCCGACCAGATTTTAAGTAAACTGAGAGGTGAATGGTGGAACGCTTTCATAAATGCATGTACAGACCCGTATTTTTCGTATTTTTAGATATTTGACGTACTTTGGACTCTATTTATTCAAAGTGAAAACAACCAAAGTTATTATTTTAAGTATGTTTACAGACTATTGAGCAAAAAGTCAATAATTCGGTTTATTATTAGTAAATAACGCCGGAGAATAGGGTCTTCCAGTTGCAGGAATAAGATTTTCCCAATATTCACGTCCAGCTCTCTTTCTGACACAAGATAAAGTGCTTCCCCGAAGAGCTTCACCCCATGAACCATGCTTTTTGGAAGCATCGCATGCCTTACCTCTCTCCTTTTCTAATTCTTCTGAGATCGCCCTAGTGTGATAAGGTTCGAAACCACAGCATCCACCTATATACCTAACTCCTAATTCGTAAGCTCGTCTAGCATACTTTTGAATTTCCCATCTTGTACAAATTCTTGGCTCCATTGCAAATGGAAACTCCGGTAAATCTATGTAACCATTTGCAGTGCAATCTGGTGTCATAAAGCCTAACGGTTGAGCCATTAAATAAGGCTTTTGACCTGCTTCATCTAAAGCCTTTTTCATCTCTTCCATCGCCTCTAAGAGAAGAAAAGGATCAAATTTACAATTAATTCCAACAACATCAGCTCCAGCTTTTGACATTCTAACGGCACATTCTCCTGGTAGAATACCACGTTGATCTCCTTTCGGTCCAATACACATAGTACTGGCTACCGGTTTATCCGATAATTTTTTGCAGCATTCAATCGCCCATTCCATTTCTTCTATATTTTCAAAATATTCGCATATTATGAAATCAATGTCATTATTCTTGAAAATTTGCAATTGTTTTCGAAATTCTTCCTGAACTTCTTCCTTTTCTTTACCATTTTGATAGCCGGTTGTTTGGGATATACTTCCGGAAACCAATGCACCACTTTCATCTGCTACCTCTCTAGCAATTTTACAAGCCGAACTATTAATACTGGCGCTTGAATGTTCAATTTCACCAGCACTTATTTTCCCTTCGTTTGCAAAGAAAGTAAAAGCTTGAACAACATCTGCTCCTGCTCTTAGAAATTCTTTATGCAATTGTTTAACCGCTTCCGGATGTTCAACAGCCGCTTCTGGTGTCCATGGACCAGCTTGTACGTATCCTCTTTTTTCAAGAGAAAACAGAAATCCTCCATCACCAACAACGATACCTTCGTTTAGTCTTTCTAAGAGATTTTTCTTGCTCTGTTTAATTTTAAATTAATCAATCATTAATGAAATTCCGGAAGAAAAACGAGAAAAATCAAAACCAGCATCGTATACCATTTTCATTGGTGACTTGGCAGAGTTCTATTCAAATGTTACGTATAAATCGAGATACGTATTCAAAATAAGGCCTACTTATCTGTTATTGCCTATTGAATATAACTGAGGAGTTAGTCCTATAGAATCAAACATAGAATTTGAAATATATAAATAATATATTTAAAAGATAAACTATCTAAGAGGCAGGATAAGAAACAAAGAGCATAATAAATTAGGCTAAAAACTATTATAAAGTCATTATTGTTTAATATTATCTATTCAAGTATTTGCCATTTAATTCAATTCATGAAAGGAATTGGTAACAGGCAGAAGAGATAATATCTAGATCAAGAGCATCAGTTCTACTTTAAAAAATTCAATTAGATAAGAGAATTTGAAACAAACATTTAATTAAAGGGATATAGAGTTAGATAAGGCAGAAGGGGAAAGAAGGGAAGGAGAGATAGGGAGAGAAAAATGGATACTATATTTGAAAAGCAATCAACTGATAAGACGGGTAGAGGGGATACGGATGATATTGACAGATCAACTGAAGTTGTGCGTCATGGAAAAACTTCAATAATAGACAAGGGTAGAACTGAGCCAAACTTAGCAAATAACATTGCTAAGGCTAAGGTATCTGTTCGACGTGATTTGTGTAGAAGAGATGCTATGGGTAGAAAGATCGATGAGCTAGAAAGACCTTTAACTAATCAAGCGAAAAGTACACCAGGGCCAGCTAATTATATAGATAAGTACTCTGTCTTGTATCCTCACGTATCTACGCCCTCAATGATTGAACCTTTTAACCTCGGTAAGGAGTATGGGAAGAAGATGCACTTTCCCTTATATAACGTAAGAAAACAGATGTTATGGGTTAGCAAGAGGTTTACTCTTAAAGGAAGAGATTTTACTAAAGAAAATAAAACCTATCCTGTTGGTCCGGCCGATTACTTTGTAAAATATTATCCCAAGACGATTGGTCCCACTTTATCAGGCCGTTCCAAGTCGATTGCTACATTTAATATTTCCCCAGGACCTAAATATAATATTAGAAATAGTAAAGGAAACGGACCTTCATTTACGTTAACTGGAAAACAGAAATTTTCAGTAAATTGCCTTGATTATCCTTCTCCTGCTCATTATGAAATAAAAGAAAGCAAACGTATTAAGGGAGGCTTATTATCTCGGCGGCTCAACAATAAGATGTTAGGGGAAAATTGTTCGCCAGGTCCTATATATAAACCAAATGTTCCCACGCTTAAAAGAGTCCCCACAATCAAAGGAGGTTATAAATCTCCTTATACGCATTCATCTCGCTCTCCAGGTCCCCAAGCCTATTACGTAAGATATTATAAGGGCGAAAGAGCCGCTTCCTATAGCTTAACGCCTAAGCCATTCCCAGAAACATATAAAGATAAATTTCCTGGTCCAGCAAATTATGGTCAAAAGGAAGCTAAGAGAAAAAATCTTGGACCTACCTTAAAGGGAAAATTCAAAGAAATAAAGTCGACTATCTTAAAACCTGGTCCTGCAGATTACAATATTAATGAAAATTCGATCGGTCGTTCGGCTATAATAACTAATAGGCTTAAAGGAATAAATGAAATAAACTCGAATCCTTCGCCAAACTTGTACGAAATCGATACAACATTAGGTAATGGACCAGCTTTTTCAATAGGTTCCAAACGGTCTTTGAACAGAGAAAAAGTAGATGGACCAGGACCAGCATCCTACTATCCAAAACAAATAGGATCAATGAAAAAGATAACGTTAAAGAGCAGACAAACAAGTATTTTAAATATGTTAAACTGTTCCCCAGGGCCAATCTATTATCCAAAAGATATTGGTTATTCCAAAAACATTATTGGCGCTAGTCTAAGTAGTAGACATTCCCCTTGGGTTTATTCTCCCATAAAGCGATTTTAATATAAACAAAATGATAAAACAAAATTATGTCTACCGACGAAAGATTACAGGGTAGGAGGGGGTCTTTAGTATTAATAAATCTAACCCAATTCATTGTTAATACCTAATCCTTCTGATCAATTAATTTTCTAACGTTCGCTTATTTGAACAAGTAATGCTTCTCCTTCGGCTTTTTGTTTAAATATACATATATATATATACATATCTTTTACCAATACGTATACATCTATGTATATATAAGTTATATAAGCTATGGAAGAAGACGTCTATGTTCAACAATTGCGGGAAGTATTCAATAGTTGCGATGAAAGACAAATAGGCTTTTTAGACGAACGTGGTGTTTCCGAGTTGTGCAATAAACTACAAATAGAACAATATTTGAATGAAATCCTTACTAATCTAGGTTAGTCTTGAATCTATTTATTCTTTAATATTCATATTTAACGTTCATAAACTAATTAATTAACTAACCAACTAGTAAGCATATACTGTAATACTGTATAATATCTATTATATATAATATAATGTATGTATCTTTCTTATTCCTGAATAGCCGCCAAATGCAATGATCGAGAATTTGGCATACAGTTTCACCAATTTAAAGAAGCATTTGTTGAAGTTTTAGATGGAGTATATAATACATTAGAAGGAGAAGAGGAGGAACGAGAAGAGGAAGAACGAGAAGATAAGAAGGAGGAAGAATGCGAAAAACAAGATCGAGAAGGGCAACAGCTATCGATAGAAGTTTACGAAGGTTGGTACGAATAAACACGAATTTTAAATATCGGGGGCTTGTTTATATTCTGTACCACTTAAACTCAAGTTATTCTATCTATATTCGTCCTAGATAGTCTATTTAAGAAGCTTATAATCCGTTATCCTTTTATAATAGACAATCTTTGCCGATCATTTTATGGATATTGTACCATATTCTAAAAGCGTTTGCAATGTGACGCTCCTTATACCTATCGATATATCAACAGTTTACTTCTTTTTTGTGTTAGCCCTCGTCTACTTATTATCTCTGCTAGGTGAACGAAATACGAAGGAAAATAGGGCAAAGAAAAAAAGGCAATGTGGTAACTTTAAAGAGTGTGAAGAAGAAAGAGCAGGAGAAGGAGGAGGAGGAGGAGGAGGAAGAATTGATGATGCACAAGATTTATGTATATTAGAAGAAAGAATAAAGAGACAAGAGACGGAGGGGATTTGGTTTCTTCCAATAGGAATACTAGGTGATCGATATATGCTAAATTTTAAGCCAAAGCGCGAAACAGATGTAAAAATCGGGGAGCTTTTGAATCAATTAATACGCTTAGGTTTTGATAAAAAACAAAAATACATATACACTTGAACGTTCTATACACCTTTTGAACGTTTATGTGTAAACAATTATGTTGGACAGTAATAATTGGACACTTAAATCTACTTCCGATACAGATCAGGGAAACGTTTCATCGGAAGAGAGTGTTCATGAACAAGTAAGATTAATATGGGACGAGTTACGAGTTGGTATAGACGGCTATTTAGATATGAAAGAATTAGGTGTCGTTTGTAATCATATTGGCATGGAAGAGATGGATGATTCGGATATAGACCGATTATTTAATCGTTTGGATAAAGATAAGGATGGCCGAGTTAGCTTTTACGAATTTCTGCAGGGTATTTATAATAGGTCGAGAACAGAGAGTAAAATCGATTTGTTACCAAACGATAATGCATCTATATTTACCGAACTTGATAATAATAAATCTGGTTTTGCAAAATCATCAGAAGTAATAAAACATTGGAAAAATTTGGGAATTGAAAATGGCGAAAAAATTCTTAATGTTTGTTTCTATTCTTCATTTTTTATTTGCTCTTTCTTTCTGTCTTATCTATTTACGACCCACTTTTTCGACAGATTTTTGGAGTAACAACACCAACTGGGGACGTTAACTTAAAAGAATTATCAGAATGCTTAGAGCAAGAAATGTTGACAGTAGTCCTTAGTAGCGACGTCTATTCTGCAGCCTTGGCGTCTTTTAAAAGAGAATTGCATCACTTAAGGTAAGATAAATATCATTATAGTTCTTTTGCTAAAAAATCAACTTCTTTTATTACTATTCCCCCCAAAGAATACTTTTGGATGATAGAGAGAATGAAAAGAAGCATTTAGAAGAGAATCTTAAACTGACAAATGCAAGACTACGCCACTTTCTTGAGGAAAGCGACGAAAGACAATTTGATATGGATAATGCTAGAAAAGAACAATTAAAGTAAATATTTCCCTTTAATTAGGACTAAGATTAGGTTATAAGGAATATCTATAGTTTTGAATGTTAGACTACTATCTAAACTGCACTTTTAGTTAACGTTTCTATTGCACCAACTTTATTATAGATGTGTTCTGATGAGAATTAAAACGGTATTTGAGTAAGTATTACGTAACAATTGAATCGGCTCTTTATACAATCTCCATCCAAAGCAAAAGAACAAAAGTAACAATTTTCTGGATGGACAAACTTTATACAGTTTTCTCTTTTTCTTCTTCTTCCTCAACTATTTCTCATCCTTCATCATATTTCTCTTCTCTGCCTATATATTTCAAAAATAAATATTTATATATATATATATATATATATATACATACATATATACGATTAAATAGAATCAATAGAGTTATATAGAGTTTGTTTATTTAGGTTACTGGAGAATAAATACGAAGATCAAGTAAAATCTTTAAGAAATCAGATGAGGAGAGAAAAGAATGAAAAATTAGCATCAACATATCAACAATTGGCAGTTGCTGAGGATCAATTAAAAGATTGTAGAAAATCCGAAAAAGAACTCAAAAGTCAATTAAGCCTTTGTCAGAAGGTAAATACAATTGAAACAGATCTTTTTAGTTTTCTCTAACCTAATTGATTTTCTTAATAATTATATAAATTAATTAATAAACTGTCCAATCGAAAAGCAAACAGGAACAATTGAAAGTATTAAGGAGAAAGCACTAACAGCCAAATCGGCAAGATTTAAATTTTCTATTTATAGATCTACTTTTTTCTCAAAACTTTTAAGAGCTTTGTTTATTTTTAGCATGAATATGCTAATTAGTTTTTTTTGTCGTTGTTTTCTTTGTTAAAAAGTTGAAAGTAGATGGAGGAAGAGGGAGGAAATTGACTTCTTTATTATTAATATTAATCTCAGTTGATTTGACCCTGTTAAAAGATACAGTATATACTATATCTTTCTATTTATAGTATATTTATTTGTTAGTATTTTCCTTTCGGTGTCTTCTCACCTATATATACCACCCACGATTACCACCCTCGCTCTCTCTCTCTCTTTCCTTCTCTTCCCTGTTTCTTTATTGTATGCTAATTGGAACAATTAATTTATATAAAGGAATTGAAAAAGGCCGACAACGATTTAAAAGAAGTTATTGTCAAGTGTAATAACTTGAAGGAGGAGAATATTTGCCAAAAGGAAGAGATTGATCTCATGCTTAGGGCTGAACGGGAGGTTCATATAAAGTCTCTTTTCTCTTTTTATATTCTAATATGTATTGTATTCTATAATACGGTTAGTTAAGAGAAAGTGAACAAAGAAGGGAGAATAGTAGAGAAGAACAAATTCGGCTCAGTAAATACAAAATTAACGAATTACAAAAGGAAAAATTGGTAAGGTTCTTGACTATTTAACCCTTAAGAAGGGCATTATAAACGCTAGATGTCACTACCCTTCTTTAAGGCTCTCCAAGATAACATTGACGAGTTATCCATAGAATTAGCCGAATTAAAATCTCAAAAAAATGCTCAAAAACAAGAAAAAATCTACGATTCTAAATTAGGAAATAATAGACGAACACCAACACCAATTAGCGGTAAAATTAACTATTTTACAAGTTATGAATATTCATAATTATCTTCTTTAAACAAAATATCAGACACAGAATTTATAGATGACGATGTAAATGGAACAAAAAGAAGAAGAAAATTACCAGCTCGTCCATCAGGTTAAGCTTTATTTATATACGTAATAAAGATATATATATATAATATATATATTATATATATATATAGTATTTAATAGAGAAAATCAATAGAATTTAAAGTAACATCTGCTTGAAAATTGAATGAATTTGCTGGGTTATGAAAAAAAGTGTTACGACTATAGCAGATATATGGGATATATTAGTATATACATATATATATATATATATATAAATTATATATATATATATTTAACTAAATAATGATTTTTAACTATTTATAAACCTAAAATTTTGTATTCTCTCTCTTTTTTTTTTTTTAAAAAAAGTATGAATAATATTTATTATTAAATGATGCGAAAATGATAACGTAGAAATTTTAACTCTTAGAAAGCGAAATGAAAGAAATCGATCAAGTCAAAGTTGAACTACAAAAGGCAGTATCCGACAGGGATGAATTACAAGCTACTGTTGAAGAATTAGAAACGGAATTTGCCGAAACAATTGAAAAAAATCATAAATTACAAATTGAAGTTGCAGCCTTAAGACAGCAATTGGAAGATGGTGATATTGATCCGAAAATTGGTAAATTACAAGAATTAGCGATCGAACAGGAAAGAAAAGACTTGGAGCATTCGTATAAAATGGAAGTTGCCGAAATAGAGGAGCTCAGGGATAGAGAGAGAGAAGAGATGGAAGCGAAATTGGAGGAGGAACGGGTACGTTATGAAAAAAGTATAATATATAAAAAAAAAGATATTATTGATTTTATTAAATTAGATATAAAAACTAAAAATATAAAAACAATGACTGATTAATTTGTAATTAGACTCGGTTTGAAGAATTATTAGAGAACAAATTGAAAGAGAAGGAGGAAGAACTGCAAAAAGTTTTTGCCAACGATCTTCAAGACGTTAGGATTAGGTGCGAATCAGAAAAGAATCTATTCGTTCAAAAAATGAATGCGGAAAAGGAAGAGGAGTTGCAAAAACTTCGTGATGAAAATGAGAAACAAAAAGATAGCGATAACAATCAGGATATTGTTGATCGTTTAAATAAGAAAATTGCCGAATTAGAAATTCAACTTAAATTACAAAGAGAAGAGTTAGAACTGGAATTTGAACAGAGAAAGAAGGCCATTATAGAAGAATTTGAGAGGGAGAAAAGTGATTTAGAAAAGGTTCATCGATCCAAGATATACGATTACGAACAAATGTTTGAACAGGTAGGCCAATTTCATCTTTTGAATATTCACCCTCTATATTTTCTCTTATATCATTCATATTTAACAGGGTCCGAGTGTTCTTAAAGGCAAACTAAAGAATGACTTTGAAAAGATGCTAAACGACTATAAAGAAGCTGAAAGAAATAAAATGAAAGAAGAATTTGATAACGAAACCATTGAACTAAGCAAAGAATTCGGTTATTATCATGTATTGTACAGTATATATTGCTAAATATATTTATACAACAGATAGTAGTATTCAAATAGGGCAAACAAAAATACTTTGATATTTAATGGATTGTATGACGTAATTGTTGTATCTTTTAAAGGTAAGAAGCTAGAAGATGAGCAAGTAAGGTTTACGGAGGAATTACAAGAAGAGAGGATAAAGCTACAAGAAAACTATGATAAAGAAAATTCAGCTTTAAAAGCTCAACTTAATGAAGTAAAGGACTCTTTAGACAAAACCAAAGACTCTTCTACCTTAATCCAAAATTTACAAACTGAATTACAGGTATTATTTTGCAGTTGTTACAGATCACGTGATATAAAATGCATAGATATTTCCTTTCTATTATATACATTAAATATACATTAATATAATATTAGTATAATACATTGATACATTAAATATGACCTGTTCAAATAGGAAAAGGATGATGAACTTTTGAAACTGCAACAACTTCAAACAAAGAGCCGAGAAAAAGAAATTGAGAATAATGAGAGATATTTCGATTTGGAAAGACAAAAGAACGATTTGGAGAAAAAGTATCAGGAGCTTATCGATGATTCAACAAGAGAAAAGAATGACTTAAATGTGGAAATTAAGCGTTTAGAATGTGATATTGAAGATCTCAAAGATAAGATATCAAATGTTAATTGAAATAATCACCTATCATTTCCGTTGTAAATAGAAACTGTCACTTTTATAGGCTCAAAAAGAGATGAATAGGCAGGATGATTATGTTGATAACTTGAAAGAGTTTGAAAAGCAATTAGAAACCAGAAAGAAACATGAACAAGAGAATCTAAATGCCGCTATGAAGTACCGTAAAGAAGTCGATGACCTAGATTTTAAGTTGAAAGATGCTGAAATCTTACTGAAACAGGAAAGGTCGAAAATTGAAGATTTAGAGATAGAACTCAGGGATAAGAATGAAATGGAAAGTTATTCTTTAACTTTAACTAAGATGAACAAAATTGTTATTTTTTTTATAGGTGAATGACCATAAACGAAAAATCGACGATCTAGAAATACAATTGAAGATGAAAAATGAGGAGGAAAGTGAAAAGGAAAGATTAAATTCTTCTAAAAGATTTTACGCTATGGACGATACCGATAAGGTAAATGATTTATGAATTAAGGGATATTTTTTATTACATATATACATATATGTATACATCTATTAGAATATTATTTTATTATGGTACTAAAACAAAACTATCTATATTATTCCTGAATAAAAAAGAAGAAGAACAGCGAACTTATGGATGAAAAGAACAACTTGGAACTATCCTACGTCCGATTACAAGAACGAATAGGCAATCTTTTAAATCAGAATCTTAGTAAAGAATTAACAAAGGTGTGACAAACAGAGATTTCAACATCACACAAAACATAATTAGTTTAATTAACTATAAACAATTTGACATCCTTACCTAACAACTATCTATGTTTATATATGTGTATATACAGTATATATACAATTTATTTTTGTTTTCTGACCAAACATAGATTATATAGGACTAATTTTAGCAAATATCTCTCTCCTCTCTCTCTTTATTTTCTTCTTGTTCTCTCATTCGTCTTCTCTTTATTAAAGTTAATAATTTTTTATATAAATTAATACTGTTATGAATATTTAAATAGTATTTTTTTGCTTTTCTGTGAATATTTTAATAGGTTCAGAAGGAAAATTGGGAATTTGAAAGAGATAGAATGTCGGAGCAATTAAATAAAACCAATGAAGAAGTAAGTTTAATAAATAGATTAATTTTAAATCACTTAAAAGCTAATAAATATTAATTAGATGGCTGAGGTTCGGACCATAATGTCTCTTAGACAATCGCAAAATCAGAGAGAAATTCAAATATTAAAAGATAAACTGGACAACTCGGTTGATACTCTTAAGTAAGAATTGAATAAGAAGAAAAGAACAAAAAGAAATATAGGCCTAATTATAAATATTTTAAATAGATATAGAAACGCTTGTAATAAATTAACGGAAGCTGAATATAAAATTCGCCAATTGGAATCTAGATTAAACGAAAGATCGACACATATCAATAATATTATAACAGGCACTTTAAATGAACATAAAAAAGGTATATTAGACTTGGAAGATGAGAAAGAAAAGGTCAAGAGGCAATTGGACAATACTAAGGAAGTCTTAGACGATCACGTGAGAAAATTACAAAGACAAGTATATTGTTCTATGGTTAATTAAAAAGTTCGTGAATATTCATTATCTTTTTTTTTAAAAAGTACGATCAAGCAACAAAGAACGAATCTTTAATTAGAAATCTTTATGTGGAAAATTCTAAGTTGATGCAAAATTTGAGTTTAAGTGAAAGAAAAGAGAGAGAAAGTAGGGCAAGATGCGTTAAATTTGAAGAAAAGTGCAGAACACTACAGAATATACTTTCTAAAACATCAAACATCTGATAACTCAACGCATCTATATTATAAATGCGTATACAAGCAATTATACATGTATACTTTTATTTGTTCTTATATTTTACATTTCTTCTCTCCCTGTTTTTATATATTCTGTCTTGTATTCATCTTTGTGAATCATTGATTAGAGGTGCTTAATTAGCTAACGTTACAACAACGAACTACACAGAATATCCAAACATGTATTGCCAAATGACGCATTCACAATTTGCATAAGTAGATATATGTACAAGTATAAAGCATAAGCCGAGAGAGAGAGAGAGAGAGAGAGAGAGGGAGAGAGGGAAGAAGTCTACCGTCCATTACATATTTCTATACTAATGATCGTAGCTTTTCTTTGTCTCTGTTTTATTTTATTATAATAAAATAGTAATAATAATAGTAATAGAGTTAATCAATAATTCTTTTTAATAAAAAAATAAAGAACTTTTTTTTTAATCAACAAAAGAAGAGAAAAAAAAAACAAGCAGGTGTTTTCAATATAAATTCTAATTGAATTATTAATAATAATCTACATATGTATCGTAATAGTTTATATAGATATATACTGTATATTCAGTATATTACATATTAAGCAATTTTCTTTTAAATATAAGATGCTATTCTGTTAGTTTCACTCTTTTTGTAGCTATTCTCTTTTTATCCATCATCTTATATTGGTCCTTTTAATTCTCTTCCTGTTCTTTTTTTTTTCTTTTTTTCTCCCTAGATTCAATCTATCAAATTCTTTCTTTCTCTAACTATCTATCAAACGGTTAACGTTGAATATAGGATAAAATAGAAAGGTTGAAAAAAAAAAGGAGCGGTAGGTACTCCCTTTTATTACCCAATGGAATATTAAAGCTATTGAAATTAAGGTTATTTTTCCCTTTTTCGATATTGATTAATCAATGTCGTAAAAGAAAAATAATGTTATATATAGGATTAAATAATGAGGGATTGGAAGCCTCAGTTTGAATATTTTACCTCTACTACTTTGTATGTTTATGAACAGTAATAATATACATTGTATATAAAATAATATACATGCAATGTACTGTACACTGTACATTTTATATGAATATAGGCTGTTGCAAGCTTACAGTAGTACCGTACATTTGGATATATTGTCTACATTAATATAATTTTTTGAAAATTTCTCTTCTTTTTAGGGATAAATTGATAGGAAAGTAATGATTAAGATTATTAATATTTAATAAGAAGACTGATTGTCCTAATCAAGAGGATGATGCTCGTAATGAAGATAAGGATAATCTATATTTAATCTTTTTCAAATGGGTTCGTTATGCGAATGTTTCGCTAAATTGAAATTGAAAAGGTAGAGTGATTTCTATTGATTCCAATCATTTTTTTATATAATTACATTGAGAAATAATGACTTTCTCTTTTCTCATCTTGTTTTATCTTCTCTTCCAATTCTTATTGTAGAAAGGAAAAGTCTTTACGCTCTTTTACATTGGATTCATTTACTGTGAAAAGTGAAGGAACGCCTAGGTCAGAATCAAGCGTGCGAAGTGGAGAAATACTAATTACCCCTCATGGTCTTAGGATAGCTAAGCAGAAAACTGAATTTCACAAATTCCTTAGGTCTAATGATCTGTCAACTGTCCTTATTAGTAGAAATCGTTTACAAACTGGTAAACTTTTGGCAATTGTTAACAAAATGAGAATATGCAATGGGACTTTGAGAACGTCAACAAAATTTCTACCAGTTAACGTTCATATTTTAACCGGGATTAATAATGATGAAGAAAAAATATCCATTTTAGATAGTGTTCGATCCCTACGCCATCTTAAACACCCGAATATACAAATAGCTAAAGGAGCATGTATAGAAGGTGGAAGAGGTATTAGAGACGGTTTCGAAGTACTATTAATCACAACTGAAAGAGTTCATAAACACGTAACGCTAAAACGTCTCCTCGAATGGGCATTGAGCAACAATTCATCTCTGCTAACTCAGCACTGTGCTTTAAATTTTGTAGTCGATATATGTAAAGGTGTGAACTATTTGGAAGAAAACCACTTGACAGGATATGATCTCACAACGTCAACATGCTCGTAAGATTCCATATTTTATACAAAACTCTAGATAGCGTTACACAGCATTTTCTAACCCAAATTCAAAGAAGATATATAATCATTTATATATTTTTCTATCCCTTTTCTTTTTGTTCTATAGGATTGACATTGCCTGTAGAGTTAAAGTATCTGATTTACATTGGAATTCGTATGATAGCGAATTGGTACGATGGCGTCCACCTCAATCGAATTGTATGACTTGGACGATAGGTGTCGTTATGTGGGAGATCTTCTCTTTCGCATCCTTACCATATTCAAATATTAAAGCTAATGATTTACCTGGACACCTTTTAAATGGTCTCCGACTATCAAAACCAGAGAATTGCTCATGGAATATGTATATTTTAAAAAGATAATCAATTAGTTATTCCTTCTTAAATTTTAAATTTCTCTTCTTAGATATAAGGCAATGCATCTTTGCTGGCACAAAGATCAGGATCTCAGGCCTAGCGTTCGACATTTAATTAACCTAATAACGGGACTATTACGGTTCGTGCCAAATTCCGCTCCTGCCCATCAACTTTTTCCGGATACAGATCAATTCGAGGAGGATGAATACTTCCCATCAAAAGAATACAGTTTTAGTAGTAACGAATTTATAGAGGATGAATATATTTGATATACTTGTAGTAGTAATTTGTATTTATGGATGTTTTTATAAAAAAAAAAGAAAGAGGAAGAAATGAAATATGACAGAGATTCAAGTTTCTAATGTGCCATTTTGTTTTTATCACTATTTCTCTCTCTCTCTCTCTCTCTCTCTTTCTCTCCATCTATGTCTAATAATACAATTACTATCTACCAATTTTTTACTTCATAGTATATAGGTATTTCGTGCCTGTTAAGAGATACGTGATAGCTTAAAGACGCATAAAGATATATGTATGTAAAGGATTAATAGATTATTTTACGACTTTATTACTTTTTCCTCTCTCTCTCTCTCTCTTAGAGAGGTTTATTTACATAGAGAAATTATTCATTAATTCAATTAAATTCTTTTTATTTTTTATTTATTAAATATATACGAATAATAGAGGTTAATGGCCTAATTTAACAAATGTGAAGGTCATATTTAAATAATAGATGTTTTACTGTTTGTAAAAATTGGATTATTCTCTCTAGATATAATAGCATTATTTGTTAAACGGGACTGGATGATAGTATCTTGCATTAGTTCTTGACCTATTCTGTGATCCAACTCAGATGGTGATAATACTATATCAAATTGACCTTTTCTTATACTTTCAACTCCAATTTTAAGTAAAGCTTTTAAACCGTTATTTTCAGCAATTAAATCGCCTTCGTTAGTCTTATTAACCTTATATTCTATATTCAAACTATTCAATTCTTTCTCGTACATATTTAATAACATTTGATGTTGAATTAATTCTAAACGTCTATTTTCTAGCCCCTCTTTTATACCTCTCAAACTCGATTCAGAACATTGAAATTTACCCATTGCAGAAGCTAAATCTTTTCTCAAAATATCAATTTCACCTTCAATTAAAGCTTTAACAGTTTGATTATCACGATAAGTTTTATCTTTCTTACTCATTAAATTGTTTTTTTTTATTATTTTTTTTTAAAAAAAAACTTTATACTTTATTATTTTAATACTTTTTTTTGTTGTTGTCCCTTATATACCTGTTTTAAATATAATTCAAATATTCAAAAAATGCTGTATGAAAATATAGAGGAAATTTTTTAGGGGGGACCTTTTGTAAATAAAACGTGTGAAATTATAAAAAAAACTACAAAAAAAAATCAACATTTGTATTGCCTCTAATTCACTCTACAATCGTAGTAGTTGTAAACAAAATTCAAAAAAGAGAGAGTGAGAGAGAGAAAATTCAAAGAAAGACGTAGACAAGAAACGAAGAGGAAAAGCTTCTTATCGTGAGATAATGATTCTTCTATCTATCTGCATTTAAACATTTTTTTCTAGATGATTCTCCATGTGCTATTTTTTATCACGTACGACGTGTAACAAGAGACAAAACATTAGAAGACGCATATAAATTTCATTAATATTCATCTAAACATTAAGATTGGTAGTAGTAGTAATAATAAAACTACGATCCAGTGCAAGAAAACAAAAACTAACAATGCATTGATGTTTTTGTTTTGTTTTTTATGTTTTGGCTTTAAATGTGCGTCGAAAGCGTTGAAAAATACTTTTTTTTAATTAACGGCCGACAACGATAGAAAGTGTACATAAAAAAATATTTCAAATTGATTATTTGTTAATTAATAAATTAATTAATCAATCAATCAACCAATCAATCATTTTAAATGAAGGATAAGAATTTTTTTCTTAGTGATATCGGTATTCTTATCTTTTTTTTGTGCTGAACGACTAATATACTATATACATATATATATATATATATATAATAGTATATAACATAAAAACTGTGTGGTCAATGACTTTAAAAAGATGGAAGATAAAAAAGAATTAACAAAGAATTTATAAGCAAAAAATGTCAAAAATGATTAAGAATTTCACAAATTCCTTTATAAAAAGGAAAAATGAATTTTTCTTTTTCTTCTCAGCAGTTTCAAATTTGATTTGAGCAGAGTGAAAGTCGCAAAACAGCTTTTTAAATATCGGTCTCTAGAAGAACTTGATTTTTAACTGAAAAGTTCTCCTGTGAGCTATATAAAGAACCCTGAGATGTAGACATTCTATGACGTTCAATTGGTGTCATGGTAACTGAATTTGTGTCTGAACCTTCTGCTAACCTACGACCAATTTCAAGTCTTTCCGGTTGATATTTTACCGGTTCATCATTTACACTAGCTATTGTCGGTATACTAGGCGCATAGGCCAGATTAGAATGGTCCATCTCTCCGTCTTTAACTTCTAATTTCTTTTCTTTCATTTCTCTTTTCTTTAAATAGTACTGAGACATAAAGATAAGAGCAGCAATAATAATGAATCCTAGTGCAGCCATCGAGCCAACAAGTGCTCCTAAATGATGAAGAAGAAGAAAAAAGGATTAAGTAATCATTGATTATTTATAATCGGCAATTATACGAATGATTTATAACAACTTGAAAAAGAATGTCATAAAGATAACGAGAAAATAAAAAAGAAAAACTTTTAATGGTAATGATAAATCCCTTTTTTCACGAAATTGTTGAAAGGGTCTGTTATAGTTCAAATACCCTTTTTTATATCTTCAATAAGGAAATTTCTATACATCATTTCTATTAAACAGTAAAATGTTTTATATAGTCGTTTTATTTCGACAATGAGAAGCTTTTTCTTCTGTCGAAACGAAATCTTAAATAAGGTCCTATTATAGTAGGCTAATGACAATAGAATTTGGCAGAGAGTGAGAGAGAGAAGGAAGAGAAAGAATGATAAAAAAAAGGGTTTGGGGAAGAAGATTAATAACATAAAAATAAAGATAAGTAAGCTGAAATATATATATATATATATACATTATATAGGTGTTATTTTTCTTAGGTTTCTACAGTAAAAATAGTTAAAATACACCATTTTATATGTATAAATACTCAATCTAGGCCTATAGCATATGTTTCTTCTTCTATTTCATCGTTGATCATAAATAGTTAATACAACTTACTTTTAGCTGTACTTGTATCGTCGGTAGACTTATAACCAGCTGACTTTGGCGACACGTATTGTTTGCAACCACAGTCATCAGGAGCTTTATTCATCTTTGTTGCACAGGTAATTTGTACATGAAGATCGCTGCTATTAATTGAAATTTTCGATTGAAAAATTCCTCTTTCGTCATTACCATAAAGTCTTAACTTAAAAGAACTGCCAAAGCTCATTTTAGCGTTAGATAAACCTGCGCAAATCCATGTTGTTGACCTGGAATCTATTATTTGAACAGAACCTTCGCAACTTTGTTTTTCGCCAGATAAATTCATTTTCCATATTTCAAAGGAAAGTGTAGGCTTCTCTTTGTATTGAAAATTAAAATCACATTCGCAAAATTCACCCTTTTTTGGCGCAGTAGCATTTAAGAAACCATTGGTATATTTTTCGTATACTTGAGATTCACATAAGTCGATATCTGTTCAGAAAAAACCATGCTCTCTATCACATATGACATTTATTTATTTATAACAATTATAAATAATATACACCTTCGGTCGCAATTAGCCCAAAAGAATAAAATATTGTTGAATATATTATATACAAAATTAAAAACATGGCGATTATAATGCAGACGACAACCGTGGGAAAAAGCCTCTGTTCAGGTACGGGCTGCAGTCACCCTCCCTCCAGATGGCATTACTATCGATTTGGTGGGAGATTTTTAAGTATAGGCCGAATTATTCGTGATTAGAACTACTAAACGATAAATCACGAGTCGTTAGTAATAAGAATGTGCATATTATTTAATTTACTACTCTTATTTTAAGAATAATAGTAAAAAAAAGCATTTCTCTGTCATATTGAACACTATTATTATATTGAATATATTATATGTTTAACGAAGCGATTTAATTAGGCTAATGGCTTCATCGAGAGCCGAATAAGATCGTGCTAAGAAGAATTGCTTTTCAGATTTGTCAAAGTGGATTAAGAAGAAATGTTTTGTTAGACGGAAACTCTCACTCGTCGAATGGTTTAAAAGCAATTATTCGTAATAAACGCCAAAGACGGACACTACAGCAAACAAATCGTTGTGTCGGAACGTAACTGTAGCATAATTATCATGTTCAATGTTCCACAAACACCTTGTAGCGTATTCAATCCCTTGCTGTTTTTCCTGTCCTAGTACTACATTGACGACAATCTTGTGCCTTGTATAGCCGAGTTCTTTTATTCTTCTCTTAACGTCATCGGCTAGAAACTTGCATACGGACGAACATTTCTTCACGTTGTAAGTGTTGGTCTGCGCCAGGAAAAGCTTTATAGAATCTTCTATTGGTTGTTTTACTCTGTGAACGCAGAAGCGTTGTTCGTCATTCGGTTCCAAACGAAAAGTATTTTCCATTTTTATTTGCGGACGGGCTTGTTTACTGGAGACGGAACTTCTTCCTCCCTTCGTCATACGCCATTTGGATATTTTACGTTTCATCATCGTAAGTGCTCCAAATCCACCCATACCAGATCCTTCACCTTTGCCAAGAGCTCCGAGACTTATTCTAGATCTCTCTGGAGGAAGGTACGACTCTCTTCTAACTCTATGCGGAGATTCCTCAGCCATAATACTGAAATATTGTATAAAGTAAAAAACTATATTGCGTCGTGTCCTTTATATTTATATTTTCTCTTTCTCTCTCTCTTCCTCTTCTTTTTTTGTTTTAAGCTCGACAACAATCTTCACAAAAGCAAGTCCGAAGGTAAAACTAGCTCTGGACTGATTTTGTTAGTGCACCAGTAAAAAACTCGTTTGACAGCGCCACACTTTTAAACAAACAAACCAACAATTTCTATTTATTGACCATATAGCCTAAGATATAAAATACGAATTATTTTAACGCCTTCTCTTTGTAAAGTAGCTCCAAAAGAAGAAGAAGAAAAAAGCAATTTTATCTTTCCTCTCTTTTCAAATCGTTAGTTACTTCAAATAAACAAAAATAGACTGACTTTATCAATATTTCGCATGAATTCGATTAAAAAAAAAGAGGATGGCGCACGCATATATTAACATAGATAAACACTTGAAAAATCTCTTCTAGTGTTTATTCTCACCATCGCAAATTCTAGTTAAAATGCTTCAAACCTGTTTACAGTTCTCTCAAAGTGTTTCGAATGTATACAAGTTTAACTGATAGCGGTGTATCGCCCGAGTAAACTTAATCTCTTTTTGATAAAATAGTTCGGTATAGAGTGTTGCGAAAAACGGCTGTTTACTTTTATTTAGTTAACTCTATACAATACGTACATTAGCTATATAACAAGACTTTATGAAAATATGGTTTTTCTTTCTTTACATTGTCGCTAATATTTTTACAACTCGTTGACATCAATATGAAGAATGGCTGACGATTATTACTCAAACTATGTGGGGGAGAGTGAGAAGAGAGAGTAGATAAAGGAATATCTATATAATACATATATATATATATGTGTGTATGTGTGCATGTGTATAAATGAGTGTATAGGTCACTCTTTTGTTTACGAAAGAGAAAAGGAAGTAAAGGTACTCTTATTGCTTAAACTCGTACTGCCATCTATGGGTCGTTTATGTTCTTATTTTAAAATATTTCTAAAGTTAATAAGATCAAGAATAAAATTGCAAATAGTAGCATCTGTGCGGGATTTAACTGCATACACGATCGATGAAGAAAAGGTCAGAGTATTTAAATGCAGAGAGAGAAAAAAAAGTTTAAACAGCAATACTACGACTGATCTAGATACGAAAAACTCTAATCATCAGGAAGAGGATACGAGAGGAGAAAAAATAAGTTTTTTTTATTATTGAATTAAAAAAATGGAAAGTAAAAGGCTAATAGTTGAAAGGGAAGGAATAAGAAAAAAATATATAAAGCCTTCTCAGGCCTATCTTGTTTTTCTCAACTTAAGCATGCAATAAATATTCACAATTCATAAGTTAATATTAGAAAAAAATTTTTTTTTATAAAAAAAAGAACAGAATAAAACAGTCCAAAGAAAATATTTTTTTCACGACTCACATAGAAAAATGATAAAAAAAAATAAAGAAACCACGAAAACATTCAAGTATGTCAAAATAAATAACGTATTCCTATTTACACCCCAAAAATATATCTATATATTAGTGCATGTTTACGTAATCTGTATATCATTAAATAATTAATCAATATACAGTATTTATATATTTTTCCAATGTAATATTATAGAATTCTGTAACGTACATAAGTGTGATATATACATATATTTCTATTCTAAATGTTTCAAACCTTTCATCAACTTTTTTCTTCATAAATAAGAAAAAAGAAATTCCTTGATATCGATTTCCTTCGGCTGGCTAATATTATCCGGAAACGAGAACCTACCGGAATTCTCTAGGAGAAGGGCAAAAATCCGGAAGAAATGCTTTGTACTTAAAACAGCCGTATATTATTTTGTACTCTTTCTCTTTTCTTTTTATCTTTTTATACCGACCTCTGCTTCCTGCCTCTCTCTCTCTCTCTCTCTCTCTCTGTCTCCCGCTCTACATCCGTCTCTCTTTCTCACATATACAAGCTATTCCCTATTCGATGCTAAATATTGTAACGTTCGAAATACGCAATTGATAAAGTATTGCACAATACTTGTAGACGTTTATATATTTTTGATTGTACAAATAAAAACTCTCAAAGCATATAGTCTATATGTACAATGCACATTTTAAAAAATAATAAATTGAATAAATCAACCACTCCCCTATTCTTATTAAGTCACAATTTATTATCGGACGCGACTCTATGCAAAAAAACTTACGAGAAAAAATATGGCAAAAAAAAACGTTTGCATTAAATGCACATCAGTCACAGTTTGCATACAATTTATGTTATTCGAGTTTTTTTTTTCTTACGACGTTGGTGGGCCAATCACAGTTTGTCATAATTAAAAAGCACCAAATCGTTAGTTTAATGTAGTATTTCTTTTCTTTTATTTTTTTTCTTTTTTTCCATAACAAAAAATGGAAAAGAAAAAAAAAAAAGAAAAACCAAAAAGAAAAAAGGAAAACAACAATTTTTTTTAATACGATTAATTTTTTTTTCATTGTTTATCATCCTCACTTATTATCAGCTTCATATATCCTTCTTCAATTATTAATATTATTATATTTGCTGTCGATGTTCATGTATCTTGTTGTTGTTGTTGTATTTAGAAAATAGAGTATTTAATAAATAATTGTTTTCATTTTGTTATTTTCAAAGCTTTCTTTGCCCCTCTTTTTTATATATATATATATATATAAAGATTTGAATAAATATATGTTGAAATATATATATATACATTAATATTTCTTTTAAAAGCTTTTAGTTCTTGATATTTCTTTTGGCGGCGTTTTTTCTTTATTTGTTGTGCATTCTCGTAGCTTAGCTGTCACTATCCGAAGGGATTCTATCAAGAAAAAAATGAACAATGAAAAAGAAAAAGATTATTATCACATTAAAATATAGGTTAGACTGGATGGTCTAAAAATAGGATGTGTTTTTTATTTTCTTTTTTTTCCTTTTCAGAAAAATAATCAGAGCGTGGAATTGAAGAAAGAGAGAGAAAGAGAGAAAGAGAATGAGAAATAAGAAAAAATATTTAAAATGATACCAACCTGCTAATTCTCTCTGTTGAGTAAGAAGATTAGATCTATAAACTGCATTGACAGCGTCTTTGCTATTAGGGTCCGTTTTTGGACGTTGACTTCGTTTAGTTATCGAACGTTTTTTCTCAATTGGTAGCTCTTGTTCTTCGCGAGCATCCTCATATTTATCATTTGAATCTTCTTCGGGTTCAATACTTGTTGTTTCGGCTTTTATCATCTCGATTTCAATGCGAGACTCCGAAACAATTGATATTGTTTTCTCCTCTGCAATCGAAACATTCGATTCAGCATCATCTTCTGTTTCATCAACAGTTACTCCAGCTATTTTAATTGTTTCCTTTTCAGTTGGAGTATCAATTAAGACTGACGTTTCAGTTTCCTTTTCATGCTCTTCTTCTTCGTCAGATTTATTTTCCAGGCCAGGTGAGACTGGCGGAATTGTTTCGGTTACGACTAAATTATCATGTTCGACAATCTGTGGTTTTAAATCGAAATATTTCTGTTTTTCAGTCGGATTATACTTTGTAATCACATTGAAAAGAGCAGAAAACCAATGATTTCTTTCCGTCTTAGTACTAAATTGTAACTCGTATAAAACAGCAGCACCTTTTTTGCCGTCAGTAAAAACTATTAAGCCTTTATTCTCGGCAGCATTTTCTTTAACTTGAGCCTCTCTCAAATCAATAACAGGCGATGGTTTAGTGTCCACAGCATATGAGGAATTAGATTTAATGTAATTTAAACAATATTTGTCATCTTTTTTATCAAATAATATAAAATACGGGTCTAAAAGGACTCCGTAACAATTGGCTTTACGATTATTCTTAAAACTCATATAGCCATGCATAAGTAATTTCAATCCGGAGTCTTTAGAAAGTCTAATGTTATGATGGGGATCTTGGCTCGGTAAACGATTGTCTAAGTTTCTTTCAATTTCTTGAAATTTCAATTCGTTCTCGAAATCTTTTTTCGCGTTGTTCACGTACTCGGCTAGGGTTTTAGAATGCCTAATTGCTTCTAATAGCAGATTATGATCTCCAATTGCGTCTGATGTATTCTTTAGTAGAGTTTCCATTAATAGGGAATACCTCGGTATTCTTAGTGCCTCGGCCACAAGGAGACTAGACAAGCTCTGCTTATGACATCTCGGATCCTTAGCTTTTTCATCCAAAAATGTATGAAATCTCGGATCCTTTTTTCGTCTTTCTTCGACGTCAGCTTGAGCTGATTGTTGCCTTTTTGTAAATAAGGCAGTTTCATGTTTTAAACGATCGCCGTTTTCACCAGAAAAGTGCTCTATGAAAACATCTCCGATACGTTCGACGATTGGTCCATCCTCTCGTCGTTTCTTTAAGGCCTTTTCCAAACTTTCGTGCATAACGATAATCTTATCGAGATTAGGAAAAAGAGTCTCTCTCATATCGTTCGGTACGATTCTAGATTCTTTCATTGGGTCATGGTAAACCTCTTTGAGAATTGTTAATCGTTTTACGTGGTTACTTTCCGAACAGATTATTTCGTTAATGAGTTCCTGCCGCTTGCGTTCTTTCGATTTCAAATTTTTTAGGAGTTTCTTTGGAATGAATTGATCTATGCCTGGAATAAACGTTAGCGGATCTTCACCAGACGATCCACCGTCTTGAGATGGCATAGCGGTCGTTTGTATATTCTCTGTTGACCCACTATGCTTTGATCCACTGATCGGATTGGACGTAGGTCGTGGTTGATCCGTGACGATGTCACTGTTATTTTAATTAATAAAACTTATTATTCTTTTTCAAATTTTAATATTACTAAGCCAATTAATTAAGTAAATTAACTAATTAAAAAATTTCTTTTAAATGTTTAGATTAAAAAAAAAAAGAGAGAAAGAGAGTAAAAGGGATTGATCGATTAAGACAAAATTAGATTAATTTAAACAATTTTTTTAACGGAGAAAATGATTAGTAACGGTATGCTGTCGTTTATTTTTTTTTGTTTTTTTCTCTTTTCAAACAACATAGTTAATTAAATAAGCTGAATTTTTTAATGAGTCGTTAAAGAACAATGACAAAAAAAAACAACTTCATGCGTTTTTTAATGAATTGAACGCTCGCCAAAAACTTTCAATACGCTTAAAAAACATTAACTAAAAAAAAGGCAAGCTCGGGATGTGAAATTTCATCACCTGCGAGTTCGGCGAACGGTTTTAGCTCTACGCTGCTGAACTGGCCTATTCAGGCTTTCCGAACGGTTAACCTTGCTGCTGGAAAATGGGATGCGTGTGGGTTTTTTGATTCGTTTTATGCTTTTTTTTTTAATCGCGTTTATACAGAGAAAATAATTAAGAGATATTTATATACAAATATCTTGTTTAAATATCTTATATCTATATCTATTTATATTCACATACTTATATACAGTATATTTACTTGAATACTTGGGTATGCTTATAAATAAATATACATATAAAAGATATAAGATAATGAAAAATGAAATTAAGAAAAAAAAAACAGTAAAAATGAAATAATAATAAATATTAAAATCTATACGTTCAGTAAAGCCGCGTATAGAAGAGAAATTTAAAATGTTTTATTTTTTTTTTTTTAAAAAAAACTATTATAAAAACTAAATTTCAATCTGTACTCACTTAATTTGGCAGGGACCATCACCTTCACGATCTCCTGGTTTTTTTTTAAAAAAAACAAAAAAATACATATTTTAGAATAAATTTAAATAAAGTAATTTATTAATATTATAAATTTTTCTTTTTTTTCTTTTTTTTTTTTTGCGTATTAATTTTAACTTTAATTTTATTTTTGCTTTGTTTGTCTTTTTAGCTTCTTTTTGTTTTATATAAAAAAAAATGGTAATAAAAAAAAAAGAAGCTAAAGAGCAATTTAAACAAAACAAAAAAAATATTGATTAATATTATGAAAAAGTAAAAATAACTATATTACGACAATAACAAATAAAAGAACAACAATAAATTAATTAAGCAAAAACCAGTAAAAAAAAAAGAAAAGGTAAAAATCCCAGGTTAATTAGTTGGTAGAATTAAAATAAAGAAAAAAGAAAACGTTGTTGGTGATTTATGTTGAGAAATAGATTTCTTTTCTTTTTCTTTAATTTGTATAATGTTTTGTTTTCTTTTTTTTTTTTTTTATTAACATTTACCCTCATCTGAATCTTCATCGTGAAATAGTGATGGTATAGGACTACGTCGCTTAACTCTAGGTGAACGTGGAGGATTTCCGTGACTTGGTAGAGTCATAAGTGTTTCGGCTCGACTAACTTTTCTACCTGACGTTTCCAGAGCTGAAAACAACAAGCGTGCCACCACAAGCATAAAACAATTGCATCTTATACATTCTATTTTCTTTCTTTCTTTTTACATTACTCTTTTTTATTTTATATTTTGCTTCTTTTTTAAGTTTGGAATAGATATATATATATATACAGTAAAAGTTTAAATAATATATATACAGTATATATATACTGTATATATACTATATATATATATATTCAATTAAGATTATTTCATTTGAAATTGTAATTTAATAGAATTAGGACAAATATTTGTATAGGCCCAATTACTAAGAACTGAAACTAGATGCAATTGCCCTTCTTGAAAACGAAAAGAATACAAAATGAAAATAAAAAAGGTAGTAAAAAAAAAATAAACAAAATAATAATAACACCAAAGAAAAAACTTTAAATAAAAAAAAAAACACTGGCACTGCAAAATAAACAGCAGCCTACCATCGTTCTCCCCTTCATTCGGAGGGGGCATTTTCGAAAACGAATCGGATGACTTTAGCGAAGTTGGAGAAACTAATGTGCTACTCTCCACAGGACCTTCAGGTACTGAATATATTTTATATATACATTATATACGTATGTTATTGCTTAAAGAACATAAGTTTAATAATAATTAAATAGAGTATATGTATATATATATATTTATAATTTACTATCTTGTAGTTACTTGCTAATATTATAAAATAATACTTAAAAAACTAGTCTGCTACTTTTATAGTATCTATGGTATCTTATCTAGTTAAAATATGTATATAAAAATTTATATCTATAGAAAAGTAATAAGAGACTTAAGGAATTCGTTGAACATTGAGATAAAGTATCAAATTTTGGTGTACTCACTCTGATTCGGCCTACGACTAGCCGAGGGTTTCTTCTTGCATTTATCGACTACTTGAAAACAGGATCTGTGAACTCTCATCTCACAATTGGAACAATAATAGCATTCCCTTCCCCATAGTGGAATTAAACAATTATCGCAGAGGACAGTAGACAGATCGTTCAATTGTACGCTGAAGGTATGATTTTTTCGCGAAAAAGAACGACCTTTACCGAAATCGATAAATTTGGTCATGGAATTTCGATAATGCTTTTCTTTAGATAGGAAGAGGGGTAATTGCATTTTTGAATTGTACTGTATCTCGCTTTGTTTCAATGTTGAATGCAAGGCGCATAGACGAGCATATTCTCTTTCTTCGTCAGTATACTTCTTCTCGTTGTGAAACTTATTCATACACTTTTCCATGTCAATAAACACTTCTTTTAATGTTTTCGTTGCGTCTTTTAGTTTATCGTCACTAAATTTAATGCCACCCGTAGACGCCCAGCCAAGACCTGTATGGGATGGTTGACATCTTGTTTAACATATCGAATAACATAAAAATCAATTACACATATTTTAACCTAAATGACCCCAACACGAATATGACGCAATTTAATGACAGATTGGTAATTATTAAATATCGCGTATCGTCAGTATCTTCTTACAAAATTTAATGTCATAATAGAAACTATAAAATTTCAAGGTGAAATTGCTTTTTTCCTTCTCATAGTTGATCAAGTGCGGTAAAGTTTAGCAAAAAAACATTAAAAGAGCGTATTCAAAGGCAATCCGTTCAATATGGAATAGAGTTACTTAATATGTCAGATATACGATGGACAGGATGTTTATTCAAAAACGGCTTTCAAAGGAACTAAAGACTTATTTGTCCAGGTTACCGGCGCTCCACTGTTTATTCGTCAAATATCTTCGACCATTCTTTGCGACGGGATACGTTTCGGAATTTCGGCGAAAGACTTCGATCTTTTATTCTATGTTTTTTTTTTTTTTAATCAAACTTTTCTTTATGAAGTATGGTAAATAGACCTCGAATACAATACGTCAATTTTTAACTTGAATTTCTATCCATATACTTTACAATACAATAGGGGCAAAAGTTAAAAAGTTTTTATAATTGTTGTGTGACGGAGAGGCAGTATGAGAGAGAGAGAGAGAGAGAGAGAGAGAGAGAGAGAGAGCGACAGAATAAAAATTAGAGTAATTTAGTCATAAAAGCCTAGAAAAAAACTTCGTACTCTCTTTTTAACAATGCAACACAAAAATACTAATAATCTAAAGAGTTTAAAAGGCCATAGGGAGATAAAAAACATGAAATAAAGAGCAGAAAAAACATTGTTAGGTATAATAGATAAGTGAATAAATAATAATACAAAATATTAAAATCAGGAAAAATAAGCGAGGTAAAAAGTTTTTAAACTAGTTTTATACCACAAGGCAACTTTATTTTGTTTGCTTATAATAGTTACACATAGTATCGATACACTTATTAATATTACACAACTTAGACAGAAAAGTCTTTTCTCCCAGTTCGAAATGTAATGAAAAAATTGTTAACATTACAGTGGGATTAGACTGCATTTTCGCCAAACATAGAAAACTAAAGAAAAAACCGTAAAACATAATGAAAACTAAATACACTAACCGTTTGTCAATAAACGTCAGTCTGATTGCGAAACCGCAAAGATTTTTAAGACGTATAAGATCTAAACCGCAAAATCTCAGCTTTATTCGCTTCTATTAGCGAATCGTAGTGCTGTACGGTTAATCTTTCGAAGTAAACAGAGATAAGTAGCGATTGTAATAGGAGGTGGTTAGTCCGCTCTAGAGTTATAAAAGAGACGCCGCGCGTCTCCACCAATCCAATTCTTTGGCATCACATTATTTAGACGGTAACGCTCCTCCCACTGCGTTTTTTTTTATTTTCTTCCCCTGTAGATTTGTTTAATCTTTGGGGTATTAAGAGACCGTTTATAAATGTACTTTATTTACACCTATGTATAAGTACATATGTGCAATGTTTATATGTTTACTCTACCGCTCTTTATACGCCTAAAACTTTTATGAGCGAAAATCTTAGAATAAAATTCATATATTGGCCTTAAATTGTTCAGTCAAAGCAGACTAACAACAAAACGGAGCATTCACCCCACTAATTTCGCTCAACAAGCCGTAAATTCAACTGAATCGATATGAACATATAAGCCGACTATTCACCGCTCTAGGCGTTGAATACCAATCGACATCTTCTTAAATGCGAATACAAATAAAAAAAAACTGTTAAAGGAAAATAAATGTTGTATGGCTTATAAAGAAAAACTAAGTCCTAGTCGGGTGTAAGTTCATTACGATCAAGAAGTTCTTAGCAGGTGCAGTGCCGCCCTCAGCACGTGACGCCCTTACAAAGGCTCGTATAACAAAGAAACGTAACTTACCAATTGAATATTGATTCTGCAATTTATTGAAATCTTCAAGGACACCTTCAGTCAAAACAATCTCCAGTTTGTGCCATAACAATTTTGCTATATCCGGACCGAGTTTTTGAGACAGACTTTTCTCTACGTCTTCCACGAGACCACGGTCAAGAGAAGCATTTAAGATTGATTTAGGGGCTAAGAAAGTATTATACAGTTCATACGACCAACGCCTCAATCGGTCCAAATTCGAGTCTTCAATTGAGGCCAACTTTCGACTAAGGAAGTACAAAACCTGTAAAACATTAAAACAACATTAATCAATTTAACAATAACAATAAATTTGGAATATTTTAGTAAAGTAGTTGGAAAAATATGACCCCCGATTAATTCATTAACGGCCCGATGGACGTCAAGTATAAGTGTAACAAATGGATTGTTGACAAATTAAATAAACAAACTGACGCCCCTTTCGCATTCCCCGACACGTCATGACTGTCGTGCATACGAGGGGACGACTCAATCAGGCGTAGAAAATCTAAAACACGCTCCGTAAAGAAGGTCACAGGCGATTATTTGAATTGACACTTATTACGAAAGTGATATGTCTGCGATAAAGCACAAAATTGGCATTTAAAAACCTATACGAATTAATAAAACAAAGACGAAATAACAGAGAAACGTTTATAATGACAAAAATGAAAAGTACCGTATAATGCTACTTTTACAGTGCCAGTGTTTCACGTAATAATCTTACTCAAATTACATAGAGTACTTTTCTAAATTAGCTGGCAGCAACATTCCCTCCCATCCAGGTGGTGTATTCAAATACTTGAAACGCACTATGAGACGCTGTAAGACGCCAAATTTAAATAGACACGTGTTAAAAGGTGCAAAGGTTCGCTTTGACATAGACTTCCATCACGAACGCACGAGGATTATTCAGTTTAAAATCTAGCGATTAGTCGAGAAAAATCCGATTAATTCCTAGCCAAGACTACACCTGTTCATTTCTCAGGGTAACGCCCCCCAAATCGCTAGTTAAACGTCCCCCTGACCATTGATCAAACTTAACTCCGTGTGTGGCGGAGAACCGTCCCGAACGAACACAAAATTCGTAATTAACCGAATGGGGAGCAATTAAAGTAGCGTGCGAAAACGACGTGACGTCATTGCTGCGTCATTAGTCGTCATATCTGATCAATGCCAGTGCCCCCTTCGGGTAATACAGTCTTCCCCCACGTCCATCAGACCGAGTATGACATGTGGTCATTTCGACACGCCTATATAAACGTGTACATTTATCTAATATATCTTATCTGTATCTACAATCGTTTTCGCTTTAGTATCGGATGACCGATAGACGCTCAAGGCGTCATTCTACGCACCATACTGTTCTAATTGGTGAAGCTCGCCCCGAGCTTCGGTTGACGCCTGCAATTTCGCAGCAAGACTCTTACGTCAAAGGATTTAAGAAAAAACTTACCACTAATCCGAAATTGCCGTATTCATACGCGAAGCGAAGGAAAACAGCCATATATGCAGGATTATTTCGAATATCTTCTAGCGAAGAAATAGGGCACACTAAAGATTGCTGCGGGGAGACGTGCGGCGAAATAGGAGGTTCATAAGGAATCTATTTAAATTGGAATAAAACATATATAAATTATGTGTTGATAAATAGTCTGCAAAAATTATCATTAATCAATTACTCATAAAACTAATACACATATGCTGTATATTAACACATATGTATACAACAAATGTACTAATATATGTACATAGCATACAAATGCATATATATATATATATATATATATATATATATATAAATTTATATACATATAGTATACAAAGTTAAAATCATTAAATCTTTTTTCTAACAGCGGTGTAATCATGTAATTAAATGAAAAAAATTTTCTAATTTATATACAATTTTTATAGTTGGACATCGATAAAACAGCTTTAAATAAAAATATAAAAATAAAGAATTTTTTTTTTTAAGAAAAAAAACTACTATTAATAATGATTGCCAATAAATAAAAAAAAAGCGGCTAAATAATCAATGTATTTGCAGTATATAAAAAAATCAATAACGCTATTCCTTCTTTCTCTTTTAACATTATCTTTACTGCTTTTGTTTATATATACAAATATATATATATATATATATATTAATATATATATTTGTTTATATGTAACTCTAAGATATTTGCAATTTTAAACTTTCACATTTTTTGATTTTTTTTTTGTTGATTTTAGAGGAATGAAAATCTTTTTTAAGGCAATCTTGCTTTTCTCAATGATAAAATTATTTGTAAGAACCTTCTGTATTTCGGTTTTTATTGAAACTTTAATTATTGAGTCAACAACTTCTTCCGATCCTTCCTCAGGAACAGTTTGGAGACTTTGATCGGATAGTATAGGCTATAGTTAAATAGATTAAGGTATATAAGTTTTTCTGAAACAACGCGGTCATGCGTATTGAACGAATAAAGTGGATCTTTATAGATCAAGAATAGTTTTAGTCTCGTCTTTTAACCGCCCTACTTTTTTTGAAAAGCACTTTACTGACCTCTGGCTCAGGCTTTGGTTGAATGTATTCGCTTTCGTTACTGGACGGTGATACTGGAGCCGGCTCTTGTTCATCCGACAGCACAGATCCCGAATCAGTAGGCGATGCAATTATTGGAGTTGCAGTAGAATCCGGATTCTGAAAGAAAAATGCCACAAGGTCGTACGTGATCAACAAATATACCATATAAACAAAATGGGCCTATATTTTAAAATAGGTTGCGTAGTACCTGCGATGACGGAGGTAAATTGTCTAGAGAGTTATTCCTGAACGTCTTCTTTGGATCAGAATTCGATCGAGTAACAGAGTGGGAAGAAGAAGAGAGCGATCTTTCGATCTTAGAGTAATTAGAAAAATCCATTAATGTCTCTGGATTAGATTCAGTCTTTTTGTGGCTGGGTCGAGGCCCTTTATTAGAATCCTCCGCAGGGGCAAATGAGGACGGTTTTGCAGGTCCCGGGTGAGGAGGTGGTAACCTATCGGCTGAATTATAGCCCTCAGGATCTGTGTCCGCAGGAAAGGTTTTTAATATATTTTCCACTACTTTTTTCTTCTCCTCTACATCCTGTGCATTTTTCTGAGAAGGTTTAGAGTGGTAGGCAGTTTTTGCAGCTTCCAGTTCAGCAAGGGCCCCTTGATAAAAAACCCTTAAATTCGGATGAGGTTGTGTTTGAGTTTGTGTTTGCTGTTCAGAATCGAATGATTCGTTTCTGTTGTACGGCATTGTGACGTCGATTTGTGACGGTGGCCGAGTTGGGCACTGAGGTGTGAGGACGGTGAGCGAGACATATTCACCGGCGGCTGAAAATAGAAATCTGTTTATAACTGAACTGGGACAACTATTTCAAGTTATCAAAACGGCCTCCGACGTCGACGGAGTAAAAAGAGGACAAAAGACGCGCGTTTGTATGCAAAGCTGGCCTAAAAGTGTCAATAATAATCACATTCGACAACGGTGCAAGAAATGTACTTGAACGTTCAATGTCCCATAAGTTTTTTTTTCTTTAATTTACGTGATAAGAATACACAATAATGAAATTAATTTTTTTTATCATACAAAAAAAAAATTATTCCAGTATAATTCCAGTTCTGCACTTACAACGAATTCTATCTGTACGATTTAAGTTTTGGGCTGTTGTGTTTACCCGTCGTATCCTTATTTCTTTAGTAGGGCAGCTGCTTTCCTCAAGAACTGTCCCGTATGAGGAAGCAACACTCTTCCTTCTTATAACTTTTCTCCTACGGAAACTTGATTTACGATAGTTTTCGCGACATTGCTCATGCGTATATAGTTCGGCGATAGACGAACTTGTCACAAACGTATTATCCATGTCTTCACTCATTTCGTTAAAAATGTATATCTTATCCGTCACTCGCGCAGGTGTGTTACTCGAAGGCCTGTGCCGTTATATAGCGTTCGGCCAATGTGTATAAATACTAAAATGCATGATTTAATTGAACAGTTCAAGGCGTTGCGGCGCCATCTACTGTTTGTTGAACGCTTTTTTATCAGATGGAGCTTTACCAAATAGTTATTAAGCAGACAAAAAACCAAGCATCTATTCTTGTTATTTTTCATAAGGTGAATATAGAAATTATTTAGAATTTAGGCCGCCTGTTACACACGTGCATAAATCGGCTTTCGAACTCCAAAAAAATACAAAATCGACACAAAAAACATAAATGTATATATAGATATAGCGAACAAGCGGGTAACCGGTTAAATAACCAATGACTAATTATAAATTTCCTGCGGTAGGTCATAAATTTAACTTTGTGTACTAAACTTTAGGGTGGCGCACCTGATTCTTCACGTAAATCCAAAACAGATTGACTAGATATGGAGTCGGCTTTAACTGTAGGCACATCATATTCATCATCATCCTCTACAACTACACAATCAGGGAGTTTAGAGCCACTACCAGATACACTATGATTCCTATTTTTCCATGCAGAAGAGCTCTGTAGTCTATTGATGCAACTTTCTGAATTGGCCTTGCTTAGTGAGGTTCTTGATTTAGAAAATCTCTTGAAAGTCGTTTCTGCTTTTCCAATAAATCCGTTAAAAGATAATCTAAATGGATTCGGTTCCCTTGACTTTTTACTATTTCTTCTTACTACACTCATAACGTTAAGGCCTTTTGTCTATTCTTTTAACAGGCGCTAGACGACCGCCCGAACACAAAACGATATAAGCTATAAAAATTTTAGCGATTACTCCGCCACCTACTTTGCTAGGCTATTGATTCGCTATACACCGCAAAAATCGACTCGTTTTTCTCTATTTTTCTCTCTCTCTCATGCTTTATACTTTTAAACAATCGATGACCAATTCATTTAGGTGATAAAATAGCAACATAGATAGTGAGATAGAGTAGAAAAAATACACTAAAAGTCTATATAAATACGGCCTGTACGAACGATTACAGGAAAAAAGTGCAAAGGCAGGACAAGTAATAATACGGGTTTACGCATACATTTCAAACATTCGACCGTCACGTCTCGATAATATTCACGAGGCTTTCTCGTTCAAACAACAAAGAAATCGTTCACGGACGCTATCTCACCAACTTGGCACAAGACTGAAATTAATGCGCTTGCACGGACCCCTCGTTAGGTAAAACCATCGTAATACAATGAGGGACGTACTTGTGCTAGTTTAACACAGGCCTATTATTTTTACAATAGCTTCTTCACCGCCTACTTCGTGCTCAAATTTATCTAAATTTTCTTGTTTATAGCATAGCTAGTCCACGAAAAGGCCCCTACAAACAAAATATAAACAGGATGCAAACGCCTTCCGACAAGCGCGTACAAACTTGCGAAAACAAGTCGGCGAGTACAGACGTAATTGCGTCACAATTTAACCAAATTCTTTATTAATTAATTTAAATTATCTACTTGCTCTTTTATCTTAGTTCCGCCTGTTAATTTTTCATACGAGAGTGAGCACGTTTTATGTCAACGATAAGACAATAAAGAGATAACAGTACAACACTCCTCTAACAATGTATATAGTAATTTAAATATACGTTATATATTAATAAGCGGATGTGATATCAAAAAATATATCCTATAAACTCACTTGATATGATGACGATAATAACGTTGAAGAACAACAATAAACATATTTATAATTATTATCCGTACAAATATCCTGTGCAATTATATAATATCAATCCCGACAGTTGACGCACGACTAAAATACTGATATGAGTATGTTCAGCATAAAAAACATGCAAATCTATATAAATGCGTATAAATAAATGTATGTATATGCATTTATATAGATAATATATATACAAATATAAAAGTATTCAAATTTAATAAATTTTCCATAAACCAATCCCTTAATACATAAATAAATATCCTTAATTATATACATAGATTTAGTATATCCATTCAATTTGCAGCTTGATGCATTTATATATATATATATATGCTGGACATGCATTCAGATGTAGAACAATTTATAAATAGATATAACATACAAGGTCCTTGCGTTAAGTACATACTCTATGTAAAATAGTAGACTTAAAGAAATAATATTATATCAATATGCAGAAAAAAAAAACAGTAAGAAAATAAGTTTTACAAAAATCAAAGTAAAGAAGTAAAAATTTATGTAAAGAAAGAGGATACGATAGTAAAAAAATGAAACTTAGAAAAGTATAAGGCGTGAGAGGATATATAAATATATAATGGGAAAAAGAGACGAGGGTAATAAAAGAAAAAAGGAGGGAGGAGAAACAAAGTTTGGTTCAACAAGTCACGATTTTTAAAAAAAATAACCTGAATATTTAATATATAGATATATTCGTTCTGTCTTTTAATATTCTAATTAAAAAAGCGATTGTAAATAAAACCGTCGTGTGCAGCGAATGCTTTGCATACCCGATAGCTCGCAGCCTATTTGACTTTTAATTTGTTTTCTTTTAACGAAATGAAAACACTCTTTTTTTTTTTCTTTACCTTTGATATGCTGGACGACGTCTTGATGATTGCTAGTAGTTACCAACGAACCATTAACCTATAAGGAAGAAGAAATAAAACAGATCTTTTAATTAAAAAACGTTTTTATAATATTTAAAAAATGTAAAGAGAAAGAAAAAATTAGAGATAACTATTAAATTTTTATGCAAAATATAAATAAAACAATAATAATAACAAATGATTTAGATGGGAGAAGAAGGAATGGTTTCTCTCGATTTTTGTTTTGTTTTTTTTGGGAATATTCTATTAAAAAAGTGGAAGGGAAATAAAAAATATGCTTTATATACTTTTCTTTTAGGAAAACCCTACTAATGGATATTAAGTTTTTATTAATGTAAATAATATAACAGAATTTCGTAATATCTAGAAAATACTTTAGTATAGACCTGAGAAGCGAACGCCCATTATTTTATCAACTACGTTTTAAAAAAAACACTAACATAAAAAGACTTCCTAAGTTTGAAGAGAGAGAGAAAGAGAGAGAGTGAAAATCTTGCTTTTTTTTATAGGTTATATATCTATAAAAAGGAAAAGTGCCAGAAATCATTCATAGAACAATAATACAATTGTAGGCATAGATTTAGTCTAGAATTTTCATCCGAGTCGTCATTGTTTTACGAGTACATTGTAAAGATACTAGGCTTATTTAGGTAGGTACGGAGCGGTGCCAAGCAGCGTTTGGTGACTCACCTTGATTATACGATCATTCTTCCTGATACCAGAACGATAGGCAGGTCCCTCTGTCGGGTAAAATTCGAATTAAAATACGTGGATTAAATATAAAAAAGTACACAAAACTCGATCGACTTTTTTACAACGTTAATGTTTGCTTTTGGTATATTTTATTCGATAATCCCGAATGTTTAAATTAGTTTTAAATATTCGCCAACTTAGAGAATAGCATAAAATAACATTACCTTCTCTTACTGAGGCTACAAATACAGGTTTATCCCCAGTAACAGTTAACCCATAACCATTAGCCCTTTCGTCCCTCTTCAAAATAACAGATCGTTGTATCAATTTTCTAGTTTCGTTGTCGAAACTTCTCGAATTACCACCAACTTCTAACCTGAGATTTTGAAAGAGAAATATGTGTAAAAATTAATCAACCAGTCAGTCGTTTCCAAACTCGTTTGTTTGTACAATGTTAAATCGCCTAAACTATCGAATTTATTTAAACTATTCAGTTGTTTCGAATACGATAAGCTTAACGGTGCATCGCGGTTTTGATTGCATAGTCGATCAGTTGGCCGTTATTTCAGTATGCATAACCGATAAGATATTGATATATTGTCCATTAGACCAGTCCTGTCGGTAGTTATTGTTTTGTAGTTGATACGGTGACTGAATATCGATAAGCATCCCTCCAGGTTAAATTTTACGACTTAATTTAATCGATTATCGGTATTTTTCGATTAAATTGTAACTTACATACCGCGTAGGCGGTTTAAAGATACATGTCACCGAACCTCCAGAGAAATAGTGATGATTAATAAAACGAAGGGTGTTAATAGTGTAGAGAACTTTTTTGTTTCTTGTTGGGCGATATCCAAAGTAAATTGATTTTTGAGTGGCCTAAAACGCAATGTGTTACCGGATCCATTCTTAAAAAGTCCAATTATAATTCACCAGTTAGAATTAGCACAAAAAAACCAATAGGTAAGCGAAATCGCGAAAAAAAGCACACCTTTGACAGGGGTGGCGGCGGTCGAGTAGACTTTTACTTACCGTGATAAACTATCGCCAGCACCGACTAAACTATCCATAACTTTTGCCATCAAATCATCTATCACAGCCTAAAGGATTTGATATCCATACGACGTTAACAACGTCAAAATTTTATCCTGTTTCAGCCGTTTAATCTTCGAAAATTCATTTTAAAATAACTTCATCTCTAGTTTTGACCTACTTGAAACATCTGCAAATAAGTGCGAGCCTGCACTCTGCGAAATAACCAATCACGAATCGTCTTACAATTAAATTAAAGAGACTTGAAATTTCAGAACAAATCAATATTTTCTATATGTTATTTCGATTATACAAATTTCTTTAAAACATTTTTAATAATAAAATACGAAAGTGTCAGTTAAATTCCACTTCCGGTTAGCGCGTAAATATGAACAATCTAAATTTTTGCAACGGCAGATTTTGCAGATTGCAAACTTTAGCCCGTACTTTCAGATAAACATTCCACGAAAGCCGATCGCCTGCGTAGCCCAACCTCGTATCCCTAGCAACGCAGTTGGTCGAACTTTCGTACCATTCTTTTTATTGCTCACACAATTACATGATATTATCAATAATTGTTAATTGGTCGATCGAATATGCATAGGCTAATCAGAGAGTAGTACTGTTCGACAAATATTACTAAATACAACCTAAAAATGCGGTGTACATGTGTAGAAAACCAAAGAAAAACAACAAACCCCTTCTGCCCGTTTTCCTCAGACCAAGACAAATAGCACCATTTGTTATCCAAATCTAAATCGAGTATTTTGTACGTTTGAGCTAGTATTTTATCTGGGCTCGAAGACCTAGTTCTTCGTGCAGTCCGCTCATATGTATATTTCCATTTTGTTTTGGGCCTAGACGGATTAGACGCCGGCGTCTCTTCCTCCGTTTTATGTCTTTGTACAGCCTCCTTTAGAACATTTAGTATCCCAGAATCATCCTTATCTAAATCTTCTATAGGAATCCGTACAGAGCCGGATTTGATCGACGACTTGTTCGAAGTAGATACCTCCTCGGAGGAAGACTCCATTAACGAAACTTTCGAAAGAACGGCATAGGACCGAATAGTGTAGGAAAAACTATGACTACGAGCGCCTCATTACGGCTGCTCATGATTATTCATATTTCTCAAGGCAGATGCTAGTATTTCCCTTTCGACTTTTCTTCTCAATGAAGGAAATCTTCAAGTTTAAGCATAGATATTTATGTAATAAAATCTGAGTTTCTACCCTCTGTATCTATGGTTGTTAAATTTTACTGTAAATCATGCGAAATGCACTCCGCCAACTGAAGGAAAGTCGTAAAAACGAGAGTAGAATAAATAGTAACAGTAATATTTATTATAGGGCCGACAGATGAAACGATCCCCGTCAGGTTTAGCTATATAGGAAAAACTAGGAATTGCGTAATAAGTTTTTACATTGAAATATATAAATATCATAGGCCTATAATCGAGTGCAGACTGCGAGAATCGTAAATACCCCGAGAAGAACGAGGCGAACAGATTTCAGCACAGATAACGAACACAAAAACAACAAAGCTCCTCCAAGCGCCCACTCGATCTGCAAAGGAAAACAACCCGCAAAATTTTTTTCGCTTTACTTTTTTCATAAAACTAGACAATTTCATCTTTATGTTACCAGTACACCATAAATAATAATAATGTACACATATACAATAAACAATTTTGCATAGACTGTACACACATCATATACGGTACACTATATTTTATTGTGTAGACCTAGATAAACACTTTGAACTAGACTTTTATAAAAAAAATCATATAATAATTGCATCAAAATGCTTATCTCTCTCTCTCTCTCTTTATATCTTCCCACTCATTTTCACTTCCCCAAAAATTCCTTATTTAACATTTTCCATTCTGAATCACATAGTCAATTTAGATCCACTTTATCCGAAAGATGGCGTAAAGAATTATAAATTCTACCCAAAAGCTGAAAGAAAAAACGTGTTGTTGCATTTCAAAGTGTCTTTTAAGCTTATACAAATTACCCTTGAATTGACTAGTCTTCAACAGAATATTTGCGATTGTTAAAACCAATGAAAACTAGATTCTAATGCAGAATGAAAAGGGATAGCATTGTAGAAAAAAATCAGTACAAATTCTTTAAGTAAACATCTTTAATTGAATAATACGTTATAACTATGAATAGAGTGGGTGGATGATAGTCTACTGGGGTAAAATGAACAAGATAATAGCCAGAATTTGTACCGAAAAAGGATGTTTTTCCAAAATAAATAAGCATTTTCGTACTACTTTGAATAGATTTACTTGGTATTAAATTATTATTAAATCGTGTAATAAATCAATTAGACTTTTCGTTTTTGATTTGAAAAATGATATAATATGAATTATTGTACTAATGGATATGCAAAAATCTTCTATAGATGGCGTAACTGTCCAAAGTTGTTAAAAGGTAGATAGATGTGAAAAGCACGAGAAAATAGGAGCGAGAGGGAAAAAAAAGCTGTAGTAGTATCCCTAGAGAATGCGTTATTATGATATTTTTTCCATACAGTTCCCGTGAGATACTTTTTTCTTTCTTTAGGGTTCTCCCTCTTTTTCAATGGAAATAAAGGGAGAAGCTACGTAGGCTAGATAATTAGTAGATGCCCTTTCTTACGTCATAGACCACCAGCTCCCTCTCCCCCCCCACTTATCTCTATTTAGAGTCTCATCATCTATACGTGTAGTAGCTTTATCACCTAAAGGAGTGTGAAGCTAATAAATATATCTTATTAAGAAGGATTTATAATGATTTCTTTTTTCAGAGACATTTCTGATCCAGATACAACTCCTACTTCTCTTTATAAGTATCTCTTACAGTCTATTTATGGGTTAAACCTATTAACGAAATGTAATATCTTGTGGTTGAGCGCCATCTGTTATTTCCTAAATACAAATATATCATATTCCGTCATGAGAAGGGTTTTCATAAGAATAAAATATTATATAATAGTAAATATAGGGTTTAAATAGATATAAACCGTATAGTAAACTTCTATCTGTAAAGTCTACGTGTAGCAACTATGCAGGATAAACATAGAATCGATATTACGTATGTCAAAAATTCTTAACCGCAATAATAAGCGTCGATTTAAGGAGGGAGAAAACGAGATATTTAGAAAGTATTGAAATAAATGAATAGATTCATAAAGAACTTGAATAATTATTACCCAATCCAGTCCCATTCTCACCTTTCACCCGAATTATCAAGCTTGCCAATCTGGGTAGAACGCAAACTGCACGTCGAGAAATTCAATACGGCGTTCAAAAGCGGTTATTATTCAATCAATTCTTCCCACTCTCCGGTGCATTACTGACCGATTCTTATCATTCCCTTTTCTTCCACCAACTTATTTCTAATCAAGTCTTTAATTGTTATACTTTTTCTTTTATCCCATGCTGTTCAATCTATTTCTTTCTATATTATAATAAATCGAACATAGTATTGTTATTATTAGCATCGTAACTATTCTCTCGAACCGAGGAAATTGCTCATTAAGGCGTTAGGTAAACTTATTAATATTCATGAGGGATAAAGGGGGAAGGGAGGGAAGTGCAGGAAAATACAGAAAAGGCTGTATAGACAGGCGTCTCGCCAAATAGACGTCCGCGCAACGATCGCAACTGCTATTCGGCTAATGAAGAGACGTCGGATCGAGTGACGTTTTATGAGAAATGTTAATTCGATTAGTCGCTTTTGTCTGTCTTTTTCTCTATTTTCTGCATGTCTATGATAAAATTGTACATCTATTGAAAGGCAGCAATGAATAATACTTTTATTTATATTTATATTCAGTATATGCAACTTTGTACCCATATACATGTATACACTATACATATAAATATATATATATATATATCTATATATATATATAATATATATATATGTATATCTCTTTTTGTCACAAAACTATACTTTAATTTTTAGCTTGAGTTTGTCACGTGATTACACAGTGAAAATCGTAAAAGCGGGAGTTTGTCTGTAATTATAGCTAGATTATAATATAGAACGATTGGGTCGTTTGCCTGAGGCGGGTGTTTATAAACTCGATGACCCAGTTTTTCTTCATTATTATTACTAATTTTTTAGCAAAAACCTGCCTAACGTTATAACGGAGGGAAAGAAAACAACCTTTTAAAGGTTTTAAAGGTCGGCTTTTTGTGCAAAATGGTCGATATAGAAAACGAGAAGCAGATGGAACCATCAAAAGGCAGCAGACACATTGATAATGACTAGGCTCAGGTGACTAGCTTCATATTTCAATATTGGAAAGTCGACGCCTTCCGCCATGTTGCAGTGTAAGCCGACTCTCACCATGTACAGTTTGCCCGATAGAGAACAAGCTTAGGTAGTTTTCACCGTCGTATTTATCGTTTGCTAAACAACAGAGAACGCCCCGGCCACCCTCAGGCTAGCCAACTTCAAAGAGTTTCTTTTCGGTAACGCCCCATCATGTAGCGTCAATTAAGCTTTGTTTTTTTTCTCAACAATTAACCTAGCAGAATAAGAAACTGCGCATTTTATTCTCATTCCCTAAGTGCCGCTCTTTCGTGAAGCTATCAGAGTAAAAAAATCTCTGCAGTAACCTTTCCCCCCACCTACCAACTAATTCATAAAATGTTTACTCGTTTGTACACGCGTCAAATGCGTAATGGCCGGCGTCTACATACTGAGCTCGTATGCGTGCCTGTGTCGTGTCAACTAGTGCTTACGTCACGACAGTTTGTCAAAGGGAAGTGTACCTAATGAGCGCTCACGCACCGCAGCGTTTGTACATTTTGTAGCTTTATGTGTTTGGGTAATCATACCATGGATATATTTATAAATAAAATAAAGAAATGTACCAAAACATGATTTTATAATATTGAATATTTAAAGCGAAAATTGTATTATTTTCACAAATGCAGGATAACTGCAAAACATAACGTAAAAAATACCTAAAAGGAAACACCATATCAACATAAACATTGAGAATATTTAAAATTTATAGTATATATATATATATATATATATATATATATTCAATAGAAATTTACAAATCCAATAAGGATATTTAAAATAATAAAAAAAAAAAAACTGTATAATACGCATGCGCTGAACGCCGTTCTCATGACTTAAACCCGATCCAAAAGACACGAACACGAATTTTGACAGGGCGCTAAGCCTTGCGAAAGTCGTTGGAAATTGAAAAACATTAACGGAGGCGAGTTTACGGAACGTGTCAGCAATTTGTCAGCAGACGAAAAAAAAACTTCTCTCTTTTCTCTATTTTTTTCAAAAGAATCTTCTATATAGAGATTATTATTTTTCTATTCACGTACACTAAAAATGTCTGTTTTTTTAGGAAACTGATTTCGTTTCAGGACCCTCCCACCCCCAACAACTCCTTGGGAAATATTATTATGAATGAATGTTAGATAGGATTAGGCCCAACCTGTTCTAGTACGTGATGGCGTTCTTGTTCGTAATGAGGATGGTGAGTTGGATGGTAAGGCAGATGATGCTCATTCTTTACCAGGTTCAGCGTCATGTTTAAGTGAGCGTCTTCGAAAAGTTTGTTCACAAGATTCGGATGATATTTGGCGTCGGCGAAGACGTGGCACGGATTCGGGTTAGAAACCTGGTGGCATAACGATTGAGCGTAGTTGTTGTACTCTTCCACGTTCCCGTTTGCCGTCGACGATTCAATACTGTTGTCGTAATTGAAAATCGATTTTAAAATAGACCGTCTTAAATAAACAGTCGACCGGATCTTAATAAAGACTGACACTTTCATTAAACGCGACTGTTCATGTGCGATGTTCAATTCTCAAACATTCCGCACGCTCGGGTGAAATCGGGTGGCAAAAAGTCGCCTTTTATTCTCGCTTTTCTCAATAAGGTCCTTGTTAAAGGCCTATATGTAGACATATTATCAACATAAACTATTTTCGATGATAAAGTTCTATTAAATGTATACACCATTTATAGCATTTATAAATCCTACTTGAAAAACTTTATCCCTAAGATATTATACATAAATGTCTACGAATATTTATAATCTCTATAACAACTGTATAAATCCTACATACATCAAAAGAATCGGCCCCCCCCAATTCTATAAATCATCATTCCCTACTCGATATATAAAACAAAGAGGGCGGATAATACCGCACCTGTCGAGCAGATTTAAATTTCTTTTACGTACTCTATAATGCAGTTCCTAAGTATTTTACGCATTAATTTACATATTTAATTAGTTTTCCAGTTTTTAACATGGTTTTATATGAACTACAGGTACAATTGATTCCATTTTTCCTATCTTTTCTTACCTATTATACCAGTTCAAAATTTTTAAATATTCGTAAATATGACTGGATAAACAGATTTCCTATTTGGAATGTAAAATGCTCTGGTATGATTCTAGTTTATCTATTTATAGAAGATGACTTATGTAAGACGTTTTAAGGCGGAGCTTTTGAGGTGCCGCGTGCTGGTTTGTTTTCGATGTATACTGACACCAAAGGAGAGGTTACATACGGAAAGAGTTTAGCTAAAGGACCAGTTGGTTTTCTTTCTCTTTCATTTATATTTTATTATCTTTACTTTCGCACACCAGGAAAAATATGTAAACTTTCTTTCACTTCATTACTTAAGCCTATAGTGCATGTAGTTTCTGATAAAAGGTAGGTGTACTTATCTGGTCGAGTGTGGAAAACAATGCGGAAAGGGGGTCGATTTCCGGAGGGACTTTTATTACGCTTTTGAATTCTTATCTAATAGCGCCCTATCTCGATTGATAAGGGAGTTTTTCGGCTCGTTTTTTCTAAGGCGTTTTGTTTTAATACGAATTCATTATACTTACGATTGAGCGTAACGGCAGTGAGCGGACGGGAGATGAGGTTGCGGCGATGGTCGATCCCTTTGGCGACGATTTTTGAACCAGTTTGATACCTGCGTTAAAGTAAGACCCGTCTTCTTTGCCAAGCCTCTCTTTTCGTCTGGAGTTGGGTAACGGTTTGTCTGATAGCTGTCCTTGAGGAGTTGTCTCGATTTTTCTTTAAAACAATAGACAGTCTCCTCTCCATCCCATATTGTCTTCGGTAGGGGGTACTTACGTCTAAGACGATACTTATCAACCGCTCCCAGCGGCCGACCCCTGATCTTTTGCGCTTCCATGTAGTGGGCTTTGTACCACATGTCTTGAAGGACAGTGTGGTTTGAAGCGTCAAATTGATGATTCTCTAAAATAGCATACAACTCGGGAAATTTACCACGATGGAAGGCAACCGTTGCACGGGCTTTCAAAACCGCTTCGGAACCTCTTAGTAATTCATTTGGCGGTAAAGACCAGAGAAAAGCATTGAGACGGTCGATTTTTTTGGATTGCGTAAGTGCTTCACAGACGCATGCCACTTGCTCTGGTGAAAACGTTCTCGTCTTTTCGTCTATGCGTTGATCTTCGCATTCTCCTAACTCATTAATTAATTTTAGCCGTTCCGAACTATCGTCTCCATTGGCAGGGGATGGTGTTGAAGAGGATGAACGACTCTCCTCCATCGTCGACATTTTGCCGTATGCTGTTACGACGTGCGAGAGGTCACGCCTTACTTATTATGCGCTTTGCGCTGATTGGTCGATTCTAGCCAATAAGCTTTCGTCAGATATTTTATTCCAAAAAACGGTTGATGAAAAGGCATCAACTCCCAACTGGGTCAGCGCCTAGTGTTAATAATAATTGCTTTTAGTTTGAATAGAAAGGCCGCCCTCGGCTGAAAAAAATCGTCCCTCATGCTCCTTCTGCTAAAGTAAAAAAAATGACTATTCGTATTCACACGCATAGCTCAGTAATAATTCCAGCGAAAATTAAATACACAATGAAATAGTAGACGACCAAGTCGGCTAGGCCAAGATAAGGCGTAGGGAACGAGAGACGGTGTTTACTAAAAATCCTCGACTTGTTTGCGTATTTTATTCCATTTTCGGAGAGAAAATAAGATAGAGAAAAAAATTTAAAAAGAAAAAAAAAAAAAGAGAGAGAGAGAGAGAGAGAAAAGAATCTAATGTTTCTTATCAATTTTTTAAATAGTCTCTTTTTATTAAAAGAAATATTAAAAACAACGACGAAAAATGCAGAGAGAGAGGTTTTTTTTCTTTGCGCGTGTTGTTATATTGTTCTTTCCTTAAACAGTGCACATTTCCAACGCAAATATTGACGTTTTTGCGTGCACCACCAGATTAAGCTTTCAAAATTCTTGGAATGTTATCGAAACGTAGTTTTTGCTGCCGGCTTAAATGTTCAACATTCGAATATTCATAGCGACGAGTGAGCTGAGAAGGAAGAGAGATCAGAATGTCAGGATTTTAGCGAATGTTTGATTGTGGATCTAAGTCTGTGTGTATGCAAGAATTTTCTGGCACAGAAGAAAGAGCAGATAGAGAAGAAGAGAAAATATCCACGAAGTGACATAGATTCAACATTTGCTATGTTATTAATAAAGATATTCGGTGTAGTAAAATGATCTAGCAATAAACAACTGATTACGTAATATGTATAGTGTCGGAGCTTGTATAAAAATCGTGGGTAAACATAGTCGGGGGCAGCACTCACATTAATCGACAAACAAAAAGGTGGGTAGCCACGCGCAGGTGTCTACGTCAGGATGACAAACAAGAAATTAGAGCGTGCCAGCTATACAATGACAAACAACGAACGACGGACTGAAATATGATAGATATTTAGCCTCATTCATTTAGCGCCGCCATTCAACACCTACCATCGTCCCGGCTCGTTTGTATTCGTTTGTATATGTCGTGTTTGTGCTCTTTTTTTACCTGTATATCGTCGTCGACACGCGTCGACGTAATGTAACGCCGCGAACGGAATGCGCATCATGATTACGAATTCCTTTAACGAGACACCTTGTTTTGTTCTGTTTAGAAACGAAAAACGATACTGTGTATAACCGACAGCAAAACTGCAACAATACATCGCGCACCTGCAATACATGACTGAAGGGCGGCTGGAAAATCCGGCGTTCTATACCTTTTCCTATACTTTTCAACGGCTAGAACATCAAAGGTTCACGTGGGCGTAGACGTATGCTTCGCGTGACAAACGACTCTACGCATATAATGCTAATTGATTTCTCCTCCAATCCCGGTCTAGACGAACCTCTCTCTGGAATAAATTTGATTAGATCGCTTGCATAACTTTCGTGTTGATACGTCAAAAAACTGGAATAACCTTTATTCCCTGAACCACGCCCCGATAGCGTGTAGCTCTTTGGCGGCATGTTTGTCTTGTGAAGATAAGCATCAAGCGACCGATAAGGACGGGGCTCAAAGAAAGTTAGGGACAAAAAATAAAAGAGAACAAATGAGTGTGAGGGCGATAGAGTGAAAGAAAAACGACGATCCGACATTCATTAGTAAATGACGTCCTCTTCAAAAGAAAGAAAGAATTGGACAGATGCGGAAACGTCTCCAAATCGTGTCCTACTCAGGTGTCGTCCTATCTGTAGAGTCACGCTCCTGTTAATAAGCTAACCTATACAACATATAGAGACATTCGGTCACGCTTGTTGCAGTTGTTGCAGGTGGGGCGTTAATCGGCTAAACATCATAAATGCATAGAATTTCTTCGAGCACGTCATTGTTCTATCTCCGGGGGCTACGTACTCGCGGCTCGAGTTTCGCCCGATTAGCGCAGATTTAGCGCACATAAAACGACCGCTGTCGGAGACGGTCTTTAATTCGAAATTATTCCGCAGATGCCGGTCTGGGCGTCTCTCGAGAGTGAAAGCGTCTACGATTTTGTCGTCAAACATTTCTCTCCCGGCATCGGACTATTCTACGACTACCGGCTATACGAGTGTCATGTCCGGAGCGGTCGTTAAATTATAGGGAAAAATTTGAAAAGGAGGAGTCGAAGTAATTGGCTTGATGAAGAGATAGCGGTGAGCTGCGGGGCCACCTGGCGGTTCTTCCTCTTTCTCGCCTTATTACGGTGCGCCGAACGTTTGATGTAAGCGGAAAGTGACGTCAACATAACTTATATGATGTAATTAGCTCTTGTGCCAATAATTATACGCATACGGAGTCATCTTCACTCTTTATGTTATCTTTTTTAAAGTAGATCTATTTGTAACCTTCCTTTATATTTAAGTTTTTTTTTGGCGTACAAAAGTAAATAGAAGAAGAAAAAAAAATATAAGAAGTCGTCTCTGCTAGCAGTTTTTTCTTTTCCTTTTCTTACTTTTCTCTCTATTCTTCATCTTCTTTTGTCTTTCTTTCTATCTTTTCAGTCTTTCATTGTTGTTTTTATTATTGTTATATTTTAAAATTTTCAATACGTTAACGTTCTAAAGAAGTCCAATCCACTGATAAGAAAAAAGGATGTTGTTTGATTTCCTCTTCGTCTAATCGTTCTCTCGGATCGAAACAAATCAACTGTGAGTAGTGACATCTATTATGAATGTTCAAAATATGATAGAAGAGAAAGAAAAGCTTACTTGTTTGACTAGAGATTTGGCTTGTAAAGACGCGTCATCGGGGAAAGTCAAATCACTGTGAGAGGTAAAACCAGCTGGGTGGCAGAAAGCTAAGCTCTGATTAAAGAAAGAAGAAAAAAATAAATAGACTATGCAAAAAAAATACTAATATATATATATATATATATATATTATTTTCTATTAAAGAGAGTCGTATTAAGACCTACATTTCCTGTTATTAGTTCGAATAGCAAGACGCCAAGACTCCACCAGTCACAGGAAGCATTCGGTTCGTATATCCTTCCTACTTCTGAAGGAAAATGGGAAAGTGTTAAGAATAGAACGGAAAAAGGCTGGATAAATACCTGGGGCAGTATAAAGATTTTGACGAGCGTAATTATTTATTGGTTGATCGACGCAATTCCATTGTCCAAAGTAGGTTAATAATATATGACCTCTATTACCTAATAGTATATTACTAGGTCTCAAATCTCTGTTGAGTTTGTTTAGAAAGGGAAAATAAATTCAACGTATTAAAACAATGTTATAATAAAAGAACTTATTAATTATTTTTTTTTACTTGCAAATAACCCCATAAGAGTGTAGAGTTGAAAGAGCGACAACTAGCTCTGCTGCCCATTGTCGTATACAGCCCTCAGGCAATTTTTTGCGACTTTCGAACCCTTTTTCGTCCGCTAAATCAAGTTCTGCGAAGACAGCTGATAGGTGTCGTGTTCTTTTCGATTTCGAACAGTCGTTGCCACTATTTCGTCTGATTGTTGAGGTTTGATTGTCCTTCTTATCTGAATGAGTATCAAATACTTCATCAAATTTATCCTCTGCTTTATATAAATCGTAGATGCTATCTTCACATGGTGAATCTTCATCTTCTCGTTGATAATTATCATTACAATTATCGATATCAGTTTTATCATTTTTTAAATATGTATCTACAGAATTTATCAATTCTTTTGACGATTCGATAACTTCTTGAGTAGAGTTTGGTGGAGAGCGACCTTCTACTTTACTTTCAGGAACGTATGTGGAATCTTCGTCGATTAATGAAGAATGCATAAGACTATAAAACTTATCAACTGAACTTATAGAATCGTGAAATCCAAAATTGAAAGGAACTTGCGATGCATCAGGGGTAGACACAGAATTTTCATTTGGACCATAATTTCTGTTTTGGAAGATATCAGAAACGTATTTCCAAAGGCGACCTCCAGAGGCATGTTGCAACAGTAAAAATATTGCACTATCAGTCTCGTAAAATTTGTACAACTGAACCATAAATGGGCAATGAGTAGGCGCAATTGTTTTCATATTAGATGAGCAGGCCGACTTTCTAAGCACTTTAATAATATATGTAGTATTATTATCTATAACTAGCATAACAGATCTGTATAGTACTCTTAATACACGAAATTTGTGCAATTCATCAATATCACCCTTTAGGAATGAAACACTCCTATCCATCTGACAAGAGGTATTATCATCAAATTGCTGGAGGAGTAAAAAAGAAGATAGAAGAGAAAAATTATAAAATTATTATAAAATACTAAAATATAATATTAATTAATTAATTACTATATCAGGTTTTTGCTTTTCTGAATCTTTTGTAATGGACTCGGATACATATCGTGTGTGAATTTCTTCTGCCCGTTTTAAATATCTAGCAGTTTTTCTTCTAACAACTTGTACTCGGGTATCGTCGTCATCCTCTAAAAATTTTATAAAACGATGATAATAGATAATTGTAAAATGGGGAAAGTAGAGAATTTTATCACTAAAAGGTCTATATAATATTACTTATATAGAATTTTTCTTTACCTTGAACCCCTCGAAGTAAAATCTCAACACCGCTTTTATAGAAATGAAAAGCGTTTACAAAATTACCATTCGATTCACTTTCTTGAGCAAACGTTATTTGCTTAGCGGCTTCGTAGATATATTCTCCTCTATCTCTTACGTCTAACGATATTAGGGAAGATATCTTTGTCAAAGTTGAACTTCTTGATGGTGACGATGAGGCGCTTCTTGATGAATTGCCCATTTGATCAAAAAAGGGCGGAGAAAGTTGAGGATATGATGGAACTTTCGTAATTTTAGTAACTGTTAAACTATTTTCGTTTTCTTGCGAATCCCCATTCGTGCAGGCATCCGATAAACTACCACTAGCTTCGAAAGTTATTTGCTCATCTGTATCATTTCCCTTGGATAGAGGATCGAAAAAAGCCATGTCGATATCGGCTTGCGGAGTTGATATCGTTGACTCGTCGGTAAAATCGGTTTGGTCATCATCCGAAGAGCCAATATCAAATTTATTATCAATTGGAAAGGAATCTGTACTTGCACCAACAAGGGAGGATGTATCCGATAAATTACAATCCGTCATACTCGTAGTATCTTTGATTTGCGGGTGAAGAACGTCAAACGAATTTAATTTCCTACTTCCCTATTAAGTTTATGTAAATATAAACAAACAAAATTATTTATTAGAATAGACTTTCTAATTTAACATATACCATTAAGAATCGTTGGAATGCGGAGTTATTGACTAAGTATGATCTGCAACTTATAAAATTCAACAAATCTTGAGCAGATTGTTGCCTCTCTTCGATTACTTCTTTTTCGTAACGGCCTATGTTTGTCCGGAAAAGTTGAATAAAAGTGAATTACATTATAAACTATTGATAACATTTTTTATAAAGAACTAATGTTCTTTTTTTTAAAACAGAGAAACAGAGGGAGAAAATATTCTTTTTTTTTTTTACCAAAGACTTTGCCTCTAGCAAAAGGGGGAAATTGTTCCTTTTGATGTAAAGCTCGGTGGCGAGTAAGCATGGCTTTGTATAACTTCTTAAAATCATTGTAACGTTTCCAGTTTACTGTCTATAAAACGTTGTGTTCAAAAATCAATTAGTACCGTATGATATTACTATAAAAGATCATAAATCACACCTGTTCAACAGCAGAATCTACGTTAGTTGTTCCGATGATCTGTTTAAAGACATTTATTGAGTTGATGAATGCTTAGCGAGTGTGAGAATTTGCTACATATCAAAAATATATATATACACATATCATCATGATCAAATAATAAACAGAGATATTAAGTGATTAAACTATAAAATATTACCTTACAAATTACTTTATATACAGTGTGACCTTTAGGATGTCTTTGGGGATCTGTTACTTCAAAACATCTAATGACACCCCTATCATCATTTTTTCTCAAAGAGGACATTCTGCATGGCACTAATTGTAAACATAAAAATTTGGCCAACAAAAGACCTTGTCCTTCACGCTCGAAGCGGAAACGGAAATACCTATCAACCAGTCTTCGTTATTGTAGTTTTCCCAGAGAAATTAAAGTTTTATTGAATATTTTAGTTACAACACACTTATTATATGTCGAGGATCTAACAAAAAAGGCGTAAACTATTCACGCCTGCTTACGAATATTGTTCTAGGAACTGTTATTATCGCCCATCAAAACAAAAATGTATCACGGTTGGTCATCCGTAAATCGTTCACTTCAAAATAAGGATGCCAGAGAGAAGAGCGTGTTAAACCATTTTAAAGGCGATACAGGATTAAAGATGGTATGCGATTTAGTATCAGAATCTGGTAATTCGGACCTCGATGGACTCAGTGATGAACAACATTTTAATTGGATCGCCCAAGTTCTTCTCTACGGTGTAAAGATGCCGCTGAAGAATGGAATAGAAAAAGAGACAGTTCATAAATGCGTGGAAGTATATATGGATTGGTTAAGAAGGATAAGTTTAGGTTTGTTTTTTTTATAGATTTATCCTATTAATAGATTTTTCGATAGTTATTTATTACATTGTAAAAATAGGCGTGAAATCAAAAGATTATTACAAGTATTTTGAAAGTTTTTAACTTTAAACTTTTTTCTTGTATAAAAACCTTCTTAAAATATAAATAAATAAGAAAGAAAAGAAGTTTATACATTGTGAGAACTTAACGAATTTTCGAATGTTTACCTTTTACAGATCGTGCTTACGAATCAGCCACAAATTTAAAACATTTTTTAGCCGAGGATCCGAATATTTATTGTCAAATGATACTCAAACATCTTTTTCACGTTTTTGTCTCTCATCCTCAAGAAAATCCAACGGATAGGCAAGAAATTTGTCGTTACGTTGTTGAAAACGTTGAAAAGTTGTTAGGAAAATGGAATAATCTGATTTTAAATAGAGCTACTCACGAAAGTATTTTACAATTCTTTTTATCGGCTGCGAACGTTCTTTTAGCACCACCGGCTATACCAGGAGGTAATAAATTATTTGGGAGTTTTTATATATCTTTGATTAATATTTATTCATCATTCTCTTGTAGAAATTACCCTGGGTACTCTTTTAAGAGAAACTATTACCGGAGCGTTATTCAGAAGCTGGGCAATAATTTGTAGCCGACATTTTCCAACGCCTCCTTATTGGAAGACATTCAGGGAATTATGCGCCACTTGGCGGCACCACGAAGTGTTAATAAGAGAATGGGATAAGATTAATGTTGCCTTATTAACTAAGTTACTACCTGTTATGTTTGGTAACGATTTCCCCCTATTAAACGGTTTGTTTCCCGATCTTTTATTCTTAGAACAAGAAAGAGAAAATCACAAACAAACAAAAATAAAAACAAGCAGACATAAACATATTCTTATCTCTCTTATCTATGGGAATGCTTAATTTAGTCAATTTAACAGACTTTATCAATGATGCTTTTGTTACTGCTATTAATAGTTTTTAATCTATATTTCTTCTTTAATAGTTGATCAGGAAAAGAATGAATATTTAAAATGGCACCTGTTGGACACAATGAGCGATGAATGTATAAAACAATGCTTCTTTCGTTTTCTCCATATCTTATCAAATCCTGTTGATTTGAGTAGACCGGAAATTATTGGGTACCTATATATTTACAATAGCGCTAAGGATCATTTATAATTTATCTTATATATTAAATATTTTAGGAAAACTCCAGAAATGAACGCCTATTTTAATAACGTTTTTGCCGAATCTGCCTTTCAACACGTGGATTCGTCGAAGGAAAAGAACTGTTTAGACGAATTACCTAATATTTATCATCTGGCAATAAGTTCTATAGCCAGACTACTAGACGCCTTTCTGGGCATTTCGGCAATAAATAAAGATTCGGATAATGAATCTAATGTATCTATTGGAATTCCTACTGCTAAAACTCCACCGTTATCGAAGAAGAAATCACCGGGAATTGTTCAATTGGATAAAGATAAAAGTTCAAAATGTATGTAAACAAAACAGCAGGAATGGTTTTCAATTGTTAAAAACATCACTAAATATTTCTTTTTTTTCTCTTTATTACTACAAATTTAGCAAAACTAAAAGGTTCAACAACCAATAAATCGTCTCCAATTACCCAAAGTTCTACTTCTACTTTTTTAAATATTAGTCTGGAAAATAAAACTTCATTAACACCTAAACGAGCAACGGTAACTATTAATAAACTATTAGTACTTTTAAGAAAAAATTCAATGCTAACATACAACATATTTGCAACGGATATATTTTAATAATTAACTATTTTAATTTAACAGGTAAACAGTATCATGAATCTACTAGGGGCGTGGCTAATTGAAGCGGCTACAACTGGTGTTAAAATATACGGAGCTGGTAATGGTATGTAAAGATTTTCTATATTCGTTTAATATAGAAATATTTTCTTTATATAAACAGTTTTTAGATATAAAACTCTTTACTTTTGTTTCTTTAAAAAAAAAATATTAATAATAATTAAAAAAACAAAACAATTTTAAATAAGAAATATCATTTGATTTTTTATTTGATTTTTTTTTTACGCTTTAAAGCAAACGATATGCAAGGTAGATTCCACTTTTTTTCTGTTATGTTCTTATAGCAAAAACAAACAAATATATATATATATATTTATATATATATATAAACATACAATATATATATATAAAAAAGATATATACAGTATATATATATATATATATATGTATATATTGTAAGTAAACACTTTTACTACAAAAACTACACATGAAAAAGACACACGCACATTTATACAGACAGCACAAGTTTTTACTTTCCTTTTCTTTTTTCATTGATTTTACATCTCTTATCCCTCCCCTATCACCCACCTCACCCACCTAACAACAACTTCATCTCCCTCCCTCTATTTTTTTTTTCGTTTGATTTATATTTTTATACCTAAAAAGAGAGCGTTTTTACTTTAATGATAAAAAAGAGACAAGACAAGAAAAGAAAAAGATAAAAGACTAAATATCTTTACTGCACACACACACACACACACACACACATATATATATATATATATATATATATATATATACAGTATATATACTGTATTAGTATATACATATTTTTTTTTAGAATTTGTTTTTCTCACATCACTAAACACTTATTAATTTGTACTAAGAAAGAGATAGCTTACAGATAGTTGAGTAGTTTAGTCTTATAGAGGATAAAGAGAAAAAGAAAGGAGAAATAAAGAAATATAAGTTCAGCTTGTGGTGTTCATTGTCACTATTACAAATACACATATACAGTATATATATATGTGTATATATATCTGTGCGTGTGGTATATCTGCAACATAATAGCTGCCTAGATTATATATAGAACAATACAATATCCATAAAAGAGAAACAAAAAAAGAAATTTCTACGGTACTTATGGATATTTTACTATATATATATAGATATTTATCTGCTTTGTTTTGTTTTTAAAAAGAAATTAAATAACTTTTATATATACTGTATATACTGAGTATGTTTATATATTGCTGAAAAATGTTCTTAAAGTTATTTAATAGAATTGTATCAAGAAATTATAAAGTATTAAACAAAAAAAACAAATCTTAATGGGAATGACGATAGATTTAAATTAATATTAATTAGTAATATGAGAATTTATTTTTTGAAAATTGAAACTTTTGTCATTTATAAATGAAAATCTTTTTTTTACTTCTAATTGGCAATTTGAACATTTTGATGATAGTGTAGTATTTTAGTGTATAAATATATATAAATATACAGTATATATACAATATATATATAATGAAAATTGATTAAGCACGGCTTTCGTGAGAGCATCAATTGCAATTTATAAATGTTACAGGTTTTGAATTAGTAATAATAAAAAGAGTGTATATGCTTAGATTTTAATGCTCAGTTTATATTGTTTTCCAATAAATTATTAGAAGGGAATAGATAGAAAGTATATGTAATAATCTAGTAAACGAGGGCGAGATAGAAAAAGAGATAAGAAGACGTTATCTTTAGTTGTCATTCTTTTTCAACCAACCTAATGTATATATATATATATATATATATATATATATATATATATATACATGGTTTGATGTGTTTTTTATTTTGGCTTTAAATTTTGTTCTTTATTTTACTGAAAGGGTTTGGGTTTTTGAATATTTTATTTTAACAAAATAAATACTAAAAGGTGACCGGCTAATCGCATGCTCGCTTTGTTTGTTTTTTGCCAACCCCTGCTGCAGTTACTGCTACTCGCCATCCGTCGCTTCCGCATCGGCTACGACATGCTTCTGTATCTTCGTGTGATACTGCAGATGGAGAATCCGAGGCGGAAACAACCATTTCTGGATACGAAGCCGGTCGAGCCGAAGCTTGTGGAGCCCTCTGCCGTTTATTTTGCTCCGCTAGAACGGGAGAGGTAAAAATAATCAAGGACACTAACAATTAAACTTTAAAATAATTTTAATTTTATTTTATAGAAAATCTTAGAAGAGTATTTGGCTAGGTTCTATATATCGTTATACTATGGTTTATATGTAGAAGATAAGCATAAACCAATCGAACCTGGCCAGAGTCAGGTTATTGCGTCAATAATATTTAATTCGCCGAATCTCTTTCAAGTCGATTTACAAGGAGTATCTGTCCTCTTGCCTCATATTCTATCTTCAATGGAGTTAATTTTATCTAATCAAAGACCAGTTATAAGGTATTGAATTTGTTTTAACAAATGATTTAACTATGATTAATCCTTCTCTTCCTTTTCCCCCTTCGACTAAAATAATAATACAAATAAAGTGGTTACGAACACATGCCTTTGAATGCTTTAAGGAAAGCTTCAATCAATCTATTAATATCAATTCTGTGTTATCCGCTACATTTTAGAGATTTACAAATTAAAGGTACGAATATTATATATTACTTATGTATATGTTAATCATGGTTGCATTATTTTTTATACAGATATATTCGATAGAAAATCAGACAAAACTGTCACTTTTCTTTCGCTGAAGAAACGTATGATTGTCCTTTTATTAAAGGCAATTGATAAAGAAACATATTCATCTAATAATCATTTATTATTAGGTAATTGCATTAAAAAAAACTATATCTGTAAGCATAATAACCAAAAAAAAAACAAAAAACAGCTGCCCTAGTTCTATTCGTTCAAGACTTGGCTTTAGCCGAAGAGACTGATGGTATAGAAGCCTTAAAATGTAAAGCTGAGAGTACTTCTTCTCTTTGGGAAGAAAGCGATAGTTTTCAACAGTCTGCAGGTATTTATTAATATTTTTTACTTTTTTCTATTATTATTCAGTAGTTGAACTAATTAAAAAAGAGTCAGAGAAGACTTAACACACTTTTGAAATATGATGACTACTTTTTTTTATTTATAAGAAGGATAAAGTGATAACAAAAAGGAATGCTATAGTTTCTTCCTCATTATTCAGATAATCTTTATAATATATTGGCTACATACCGAATTAGAAATATGCCTAAAATACAATATTAACATAATTTTAGCATCTATTTATTATCTAAATAGGATTAAAAAAAGATTTTTGTTAATTCATAGACTAGTTTTTAAAGTGTATGTTATGTATATATTAGTATATTGAATGTTTATTATAATATCGTTTATTAATTGTTTATTATTTTATTTTATTTTTATTTCTCGTCAATTTTTTAGTGAGGGCTAAAAGTTTTACGATAACCGAAACATCGAGAATACATCGTATTTTCGATGTAGAAAAAGGTAGAGAAATATTAAATATTAGCTATTTTTGTTTTTTTTTTATATATATAATCAAAGCTAAACAACAGAAAAAAGGAAATTAATTTAATCATTGATAAAATTATTGTGTTTATGATCTTTATAATTTTTAATAGTTTCACTAGAAAGTCAGCTCTTTCTTCAAATTTATATATATACTATATAAATTTATATATATCTATATCTATATATATTTATATATATATAGATATAGAATGTATATATTTGATTTATGATTATCTTTCTTTATTATTTTCTCTCCTCAGTTACATAAGTAGCAATTGTTGAGTCAGGTATTACTGATCTATAAGGCTACTTATATGATAGGTTCAGTTTTTATATTATATAATCGTTATTACTTTACATATTACATATGTTAGTATATATATACATGTATATATATATATATATATATATGTGTGTGTGTGTTTGTGCATGTCCGTGAATATTTATTAGAAATAACTCCATTTATCCTTTGTTTTTTTTCCCCTTGCCGATATACAAAATCATATATAGATGATAAAAGTGGGGATGATTCGGAATCGTATAAACCTGTCAGAAAATTCTCAAAATTTCTGCCAGACGGATTCTTTTCACGTAAACAAAAAAAAAGAATATTATTTAATAGTTTTTTTTAAAAAAAAAACTAAAAAGTACGAAAATTAGAGAAAAAAAAACATATCTGTAATATCTTTAAAGGGAAAGGGATCTATTTTGAATATTGTAATTTTCTTGTATGAATAAGAATAATTAATTCACAATACTATTTTCCCAATATCTCTCTGTCACTCTTATCACGATCAAGCCTTATTTATTCCGCAACTCCTCATCCCCTTTCCATTCTTTTTTAAACATTTTAATCATTTACATAGATTTCCGTTTTTATTCAATTTTTTTTCAATACCTTCTCTTTTTGTATAAAAAGAAAGGATTTTTAATTATCACAATTTGTTCATTCGATCACATCCATATTCTTTATTAATTAATTAGTTGAAAAGAAGTGAAAGAGAATAATCAGCAGATATTATTTTCTATTATTATGATGATCATTTTCTTCTTTTGTAAAAGAAAAAAAGAAACAAATTGAATGAATAACTTTTCCGCTTTAGTTTTTATTATATCAAAAATTGCTCTTTAAAGAATATTCTATTAGTTGTTTATGATGATTATTCGCTATATCTGCTATTTGAGTGAAGACGACTATAGAGAAAGCGAGGAGATTGTATAACACTAGTATACAACATACAAAAATATGGATGTTCTCTATAAAAGTTGTTCAAGTGTACTGTATCATACACAAAAGCACACGCTCTATCTCTACTGCTTTCTGAAAACAAATTAAAACAAACGTCAATCATCTTGCTTATTATATTTTCTTTGCATTAAAAAATAGCTAACTCTATAATGATATATCTAATTTAAACTTTGAAAATATGCAAATATATAAATATCCAAATACGGTTTATAGAGTTGCTAAATTCTAAAGTTTTCTTTTGTTTTATTTATATTTTATTCTAGAAACTAATTAGTTCAACTAACATTTAACAATGACAGGAAGAAGCAGTTCGGCTGGTACTCCTGTTGACCTTGCTTATAACAAGCGGGAATCTTTCGATGGTGATTATCGATATATTAATATTGGTTCTATATATATATATAAACTAATCAACTAATTTACAAAATTCGTAACTAAACACATCCAAAACAATGTTGCTGCCTTTCCACAACTAGATTCACGACTCCATCAAAGTCGCAATTTTTGGGATCATAGTCCTAATTTCCTCCCATCGGGATATATTTTTACAGGCTTGGAAAATGGTATTACATATTCGTCACTACCCTCTTATTATTTTAATAATTATCTATCATTCTGATCTTTAACTGTAAATTTAATCTTATTTTTTCTTTCTGTGTCTAATTTGATCATATCAAATCAATCATTTTATGAATTTCTCATAATTGATTTTATTTTTTATCTATTGTTCACCTATTCCTCCTATCTTAGTTTATTAACCTTTCTTTAAGTTTCACTCTATTATTGTAATAGTTAAACAGCTTTATAAAGTATATCTATTTTGCCAATGATTATTATATATATTCTGTATATTTTATTGGTTAAATAGGCTATTTAATAGAAATATTAAATAGCATTTACATATATTAAAATATACTTGGTAATTATACTTTTTTTCTCTTTTCTCCCATCTCTTCGCCTCAGATTCAGCCCAAGGAGTTTTCACAGAAATCTGCACTTTGGTATCAAATCGCTTAATACAGTCTTGGAATACTGATCTTGAAGTATCAATGGCAGCCATAGAAGTTCTGTCCTCACTTTCGTCTGTAAGATTAACTCATGCAGACGAACAATTGAAAGCCATTTGTAAAAAAACAACATTGCAAATTTGCGATTATATTCAAAAACAATGTACAAGACCTACAAAAGATCATCAAAAGAGTTTACATTCTGTTATTGTTGCGGCTTTTCATTGTCTATCTGATTGGGCAACCGAACATTCGTATCTTTTAGCCGACAAAGAATGCTTACACGCCGTTATGGAAACCGTTGAGTTGGGGGTTGCTGGAAAGAAAAGTGATCAGGGAGATAAGCTAGTCTTTAAAGGTTTACTAGAAAAAAAATTATCTATATCTTTCAACGTAAAATAATTTTAATTGTTTAGATGGGAAAGATCTCTTCCCCGTTTCGATGAGAGTAAAGGATGCTGCAGAGGCTCTTCTTGCATCTATTATGACTCACGTTGGCCATTATCCTCAGCCGACTGCGCCAGAGAGCGTCAGCAGCCTACTAGACGAAGCTAGTATGCTAAGGTTATGCAATAAAGAAAATTCTACACCTTTAAGAGAATTCAAATATTTTGTGTTGGACGGATGTGTACTAATGTCGTTATTGGAACAGCCTTTGGGTAATGATGAAGAACCCCTTCCAACACTATCAGCGATATTTCGCGGAACTTATGGTCGTTTTGCGTGGACTTTGCAACTGAGACACGTTCCTAAAAATAAAGAGGTAAGAACTATAAGAACTACTAACGTAATGACAAAGTAAGTCTAATTGTCTGTATTTAAATTATATTTTTAGAATTTCCCATATTCTCCCTCTGGCCAACAAGTGGATAGACCACAACCTGTTGAATCTAAAGAGGTCGAGGAGAAAATTGCCGATAAATATTTCCCTGACAGCGTTAACAACGTACCATTAGTTGAAGCGTTAGTATCTTCTTAATAGTATTGCTCTTCTTATTTAATTTAATTAATCGTTAATATGTAGAGATAAGAGTGTACCACCTTTGGAAAGTACTTTGCAAGAAGTTTCCATCCAATTACATGAGGTTGAGAGGCATATCAAAGAACAGGAAATACTTGAGAAGAAAATTGGCAAAACCGAGGAGAAGCTTAGAAAAGAAAGACCTTTTCCAGATTCTGAAATAGCTTTTTCTCCTCCAGAAATCAGAGAAGAGTTTCAGACTGTCAGATTATTTTTATCTCATTTTGGTTTCTTAACTCTTTCTCCTGATAAAAATAAATCTACCGCAACTCCATCATTGGTAAAATTAAACTCTAATCAACCAGGATTCGCAGAAGCCTTAGAATCTTTAGATAAGCTACCAACAAGGTCAACTGACACTCTACATGTTTTTTATCTGAAAAGCGGACAGAGGAGAGCTTCAGATATCCTTGGAAATGTTGGTTCATCTACAGAAACCGATGGTGTATTTTTGGAGCTGCTCCACAGTCTTGGTTGGCCGGTCAGTGTGAAATCTCACGCTGGTTGGACAGGACATTTGTCTACCTCATTCCGAGTAGAACCAGAGAAGGAATCAAATATAGCGGACAACATAGCAAAAGTAAACTAAAACTTTATGCAATATTTTTAAAAAAAAAAAACACTCTTTCAGAAAACTGGAGCATCTGAATACGACGGAAGGAATAAAGTTCTATATTGGGCAAATTCAAGCAGCGAATTAGCAATAGTTGTACCTTCTAAGAGAACTTTTCAACCGTGCCCATTTAGACATAGCGCAGTTGAATACTTTAATTCTCGTAAGTAGCTTATAATTACAATATTTAATTAAAATTCATAAAAAATGCATTTATTTATATATAATAAATATTAATTTTCGTATTTATATATATATATATATATATATATATAAATAAATATGTAAATGTATATACAGTATATACTGTATATACATTTACATATCTATACTACTAAAATAAATTTAAATGTATAAAACGGTGACTATAACAAAAAAAGAAAAGAAGGGATTGTGTAAGCAGAAATCGAGAAGTGAAGAATATCTGGCTAATTTATTGGAGACAATCGGTTTGTGGAGAAGAACCCGCTTACTCGAGCTTTATTTTTAACATGCTTCATTTATTTAGTCAATATTAGACAAGATAGTTTGATTAATCATCCTTTTATTACTTATATATTATTTGTTTTTACTTAAAAAGTAAATCAAATTTTAAGAGGAAAAAGCTTAGAAAAATGTGAAAAGTGATTGAAATTATGTACAAGTTTAATAAAAGAAGGGTATCCTTTGTGTACATATATAAATAGATACATAACTATACATATATATATATATATATATATATATATATATATATATATTTATATTTAAATATGTATACAATGCATAGAACATTTATATGATTGTTAACATCGTTCACAGCTCCGCACATTGAAACATCCCTAAAGTCAAGTAAAACTATGAGCGTAGATCTGGAAAGTGGTGAACCTTCTTTGAAAAGGGCTAACTTAAAACAACCTCAAAGTGATAATCTACGTATTTTCTTAGTCTGGACAGAGTGCCTCGAAGATTGTGATTATTTCCCGGCGGCAGATTTTATTCAAACAACTAAAACTGGCTTAGAACCGACGTCTGGTGGAAGTATGAAAGCAACATCCGCCTCAGATGTCTACGCAAAGCAAGTTGGAGAGACAGCCGTATTTATTATTTTCGTTCATCCCTTAACTTCCGGTTTATTCCGGATACACCTGTCAAACCCCAATAGAGGTAATGAAAAGTGGTTTGGAACACCTCTGGTTGATGGCATGGTTGTAAATAGAAGAGTTTTGGGTGTGTTGATAAGACAAACTGTTTTGAACGCCTGCAGGAAAAAGAGAATTGATTCTGATTCAAAACAATATTCAGCAGTAGCTAGAAAATATAAATTAAAGGATATTCTAGATAGATTCCGATGTTCAACAACAAAAGCGGAATTATATACGTCTCTTTTTCAAGATAGTCAATAGAGGAATACGCAAACATTTCTCCAAGGAATATCTTCATTACAAACAATGAAAACAATTCAGATTCATATTTTTTTCGAGTGTTCAATCGAAATGCTTATGAGAAATCAATTTTTGCAGTGAATTTCGGTTTTTCCGAAATAGTAGTGTTTAAGCATATAATTGAGCAATTATTTTTTTTTTCAATAAATTTTTTCATACGAGTAAACCAACTTTAGAATGAGTTGGAATTATATGGAAAAAATCTTTTATAAGCTTCTAATTGTTGTCTATAGGAAATCAGAGATCTTGCTCTTTGACAGTTTCAAGTGTCACTTTGCAACGGACTATTATGGGCTGAAAGCAGCTTTAGGGTTATTATAGAGAAAGGTGGTAATTTTCTAGAGCGGGAATAAATGAAATAAAATATATTCGAATATTTTTAGTTCTTTTACGGTGTCCGAGAATATACGCACGCGCACAGGAAGTATGTTATATCGTCGATATCGATATTCAGTATCGTGCGCCTGTTTAGAATAGACGATTCTGCCAGAGTTAAATAGTAATCACTAATTTTTGTTAATTATAAAAGCTTCTTTGTTAAATATATCATTTATAATGTCGGAAGAAGACAAACTCGGGGATAGTGGAGATAACATGAAAGGAACAGAAAATACTTTAAGCTTAAGCACCACGGGCTTTACACAAACATCAACGCCGGCAATTCCCTCTTCAATACCTTCTGCTACGAAAACGTCAGGCCCACAGGTAATAACTTATAAGTCAGATGAATTATATACGTAGTTATAACTGTGCTATCAATTGCAGAAACCAAACTACATTTTGAAGTTTACTTTGGCGGGACACACAAAAGCTGTCTCCTCCGTAAAATTCAGTCCCAATGGTGAATGGCTAGCTAGTTCGTGTAAGTAATAAATAACAGCTCATAGCTTGAACGATTAGCATCATTAAAATATTTTTATTATTATATTTAGCCGCTGATAAACTAATAAAAATATGGGGTGCCCACGATGGAAAATTTGAGAAAACTCTATCGGGACATCGCTTAGTAAATATTCAATATATCTATTCATCTTTAATATCAAATGATATTTATGTATTACTTTATCATTTCAAATAGGGAATATCTGATATTGCCTGGTCATCGGATAGTAAATTGTTGGTTAGCGCATCCGACGATAAAACTTTGAAAATATGGGATCATGCCTCAGTAAGTTCAATATATGCAACTGTTTCACTTGTCATTGATAAGAATACTTTTCATTAAACAGAATAAATGTATAAAAACACTGAAAGGACATAGTAACTACGTATTTTGCTGTAATTTTAATCCACAATCTAATTTAATTGTATCTGGATCTGTAAGTTTTTGATCAAATAGTGAAAGTTACCTTTATCAATGTTAGAATCTGTCTTTTGAATAGTTTGATGAAAGTGTTCGCATTTGGGAAGTCAAATCTGGGAAATGCTTGAAACAATTGCCAGCTCATTCGGATCCCGTTACAGCCGTTCATTTTAATAGAGATGGTTCTTTGATTGTCTCAAGTTCCTATGATGGTTTATGGTAGATATTAGAAATACTTTCTCATTATTATGCAATTTTCAATAATAATACTTTATTACTCGTAGCCGAATATGGGATACGGCCAGTGGACAATGCCTGAAAACTCTAATAGACGACGATAATCCCCCAGTCTCTTTTGTCAAATTTTCCCCCAATGGAAAATATATTTTAGCAGCTACTTTAGATAATACTCTAAAATTATGGGATTATTCAAAAGGAAAATGCCTTAAAACATATTCAGGGCATAAAAACGAAAAATATTGCATTTTTGCCAACTTCTCAGTAACCGGTGGAAAATGGATTGTTTCCGGATCTGAAGATAATCAAGTCTATATTTGGAATTTGCAAACTAAAGAAGTTGTACAAAAATTACAAGGACATTCTGACACGGTGCTCTGTACCGCTTGTCATCCAAGCGAAAATATTATAGCGTCCGCAGCCCTTGAGCAAGATAAAACCATCAAATTGTGGAGAAGTGATATTTGAACATTCAATAAAGTTTTGTATAGTTTGCACAAGTGTATTCATTGTATGTATATCAAAATTATCGGTTTAAGGAAATGTTTATTTTTCATTTGTAAAAGAAACAAAGTTTGGTAAATTTGTTAATTAAACAGCTCGCTAACTTTTTGGCTGGCACTATCATTATCCAAGTATTGCTGCAATTAAATTCAAGCCATTTAATAAGTTAGAGATTGATGATATATTTACCTGTTTGGAGGTCCCTACAGTTGACAGATCTTCAATAGTTTTTACAGTATGCTTGACCATATCTGATAGACCTATTACTTCAGGTAGTACATAATTCTTCCCCTACAACACACCTAATAAAGATAGTTCGAATGAATGTGAATTACTTACTTTGACTACTTTTTTGCGACGCTTTTCAATATCTCGAACCAAACTAGCAGATTTGACTGTAAATAGATCTCCATCAACATTCTGTAAATCATCATTTTCGGGCACATATTTACACTGAAAAAATCGCAAAATATTTTGAACTTTCCGATCAGAATATGATTATATGCATACATTGTTCGGAACTCTCTTTTTCGACAACCACTTATTAGTGGATTCAAGCATTTTAAATTTTCCTATATCATCATTTTGGACAATTTCCGTCCTCTTTTCACTTTTTGTGTCAATAATTCGTTCGACTTTTTTTACTTTTCTAGGGGGAGAGACAACCTTTGATTCCTGTCGCTGTATTGGAGAAGGCCATGGTATGGAGGACTGAACAATATCTGATTCAGTGCTATTCTCTTCGTTTTCGTCAAAGTGTCTTTTACTACTTCTTCTGCTTTGAGTAGCATCCTTCTCTGTATTTATATCACTATCCTTGAATACACTGATACTTGATTTAGTAGATTCAAAGGTATTCTCCAATTTTATTGAGGCCGTATCGCTGGATATCCTAAATAATGCAATAACATGAATAATTCAAGATACGAATAATTCAATGGCGTTACAAACCTTGAACGTTTACTGATAGTCTCTTCAAAAGATTCAGAAGGTCTGTAACATGAATAGATATTGTGAATTTACTTACTCGGTTATTCAACAAAGTTACCTTTTTCTAGTGGGAGGAGAGCCGGTTGATGAAGATTTTGTATTAACAAATACGCTACATATCAATGAAAAATAAAAAAAGTAATTTAAAAAAATCAAACGTTACAGACTTAAATTGTGATTGTTCCGAATTTGTCTGCAATTGAGATTCTATAAAAGTTCAGAACCATTAAGACAAAATAAGATTAAGAATATAGTTATTGCATACGCGCTGGTAAGTTAGGATCGCAGTATCCCATGGGATCACACTTTATCATAGCCATTGCTACATCACTATCTGTTATAAATCGTTTTCCCAAGCTGTAAGTATATAATTATTATTAGTCTATATACAGAAAATATATCTGTAAATAAAAAAATACTCATTCAATTTCTTTCTGATAAGGGGATACATATTCTTTACTGCAGTCGACTCTATTTTGCTTACATCAACTCCAAGTACGCATGTTTTAGGCTTTTCAATTTCTTGACAAAGTAATTTAGCATCGTTCTCCGATTCAACTATTACAACTTTAGCGTCTAACTCTTTTAAAGCATTGGCTAGTAATGATTTCTATTAAAAAAAAAGAACAAGTCATTCGTAGATTTTAAAAGATACTGTGTTTACTTTTTTTAAAAACCTACTTGATTTTTACTCATTAGAAAAAATTTCCATCCCCTTAATAGGTTATTTCTCTTCAAATTTTCACTACAATCTACTGGCTTAACCCCCATTTCCTGTAAATTCACTGCTACAAACTTAGGTAGATGCCTGAATTTACAAGTAGAGCTTAAAGACTCTTCGAGAATATAAAAATTTCGTATCTTACTCTCTAGGATCAGGAGATTCGCTATTTTTTAAGTGAAAATCTTGCATCAATTTTGTAATAAAACTTCTTTGTACAATAGGTTTTCCAGATGCCAACGCACAGACAACCTTAACAAATATATTAGTTATTAGCTTATTAGATTTTAAATCATTTCTCACCTTTTTCGTTAGGATAATTTTGTTGCTTAAGCAATGAGTAACATCAGACGACCACTCATTTACCATATGACCTCCAAGAGTTAAAATATCATTTTCTACTATTCTTTTCTCTTCAAAATTTAATCCCGAAGGACAGATAACAAAAGGTTCATAAACAATTCTAGTATATTGAAGTAGGAACTTTAGAAATGCAGTTTTCAACCACTATGGTATTACTCACTTATAACTTGATTTTCCAATCCAGAAAACTGTAGGCTCTGCAATATCTATTTCGCCGCCTTTAATAGTTTTGTTTTTAGGTTGAAACATTGTTCCTGAAGTGGATTTATCCATAAATTTTATTATGGGAAATATTTTAGAGTTATTCTAAAAATAATTGAAAAACATGTATTTATAGCATTGATTTTACAATTAAACCAACTATTTCATTCCGGTTAAATTTAAGCGTTAATGTAGCATGCTCTCTACTCATAGCCTTATTTTCAGGAAATGATAGATCACAATTCGGCGATCTTCCAAGTTTGTATTCTTTATTTGTGAAAAGATGATAACAAACTTTTTCTCCTGTTGAAAGATCAATTAATCAGTCATTTTTAAAGCTTTTCAAGACTTAATTTACCTTCGACATTCGATCTAGTATATTTATTTGGAAGGGAATGTATGCTCCACATTGTTATTCGTTAAAAATATACTTTGCTCTTTCGAATGTTCTGCTCCCAGAAACCGGAAACGGAACTGAGTTTGGGAAATATCGAATTCACGTGAGATTATCGATAGTGAAAGAAGAAGTATGATTTTTTAAAACCGGAAAATTAGTTCCCAAATAACGAAACTATCGAGTATAGGAACTGAAAGAAAAAATTCGTTTATCGATTTCATCTAGGCCTACTCTTATTTCTGCCAGCCTTCGAAAAATTGTATTCGACAGGAAACGGAAACTGCCTTTGTCCGCTACTCAAAAAGACTAGACCACAATTATTTGTTATGCTCAAATAACCTGAAAAATGAGTTCCACAGAAAAAGACGACTATGATGTTGCAATTCAAAAAGCTCTTAAAGCCAGCATTGGTGCTATTTTGCAAATGATTGGATTTGAAGCAGCTAATCCGATTGCTCTGTCAACTTTAACTGAGATGCTTCGAAGTTGTAAGTAATTTTGTTCAAATTTTAACTTAATTGATTTACTTCTTGAAATAGGAAGTAACATTCTAAATCATTCTGATTTAATGTGCATTTAAAAAATATTAATTTTTGTTAGACTTGACTGAGATCGGTAAACAGGCAAAAATGATATGCGAAGCTGCTAATAGAACTGAACCGATTATTTCTGATATAAGTCTTGCTCTTATTGAAATGGGTATGCTACTTCTTTGAATTTGTTACTCTCTTTAGTTCTATATTATAAATCGATTAGGTAACGATATTACGAAAATAGAGGACTTTTCGAAACGGCCAATGAGATTAGTAAATTTCGATCGTAAGTAAATAAAAATTATTTATAAAAATATGCTAAATAAATAACTTGCTAATTAAGAGGCTACGTCTACAACAAAACCCCCAATGAAAACTTTAAGGGTTGGTCAACGTCCAGACATGCCTGGCTATGTACCATCATATTTGCCAAGCTTTCCTGATCCCCATACTTATATGTCGAGGCAACCCGATCCTCCATCTCATGGTAATGAATGCAGTTTCACATTTATAACTTTATTGAAGTATTATAATGATTGTTATTAGGCACTTATGCTGAACTCAGGGAAAAAGCAGCATCTCAAAAGCGAGACGTCGAGAGAGCTTTAACAACTTTGATTGCAAAAACTGGTGAAACAGACCTCATTTTCGAAGATGATCCGCTAGCTTTTCCTTGTAATATTTTTATAATAGTAAAAGATATCTTTAATTAATCTTTAAAATCTCCTTCTAGTGATAGCCAATGCTAAACAGCCGTTACCCTACATAGACGCCTTGTTACCGAAAGAGTATGATACCGTAACTTCTGAAGAAACAGGGACTGATGCTAATAGTGATAATCCTTACCTCCGACCAATTAAAATGCCTCAATTAAAGAAAAAAGGAAAAACTTTCATTCCTATTAAATGATTCAAAATTATGATCAAATTTTTTATATTTTGGGACTGTTGATAGAAAAAAACCGTTACATATCATATCTTGTGAAAAATAGCTTTTGTACATATTTTCAAGTTTCAAATTTGTATTTCTTAAGAAAATCCTCACTAAATGAACTGTTTTTAGGTAGTAAAATAAAAGCCGGAGTTCCATCCTCAACAAAGAATCTTTTGGATAAAAAAATTGAATTTCTTATTAATCCGAAAAGAGAGAAACAAATATAATTTAAAACTAACTTTTTCATTTTCAAGGCTTCCAATAATTTCATCGACGGTCGAATTTTATACAATTTTCTTTCGTCCTTGTTTTCAAAAAAAATCTGGATTTGACGAAGAACATTTATTTTTTTGGTTATTGTAATTAAAAGAAGCAAATTACTTTCCCTCTTTTGACAACTGACCTCTAAATTATTATATTTATACTTAAATTCAGTATCCCAAGGGGGTGGTTCGCAATCTTTAGCAAATATTACTTTTAAATGGTCAGCGAAACTATTTTCATAAATGAAAAAGGTAATTAGACTAATGCCATGTAATTAAAACTAATTTCTTACGAATCAGCTTCTTGGAACTCTTGTATAAAGTCAGTTTGACCATACTCTGGATATAAAAACATTACAGGCCAAACCATGCTACCATCTTCAGAAAGATAGACAGATACTCCGGAATGACAATTCTCCAAGTCGACTTTCTCTATTTGCTCTTCATTTGATAGATCAACAACATTTCCGTCCATGGTTAATCTTATGCCTCTTGTCTAAAATATTACATTTAGAGTTATCAGTTTTCATTATTACTATTATAAAAATAACTAACTTTTATAGCCGACATTAAGTCAGTCTTTTTCCTTAATAGTCTCTTTCTTTCGGCTATAGCTTTTCTCTCTTTTTTATTTTTCTCTATCTAAAATTGCTGCTTTTAACGACCCAGTAAAAATATTTCGAATATAATATAGTTACCAATTTTGTTTTGGCTTCTTCGTTGAGTTTTTGTATTTTTTCTTGCGATTCATCTAACTATAAAATTAATGATATGTTTCTTTAAAAAAACTACAAATACACATAATATATGTGCAAAAATGAGCTATTCTTACCAACAGGCCATATTTACACCATTCCATAGCGTCATCGAATCTAGATAACTTTATACAACACTCTGCTCCCTTTATTACAGCTTTCATGTGATCCTTCTTAAACTTACGTGCCAAGGAAGCATCTCGTAAAGCTGAACCGTAATTACCTTAAATAACATATATTTCCGTCTCTTAATGTTTGCCTAAAATAATAACTTAATAAGAAATAATTATTTTATACCTCGGTGATAATTAGCTGCTGCTCGATTTGAATATAAAATAGCATTTAAATCCTTGTCCGGACATTTTTCTTCAATACCTGCCGTATAATTATCTATTGCCCATTTATACTTCTTGAGTTTAAAATGTCTATTTCCTTCTTCTTTATAACTTTCAGCATTTTCTATAATAATTGCTAATTTAAAAAAGCACTAATTATTTCTATAGAGTTAAAACACCTCGAGTATCCTCTGTTTCATATTTTAAACTCATAAGAGCTTGAACGTACTCGTTGTCCACATCACTCGGCTTTATTTCTTTCATGAAGGCTGGATGTCTGTCTAGTTCCTGGAGAGAATAATATACATTTAATCTTTACTAATTCATTATACATGCTTGCTTTAAGTAACTTACAGCTAAAAGTTCTTCGATAGGCTTATCTTCTAAAGCACTATTGCCTTTTGATGTTGCCAATTTTTTTTCTAGAAATTCATCAAAATCCTTATTAATTTGATCGATAAGTTCATTTCTCTCTTCATCCGTGTAATTTTGGGGTTTAGTTTGAGAATCTCCAGTTGCCATTTTAAATACACTATAGGTTTAACGGAGACTCCTATCTTTTTACTTGATTCGTATTATCTCACGTGTGATGGGCGATAATTGAAATATATTAAAAATGCACCAGTTTTTAAACTATAGAACTACTACAAATTACATTCGAGAATTTTTTTTACCAAAACTTACTATGGTTTCGTATATTTAAGTACTAAAGAAAAGAGATCCAAAAAATAACCTCGAATCAACACTTTCTTTTTGTGTTTAGTCAGATTATTATGAAATAATTATTGCCTGTAATACTGTTTCATAGCAATGTAAAAAGGAAAAAGACTAGAAAATTTAGTAAAATATTGATGTATTTCATTCATTTTGATTAACTTTGTTGAATCGGCTTTAAGTACTTAAACTTTTGATTCCTGTTACTTCATCAAGAAAAGAGATAAATAGTTCAGGATTTCCCGGTATATATGGTTTCAAATCACTTAAATTGATTGTAGATAAATATTCAGCAAGGTTTTGGCAGTTTGTATAATAACAAAATCCTTCTTTTTGCAGTTGATCTGCTAATTCTAATTGATGGTTATTCATGAGATTATCATTAACGACAACAAGTAAATGCTTTTTAGCAGTTAAAACTTCAAGAGATGTTCCAGCTCCTAAAAGATAATTTAATATCAGTAAAAGTTAGGCTTATTATATAAAGAAACAGCTACGTCTTAGGATGAGGCGGATGATATTTGAAAATAAGAATTATATTTACTCACCAGCGTGACTTATCACTAGATCAGCTTTGTTAATATCTTCTATAATTTTATTTTTATATTTGTAGTATTCTACATCAAGTATTTTTGAAGTTGTATCAGGTATAAAGGTACCTCGACCAATTTGGAGGAGAAGTTTTTTGAACCCTCGCTTTTTAAGCGCCTGTAGCAATAACGTATATAAATATTATAATTTATATAATTGTATAAGTTACCTTTAAGCATTGATCACTGCATACTTCTCTTATTAAATCATTAAAAGAAGTCGTGCCTACTGTTACGAAAGCCAACATAGCTAATAGAAAACGGGTTGTTGAAAATGAATATTTTACTTATATTTCAAAAAAATACTAAGGTCGATAGAATACAGAATGTTTGCTACGGTAAACATTCCCGCTAAAAGTATCAAAAATAACTTATTGCATTTAAATAGAAGCAGAACAAGTAATCCAAATTAGTAAAGATTGGTAATAAAAAATTAAATCAAAGTTTTCACAACCATCTGTAATAAACAATGTTTTCACGCTATTGCAAACGAATAGCAAGATGCAATCGTCTTGGATTATGCCAGAGATATATTTATATTAGTCATACGAACCAAACGGATAAACGATATAATGAAATAGGCATTCAAATGCTTTCGGAAAATCTTTATAAGCAAATCTTTAAGAAGGAAAAAAGTAAAAAAAATATTAATATTGAAGCAATCAATAAACATTTAAAAGCACATGATTTGCATAATAAAAGTACTGATGTACTTGAAGATGTAGATTTGGTATTACCCAACCTTCGAGGAGAAAATCTTGATGAACACTTTAGAAATATAGCTTTAGATATATCTAAACCATATTTCGACATTGCCGAGAGACTGCTCACTTGCGATATTCCCAACAAACCAAAACATTGGGAATATAGGGCTGGCTGGACAAAGTATACATCTACTGGATGGGAAAGTGTGGAATTTCCAGACGAAGAAGGATTAATAGTCGACGTAGAAGTTGCAGTCGTTCATGGAAATACTCCAGTAATAGCTACAGCAGTTTCCCCAACGGCATGGTATGTGTTAAAGACTCTGCCAATTTATATTACTATTGGTCTAACTAGATTCTCCACTAAATAATCTTCTTCTTTCCTAGGTATTCTTGGTGTAGTAAATATCTCGTTGATAAAGATTGTGTTGAAACTAAACTTTCATTGAACCATTTAATTCCTATGGAATCATCTCCTTCCGATTTAGATCCATTCAAGAACTTTAAACCTCGTCTATTTATTGGTCATAATTGCAGTTACGACCGATCATTTATGAGGGAACAGTATTTTCTCCAAGTAATATCATTATAACTCTTTTTTTTACCATTAAAATTCTACTTTTATATTACATTATACTCTCCTGTAGCCGTCCAAATCCCGGTTTTTGGATACTATGTCTCTCCATATTGCAATTTCTGGCTTAACTAGTCTACAAAGAACACTATTTATCGCTAAGAAGAGTGATAGCAAAAGGAAAGAGGTTTTAGAGTATGAACAAAGTATGCATCAGAGAAGATCTTTGCCGGTTAGTTATAATATAAAGGATTCATTCTTTTTTATCAAGGATAGTCATTTTATTTATTTTTTCTGATAGAATTTTCAATGGATTAAAGAATCATCTTTAAATAACTTAAGCGATGTTTATCGTCTACACTGCGGGGGTGACGCTTTGAAAAAATCAGACAGAGATATATTCGTTAAAGGAAGTCTGCAGGAAATAAGAGATCAATTCCAGGTAAAGTTAACTTAAAGAAGTAATTGCTTATCTTACATGCATGTAAAATGAATACGAATACTTTAATTATCAAAGGAACTTACTTCTTACTGTTGTGAAGATGTTTTGGCAACAGCAAAAGTATATAGAGCTCTTTGGCCTCAATTTAAAAACAGGTAAACTATCGGATGAATATGAATTTTTCATTTCATTTCATCTATTATATTAGATTTCCTCATCCTGTGACATTTGCTGGTATGCTTGAAATGGGATCGGCATATTTACCTATTAACGAAAACTGGCATAAATACATACTTAATTCTGAGAAGGCTTATAATTCGTTAAATGGTAAAGTACTAGAAATCCTGATGGATGAAGCAGATAATGCTCTTAAACTAACCCAGGAAAAGTATAATTACTGTCCTAATAGTTATATTCATATTAAAAATGAATATAAAATATACCTATATTCAATAGATATACAAATGATCCTTGGCTACACGATTTAAATTGGACTGTAAAGGTTGTAGATGAGAAAAAAGTTAATCTTAAATACAAAGAAATGATTAAGGAAATGTCATCTCGAGATCGTGCTGAAAAAACTAGAATTGCAATGAAATATTCTCCCTTATTACCCAAGAGATGTGTTCATATGGTTGGATATCCTGAGTAAATAATCATTTTCGAAATCAATGAAGAAGAATACGGATTTAATATACGTACTTATTCCTTTTTAGATGGTATAGAGAACTTTGTCCGAAACATTATGAAGTCTCTATTCAAAAACCTTGGGGTCCTTCTAACATAAGTACACTTAGGAGAATAACACCAAAGCTACTTAGACTGACTTGGGATGGATTCCCTCTGCATTATAGGTTTTACGACAAGTTTTCCTCATCATAACCGTTTGTCTAATTCAATATCTTCTTTTACATATAGTTCATCTCACGGATGGGGATACCTAGTGCCAAAGGAAGAGTTTTTACTTGGCGAGTCATTAGAAGGAGAGATTTTAGAGGACGAATGTCACTTTCCATCTATGTAAGGCATTGTATATAATTGACCTATTTACCGGCTAACAACAACAATATCTATTATTCAGATCAGCGCTTGAAATTTGCAAAGAAACGATGAAATTTTCTCCCGATTCGAAATTAAACTATGAAGAGAAAATGATTGATATTTTATCTAAAATAGAGAATGCAGAAGATCCGAAAGAAAAGAATAAACTTTGGCAAGAATTAAAAAAACACGACATGAAAGAAAAGAATAAACGCCGCAAACAGGTTTTCCGCTCTTTTTTCCATTGTACTCAACAATTGTACAGTTGTGTTCTACTCAGAGAGGATCGAATAGAATGCCCTTTTATCATCAAGGAAACGGACCCCATACGGACGTAGAAATACCAGGGTTTTATTTCTTTAAGCTACCACATAAAGATGGTCCGGATGCCAATTGTGGTAACCCTCTTTCGAAGGATTATATACCGAAATTCGAAGAAGGAATTTTACGTTCTTATAGCGGTGGAAAAGCCGATAGAATTATGCTATTTAGTCAAATGTGCTCATATTGGAAAATGAATAGAGAACGAATAATGTAAAAGGAATATTACAGTCAATTTAAAACGTTAACAACTAATATATTCCCTTATTGGTCCATAGGCAACAAATATGTATAAGTCTACCGAAAGAAACCCTACCTGGCTATTTGAACAAGTTGTTTTTCAATTTATTTTCTCTTTTTGTGTTAAAATTTCTTTCTATCATTTAGTAAAGACAGCTTTATAAACAATGAATACATTGGGGCCATAATTCCAAGAGTTGTTACTGCTGGCACTGTTACAAGACGGGCAGTCGAATCAACTTGGTTAACGGCTAGTAACGCCTACGTAAGATACTTTAGTGGATGTTTATCAATTAATGCTTTATAATTCTTATCTTCATATAGCAAGATCGAGTAGGAAGTGAATTAAAGGCAATGATTCAATGTCCAGGCGGTTATCATTTCGTTGGTGCTGACGTCGACTCTCAAGAATTATGGATTGCTAGTTTATTAGGTGACGCTCATTTCCAAGGTATTCACGGTTGTACAGCCTTGGCCTGGATGACGTTGCAAGGTAAAAAATCTGACGGAACTGATATGCATAGTAAAACCGCCCAACTAGTAGGAATATCAAGAGACCAGGCCAAAGTAAATTGATTAAAACAATATTGACCAATCTTTATTTCTTAAAAAAAAATTTGTAAACTTTCTATCCAGGTTTTTAACTATGGACGTATTTACGGTGCAGGCAAAACCTTTGCAGAAAGACTATTAAGACAATTTAACCATAGGCTTACAAAAGAAGAAGCTAGTAAGAAAGCATCAGTAATGTACGCGGCAACAAAGGGTAAAAAGTTGAAAATGTAAGGGAATATTACATTTTATTATTTGATTAAATATAACCTATATATCCCTTACTTTGAAGCAAAGACCTTGATGAAGATGGTAATATGCGTACTGTCGTTGAGAAATGGGAAGGAGGAAGGTTTACTATATTTTTCTTTGTTCATTCTTTTTTTTAAAAAATCCAATGGATTTTTTTATTTGTAGCGAATCGGAAATGTTTAACAAGCTTGAATTGATTGCTTGTTCAAGTAAGCCGATAACGCCTGTGTTATCTTGCGCTATTACGAAATCTTTAGAACCAGCTAATGTTGTTTCAGATGTGAGAAAATATTCATTTCCCTCATATTTTTTTATTACTAATATATTTTATATAAATTATTCATTTTTACAACAGTTTATGACGTCACGAATAAATTGGGTTGTACAGAGTTCTGCAGTTGATTATCTACATTTGATGTTAGTTTCAATGAAGTGGTTATTCGAAAAATATGATATCAAAGGAAGATTCTCTATAAGTATACACGACGAAGTTCGTTATTTAGTAGAATCTGAGAGCCGTTATAGAGCAGCTTTAGCTTTACAAATTACAAACTTGTTAGTTCGTTGTATGTTTGCCGAGAAAGTGGGAATGAACGATCTGCCGCAGTCAATAGCGTTTTTTAGTAGCGTTGATATTGATAAATGTTTGAGAAAGGAAGTTCATTACGATTGTGAAACACCATCGAATCCTTATGGGTTGAAAAAGGGTTATAACATAGACGAAGGAGAAACTTTAACGATTTACGAACTCTTATCGAAGACCGAATCCCTTAATAATCATACTTAAATACGTTTGAAAAATGAATTGCTGCTAAATTTCTATATTATTTTGTTTGTTTGTAAAATACATAAAAATTTTGTTCGAATAGAATAAAGTTCCTTAAGATTTTCAATACTGACTAGGGTATTAGTATGAGCCTACCTTTAAGACCTTCTACCAGGTTATCTTTTGAGTGGTTCAAGCCCCTTCCCCCTTTCTTTTCCAAATATTCTATAAGAATATTAAATTTTAAAGAGTTAAGACGGGGAACCTCTCGCTAAATATTTTAAGTTTCTATTTAATTTTCGTCTATTTTTCAGTAGATTTAACATTGGATTATCGACAATTTTATTATTATATACAAACTTATAATCGTTTATGAAGAAAGAAATTAACAGTTCAGGATTATCAGATATCTACCTTTGAATTTCCGTATTAGAAATAACGTAATATGAAAGGCGTAGAAGAAAAGTATCAAAATGAGAATACTCTACTCTATAATAACGATAATTTGCCTAAAATCAGTTTCTATAACGTCTACTGATGATTTTATTCCGTTCTATTCTTGGAAATCTATAAGAATTAAAGCGGAATTTCATCAAACTGATTTAAACGACGAGGAGAAGAAAATACTTGAACACGTATGGTCTCTAGCCATACAAAGGACGTCGGAAGCGTTAAAAGGTTAGTTAGTTAATTAATAATATTTACTTATAATTTAACTTATTCAATAGTTCCAAGAGTACCGAGAAGATTACTCTTACCAAGATCTAATTTATCTTGCGAAAGAGCATGGATAATTGGATTAAATAAAAATAGGTAATTGATTTTTGCATATAATTTAAATAAATCTACATAAAAATTAAATTAAAACAAAATCTTACAGATGTGCTTCAGTAAAGAAATTGCCATTTAATCAACTTGAAAAATGTTTGGATGACTTTAACATTCCATCAGAGCATTTAGAAGGCCTATACGAATGGCCATATCAAAATTCATCAATATCAAAAACAATAATAAAGGATGGCGATGGAATAAAAGATTATGATTATATTCTTTATATTCAATCAATAGTTACTGAACGTTGTCAAAAAGATGTAATAAGATATTAAATTATAACTTCAGTAAATAGAATATCATAATAACAAGATTATCAATTTACAGAAAAGGCATTTACTCGCATACGCAAAATATTGTAAAAGGGATCATTGGGGAAGGCCAATAGCTGGTTATGTAAATATATGCCCTAATTTCTTTACCAGCGACTCTTTTTCTATTGGAAAAGCTAAAATGGTAATAAAGAGAGAGAGAGAGAGCGGTAACGTGTGTCGCTATGAGTGTATGTGAAAGAATATTTAAGTGAATGAATAAGTAAATAACCAAGTAATTAACACATAATAAAACATCTTAGTTTCTTTTTCATGTATTCATATATACAATAGTACGTAATTGAGATGAATTATCTTACTATTTCCCTATTAAATGAAAGATAAATGAGTTTTATCGCTTTAGTTATCAGTTAATTTTTTGAAAAATGACTATTCTTCTGGCTAACTTTATCGTTAGAGATTTTCCGATATTGTTATCGTTATAGGAGACACGTCATGTCTTTTATTTACATATTTACAGATTGCCCTACACGAATTATTTCACGCTCTGGGCTTTACTAAAGACTTATTTCACGATTATCAAAGTTGCGACCTACAAGGCAAATGTACAAAACATGTAAATCCCGTAAAAGATATCTACTATGCAAAGAGACTAGTTACGCCAAAAGTTGTTGAGATGACCAGAGAGCATTTTAATTGTACAAAAAAGAGTGTTTTAAATGATTTTGGACCAATGTTACAAAAAGATAGTAATGGAGATATAACATCCCATTGGGATTCTTCACTTATGTATAGTTCAATAATGACTTCTACAGTAGGAGATGTAAATAATTATCATTCAAGCACTGAGCCTTATTAGTAAAATAATAATGTTTATACAGGAGAGGGTGACTATCCTTGATAAGATAACTCTAGCTGCTTTCGAAGATTCTGGTTGGTATGGAGTGAATTACGATACGGCGGATACTTTCCTCTGGGGAAAAAGTAATTAAAACATACCTAAATATGAATATTCAAAAACTAATTAAGATTTATTACTGAAGATCTAGGTTGTAACTTTTCCTTGCCAATAAACAGATGTAAATATAATGATGAATACCCTAAATTCTTTTGCAAATCGAACGATATGTGAGTGAAAGAATAGCAATAAAATACTATATGAATAATCCTCAATTTGTCTTTTCATTAACAGAATAGGTTGTCATTACCTGCAAAGGGATAGGGGAGTTTGTCAAAGCGACGATTATCTAGGCTGTAATAAAGTATATAAAAGTGATTCAAGTGTTAGTATAAAATATATTTGAATGACGTGTCATCATTCGTATTTTAACTAAATCAATAGACTTTAACTATATATCTATGATTCATGTGTTTAAAATTCCTATTCAGCTTCGTTGCGATCGAGATTTACTCAACGGGAGATGTTTTATTGCCAACATAACAATTAAGGTTCTTTCAAAACTGACTAATATTCAATTTTTTTATTGATTCCATTAAATTTCTTTTAATAGTCTAACTTTATGATTCGGGAGAAACCTTCTGGAAGATGTTACGATATTTCATGCATGAAAAATGGAACATTACAAGTTAAATTGGGTAACGAATGGATAAATTGTCCTTATAGTGAGACTTTAAAAGTAAACATGAGTACATTACATAAATTATAGAATTTATTGCTTCATATTTGAATATATATATATATATGTGTGTGTGTGTATCTCAAAACTAGTTGCAAGACTGGGAAGGAATTCTTATATGTCCTTCAATCACTAGTCAAGTTTGTCGAGACATTCACAAACAGATGACGTCATATGCTATGACGACAACTCATTCATTTACTCAAGGTTAAGAAATTTTACAAATACATGATTAACACTAATTAATATACTTTCATTTAATATAGACGATATAGGAGGTCCTATAGAAATTAGTATAATATTCAGCGGCATTACCGTTCAACAGTTAAATTTGAACTCTTTACTCGAAATGACACCAAATGTAATAGCAATAAAACTATCAAGAGAATTGAATATCAAAGAGGAAAGATTAACTAAGAGACTTCTCACGGATAGTAATCTAAGCAATTCAATAATATTCAAGTTCATCCTCCTACCTAAAATTCGCGATGGTTATATTTTTATAATTTTATTACAGTTCATAATTTTATTTCACTACGTTTATGTAGGTATCACCGCAAATGAGGCTTATAATATCCTAGATAATCTTATTAAAGGTGGAAAATTGATAGTAAAAATTGGATCTTTTACATTAAAAGGTGAATCAATTTCAAAGAGAAAGTAAGATAAATTTTTATTAAAATTATCGATCCTTATCTAAAGTGTTATTTTGTTTTTTTTTCACTTTCTTCTGGAATTTTAGAGCTCCGACGGATAATTCGATAAAAATTGATTCGTTAGCGAGTACTGCAGCAATTATAGGAGTTGCAATCGCCTGTATACTTGTGGCAGCTATTATTGCATTTATGGTATTTGTTATTCAAAGAAGATATGTTATTATGCATATAATAACTAGACCTCGAAGATTAGCTAGATTAAACAATCAAAATAGAAGAGAAGGAGGAGAAACTTCAGTTTAAACTTTAATATTTATTCATAATTATATTATCTACAAACAAAAATTACATATTGTACATAAATACAAGAATGTTACAACTCAGGCTTTTGATAAGCATTTCAAAAGAACAAAAAATTCTTTAGATAAACACAGAAGAGCGAGAGAGAGTGTGTGAGAGGAAGAAAAAAGACAAAAAATCCTATCCAATTTCTACTTTTAATTCATTTTTATGGCAGGTAAACTTATTCAATTAAATTGAAGTGGAACGCTTAGATTGATTAGATAAAGTAGAAAAGTTAAGTTTTAAAAATTTTATTGATGATTTACCAAAAGACCTGAAGACTCTAATAAATGCCATTAAATCTATTTTCATATCAAATTCATTTGTGTATAAATGTATAGGATATTCTAATAGCTTCTTTGAATGTTTAAAATCCAAATTTATACCCAATTTAAGTAATAAAGCATCCAATTTGCATAGTAAACTTTTTTCGTCAAATTGAAGAAATAGTTGGAAATTCGTTAGTAATTCTTTATCTTTAATAAGCTGATTACTAGATCTAAGTTGTTGAATAAAGAATACAGCAAATGAAAGAGATTTTTTAATATTCTTTAAACTACTTCCAACATCTGCAGTATAGTTTTTCAAATTGATGTACTTTTTCAATTCAGCAATTTGTTTTCCTACTTGAACAGAAGGTAAGTCTTTTATTCCTTTCTATTAGGAAAATTAGTAATATATATATAGAATATATATGAAAAAATATGAATAATATCTATCAACCTCCTTCCTCAGTTGATAGGCCAAATGATATGATTCGAATAAATTTCTCTGAAAATTTTTCAAAAAGTATACAAGACTTAATTTTGTATTTTGTACAGTTTTCCTATCCAATTTACAATGATTAACCAAATTAAAGTTTAATTTAGCTTGTTTAGCTTTTAAAGGAACAGTTTCAACGAAACTAACAAAGGATAAAGCTGTAAAAGAGATTATTAATATTAATAAATAATATAAATACTTTTATTTCATCATACCTAATAGAATATTCAATTTATTCATGATTGAATATCTTATTTTTGGTCGAGATATGAATTGTTTCAATTCAAAGCTAGCTCTGAAATTCTCTTAGTATTTATATATTTTGTCATCATGGGTAATTGATGTATTTATCAACTGTTATCTTTTTGAATGGAAATGTGGAAAATACATTATTTTTTCAACGTTTCTTAATAAACATAGACATAAAATATGAAATTATAACCATCTTGTTACGATGACGATACAAATTCCTTTCAGAAAGTTTATATCATATAATTCAAAGTGCTTAAGAAGTTAATAAAAGTTCAAGAGGTTTTCGGCTATTAGTAATCATAATACTCTAATTTCTTTTTCTTCAATTGATATACAAATAAACAGCAGAAAGATAAAGAAATAATAAATGCTAATTTATAGGAAAAGTACAATTTATTCATAAAATCATTTGGCTTTTTTTTTTAATAAATGAATTGTTTTTTCGCTTATAAGCGCCATCTAGTTAAACGACGCCATTTTTCATGTTGTTCGAGAATGAATTGTCGTCTAATGACGAATTATCTATAAATCTCCAAAGCGAATGCTTAAGATGGCAAAGATTAAAGGGAGAATTAAATGATGCGGAATTCCTATCATTTCTCTTGAACATGTAAAAGACAAAAAATTAAGACATATTTATAAAAATTGCATATAACTACTGATTAAAAACTTTATGACTGTAAAAATAAATTAATAAAACACAAAAGTTAAATAGACAGACGTAAAGAATATGATATGATCACTAAGAAATATCTAATAATTAACAGGTACGAAACTTTCAAGAAGGACACAACAATCATTGATATAAATGAAGATATGGGAGGAAATATGTCGAAATCAATAGAAAAACATTCAAGAAAACCAGTAATAAAAAAAAATTTAAGGTATTTTCCTATCAAAATAGAATAATTTGCTGATAATTCAACAATTTCATATTTAATATAGAGACATTTATCAAAAGTCAGAACTTTCTCATAATGAATTGGATATCTCTTCTTACAGCGGAAAATTACAGAAAATATTGGATACAAAAAAGACTAGTATGTTTACAATACGTATAATTGTCCTTGAAGTATATTAACTTCCTTTTTTCTCTCATTACCAACCTCTTATAGGCATTCATAATATATCAGTATTTCGATGCGATCTCTGTAGTTTTGCCAATCTCAATAAATCTGAATTTGAGAAACATTTACAAGAATCAAATCATCATTTAACAAGCGTTGAAGACTTTAATTGTAGAAATTTTAAAGTCACGTGTAATATTTGTAATATTGGATGTTTTAATGAGAGAACACTTGTTGCCCATAAACGTAGAAAACACGAATCTTTGGAATTTAGATGTTCTTACGAAGATTGTAAATTCGTCTCTAAGCATAAAGATTCGTTAAAAGCTCACTTGAACTTTCAACACGGGGATAAGAATAAATATGTTTGCTCGTTCTGTGCAAAAGGATTTAAAAGACCAGATCATCTGAGATTGCACGAAAAAACTCATGAACTTAGGGACTCATCGGAAGAAGACAACCGCACCGAAGGAACTCGGACACAGCAAACTAAATGTAATATATGTGACGCAATCTGTAAATCTGAACTGCATAGAATTATACATGAGAAATCTATGCATTCTCTTATGCCGTTCCAAGGCTATTACGTTTGTCCAAAATATCCAGCTTGTCAATTTAAAAGTGAAATGGAATCGTCAGTCGTTTCACACGCTAGAATCAAGTGCTCTAGAAGAGAAGGGGTGCTGAAATTTAAATGTAGATATTGTTCGAAATTGTGCAGTAGCTATAGCGCAAGATTCTCTCACGAAAAACGGCATTTGAGAAAAAAAGATCACAAATGCGATTTATGTCTGAGAGCTTTCCTAACCACTACAGAGCTAACTAGTCACAAGAAGAGTGTTCATAGTGATGTTAGACCTATACCGTGTAAAATTTGCAATCAGACTTTTAAGAAAAGATTCAATCTTAGACGTCACATGCTAAAGCATACTGGCGAGAAGCCTCATAAGTGCATAATTTGTTCGGTTGCCTATGCCGACTCAACTACTTTAAAGAAGCATTGGGAAAAAGAACATAATATTGTCGACGTCAGCTGTCTTAAAGATAAAGAAGAGGTCTTAACAATTTCTCAAGACTTTTAGGAAGAAAATTGTTTTCGTTCTCGTTTAGTGCTGTCCTTGTTTTATTATTTTGCTACATTTAATATATAATCCGTTAAATCAATTTATTATTAATCCAGCTGATAGGTTATTTGTTTTTTCTTGATAAGTGATCTGAGATAGGGTGACGCCATCTATTCATAAAATAGCTTCTCAGGTGGCGTTCGAATCGGACGTCGAGTTAGACGATGCTCACGAAGAATGTCATCTAGAGCTCACAAGAAGTGGGTCCGTTTTGCGACTGTATTGGCTTACGTATTATCAGTGTCTCTAGCAGCAATAGTGCTCGCCATCTACTACAGCCTTGTTTGGGATCCAAATATTACCATTCCAACAACAGTACAGCCTACCCTTGAGCCGGATTTGACCACTAGTTACCCATTGAATAAAGAATGAATATCAAGTAAAAATTTTAATCAAACTATTTTTATTCTATTGAGATATGGATGAGCAGTGAACGTTTTTCATCAAATGATTTTAAACAAACTTTTCAGATGGATAATATAAATTTACTAATATGTCAAAAATATATGTCTTTGTTATAAATTAGTTTCGTTTGTATATATTTTTTTCTCTATTTCTTAGGAAATATTTTTATCAAACACAATTTTTTTTAAGTTAGTCGTCACGTGTTTATGGGCGTATACTGCTATTAAGAGAATCGATGGCAGTCGCTTAAGCTATGATATCCCTATGTGAAATGGTTGCTTTTAACTACTTATACTCGATGCCGGCGAAGAAAAATAATCATTTTAACATCGTGACTGACCAGCCGAGCTTGGCAGTTTGCACGGTAAACTGTAATAAAATACGTTTTGCTATCAGAGAAATAGATTAGAAAGTCCTTATAACGTCTCTCTTATATATTTGTGCACTTTCCATACTAAAACTTAGTATATAAAATCAGTATAAATTAAAAGACAACCAACAAACGTTAAGTAGCAGTTAATGATATCATCTAACATATCTATCAATATCTATAGTAGGCTATCTCGTTAACATATAATAGCGTCTCTCTATAAATACTTACTTAGTCATAGAGCAGCATTTTTACTGCAAAGAAAAAAATCATAAAACGTTAAATTATAAGTTTGTCCGAAAACAAATTTTCCATGCCTCTAAAACCTCATAAATCATAACAAATAATCATCTCACAGACAAGTTCCTTTTATACATATAGCGTTATTATCGAAACAGAATAAAGATTATGAATATTCATTACTAATAAATGTCTACTCCTCGTATATTTCATTCAGCATGAATCTGTATAGGCTATCTTATACATGTCTCCGCTACTTACGGAATTTCCTATTTCTTCAGTTGTTTTCTCGTTTCCTTCAATTTCTTGGTTTTCATCGGCTGAGATAATAAAAATTTTTATTATATAGTCTATAGATTATACATATAAGATACATATATTCTTTATACTATACATATAAGATACAACTGATCTTTAAGAGATAAATAGACACATCTTTAATTTACCTTTTCCATCCTTTAATATCACTTTGCTTTCAGCCTTTTGCTCTGTCTCTTCAGATTCGTTGTCTATTTGACAAAATAATTAAACTATTAAATAAAGGCGTGTAAAATATTTCCCCTAACGTACTATCTGTCGGACTTTCTCTCTCCTCTCTTGACTCTTTCGACGGGTTGTTTGCTCTAGATTCTGGCGATGAATCTGATATTTTATCTGTCGTGTTCTCTAAAATCGTATCAGATGGGATACTTGTTTTATTATCTTCTATAAGGCGCGTATTTTCTTCGGACTCGATTTCCTTAACGTCTGTTTTGTTATCAGTCACTGTTTCTGCTGTTTCTGTAGCCGGATTTGCTGAGGCTACTTCCACTATTGACGCATCTTTTGTTACATCTGCCACATCTGATACAGGCTTCGTCTCTTCATTTGCTGTAGCATTAGCCATTCCATTATCCTTAGCATCGATTATTTTATTTGCCTCTTTATCTGCCGTCTCATCTGCTGTAGCATCAGCTATAGCATCGGGGATTTCATCGCATAAATTCATTTCTTGTTTCTCCATTTCTGCACCCCAATCCGTAACTGGCGTTGGAGTAGTCAATGTCAGAGACTTGGGAGAAGTATCCGTTGATTGACTTTTACTATCAAGTAATTCTCCATCTTTGTTCACTTTTAGAGTATTTTCTTCTATGAATTTATGTAACGAATCAGTGCTATCCGTTACAGCCGAAATCTTCTTCTCTGTAAACAATACATGATTTTGTTTGAGAATTTATTCGCGAAGCGTGTCATTTAACATTCATGGTTTATTATTATGATTATTATTACTACCGTCTTCTGGCCCAGATTCATAGTACGGCTCTGGAGCGTCAATGTAATCGTCTTCGTGGTATTCATCGTCGGGATTTTTATCTCGGACATTAACATCATCAACATTTGGGAAAGGACGTCTTCTCTGACCACGGCTGCGTCCTTCTCCCCTACCTCTTCCTCTTCCTCTTCCACGCCATTGACCAATATTAACCCTGGTCTCACCAGACTCTGGTCTATTCTTTGGGGATCCTCTACGTACTCTACCACGTTGTTGTCGTCTATTTCCACCACTAACTCCTCTTCCTTTGTCAAAATCTTCCCTTCGACCAGTTGAACCACTTGGGCCAGGTTCGAATTCATCAACTTCTACAGCCCCTTCTACTTGTCTTCCACCTCCGTCAGTCGTAATTTTAAAGTTTTTAAATGTTTCGAAATGCGTAGACTTGGGTCTGTTACCATAAGATCCTCGGCCTCTATTACGACTATCAAACTCTCTATTCTCCGATATTTGACTATCTATAAGGGAACAAAGTTTCTTTTAGCTAACGTAAAAAATTTCGATATCAATCGGAGCAAAGAGTTAGTAAGGTTTGCGTAAATAAAACCATGCCTCAAGCAATCTTACCCTATTAATTGATACTGTAAAACCTGATAAAAAGAAATGTAAAAACCCTGGAAAAAGACGAACTAACTGCAAAGTTTAAAGCTTCCGCTGCGGAGCATGCTGAAATATATTTCATGCAAGTATTACCGTCAACCGATTGAATAGCTCCAACTACAATCCGACCTGACCCAATTCTTCCCGCTATCAATTATAGAAAAAAAAGAAAAAACTATTTCGTTTAATCACTATCGCATTACTGTTCTCTACTTTCTTTTTCTCTGACTTATCCTAAGTACAATTATATTAGTTTTAAATTCGTAAGAAAAACAAACCCGGTCTGTGTGGTACAGTCTGCTTAGGCGTTGGTGGTTGAGGATTAATTCTACAGAGAAAAAGATAAGATTGGAATTCTGGACATTTTTCTTTTATATCATCGAAAAATTTGTAGTCAAGATATGCTTACGATTGTTTATCAGTATCCCATTCTCTCTTCCAAAAACCTTTTTCATTCTTTTGTCTGTCTATTCTAGCTCTATCAATTTCTTGTCTATCCAATCGCCATTTTTCATCTTCAGAGTTAACCTAGAAAATAACACTTGTCCAATCGAAGATACTATAAGTTAAAAAAGCATACCCTCTTGGGTCGATCGTGAGTTCTTCTAAAACCTTCGCCACGACCTCTTCCTCGATCACTCGCTTGACCTCTACCCCTACCTCTTCCTCTACTTCTGCCTGAGCCGAAACCTTTTATTCTATCGTCGTCTTCCTCCTTGTATCTTATCTGAGAGACGTTAATGTTAAAATTGACTGCTTGCTGGCGAGCCTCTGCTTGTCGTTTATCTTCTGTTACTTCCTGCAGAAATGTTGCCTTATACAAAAGCTTAAATTTACAGTTATGGCACATACTTTATGTCTTCTTGATATTTCGATATTTTTTAGGCTCGCTATTTTCATCCTCTCATCGATTTCTCTCTCACGCAGCTGCTTCTCTAGACATTGACTGTTCTTGTCATCATTCTTTGCTATTTCAGTGGTTTTTTGCTAACAATAAAAATTGAATATGCTGTAATTATAAAAAGAAAGTAAAAAATGCATTATTTACCTGTTCATACCGTTTTGGAGGCATAGTTTAAAGTGTGGTTTACAGTGAAAATTCGATAGATGTGGTGATTGTCTAACACCCTTCAATTTAAATTAGCTGGTAAAATACCAAAAAAATACGATTAGCTCAAAAAACTTCAAGTGGGTTATTATGATAGCAAATGAGCAGTGGAGCTACCGGATCCAGTTTTGGGGCGCAATTAAGTTTTGGAAAATATTACATATTATTCAAAAGTCTTACCTAGGTCTTATAACCGTAATTGATCTTCAAATTACCACCAAAGAGCTGATAATAAGCACTAAAGTATTCAATTGAGCGATAATAAACCTTATGGAAACTACTTCCGAAAGGCCGTGAAAGGTAATCTGGCGGGAATACGAATTTAAAAAAAATAAACTCTGTATAAAAAAAATAAAGAACTCTTATTTATAAATACATTAGAATCTAACAAATAAGCTGGACGATATTATAATTAAGAGAACAAAAAAAATGTTCTTTTGAAAAAAGATTCGAAATAAAAGTGAAAAAAAGACAATTTTAGATTGAATGTAAGTAGATAATAAATAGAATTATTTAATTAGTAGCTTAGTTATTGTTAAAAATAAAAAAATAGAATAATAAACAAAAAGAAGACTTAAAAATATTGTAGAAGAAATACATTTATACAGAATATATACTTTCACAGTCTATCGATCACCCGAATAAAAAGATACAATATTGATTCGGAATGCGTCAAATTGAAAATTTGCTCGTTGCTCCAATCAATTCTTTATAGAGATAGTAATAGATTATAAGGATAAAATGATTTCCTTTTTGGTTCCAAACGACTGAGCATCATCATAGGACGAGTTAAGAGAGCGAGTGAATATGTGCCTCTTTTCGCAAATAATTTATAAATATATACTGTTTATATACAATTTTTATGATAAAAGACAAAGTAATTTGTAAAATTTATAGGTTAAGACCAAATGGCCTAACTGTTTTCAACAGTCATTGCTCATGTGTGTGAATGTTCCTCTTGTTTTCGCTTAAAAGTTATATATATATCTCAGCGACTGAGCAGTGATGACGTCATTTTGCGTTAAAAAAATCACTTTCTAAATTTTAAACAGTAATATGACTTTTAATCAGTAAAAATTTGTATATTATTATTTAATGTGCAAATATCATATACATATATATTTATATGTATATATATTTGCGTATTATTCACTTCTAAATATAAATGGATTGTAAACAGAATCCCCCCACTAGACGGCAGAGCTTTCCCATAACGACAAGATGGCCGACGTTGGTAAGAAAAAAATTCTAATTTTTAGTTATCCGTGTTTTTTTTTGCCTTCTATTAATTTAAAAATGTTCTAATATTCAAAGAAATATTAAAATTGTTCCATCTTTCTTTATACGTCTTTCTCACTCATTATATTTTAAATAGCGATTATAAAAGATCTCGTTCTTTATCACCGGCACCAAAGAATACTCAATATTTGTTTTGTTTTTTCTGAAAATCCTTATCTTTACCTTATTTTTAGAAGTGAATAAGCCAGCATCTGCTGAAAACGTTACGTCTACGAATGAGGAAGCCCCAGAAGCTAAAACTGAAGTCACTTCTCAACCCGATCCTCCTACTGAGCATGGAATCACAGAAAACGTTCAGGTATGAGTTTTAATTTTCGCTAAACAATTAAGAATTTCTATGAAAATCTGATTTTGATTTTAAATATTTATAGAAAATAATAGAAGGAGAGAAACAAGTAAGTACGGAAGAACTTGCTGCTAAAAAGGCTAAAGTCGATTTGCAATCATTGCCGGCTCGTGCCTACTTAGATCAAACAGTCGTTCCTATTTTATTGCAAGGAATGTCAGCTCTAGTGAAAGAAAGGTATGCACAACTTAAAAAATAATTAGAATTAAAGCAAATTTAATGTTTGTTTAAAATATATATGTAATTGTTATTTCAGACCTCCGAATCCAATTGAATTTTTGGCCGCTTTTTTGATGAAAAACAAAAACCATCATGACCAATAACTTTTTGTGGAAAGATAATTTAATAGTGTAATATTGTTTTTTTTTTCCTTTATTTTTGTAGTTTTTTTGTCAAAAAAAAGAGATAAAAAAGAACATACTTCATATTATTCTCTTCGTCTCATAAGTCATTCATAATTAAATATTAAGTGTCTTAATATATGTATATACATTTTGAGATTTTTTTTCTCGTGTCTTCCTCGTTTGCTTCAACAATGTATTAATGTATTTAAGACAAGTCAAACAAAGAATTAAATTTGTTAAAAACAGAACCAAAGCACACTTTACCACACGATAAGAGAGATATAAATACTGAAAAATACTGTATAACAATAGAATTATATACATTTACTATTTATAAGAGCGTAGTATAATTTCAACAGCAATAGACACAACATGTAGATTATATATCAAGTATATAGAACAGGTACGAAATATGTACAGTATGTTCTATATGCTGTATTTGTTATATATAGCAGATTGGTACAACTTCATAATCGAACTTACTTAATCAAAAAGGAAGACAAAAGTGTAAAAGTTCTCTTTGGAAGAAAATTAATCGGCTCTATCGATCCGATAAAGAGATAGCAGTCCGTCTCTCTCTGTCCCTTTCCTACCTCACCCTTCACCTCACTCTTCCTATCGAATCGTTTTTTATTATTTTCTATAAATATATCATACATGTTGTTCTTTAATAAAAAATGTTTTCAACACATTCTTGAATTATCAATGAAAACGAAAGTACTAAACATTAAAATGGTATTACATCCCCGAAACGTTTTTAGGAAGTATTTTTTGGCCGTAAAAGAGGCCTTATGACTTGAGAAAAAAACGTAGCTTTTCATAGCAAGACAATCTTAACAATTCCTGATCAAATATTCCTTTATGAAGTATACAAAATTTTTCAGACTCTGTTCCTACTTTCAGTATCAAATTAAAAGAAAAGATGTTAATGAATAAAATATTATTATCCATCTTATTACTTTTGAAATTATACTTTCAAACAATTAAGGACTTAGAAAAAGTTATGTATGCTATTTGAGGTATAAAGTACACAGTGTTAATTAATGTTCTTTCTCCATTGATTTAATTAAGAAAATGAAGGAAAAACTATGATTATTATTAATATTATTGAAAAATAATGTTGTTTCTATTCAATTAAGAAGTGAATTTGAAAAAACAAGTTAATGTCTTTCATACATGAAAGAAAATGAATAGAATAATGATTTTGGCAATGAAAAAAGTACTTTTAAATTATTTCGCAAATTTAAATATTGTCAACTATTTATAAAGGAATAACAACAACTGCAATCTTAAATAAATCTTAAGATTCTCCTTTGGAAATTTAAGTCTTAACTTTAAGTATAAAAGACAGCAACTATGAACATGAATTTTATAATTCAAGTTTTTCTGAAAAGAGGAAAAGATGAAATTTCAACAACTATCAATCCTTTGTGTCTTACTTTTTACTTTTGGTACAACTTTTGGCGAGAAAATTTCAATTAATTTATTGAATCCTTGCCAAAGTTCAAATTCAGAAGTTTCAACCAGGATGGCTCTTCCAATAAACGTCTACTATAATATGTTTCGCAACGTTCTATCGACTCAAGATCAAATTGCTCAAAATGTATTAAAGGCAATTGACAAATCTATATTTTCTATCGGATCGGCAAAAAAAGCTCTTGGTTCAGTTCAAGGCAATAAACTATCAAAGGACGAAACGAACATCAACCAAGGGCTTTCTAATTTAAGGAAATCATATGTATTGAATATCTACTATTTTGAGCAAACTCATCTTGGATTGAAAACTTTAAAAGATGATGAAATTGCTGGTCTTAGTAAATCATTTTCTGGTGTTGAATTGAAAACATGGGAATTTGGACTATGCATTCTTGATCAAATTACTCTGGCTAAAAACGCTCCAATTGATTATAACTTTGCAAGAGATATTCAAAATTCTGAGATACATAAGAGGACTCACTGGAATGAAGTTCTAATTGACGGTTATATTGCTGGTTTCCTTTTTAGAGATTTGTCTTCCGCTGCTTTTAACTTCTTGGAGTACATGAAAAATCAAGGCTAAAGAATGAAAAAGATCAGCTCTATATCTTTCACTATCTTGCTTCTCTTTTAAACGAAATATTAATGAAAAATAACTTTTCTGCGTAGTTCAGAGAATAAAGTCTACTATTTTTTATATTTTCTACTTTTTGATATTCAAACTTTTCAAAATACTAAATCCTTTTTATATTCAATACATTTTATATGAAAAAAATGAACAATCTTTTAGAAATAATTTACTAGTACTTTTAAACTTTTAATATTAGAGTGGTTGCAATTCCTTTCCGGATATAGATTCCAGTTTACCAATACGAAATAGATATAATCTTTAACAGATAAAGGGGAAGAATTTTTTAACAATAAAAATACGTATCTAATCGAATTACTGTCAAAGATTGAACATGGGGTCTGGTAAGTTAATATTAATTCGTCGGCGACTATGTAAAGTCAGTTATATTTGATTATTTCGGTTGAAATTATCAATTTAATGGAGTCGCCTAAATTTTTTAATATTGTCCATAAAAATGTTGCAGCTGATGCACAAGCACAGAGTTGAAATATTCTCTATTCAATAGGTTTTCGTATTGCATTAATACAATTGGCAGTTGGTGCTAATAAAATCGAAAATTTGACAAGAGCGGCTAAATTAGTTAAAGAAGCCGCATCTAAAGGAGCCAAATTAATATCGTTACCAGAATGTTGTAATTCACCCTACGGTAATGATTATTTCCCTCAATATGCTGAACCTATTACTGGAGAATCAATTCAAGCATTCTCTAAGATGGCAGCTGACAATAAAATTTATTTAATTGCTGGATCTATTCCGGAAAAAGATGGTGAAAAGTTATTCAACACTTCAACAATCTTTAATCCAAAAGGTGAAATGATAAATAAATATCGTAAAATGCATCTTTTCGATATCGATATACCTGGAAAGATAACATTTCAAGAATCTAAAACCCTCTCTCCTGGAAATGATATTACTGTTGTGGAAACGCCTTTTTGTAAGTTTGGCGTTGGGATATGCTATGATCTAAGATTTCCAGAAATAGCTCAAATTATGGCAAAGAAAAGTTGTCATTTACTCATTTATCCTGGAGCATTCAACATGACCACTGGACCTGCTCACTGGGAATTATTAGCCAGGATGAGAGCCCTGGATAACCAATTATACGTTGCTACAGTCTCTCCTGCAAGGGATAATGATGCATCATACATAGCTTGGGGTCATTCTACGTTATGCTCCCCATGGTATTATCGTTTTAGTTAATCTTTTAATTAATATATTCTATTTGCTGACAAGTTTAAAATTTTCATATTAAAATAGGGGAGAAGTAAAAGCTGTTGCTGGCGCTGACGAAACTATCATTTATGGCGACATAGGTAATCATCACATATGATAGTTTATATTAATTAAATTCTATTTTTCTTATAGATTTAGATTATATCAACCAGATACGAAATCAAATTCCCATATCGAAACAAAGACGTCACGATATTTACGAAGTTAAAGAAAAGTAACGAAAATCTTGAATATGCATTTATTATAGAATTTTCAATGGCATAATCATAAATAAACTTGTAAATAATATATCAAAACTTTTTACGCATCAGTCTTATATCATAAAATAATCTTAACCGCTCTTCATGCCAGTTGTTGTACTTATTGTTTATATTTATGGACTTCGTAAGTGAATTAGGAATAATATTCGTTTATTTTTTGTTACGATAATTTCAATATACGTTGTAACGGCGTTCTCTCTTTCTTACTCTGTCAAATTGGTCATGAAAGCCAATAAGAAAAACATAAATTGTTTATAGATAATCTGCACATATCTGCTATAGCTAACCTCTAACACTTAATATGGAAGAAGCATCGGAATTTGTTTATGCTGCCGTTGTAAATATACCAAAGGACTCGTACCGTTCCGTTGATTTACGTGCTTTCTTTAATGAATTTGTCGAGAATGGACAATTAAGCTGCTTTCATTTTCTACATAGAAGTATACATGGTCACAAGGATCATTGTGTAGCGTTTATTAAAATCTCCTCAAAGTTTTATAAAACATTTGAGAGAGCCTATCATAGTGTGCAGTATTACGATAAACACAATAAACTTAGGGATAGCTTTTGCGTAATTTTACCTTTAAACTACGGAAAAACTTGCCCTGAATTTTCAAGAATATACTCAGTCAACATATCATTAACCACTGGAACAAATTTACAAGATGTAGGTAAAGATGACTTTTTATCGTTTAGAGAATTTAATCCTCCACCTTTATATCCTAATGGAAACGTTGGAACTCCTTCGAAATACTTTAACGACTTAATTGCGGCGTCAAAATTACCGACTAACATTATTAAACGTTTGGAATTAACTACACCTCGTTTAATTAAGAAGTACGCTCGTGTTAGATATGATTATCCGGCAAAGAGAACATCCCGACAGAAAGATGAAGATAACGATGAAACTAACGAGGTAAATAGTCAAGGCGAAAGTACAGACAGCGCTTCTTCGTTTCTCAACATGGAAACTCCTAAAGGATGTCTTCCTGGTGAAAGATTAAGTGAAAGTAAACATATCCGACTCTTACCTGTCTCGTTTAAACTAATTTCCCGTGCCAAGAGCACAAACACGAGAGAAAAACTTTCCGCCGCTCAAGCTTCAATTAGCAGCCATGAAGAAGAAGAAGAAGAAGAAAAACAGAAGATAAAAACCTCTCAATCGGATAGTGAACCAGAAGAAGAATGGGATCGTCGTCTGGCAATATCTGATGATCCAATGAAATTGGAACACAACAAGGAGATAGTCTATGAAAGTCCAATGGAAGTTGTTTGGGAAAAAGGTGGACCCGGTTTGGTATGGCAGACAGATGAAAGCGAACGTAGAAACTATGACTTTGATGAAATTACAACTGACGATTGGGATATGGATATGGCTATTTATAAAAAGGGAACGGAACTTTGTGCTTCAAAAGACGCAATAGATATGGCAGAAATGCGAAAAGAGGCTAAAAATCGTTCAGATGGACCGGAATCAGCTTTTGCAAAACACCGACAAACTTTTCCAAAAAGAATGCTCTCGAAACAAGGTTGGTCTGAAGGCCAGGGTTTAGGTAAAAATAACCAGGGCATTAGCGAAGCACTTTCAGCCGATGGGCAAAGGAATCGGAGAGGACTTGGATATTATGGCGAAAAAGTTATATGGAAGGATAATATTACAAAACCATCAGATAAACCAAAGAAACTTAAACGCAACCCAGAAACCATTCTGATCGCATCAGCTTACGACAATCTATCGGAATTGGATAAAAATCCTGAGGGTGATGAAAGGGCTAGTCATTTGCAAATGAAATATCGTGATGGTGTTCGTTTTCCAAAAACTCCGAAACTTATCTAGGATACAACAAAAATTTAATGAGTAGACAACAATATATAAGATATTTTTCAGAATCTACTGGTGTATGAAGCCATATTACTGTTGCTGGTCGAATTTGAGCTATCTTCAACTGAACATCTAAACAACATGAGTAAAACTTCTTTGTAACCTCTTCGAAAGTTTTTATTTGTTGCTCCGTATATTATACCATTGAGTGAACTGTTTAGGTGAGCCATTTGAACGGCTATGACGTAAGCCGTTCTTGGATAATAATTATTGACATCAATCAGAGTTAGAGTAGCGTACGGACCCCAACAAATTAGAAATGCGGCAAATACTATGAATAAACTGCGAGCAAGAAGAATTTCATTTGTTGATACGCTGGGCTTTTTTCTGCTTAATTCGCCTTCTTTGTTTTTGAATTTGTCAAGTTCTTTTCGAATTCTTACAACATAAAGAAATATGCGAAGATAACAAAAGCAGACGGTCAATAGAGGAGGTAAAATTACAACGCAAACAAAGAAGAGAGTATAAGAATATGTTGTCCGACCATAAATGCACATCATAGCCTTAGGATCAAAACCATGACCTCCCCAACCTATATAATTGGGCATTTCCAATAACATACAAATAATCCATGGAATGATGGCGTATATAATTGTTCGGCGTGTTGTATACCAAGTTAAATAAATCTTATTGTGGGTTATGCAAATGAAACGGTTTATGGCTATAGTCGCAATATTCCACATAGAGCAGGAACAGACAATTAAACAAGAAGAGGCTATCCATGTGCAAAGAATTGGTTTGGTAGCAAACCAATTATAACCAAGTATGAGACCTACCATTGCAAATGGTTGAGTAATTATACAAATGAATAAATCTGCCAAGGCTAAGTTAACAACGAAAATGTTGGCTTTTTTACGAAGATGACTGCAAAGAACAACAGAAAAAATAACCTGCAATTGGAAAAATTTATTTAAAACTGTTTAAACATCCAAAAATATTAACTATGTATTATGTTCCCTTACCAAACTGTTTCCAATAAAACCAGAGCACATTGTTACCACCATAAAAGCCAAGTACAAAATATTTAATTGTAAATGCCTTTTGAAATAATTTTGTTCGTTTGACGAATCATTTTGGTTCGTAAAATTTTGAGAAGTTGATCTTAACGCTTCTAAAACATCCATTCCAGCAGAAAAGTTGAAATTGACAGAAGTTTGCTAATGACATGCATTATAAATATATCCTAAAGCATATATTTACATAATGTTACCTTTTCTCCAACCAGAAACAGTTCTTAATGATGTTTTCATTTTCTTTTCTCTTTCAGAAATACCTGACTTATCTAGAATTGTAATTATATTTGCAGAAGTTTGGGGATTATTCTCAATAAATTATGTTATTTAGTAAGCTTTTAAAGAAAAAACAAAAGGAAATAATCATTTTATAGTTAAAACAAACAAATACTGTTTCAAAGACTCAGGGAAAGACAGCTGAAAGGTTTCTAAGCCAGAAAAAATGTCCTGAATATAGACAGTCTTCCACAAAACAGAATGAATTAAAAATGTTTGATTAGAGATAAAATACTAATATATAAATAAAAGGTTAATATCAGCTAATAAATAGATTCTATATACTGTACATACACAGATATATTGCAGGTGTATGTACGCACAAACAAACTCATATTGCAAGTTTCTTAGGATTTTAGCGCATTTCTTCTGTTTGTAGTCAACTTAAGAACTATGCTTATTAGCTGAGAACAGAGGATTTTCATAAAAATTTTATAGTATCCCCAATATAATCTTCCTGTGTAGGTTTCTAATACTTAAGTTTGCGGGCTATTTGATCTTACTAATAATTAGATTAATTATAAAACAGATAGAACTGCAGGGAAAGGAAATAGTCTCTCCTATCTTCAATTAAAAAATATAATGTTGATTGATAGGACATCGTGTAAATATAAGTCATCCTTTGATAAGAACTAAAATATAATATGAATAAGATTTTGTTCGTATTCAAGAAATGTTTTATAGATTAAATAAATAGATAATTATGAAGCGTTCCAGTTGTTTTTCTTTTTAATACAACTTAAGGAATGTGTTAATATCATCAATTTCTTATCAAGTTTAATGTCGTATTGCCCCTCCCTCTTAACAGTTAGATGAACATCAAATATGTCAAGGGCCAATTTTTCTCAAGTACCTTAATAAACATTGTACACATACTATAAAAACAGCTCTATGGAATTCATATCTTATCTTTATTTAGAAATATTTGAAATATACAGGCCTCATTCTACTGGTCATTTCCTACGTCAATCGATTGCAGGTGTCATTCGATTTTCTATAGATTTACAGGTTAGTTTCTTGTAACGGTATATATAAATTTATACACGTTAGTATTTTACTTGTATAGTTTAATATATATTAAGAGTATAGTACTATATAATGGTATAAGTTGACTTTTTGTGCATTTTATATTAATAAAGGTCGAGAGTAACATTAACGGAAACTTTTTTAAGATATGTATATAAATATTCTACTATGTAAAGAGAGTAAAGGTATTCTCTTTGTTTGTCCTTGATCATACTAATGTTATTATTATATTATTATAGTATTGTAGATTCCTTATTCATTTTGACTCCCCCATACCCTTCAGCCCCCTCTTTTTATTCTGTTTACAATTTACCTTATATAAAGCCAATTCTCGTTTTTGTACCCGAAAATACAACTTCTTTTTGAAAGATTCAAGTAAAAATAGATATTTTTACCCTTTCTTATTCATCTACTATACAGTAATATAGGACAATTAGACACATGTATATATAATTTGAACTTGAATCAATTTGTGGTTAACCAAGTAAGGATATTTATAATCGTTAATAATTACTTAATTCTGTACTGTGTTAACCTCTAGTTAAGGCGGATGTGTGTGCATTGGAAATGATTTGTTATGAAGAGAGAGAATAGATGGTTTCTGTATTTTATATTATATATTTTATATAAGCGTATGCCATGTATTTCATATGACTAGTTTAAGCTATATAAATAAATACCTTATAGACATATATATATATATATATATATATATATTGATAACAGTACGAAAGTACGATATTTTAACTGCTATTTAGGCGAGTTTATGCTTTAACGGCTACTATTTAATGATTTTTTTATAGGATATTTAAATGAACAGATTTTGCAACCATCCAGTTCGTAATCCATATGTTAAACATATGTCCAACCTATATATAATTAATTATAAACCTTTTTTTCCTCCAGTATAGAACATGGCTGATAAAGAGTTTATTGATAGCGCCTTAAAGGCTCATAACGACTACAGGAAGAAGCACTCTGCACCTCCTCTTAAACACAACAAAGAAATCTCGGCAATCGCTCAGAAATGGGCAAACGAATTGGCTAAAAAGGATGCTTTTCAACACAGTCAAGATAGGGAGTACAAGGGTTAGTTAAAATATATCTTGGGTATGTAGTTCACAAGTTTATAATTGTAATTTTTAGGTGGCAAGATGGGAGAGAATATTGCCATGAAGTGGACATCATCTGGCGATGATTATACAGGACCCGAGCCAGTTAGTCAATGGTACGATGAGGTTGAACGCTATAATTATAGTACAGGCTCCGGACCAAGTACTGGCCACTTTACACAAGTTGTATGGGTAGGTAGTAAAGAAGTTGGTTTTGGAAAGGCAAAGAGTTCGAGCGGAAAATGGTTGGTTGTAGCCAATTATTATCCAGCTGGAAATTTTATTGGACAATATAAGGAGAACGTTCTGAAACCAGGTACAAGATCATCTAGTAAAAAAGCTGGTAAATCGAAAAAAGACTGCACAATTATTTAAATACTTTGCATTTTTTATGATCTGAATGATTTGCTATCAATTGTTTATAATTTGAATGTATATATATATATATATATATATATATATATATTTCTCTCTATATCTATAACTATAAAATCATATATAATTTGCATAATTGATTGATAATTAAATCAGCTTTTGGAAGAGATATAAAGGCAAAAAAAGACACAGCTTGATCATTCACTGCTTACTTGCACACGAATCTATATATCCTATCTTCATTGTCTGTAATGGCGTAGGTTAATGTCTTCTATAGTATCTATATACATGTAGATATATTTCTCCAATGTACTTTGTTTGTTTATATCAATTACCGCTCTAAACTAGTCATTTTGCGAATAGCAAAGAGGTATTACAGTTTATTATTACCGTTATTTATTGTTATTAATATCATTGCTTGAAACTCGTGCCGAATAGGCCTTTTGTTGACACAACTCAAATGTGGGTTATGATTAACCTTATATAATAAGCAGAAAAATTGATGTATTATCGCCATTTTTTTCGACAAAAGAAATAACAAAAGAAAGTCATAAAATTTGGAAATTTAAAAAGTTTGTTAAAGAATTAAGAGGAAAGGAGAAAGGGAGATAGCAGGGAGAGAGTTGAAAGAGCAACAAAGTAAGGGAGAGAGCCGAGGGAAGGGAGAAAGAGAGAAAGAGAAAAAAAAAGATATTAACAATTAAATTATTAAAAGATAGTTAAGCTTCTATTTTCTGGATAACAAACAAGTACAGAAAAGTATAAATAATAATTATATATATATACATATGTATATATATATATGTAACATATATATATATATATACAGTATATATATATGTATATATATGTTAGAACATTATGGCTAAAGTCTACGAGTCGTCTGCACTAGGTATGTAAATTTTTGTTTGTTTGATGAACAGCTTGCTATGGCATTTTTATTGCTTTTTACTTGAAGTATATTCTATTATTTCGTATATTTTTTCATATTACATTAATATTAGAACTTCTCTTTATACATATATATATATATATATATATATGTTCTTTTTCGAATTTCTTCTACTAACACCGATAAAGGATCGTTACCACCTTCGAAATCGAATGATTCTAGTTCGAAAGAAGATGATCTTGATAATATGCGTAAAGAAGCGGAAAAGGTTATGGCTTATAAAACCGATTCGCAAGCGCAACCAGTCGTGAGTATTATAAATAAATCACCTTTCTTACCCTATTCATTGTCAAATATTTTCACATAAAGTCGTAACCCTCTGAATAATGAACTTGCAGAATTCTAAATCTAAGAAAACAACAACGGAAACGACTATCAAAGACGGTAAGAAAATTACTAAACAAATCATCGAAGAAACTATTGTTGGACCTGATGGAAAAGAGAGAACGACCAGAAGAGAGATAATTAGCACTGAAGCCGAAAATGAACAGGAAGCCAAAAAGAAGAATGAAGGAGTAAGCGTCTTAGACTCATATTTTTGTTTGTTGATTATTTTATATAGGAAGTATATGTTTGTTGGTTTTTTCATAATCTTTCCTTCTTAGTTTTTTGCTAAGCTACTGAAAAAGGACCAATCTGGAAGTGATAAACCAAAACCTCAACAAAAATTGAGTGCCTTTATCGATGACGTCGTTAAAACTCACAACAAGTGTAGAAAACAACACGGCTGTCCTGATATAAAGCAGAACAAAGAAATAAGTGTACTAGCTCAGACTTGGGCGGACAACTTGGCTAAAACAGGGGACTTGAAACATTCGAATCATACCTATAAGGGTGACCAATTGGGTGAAAATGTCGCAACAAAATGGAGTTCTGTTGGTGGCGATTACAACGGACAAGAAGTAACAGATCAATGGTATAAAGAAAAAGAGAAATTTGACTTCGCTGACCCTAAATTTGCACCTGGAACTGGACACTTTTCACAAATTGTTTGGAAGGGAACTAAAGAAATCGGAGTTGGGAGATCGTACACAACTGATGGAAGAGTATTCGTTGTTTGTAACTACTATCCAGCTGGTAACGTAATAGGGAGATTTCAAGAAAATGTTCCAAAAGGAAAATAGATGATTTATCTCTTATATTTTTATCATTATGTAGATGCTTTCCTTTCTCTTTCTTACTTTCTATTAGTTTAACAGCAAATCTGGAAAATATGTTCTCAAATTGTAGAAGAAGCTATAGTGATAGATTTATGAATATTCATAAGCAATAAAATAAAACTAGATGAGAAACACGTATAAACTATTAATTATAACTTTTCTTTGTACTTTTTTTACGGGGATTGTGTTATCCTATAGAATCACGTCGACAGGTTGAGTCGAGTGCTAAATAGATAAGGCGTATATGTATTCTCTTCAGTCGCTTTAACGCTTTATTACCTAATATAAATAAATTTAATTGCTTTATACATAAAAAGTATTAAAATAGTTAAATATTAACTTTAAATAAAAGAGAGAGAGAGAGAGAGAGAGAGAGAGAAGAGATGAGCAAGAAATTAAATAGAATAAAGATATTGTTAATCAACAACGCTTTTGAAAGGCATAGCTAAGTGTTAAATCCTCTTATAATAATTTAAAGAAAACATATAAAAACAAGACTAAAATCACTGAAATTCTTCAATTAATTCGTTTTATTACCATATTAGAATATTTTAGAGATAAGTTCAGATATAATATTAAAAGACTTTCTCGAACTTTGAACGTTACTATCTTTAAAATCGTTGTTTAATAAAGAAATATAATAAATTCCAATATATTTAGCCAATAGTTCAAACTTTTCTACACTTTCTCTATCATTCTTTGGCATTAGTTGAATGAATATTGTTTTTTTTCTCAATAGAATTATATACGGCCATTCTTTACCCGTAAAATCGAATAGTACATCCGTTTTACATAAAATATCAAATTGTTCGTCTAATGGCTGTTTATTCCTTAAAATCTTGAAAATATTTGTATTCTTCTCTTTCAATTTAATATAATTAATAATTTCTTGGTCTTGTGTACAGTTGGAAATGTGGCTTTTTGCGTTAGTTAAACAATTATCATGCTGTATAAAAGTTATATTAATGTGTCTGTCTTTTGTTGTACTTTCCTTTCTATAGTTATTATATGGCATATTAAGGAAACGCTGAAAGCCGTCTAATTCCGGTAGGGGAAAGTTTTTTAGTGGTTTTTTACTAATGTCTCGTAACCAGGCTATTCTATAAAATCTTGAATATTTTGATAAATACATAGGTTCAATTATCATATTGAATAGATTCTTCCAAATGTTATCATACTTTGTTGTTGGATTATTGTCTATAAACAAGATGTTAACGAATTTTCGGTCGACGGACAGGAAAGTCAGAGTAAGGAATATATTATACAATTCTTCGATACAGCTGAAAACATTCTCCACATCTCTTCTCTTGATGATTAGCGTTAATTTCTTGAATCTTAAATGGGGAATCCTTTTTAAAGATACCGATAACGAATTTTTAACAAATTTAACCATTTTCCACAACTTGTTTACGCTGGATTGATGAGATAAATTAAGAAGAGCAGGACTGTCTGAATCATCACAGTATATGTTAATAATACCCTGTAGGTCTTCGGTAACGGAATAATTCCTTAATACAGTGATGTTTTTCATTAATATCCATTCGTTATTATAAGATTTCACTTTTGAGGAACAATAATCTTTTTCGTTCCGTCTCCAGGCTTCATGAAAAGTATTGATTGAGATATTTACAAAATCAGCGTACTCTATCCTCTGATATGTCCTTCTTGATATTAGAGATTTGTAATTCCTTGAAAGAATAAGAATTATCTCTAGATGAATACAAACAATAAGTCCGAATAGAATACGTTGCCTAAGACTTAATTTTGCTTTCATGTTCCTTTTTAAACGATGAAAGTGAATGGTAGAAGATAAAGATGACTAATCGTAGCAAAGCCTTTTTCTCTTACATATAGTACACTATATTCTGTAGTCTCTATCTTGAGAAACATGATCAAGGATGCATGTTCTGTAAATGTTCAACTATGCTAAACACATAATATAAAAATTCAATAAAATACCATATGTTATGTAGAAAATGTTCATAAATTTGAATTTACTGTTTCTTACTATTTACCAAATAAACTGCAATATTCAATGGAAATAGAACAATTAAGTATTTTTGAGTATTATCTATCAAACAATTTGCAAGTTTTAGAGAAGAGATAACTTAAATAAACTATAAAACAGTAATATACGATCTATATTTGCTACATTCTATAAAACTTAATAGAAATATTAATACTGTATATTAAAGAGACGGCGAAAAAACTGAAGGAGTATTTCATGTTAAATTATACGAGATTTCATTTCCAAGAAAAGGTCATTAATATTGTAACTTTTAATATGATTATTAATTTCAATGTGTTATCTTAAAGATGTAGGCGTATTAACTTCTTTAACACACCTACGCTCTATTAACTATATATATATATATACACTAATTTATACAGTATATATTTATATATATATACATGTTGCTATTTAAATAAAAGTTTCAAAAGCTCTCTAGATAAGATTACAAACAATTGCTTTAGTTTCTTTTCTTCTTATCATTATCTTTACTTAGCTAAATGTTGGTTATTAACTGCTCTTTGATTATAGAAAAACTATTACGATAGTTAACGTTTTTAAGTAACATGCGTCTCTTACTGTTCTTCTCTTCTGTATTAGGTATATAATAATTTAATATCCTATAGTTTCAATTTATAATTAATCTTTCTTTATAGTCATTAATGTATTGCTCAATCTTTTAAATAACCTTGTTACTACAGCTGTTGGATGTTTCCCGAGTTTAAGGATAATTGGAGGTAGAACGTCAGAGCCGGGTAAATGGCCTTGGATTATAGCATTAGATATTGAAAATAATGGGAAAAAAGTGTTTTGCGGTGGATCGTTAGTAACAGAAAGCTGGGTTTTAACGGCTGCTCATTGCGTAAAAGGAATACCGTAAGTTAATGACATTTTATCACTGAACAATCCTATTATAGAGACTTTTGGATAAATATTGAATATATACAGATATATAATTTATATTGTATATATAGATATCAACCTTATGCACGCGTTGGGGCGTTTAATACTTCGGATAATGACGAAATACAAAGGATTAAAGTCCAAAGAATTATTATTGTTGGTAATTTCCCTTTTGTTTCGTGCGTATTTTAGTAAACGTTATGTTTTTATTTTGAATATTAAGCATGAGAATTATACTGGCAACCGTCAAAATGGAAATGATTTGGCCCTATTAGAGCTCAGCGAACCAGCAAATGTTAGTCATTCTTTCATAGAACCAATTTTATTGGCGAATGCCAAAGAAAGAACGGACATCCAATGCTATATTGTTGGTTGGGGTCGTTTTAACCTTGAAGAAAGGCTTTATAGCGACGTCCTACTTGAAAGAAAAATAGATTTATTAAACAACACGGAATGTCAGAGACGGTGGAATGATTCCTTATTTAGGCCACGTGTAAATCAATCCAACATTTGCGTTGATGACGAAAATGGGTCTGTCAGCTCATGTGATGGAGATTCCGGTAGTCCTCTACACTGTTGGAATGGTGGCTCTTGGAGATTATATGGAGTGGCATCGTGGGGTTCTAGAGCTTGTTACCATTATCCAGCAGTCTATTCGCGAATTTCTTGGTTTGCAAATTGGGTATATGGAACGCTGATAAAATATTCTGAATGAGATACGCTCCTCATAAAAAAATATTAAAAAAATAACACGCCAACACCTACACACTGAGATATAAAAAATTTAAAAAAAAGATAAGAAAATGATCATTCTTGTTTAATCATATTTTGTATTCAATCTTCCATGTTCAGTGAAATATTATTATTTATTATCTTTAACGTTGAATTTGTGCATTTTGTGGTATGTTTAATTCTGTTTCGTCATTTTCATTTGATCCAACTTGAGCGGAGTTTGACGGTTGACTATTACCGCCACCGGCTCCTTGATTTTGATTATTCTGTTGTCCACTATCAGATAAAATTCGTCCAAGATTCTGTAAATTAACTCCTCTTGCAGATACGACTTTATCATCATCAGACCCCGAACCTAAGTCCGAGCCTGAGCCAGATCCAGAATTCGAAACGCTGTGCATATACAGAAAATATGAAAATATTGCATAATTTTCTATACTAATGATTTCCTAATTTATTTAATTTATTGTTGTTTTTTCCTATTGAGAATTGATTTTATAAAAGATAATTTTGTTTACATCTGACATTCTGCAACCACAAGAACGACCAAGATGAGAAAAGTCGAAAATTTCAGGAAGCGGTTCATCTCTCACCATCCGACTAATTGAGCAAAATTTCCCAAGGCTTTTATACAAAAGGCGTCATTTGTTCAATAAATTCGCTTCTATTGAATTTTTAATCTACGGTTGATACTTAACATGTGTAAGCGATTAGCAAAATTAATATAATTTCGCAGTTAATTTCGCTTATTTATTTGTTATAAAGACGATACAACGACCTTATGTTATAGTATTTTATATATATATATATATATATATATATTTGTATATATATATATAAATATACATATATCTGTAAAGAGAAAGAGATATATAATTTTAATAAGCAAACATATAGCAAGTTTTGTCAGATTCTTTGTAGGATAAAACTGCAGAAAACGACATTTTACCATGGATAATAATTATGACATATGGTTTCTGTAGAGTAAATATACCAATATATAAATATAAATTAAGAGATATTGTTAAAATAGGTTTTAACAAGCACGAAAATAACGTTAATTGTTGATAAGATAATCCTTGTTAAGAGTAGAAAAGATATTCTTGTACAAATAAGGTTTTCAATTTTACCATTAGGGTTATTTGCATTGATTACAACAATAAACGTACTCGCTAAAAGTTGGTTATTACCGAAACTTTCCTGAGCTTAAGCCAAAAATACAACTAGGGCTGATAGGTAGTAAAACAACTCCATTCACTCTCTGATCCTCTTAATACTTCCATTGTTTGTAGGAATTCCTTTCCAGAAAATCCTCCAACTGCGTAAATGCAATCGCCAACAACAGCGACTCCAAGATTTGTTCTGGCTTGGTTCAAGTTTGGTCCCATAGACCAAGTATTGGTTTTCATATCGTATATCTCAACGGAAGTTAGAGAATCTTTACCATCGGATCCTCCAACAACATATAATTTATCCCCGAGGACGGTTGCTCCTGCCCCTCTTCTCGGAGTACTCAAAGGGGCAACCATCTCCCAGTTTGCTTCCCGTTCATCGTATACCTCAACAGCGTGTAGACAGCTCCAATTATTGGTGCCACCTGCGGCAATTATCCTACCATTTAAGGTAGTAACGGCCGCTTGCGATCTTCCAACGTTCATTGATCTCATTGGTGTCCATCTACATTCGGCTGGCTTGTACATCTCACAATCGACTAGACCTTGATAGGCCCACCCACCAATTACACACACCGAATCTTGAAGGGCAGTAACCCCGGCAAACAGCCTACTATGAATCATAGTTGGCAAGAATCTCCATTTGTTTGCAGATAGATCGAAAACTTCAGCAGAATCCAGCTCTCGATTTCCGTTCGAACCTCCACAAGCATATAGGCAGCCGTTCAACAGTGCCACATTAAATCTGGCTCTTGCGGACAGCATATTCGGCATTGCTGTCCAAATATTTTTAGAGACATCATATATCTCGCCAGAATCCAAACAGAAAGCTCTATCGTATCCACCAATAGCAGCTAGTCGACCCTCATCCAAATGAATAACGCCAACACCCGACCTGGCTGTTTGCATGTTACTCAACGGAATGAAAGAGTATGGTTGCTTTAGCTGCTTTCTCGAACTGCTATTGGAGATAAGAGATGTGTCACTATCCGATCCACTTTCTTTCCTGCCAGTTTTAGGTTTGGCAACATCATATTTGATGGAAATTCTACACGTTTCGTCGTTTATATCAGCCAAAAACACGCAATGATTTTCTGTAAAAGGATCAAATAGTGAATATAACAAACTGAAAAATGTCTTTTGTCATACCTGAAACTTGTCGAACAGCAATAATCTCCCCCCCTTCTTCTTTTCCATTGGTTAGTGAAGGCCTATCCGATCTGATTTGAGCTTTAGTCTGTTTACATTATATAAAATTATATTAAATAAATTCTTGCATAATACAACTAGCGTCATCTTTAGAGTAGGTAACGCAATTCCTACCTTCCATTTTTTTGAGCTCGCTTTGAAATCAATAACAGCATCGATTGTAGCGATCTCATCATCATCTTGTAATTGTTTGACATCTTTAAGCTCTTTTTCATCAGTAATACATAATAAATATTCAGTTTCCAGAACTGTAGAAGCCTTGAGCCATTCTAGAACCAATTGCCCAAGGCTTTTCATTTCGTCCTCACCCAACAGAGAGTCATTACCCAGAACGACTATTTGAATTGTCTCTACGTGTGATTCGGAGAGAACTTCCTCAATATTTTCCTGAATGTAGTGCTTCGTTTGTGAAGCTAGACCCGGATCTGATAACTGTTTCGCAAATTGTCTGACATCTGCATTGGAGAAAAAACATAAGATCTGTTTCACGTCACGAAGAAATCGACTTACCTATGCATGACGACGTTGTTAAATGTGTAGCCAAGAATTTCGAACACGCTTCGGCTGCGGATTGCATTTGAAGTTGTATAGCGGCTTTGTAAACGGGTACGACATCGTCAGTCTCGACTTCTAGTCGATAGGTGTAAGCGTAATCCAAAAGATATTGAAATGCTACTGAATCTACGTCATTAAGGACGTAATGCGATAAATTTGGATCTGACTGGAACAAATCGTACAACTTCTTACTAGCAGCAGCTAGTATAAGTTTATGAGCGGGATAGGTTCTGTTTTGTATTTCAATGGTTACGTCGCTCATTATTTCAGCTTTAAAAGCTGTTTTCAAAAAGTTAAAAAGCGCTTCCTTGTTACGACTATCGTCGTATTCCATGGTGCTCCTTGGAGGCTCTGTATTAGCGTCAAAAGAACCTGTTTCTGCTGCTTCCTCGTCTGCGTAATATGAAGTTGAAACGACAGAATTAATCTAACAATAGTACCTGAACTATAGCACGAAACGCCGTTATTCAGGTAGGCCATTTTGTTTGTTTTTCTTGCAAACTAACTGAATCCCAATTCCATATACCAATTGGACCTGATCAACTGTGAAGCCAAAGTTGTTCTAATAGTTGTTCCAGCAAACTGCAAGGTCAGGTGACTTAGGTTAAAATACGTTCAAACAAATCATTGGTTCGCCAACTTATTAAAGCTATCGATATATCGATCTGTCTACGTGATTTTCATGTCGAACAGTACGGCACGCCATCAGCTACTTCTTATATTTATGCCTGATAAATAATTTTAGCCAGACGTGGCCAATGGGTCATAGACAGGTCGTTTGATTAAGCGTCTTCGAATTTAGGTCACCTATCTTTTATTAATAAAAACAAATAAGGCACGAAAATATATACAGGAATAATTCAATGAAAGGTATTTATGTAACCAGGGATAATAATCCTTCCTATTTAATATTATTCTTTGTTAGCTTTTGAAAGTAAGACTGGAAAACGGACCACTAATCAATACCAACCTGTTTAAACGGAAAACATGATTTCGTCAACATTTCAGCGTGTTTTCTGTAAAATTCTAGACAAGCAGGCTTATAGATTGGAATTATAGCAGGGAATAACTATACGTCATTCCTGTATGAACCAATCAAGACTCTGCTTTCATATGGCGCGAAAATTTGCATTAGGTCTTCAGCGCCATCTAACAGGGGGATTTCCGATGTCGATCAGAAATATGGTAAAGTCTAGAATTTACTAGAATGGCAATGCGTTGTCTATCGCTACTTTCGTATTCCTTATGTTTCTTTAACAAAACTGATAAAAGAGATAGACACCTCGACATTCAGATAAACGATTTGATAATAGTCTATATTTATTCGTCCCCGAAATCGATCTTTGAATTGCATCTTATTTTACTAAAAGAATGTTGAAAACAAGAAAAAAACACAGTCGAAAAATAAGCAGTTAACATAAAATAGAGCGATATTGTAACAAAGGTCGGGGCTACTGATTTATCCAACATGGGATAGTAGATAGTACACTGAGCGCTTTATTTATAAACCTATACACTTAAGATACATGTACATATATAGATATATACAGTATACAGTATATATGAAGAAACATTCTTTTACTTTTACATTATTACTGCTTTAAATATTTGACCGAAAAAGCAAAGCTTATTTATAAATATAGACAAATTATGTTTACTGTCCTAAAAACAATAATAACAGGTATACAACACGTGAGGCTTAACGATGAAACGATACACTTATATTCCTATTATGAATAATTATATAGCGCAATGTAATATATTACCTTATTAAAAAGTTTCTTTAGATGACAATGTTACGTTTTCTATATAATAGAGTCTAGCACGTAACCTATTTTCAGCTGTTTTCGGCCAAACTATGACATATCACAGTTATATTTTAGTTTAGAGTACGAATGAGCCAATGAACGATTTGCTTTTAAGGAAATAGTTACTAAGACACAAATTATCCATGTTTAAGTTTTTTGAACGATAAGAATTCCTTATTTCTATATATTGAGTCATTGTTAGCGGAGGTTATATTTTTCGAAGAAAATATTAATAAAAAAAACTTTTCCCGCCACAATTCAAGTCATACGGCACACTTTCAAGTAATAATTTATATCGAAATAGTAGAAGATATGGCAGTAATAATAATAAGAAAAATAATAAAATTTAACGTCAATTTTTATTCTATATGCGAGTTTTGTATTTCATTATATCAATCACGCATTGAATAGACCAGTTTATTATATTAGTTAACTTTCATTTACATAGTATTTTCAATGGTATATATACTGTATATATAGGTTGAGTGATTAATAAAATTTTACAAAAAACAACAATGTTACCAAAAAATCTTTAACAATTTAACGAGCTTACACAGTAGCTTTTGTTGTCGTCATCAAGCAGAGGAAGACGATGTGTGGTGCCGCTCGATTTATTTTCTAGTTTTTGCTTTGACCTTTGTATTTTTTATTCTCTTTTTTACGTCCCCCGAAGAATTTTTTATCTTTTTTGCATCTTTTTTAATATTAGTTTTCGATTTTGAAGCCTCCTTCTGTTTCTGAATCATAGATTTGTTATATAGTGATCCACTACATCTGTGTAAACAAAGTACTAAAATACCTTTACTGCTCTCTGTACTCGTATCTTCCGACCTTGACAATCAGAACCATCTAATTTTAGAGCTAATTCGACCGATGATTTGTCATTGAATAAAATATAGCCAAATCCTTTCCCCATTCCGGTCTTCCTATCACGAATAATTCTAACGTTCAATATCTGGCCACAATCTTGAAACGTATCTCTCACTGTTTCTTCCTTAACATCTGAAAATATAAATCAAATTTTATAGCTATTTTAGACGATTCTAAATATGTAAAACTAACCAAATGGTAACGCCCCAATGAATACCGAGTGTTTATTATCATGCTGTATTGGATAAAAAATGTGTTAATATATATATTCTAATAAATAGTATATAGTATGAATAAAACTGGTATATAAAAATATTTCTGTGTTTATGTTTATTTATATCTTTGACATTGAAACGCTTAGATTCTGAAATTTCCCACCTGCTTCTTACAACTGGTGTCTATTCTTAATTGATGATTCTTCAAAATTGTAGTATTTCTGAAGGGAATGATTAATTCTTGAAATACGCTACAAAAACTGCGAAATAACACTGACTTACAATTTTAAAGCTGTAGGAATACTTTCTTCATTTTCGAATACAATATAGGCGTTTAAGCTATCTCTTTTCTCATTTATTTTCCGACTGTAAAGAAAGATTAACTTTAACTATCATACTATTAACTCTATAATTATTTACTTGATTGCCGCTGCTTTCTTTGGTAATTTCGGATTTTCTGGGATCTATATAAAAAAAATATCGATTGTAGAGTTTTCCCTTATCGTTAAGTAAACTAACTAACAGCACATCTGTATCGTATACTTTCAACTTTCCCACATTTCCTGAAGAGCTTCTTTAATTCCTAAATTTAATTAAAAATCAATTAGATAAAAATTTCAGGTAAATAATAAAGTTCTCTCCATTTACTTTTTTATCAACGTCCTTGGGTATGTTACCAACGAAGACTGTACGCTTTTCTTGATCTGCGTTCCTTCTTTTTTTTAGCTGACGATCTCTTCGTGGTCTTTTAACATTTTTGTCATCTACTGCGTTTATTTCATCTTTATTCACAGTTTTCTTTTCCTCTTTTGCTGGTATTTTTTTCAATTTTAACCTATCAGGTTTTGAGAATAGGGACGACAGCTTATTATTTTTAGAGGTACCACCATTTCCACTAAGGATATTCGAGATAGCCCCTTCGACATATTCAGACATTTTGAAATGATATGATGTATATGATTCAAGTTATATATTAGTTTATATTAATTTGAATAGTGTTAATTGTTTACTATCGAACAAATTCAAAACGTAACGTTTTAGTTGGATTGGCCTTTGTTCTTAGACGTTATAAAGAAAATTATGTCGGTTAACAGAGTTTCATGCTTCCATGTGGGCAACCTTAGTGCAGACGACAAAATAGGGTTATCAGGTCAGGTTACGAGTTCGGTGATCAACCATGAACTAACGGAAACGCGTAGGAACACTTCAGCTTAATTTTTTTTTAGATACTCGAGGATTCCTGTTCCGCAACAAAAAATCTATTAATACATTCGTATTTGAATAGCGAACAGTTTTTCTTTTTCTACGCAATCGAACATAATTCTATAAATTTTCAACAAATTCGACCAACCTTGGAAAAAATTGATTAAAAAGCCTATCCCGCATCCGATAGTACAAAAAAGAGAGCACCAAAATGAACCCTATTATAAACTTATATATACAAAAGCCATTTTGTTGTCAGTTCTTTGATGGAACCTATCTGTTATGTGAATAAGTACTTCATATAACTATTAGTATTTAATGACCACAGTGTCCATGTTATAATTTGTTCCACTCTACGAAATTCGAACATTCTACCAACCAAATTAAATTTATTCTGTAAACTAAAATGTTCTCTGTTAACTTAATAAAAGAATGTATTGTTTTTTTTTGTTTATATTCAAATTGTTTAGGTAAAATTTAAATTGTATAAAAGAAAAACTAAAATAATACATGTTTATATGTACACTTATAAATTTGTTTAACAGCTCTTCAATTACAATGCACAACCAATCCGAAATTTATCAATAGTATGAATTTTTTATTCATAAAGGGTTCAGATACTGTAAGAGAATGTTTTGAAAATATTTCAACGGATAATTATTCTATTTCCTTTTAGTTAATTCGATGTCGAATTTCCAAGGAAGGGCTGTCGAACAGGGAACAAATGAAACAAATGAAACAATACTTTATTTTAAACCTTTTACCCGAGATTGAGTTTTATAATACAACTCAAAAGTGGACTTTGCAATTCCTGCATAGAGAAACAGTTCAATATAAGATCTTTTTTTAATAATATGAAAAAAAAATCATTAAGTTTTCTCTTGCTTAGGATATTGATAAGGATTTAGCTTGGGAACTAAGACTAAACAGGAAAAAGATCACTTGGAAAGCCCTATGTAAAATTTTACAATTAAGCTCAATTTTATCACAATCATTAGATTAAAACAACTGTCTCTTCTCGTTTGTTCTATAGCCTTAATAAAAACGACATTTCATACGAAAGTATCGATAAGAATTAAGGGATTAGAAGAGCTAGAACTTAAAACGTCTATTCTTGATTTATCTACCGGTAAGAGTAACGTTCTTATTTCATTAAGCAATTCCTTATATAAACTTATTTCTAATCTGACATTATAGAACCTCTTGCTGTAAAAACAATTGGGTCTAAAGAGGAAATACAAGATAATTTTAAATTTTACCCTGATTTCTTTTATTATTCTACAAGTCCCTGTTCAAACGATATTGCCCTTTTCTGGATCAAAGGTGAGCGAATGTCAATTTTAATCCTACGAATTCTTTCAAGTTAATTTTGTCTAGATAATTTTATTGGATTAACTTTATCGTCATTCTATCAAAGGAAAATATATAGAGGAAATTTTTTGTGCACTCTTTTCAAGCTACGTTAGTGTGCTATAACATTAATTGATTGATTGGCATTGTCCTTTTTTATTTAATAAGCATACTGCAATACAGGGTCACCTTGCAAAGATCTACTGATATTGGATTTGAGGTTGACTAGAGACTGTATTTTGTTAGTGACAAACAAAGGAATTGTTGCTAGCGAAAATCTTGAAACATATAATGAGCATTTTAAATATTCTATAGTTTTCAAATTTAAGGTAAAGTTGGTTACATTTTTACATAATGTACATATTATACTGTAAATTTTTTCTTAAATATATTAGAAAGATGCTCTCTCTTGCCGTATAGGGTATTTATCATCATGCTTTTGGAGTACTGTTGACAAACAATCAGCTGAATATGCCACCTGCTTATGCAAATTTGAAAATAATGTTTCAAAAATGTACATTTCCGACAAACCATTTAGAATATGGACTCTTTTACAACTATCAGATAAAACAGTCAATCAAACGTTAGACATTTATCCAGATTTGTTTCGCAGTGCCGTGTTACATCTACTTAAAGACATAGTTAGTTTTGCACTTAAAAGAATTTTTTCTTGTTAACGACAAATGTATTTCAGCAAGGAAATACTATTCTATCAATCCATCCTAATAATCACCAATTGGGAGACTCAACAGTATTTAATATGGATTTTTACTTTGGTTGCTTGAAGTTGTTTTATCGCCCTTTTTCCATTACAGAATGAAGTAAATGAGACATTATATTATTTATTAAAAGATGCTGATGTTGAAAGAATATTTATTCATCCTTTTTCATATATCATATTTTTATATGGAAAACAAGTAACGAAACTGAATAATTTACAGTCTCTGACTGAGCGATTAATTGATTTGTTCTAATAGATTTGGTACTCGGAAGATGGTTCTTTAACATTCCATCTTTTATATAGTTCGAATTCTTCAATTCGTCATATTTCCTCTCAAATTCTTACAGGAAATACAATTTTTATGTTTGAGAATGGCCAAGTTGTTTACTATCGAACAGGTAATTTAATCAAATTGATTTCTTTCCATAAAACATTCCAAATATTTCAGGCGCTGAAGAGATTTTCAGATTTAGAACGAAATTTTACAAAGATTTATTACATTTTAGCCAGTCTGATAGTTTATATAAATTATCGTTTCCATATTTGACAATAACCCCCGTTGATCTAAGTTCTGAAATTCAGGTGAAGGTTATATATTTTGATTTATCAAGGTCATTCAAATAACCTACTCTTTAGAAAAACTCCAAAGTTGAATGCCCTCTTCATATTGGCTCCGGTCTAAATTTCACGGAAAGTGTTATAGAAATGGATTTGTTAGATAACGTTAGAACTTCAATACTCGTTCCGTCCAATACATTACGTTTGTAGCCAATAACATATAATCTAGTTGTCAGCGTATAATTTAAAAATATTGTAGCTAGATTTAAGATCGCTCCATATCCGCTAATTAATTCTATTATATTTAATACCGAAACTTATTATAAATACAAGAAATTAGATATTCGGCTATCACCTTCCGGAAAGTCAAAAGTATATTTTTCAATTAAGGAATTCCATGAGATATTTCTCTATTCTTTTGTTTATATATTAATTTCTATAGGGAACAACCGTTCTTAGAATAATTCAATCAGATACGCCAATTAACTGTGAAACTATTAGTCTAATCTATTTCATTAACGTTGGCTGTCCATCGTTTAGTACACTCAACTTCCATTATACTGTGAGCTCAACGGATGATGATTTGTATGAAGCGGAAGAATTTTTACAGACACATGACACTGATTCATTTGTTGAATTGCCGGTATATACGTATTTTAAATTGTATCTGAAGAAAGATAAATGAATACTGTAATTTCGACATATCCTATTTGCTCTACAAAAATATTCTTCACTTTGTTGAATGTAGAAGAACTACAGACCGCCGTCTTTGTATGGTACAGATTTTGCTGTTTCTACAAATATTTATAATGCAGATCCTGCATCAACAATCCACGATGATAGGGGTTATATATCAGATATGGTAATTAGTCTATTGCTAAAAAAAATTTATATTTACTGACTAAGATATACCCTCTTTGACCTTAGCGAATTGCGTTCTTCAAGCAATGTGCAGGTAAAAAAATAAGGGAACATTGCGGCTGCACGAAAGACATGATTGCATCGACCTCTGTTGAGAACAGCGATTGCCGTGAGCGTGTTTTCCGCGTAAAGAAACGAAGCGGAGAATCAGCAAGGCTAATTCTAAATTTAACTTATTATAGGCCTAGTTCAGGTTCTACTCTAAAACTAATAGAACCATTTATGGTCAAAATTGAAGAGATAAATAACAGACCATTTACATTAGACGGTATTGTATTATTTATGATTATACTTTATTGACAACTAAAATAAATTTGAAGATTATGCTATCAATCTGTTTTTTATCTAAAGATGAGTCAATTAACCGGGAGTATTTATTTTTGAAAAACATCGGAAATAGCGATAATATCCGAAACCGGCCTACAGCAAGAATAGTTACGGCTTCCAATACTATAATAATGATGGATAGAATGGAACTTTATCACTTTCGAATAACACTTTTAAATCAACAGACGTTTTGCAGGCTCTCAACCGAAGTACAAGTTTTCGTTCAACCACCTCCTATTAGTTTACTTGAGGAAAATATTGTTAAATTTACGGCAACAATCTTGTTCGGACTGTTAATGAGCACGTTGTATATATTGCAGTTGTTTGAGAGGAAAAAAGCCAAAAGTAGAGGAATTGGTCCACAATGCCCTGATCCTCAAGATTTGAGAGAATATCATGGACGTCACAGAAAGTATTGCCCTCCTTCTTTTTATATTCTTAGAGGAATTAGAAAAGTTGATAAAATCTCGAACGGTGATAGTAAATGATTATGACATTAGAAGAGGTAAATGATTGAATGGGGATATAGGTTTTGACGATTCCACATTGTCTAATAGTCCTTTATGTATTTATTATATACAGTTTTCATTATAATCTGTATGAATTATATCTACTGTTGATCGAAAAACTTGCAGACTTCAGCGAATATTTCATCAACAGTTCCGTCAGCTTTAACTTCCAAGGTCTTCCCTTGTTTTGCGTAATGATCAATGGTAGGTTGCGTTAATTGGTGAAAGGTGTTCAATCTTTTCTTTATAGTCTCCTCGTTGTCATCAACTCTACCGCTCGTTTCACCCCTCTTCAATAGCCTTTGTACCATAATGTCATCATTAACATTAAAATAAATAACATTCTTCACTTCTTTGATTTCTTTCTCAAAACGTAAACCTTGATCGAGTTCTCTGGGATAACCATCAATAAGAAAACCTTTGGGATTTTCAGCTTTACGCATTGCCTCTCCTATCAACTGTTGATGGAAAAAAAGTCAGTAGATTTAAGTGCATGTTACACAAATGGAAGAATTTCAAAGCCCTACCTGCAAGACAATATCAAGAGAGACAAGTTCACCCCTTTCCATTATTTGAGTTAGTTCTTCACCTCTTTGCGAACCAGATTTGACTTCGCTCCTTAATAAATCACCAGATGATAAATGACAAAAACCATATTTTTCGACTAATTTGTCACATTGGGTTCCCTTACCACTTCCGGGACCACCAAGTACGAAATAAACATTTGCTGTTGAAAATAATTGAAAAAAATTATGCAACTTTGTTTAACATCTGAAATTTAGAGTGAAATTTTGCTGATTGAGTAATTTAATAAGCTAAGATCTTGATGTGAGAAATAAATCTAATGCTAGATAATAAAAAAGCGACTAGATAAAGGTAGAAAACAGGAACTTTAAGTGTCTAGCTATATGAAAGACCTTCTATTTCCTTTGGTGGTTCTGCTTCTTTTAATGATAATTCATTCAATTCTTTGGTATAGTCTGTGTTGCCTTTGTCACCTAACTTTGATTCAACTTCTTTTTTAATATTCTGCTCTACAGGTATGTTGTCAAGCTCTGCGCTATAAATTGGATTAGCAATATTATCGCCAGTTTTATCTTTAGTCTCCTTCTTGATTAAAGATTCTTCCTTAGATGTTTTCCCACCTTAGATCGCAAACACAATAAAAGCAAACAAGGCACACAATGAATGTTTTGACATGCTTAATTTAACAATTTAAAGGCCTATTCGAGTAAAAAATTTGTGAACCTAGTAGGATTTTACGTCATAAACAAAATTTTACTCGAAAGCGCCATTTATAGTGTGATGTATTATACATATACAAATATATATATAACATCTAATAGCTACTCACCAGAGATGGACTGAAACAAATAAATCAATTTTTAATAATCTACTCAAATGGATTATGAAATAATGATATCGTAAAATAATAATATTAAGCTTACAGCCATAGTATTTACTGGTCACACGAATATAGTATACTGTACGCAAACTATCGATCCACCCAACCTACAGATTCTACAGTGCAAAACTCTGAGGTGCAGTACAAATTTATCTCAGCGCTCATTCGTTGCGATTGACCTTATACATATTTATGATAGCCTATTTTTGATGGGATCCAAAAATATATCTACGTGAAAAGTATTGAATTCCTTATTTATAGAAAACAGTAACTACCTTTTTGAAAACAAATACAGCATATATATTATATAGTATGGTATATATACTCATACATAGACAAGTATATACATAAAGGAATAATAAATTTGATCTTTTATTCCTTTATACGTAACAATTTACCTCTATAAAGGAATCGCTTATATATTTTCTATCATTTGTTATTTTTTTTATTTATTTTTAAGTAGGTTAACATTCTCTCTATCTCGTGCTTCTTTTCTCCTACGTAATTATAGATATTAACCTAATACATTAGAGACAATGTTTACTTACATCTGTATCGCTTTTTTCTGTTTCTGATGGATTTATTGCTGTAACGTTGTTAAATACTGTTTGCACATCTGAGAAAATTTGGTCCGAGGATGAATTCAATCCGTCAATCTTAGTGAAAAAATTAGATTTAATTGTTATAAGTTTAATTAATAAAATAGAATCAGGAAAGAGAGAGAGAAAGAGAAAGAGAGATTCTCTTCTTCTCTTTTCAATACTTACAACAGTCAATTTCCCACAGTCGTCTAAATAAGGTAAAATTGGTAATGTTTGGTGCTTGAATATATTTATCCTGCGATTTGCAATCTCCTTCTCTTCATTTGTTTCACAATTCTTTTCTAAGTTGTCTCTCATTGTTTTTTCATCAATATCGACAAGAATAACGTGTTTTATACCACCGATTTTGACATTTAGGTCATCAATTTGCTTCTCATTCCGTGGAAAACCCACTATAAGAATTAATTGTGAATCTTTAAGTTCTTTTAGACGGTTAGATAACAAATCAAAGGCAGTTTCCTATAAAAATTGCATTAGCTGTATTAAATCAAAGTGAGTTTGCTGTATGAATCTCTTACATCGGAGATTAATTGGCCGCTTTTAACTTTATCTGCTTCATCGATCCACTTTATCTCAGAATGAACTTGTATTTCTGAGCGGATTAATTCTCCCATATTCACAAGACTAATTGACGGATGGTTACTTATAAGACGTTCACATAACTGTTTTATTCCACTTCCAGGACCACCTAAAACAATTATAATGGGACATTGAGGCAGATCCTTTGTCCTCCCTGTATCTACTGTTGTAATAACTGCAGGAAGTTTAAAGTCCGATTGTGGTCGTTCTTCTTTACTTTCAATATTTGATGTTGAACTTTCTACATCTTTGGGAATTGCTGGTGGGTGAGGCACATGTGAACCTAAGAGAATATCGAAGAAAAAAATTAGAATAATGTCCTATTTAAACGTGTATATACTGTATATATTATCTGTTATCGAGACTATTATCAATTTTTAACAATAAATATTATAACAAACCTGATGCGATAATACTTGAATCAAAGTTTACTGCTAAATCATTAAGTATGGCATCTTTTTCTCGATCACAATCGCATTCAATCTTTTCATGAATAAAAATATATTGTTAATAGGAAAAGCATCCGTATTTTAGACATACCACAATAAGTTTATTTTGATCATCGTAATGTTTCAATACCACTAAAGTATTTCCCATAAAAACACTTAATTTTTTCAATCCAGTATTTTCATTATTATCTATTCTACTGGAATCTTCATGTCTTTTTTTCAGTGCATCTCTCAGGAAAGTTTCTTCAAAATCCAGAAGGAAGATTGCATCAACTCTACCAATCTATAAAACAAATAAAAATTACATGAAACTAATTAATTGTAGTTGTTACAAAGATAATGAAGCTTCTATTTACATTTTTGTCATATTCTTCAATCTGTTCTATAGTTCTTGGATAGCCTTCGATTAATATTCCTTTTGCATCCATATTTTGAGAGAGAGTATCTTTCAATGTTTGCATTACTAAACCCTAAATCGCATTACACCACAAAAGTCTCAATTAAAAAAAATTCAAGTATATTAGCTGATAATGGAACTTTACCTGAGGTGCTAATTCACCTTCCTGTACTAATGTTTTTGCCCTCTTCCATTCGTCATTCTCGTCAGCAAAGTTTTTAATATTCTCTCTAATTAATTCCCCAACCGAAATGCGAATCCATCCTGAGTAGCGTTCGAGTAGCATGTTTGAATATTCGCCTTTGTTACTCCCTGGGGCTCCTGTGAATGTCGTGGGCGAGTAAGAATTAGGTTTAAGACGAAAGCTTTTTCCCTACAGTATAAATAAATACTAACCACAAATAAAAACTATGGGGCAATTAGGTATTTTATCGCTTATTGGAGGAAGTACGGTGGACTTTACCATATTGCTGGATTCTGTTTATATATTTATTCAATTTTTTACTCATGTACAAGAAATTACTATAAAAAAAATTACCAGTTATAAAACTTGGATCACGGGACCTAAAATCATTTTGCGGTGTGACTGATCCGATTGGCGGCAAAACACGTCTTGCCGACCGACGTTGATGTTCAATGAAAATGTTCCATTTTAGTTGTTCTATTCCAATTTTTTTTGCTTTTTGCAAACATTCGAGTAGATAGTCTATATGATCTTGCGGTCTATTATACATTAGACCAGTCATTAGACACTGAAAGTTTATATTTTGAAAATTATAAACTGCTGACGTTTGAAAATAACGATAAAGCTAGTATTAATTTGGCATATTTTACCTCAAATAATTGAGGAATATCCCTTTGTGAAAGATATTCTTTAGCATCAACTGTCGTAGTCATAGCGAATTGTTTTCAATGAAATCCTCTAAAATAAGCGTTATGCTTTTTTCACATACACATCACCGATTGTATTCGACTTGTCGTCTTGGCGACAGGTTGGCGCGCCCAGTTCCGTTTTAAAAATACAGATGGCGTTAAAAGAGTAACGATATTCGAAAAAAACTTTTTGAACAATAAATGAAACAGTTTCAAAATAGACATTTTTTATTAATTTTATTTCTCATATTTTAAATTTCATTTTATTGACAAATTTGTAAAAAATAAAACAAAAAACCCGCATAAGTCGTCCTCTCATTAATATTCATGAGGTCGGAGCTATTGAATAAACATAAGCTGTGACGCACCGCACGGGCGCCATTTTGAGTTGTTAAGATGGCGTCAGTAGGATCAGAAGTAGAAATACAGGAAAATTCGGATATGCAAATTCAAGAAGTTGAGGTTGATAGTTTACCGGTAGAAATACCTATTGAAGCAGTAGAACCGAATGAGGAAGGAATTCAGATACCACTAGAGCCTCTACCCGAAGCACATGAGGAAGTTGTATTAGCAAATCGCGAAGAAGTAGTCACCGATCCCAACCTAATTTATGTACCCGTCGAAAGTGTAGACGCTATAAATATACCGATACCGCATTTAGGAGTGAGTGAAGATGGTAACTCAAACGTTAATCGGAAAGGAAAAGCAAAGAAACGCCTTCAAAAACCCAAATATCCGACGGTAACTAGTGCAGAACTCGTCGACGCGAATGCAATAAGTACGCGTAAATGGGAACAAAAACAAGTTCAAATAAAGACTCTGGATGGTGAATTCTCCGTAACTATGTGGGCTTCAGGTGGTTTTCTGTTGATTTCTTAACTAAAATTTAGATATTTTATAAGTAACAAATGCGCTTATTATATATGCGCAGTAAAGTAGGTCAACAGACGTTCGATACGATGACGTCATAGCACTACGTTCACCTGTGTTCTTAAGTTATCGCTGTTTTTCGGGAGATTTTCATTTTCCATGATCCGTTTCAGTATCACTTTTAATTGTTTGTCCGCCGTACACGCTCTACATGGGCGCAGCCATGTTTTATATGGCGGATTTTTAGCAAGATGGTGGAATGACGCCATTTTATATTCAAAAATCTATTTTTAGATCATGGCCGTTGGCGCGCTTTTTTATCGATCGCTTTTTCGTTCAGCAAGTTGTACGGAATAATTAATATTAGATAGAGCGCGTAGCAACTCGAACAAACACCAATATCAACCAGTCAGGGAAACCATATATCTAATTTTTTAAAAAGGAACCCTAATCAACCTCTTAAGTATCAGGTGTACCAACTGATTTCACCTGGGAACCATGTTTAATGTCTTTTTATTAGGTCATCCATTAAACGTAAAAGCTAATCAAAGTTTAAAATGTTACACTCGCCTTTACCAATTTTTTCATATTTTAGATGCCAATTCCGGTGGTCCACTCGTAATACAATCTAACATCAGTAAGTTAAGATACCTTTGTGTTGCTTACAAAGTTGACACGAATTGCTAATCTCAGATGATGACGATAAGCGAGCTATTCAACCGACATTAGTAGGAACTGTTGAAGAAGTAACGACGTCTTCCTTAAACACAAGTGAGGCTGACTTCACAGAGTATATGACCGGTAAAAAATTGCCACCCGGCGGTATTCCTGGTATGGATCTAAGTGATCCAAAGCAACTTGCCGAATTCGCGAAGTAAACCACAAAATTTTACAGTGTATTGATAAAGTACTAAAAAAAGCGTTCCCCTGAACAGGATTAAACCTAGAAAAACAAACGACGATGTACCAAGAACAGTTCCTTGCCCTCACAAAGGCTGTAATAAAATGTTCCGAGATAATTCTGCTATGAGGAAGCATTTACATACCCATGGACCCCGTGTACATGTTTGCGCGGAGTGTGGAAAAGCCTTTGTAGAAAGTTCAAAACTTAAACGACATCAATTAGTTCATACCGGGGAAAAACCTTTCCAATGTACATTTGAAGGTTGTGGGAAGAGGTTTTCCCTGGACTTCAATTTAAGAACACATGTTCGAATACATACTGGAGATCGACCGTATGTATGTCCATTTGATGGATGCAGTAAGAAATTCGCCCAATCGACTAATCTCAAGTCTCATATTCTCACTCATGCTAAAGCTAATCGAAATCAGGCGCATCAATTTCAACTACATCAAATCGCCGCTTCTCAAGCAGCTTTTGCTCTTGCGACGCAGGATTGAATGAGAACGTAGCGAGAAATCGTGACGGATTAATTTTATATATTATATATCGTGGAGTTAAATAACAAGGTTCTATCTGCAAAAGTAATCTTTTTAAGAAATGACAGTTAAAGTTATTGTAGTGTGTAAATACGATTTCATACACATATGATAAACTATGATATTTATTTATAGGTTAAATAACAAAAAAATAACAAATTATATTGCATGAGTATTTTGTAATTAAATTTTCGACGGAAGTCTCAACAACCCTTTTAAATTTGATAAATGTATGATTTATCTCATTTATTTATAAAGGTAATTATTTTTTTATGAGAATAATTCTTCAACTGGAGTCATTTGTTGCAGGGTAGTGTAAAAAAGTTTTTGCCTTAAAATATTTGCTTACTAATCGACAAAATTCTATTTCAGAATAGGTTTTTTTTAAAAAAGGAAGTGAATACTTGTTTAAGAGTATACTTTCCTTATTATAATCCAGAAAACGAATTCTTGTTGCTAAAGGTTTTTCTTGTATGTTGATATGTTTCTGTTAAAAAATTCCAAAGAATTTGAATCAATTTCTTGAATTTCGAGAAAAAGTATTGCCGAAATTGTTATTAATGTGAAAAACTGTCTGTTACTTTATATATCTAAATATATATGTATATATATATATATATATATATTTAGATATAAAATGCATATTAAAGATTTATTAATATGTATTTATATACAACGTTTTATTTTTTTTTTTAATTGGTAATTTTCTAGTCGCTTGTGGGAGATCTAAAAAATCGAATAATTCTTGAGAATTTTTCATTTAAAAAAGCTAATAAAACTTAAGCGAATTTCTTAACCACCGAAAAAATTTACCCTAATGAGTATTTTGCAGTAAACAAATTCTTAACAATCATCAGCTCTTAAGAGTAAAGAACAACAAAGCATTATTTTCTAAGAATAGAATAATTTATGTTTTGGAAAAGAGTCCCTTTTTACTTCTCCGATTTTCTTTCGTGTGTGGCTTTTAATATGATTATGCTCTTATGACAAGAATTCGATAATGGAAAACCTATTCTAACTCCTGTCGACAAATAATCGTATGAAACTATATCGTTCCTCTTAAAATCATGATGATACCAAACAAAATCTGTGTTTTAACGAAGCTCTATAAATCGAACATTTATTTAAAAGAAAAGAAAAAAAAATGTTCTGCTGATTAACTATTGATTTCGAGTCTTCGCATTTTAATGGTTCTTTTTGATTTTACAGATAGAACTTTGTTATTTATTTCTAGTTTAAAGAACACTTTTTTTTGTTTTGTTTTTTTGTTTTGTTCTTTTTTTCACTTTTTTACCTTAAATGTCATTATATCAATCTTTTGTTTGTCTTGCGTCGATTTTTAAGTCAGTTCATTAATTATCTGATAGAACCTTGTCTTTCTAGCTCTATTTCTCTTAAAAAGAACATACGTATATGTTTTTGTCAGCGTGTATACTCTTTCATGTGTTAGGTTTCCTAAGAAGAGAAACGTTTGTTTCATTTGTTACATACCAAGCAGAAGATGAAAAAAAAATAATCAAATTACTTATTTCCTAGATTATTTGAACTGCTCAAATGTGCTTGGTTTTACTGTATATAAATATATTTATGTATATACCATCATAACTGCTGTTGCGTGAAAAATATCTCATCATTTTGTACAGCCATCTCCTCTATACAGATTGCATACTTCCACTTATATCTGTTTGTATTGTAATATTGTACATAGATAACCTATATTACATTGATATATTTATATATCATACAAAAGAACATTCATAAAAGATGCTTTATTTCTATATCGAAATGGGAAACAATATAAGATAGTTATTAATTAGCAACCTTGTTCCTAAACATACCTGATTTACTTACATAGTAAATAAACTTTGAGTAACTGCACTTGGCTTAGTTCAGCTATTATCCAGATGAAAAAAAGAAAAGAAAATCTTGGAGGCGCCATCTGTCATATTTCAAAAATATGAAAATGTTCATTATATCTCATTTTCGAAATATAAACTCGATAATTTACATCGTAACATTACCTTTCGAAGGAGTTCATTGAACGACTCCAACCGCTAATAGTACTACCTGACTATGTAATAGGAGTTTTCATTTTAAATATTTTTATATATAGTATAGTAGAAAGAATAGAAATTATAGGAAAGTAAATGAAATCCAATATTGACGTTTAAAGGAGAGTAAGACTAATTTATCGAAATTACTTTTGAAGTACTTTTAAAGAAAATTTTAATGCTAAAGGAAAAATTTAATAATTATACGAATAGGCGAAAGACTTATAAAAAGAGGACATAATTTCCAACTTTTGCTTTATAATTGTAATAATTGATGCGTATTGCGAAAAAATTTATCATTATACTTTTTCCTATGGTTAATTAACCTACGACGTATGTTAGAGGGACCCTAGCACGCACATAAAATCGAATAGAGGCCTAGGGTGACGTTTGCAGCGTCATTCGACATCCGGCCGTCAGTTACGTTACACTAGAGGCTCATTCATGTACAAATATGGGCCAGAGTTCTAGTCGCAGTCAGTTAACACCGAATCAAATTCGCAAGCCATCAATGACATCACCAATAGACGCCGAAGATAAACGTCTGGAAGAGCTAAGGGATATAGAAAGGCCAAAATTGTATCTAAATCAGATTGAATTGATTAGCAGTAGCTGGAAGATGGCAGAATCAGATATTGAGAAAGTTGGTGTGGTAATGTTCATACAGTAAGTCGATGCGAATACCCTTTTCGCTTTCTTCTAATAAGATTGTGACGATTATTCTATCAGTTTACACCATTTGCACATGTAAAAAAATAATAACAAAAGTCAGTTATACCTGTTTGCCATGTATGTTGTTTGCTTATATATATATATATATATATATATATATATTAGTATATTGTATATATTGCCAAAGCAAATTAATTTTAATAAGCCTTAACGAGGACAAAAAATTAAAAAAAAAAATACAAATATCAAATAGAAAAAGAGAAAATAACTAAAAAAAAAATACAATCAGCCGTCGTTTGGGAGAGTGTGCAAGAGTAATAAAGAATTTTCTGTTTTGTTGTAAAACTAATTGCTGCTCCTAGACAATTTTCGCTCCTCTTACTAAGCGAAATACGTACAGCGAATCATTTTCCAAATTCAACAGTATGTCCCTTATTTTTTTTCTTTTTTTTATTTACGTTTTCTACTTTTAATATAACTATTATCATTATAGGATTACATTACGGATTATTTCGATTAATTTTATTAGGCTTTTCGAAACTCATCCCGATGTTAGAGACACATTTACGCCATTTAGAGGACTACCAGCTTCAGAATTACAGTATAGCTCTATACTGAAAGGTACAGTACGTTTCTTTCTGTTATCTATTAGAATTTTCCAACAAAAAGTTTGATTTAAAGAAGAATTTTTCCTTATTCAAAAGTTAATTAAGAGAAAACCTTACTAATAAGCTAGTATATATATGACAAAACACAATTTTTCTAATATATAAATGGCATCCTTTTTTTTTAGTCTAGCGCGCCATCTTTCGTTCTTGAAAGGAGTTATTTCATATGCCAATTTCCCTTTCTGATCTATACTTTTATTAGTCGTTTAAATTATACTTAAGCAATTTTTTTGTTATAGCTCACGCTCTACGAGTTATGGGAACAGTTGAAAAAGTTCTGGCAAGAATCGACCAAAGACCTAAGCTAATAGCAATGCTTCACGACCTAGGCAGGAAACATGCCACCTACAAAGCGAAAAGAGAATACTTTGATGTTCGCAACTTTATATGACAAATGAGAAGGAAGAATTAATCAGCTTTCTTTTACACAGCTAATTGGGCCACAATTCCTCTTCGCCATCCGACCGTCGATCGAGAGCATTTGGAGTGATGAATTAGAAGAAGCGTGGCTGACTTTGTTCCGTTTCGTCACACATGTCATGCGCGAAGTAATTTACGATTAAACAGTCATGCCTCGCCAGGTGGCGATAGTTGTATTTTCATAACGTGCGTTCTAACTCTGACACTAAGCCCTTAGTCCTTCTCTTTCTCTCTTCGCCTGAAAAATCTTCCTTGTTAGATACCGTTTTAGAAGGATAAACTAGCCACAAGGAATTTTTGTAAGCTCTACTATGAGTTACTGTTTTATAAATACGTCAGTTTAAATAAAATCATAACAGAGTGTGCTACTACCGAAACCTACTGTATACAATGTAAGTCACTTTAGTTTTACTCTTATTCTTCTCAAACATTTCTGCTTTTAAATCAATCCTTTCCGATTTTATCATGCAAACCCCTCTGCTTTTCTTTGTGAATAGAGGGCACCAACACCGTTTTTGGAGACTACTCCGCTTTTCCTAATACAAGATTCAGTTTCTTTTCGATCGTAATATTTTCCTTTTGAATTACTGTTAAAAAGAAATGAGGAATGGGTAACTACATCAATACTCCTAACTCCTCCGATGAAAAAGTACCATCTTTTAATAAAAAGCCTACGTTTACCGAGGATGATAAGCGTTTGGTAGAATCTACCTGGACTCATCTACAAAAAGACGTCTCCAAGGTTGGCGTGGTAACATTTATCGGGTAAGAGATACATTTTAGGTTTCTTTCAACAGAAAGTTTTTTACAATCTCCTCTCTATTCCATATATATTATTACACATCTGAAGCTTTTACATTTTCACCTTAATTCGTTCTAATTAAGGAAAACGGCGAACAAGGATCCTAGATATTGCAAATTTTGTATGCAATTAAAAGAATTAGGAGCTCTGCCAAAGATCCTCCTAAGGGTAGTTTATTATCCTAAAGTAATGGAAATACTAATAATCACAGTAGCGAGTATGACAACAATGCCAATGGCATTAACTTTTTTTCAAGATTATGCTGGAGAGATGTAAAGAGAACGAGTGATAGTGAAAAGAAGAAAACGAAGAGAGAGAGAGGGGGAGAGAGAGATATAAGGGCAATGAACGGAAGAAAAAAAAACTAACAGAAACCTTTATAATTAATTTTGTACGGCAGAAGGCATAAACAGCTGTAAGGCCAGTTAGTTTGCTTTTTCCCTCTCTTTTTTCCCAAATATCACAAGGATTTTGAAAAAGTTACTTGGTTTAGCAAAGAGATAGGGCATTATGATTTTATTTATATACATTTACCAGTGAGTTTAATAGATCATTGCGTGTCTAGAGATAGAATAAAAGTGAATTAATACGACACATTTGTTCTTTCGTTATTAAGAATAAATCAGTTATTAGAAAATTCAAGCAATCTACTAAAAAAAAAAACCTATTCGATGATTTTCTCTTCTGTATACATGGATTTCCTTACATTTCCCTTCTTTTTCCTCCAATCTATCTTATTCACTTACTTATTCACTCAGCTATTCTTTTCTTCTTCTTTTTTTCCTTCATCATATCTTTGTTCCATTATGCATTTATTTTCAGAATTATTAATCAAGAAATTTACAAGATGAAATATCTAACAAACTGCTGAGTCTTGTAAAAAAAAAACCTATATAGATTAGACATATGACATGTACTGTGTCTATCTTAATTTGAAGGCTATAAGTTACCTTATTTTTTTCCTTCACTTCCGTTTTCAACCACTTCTGTAGTGATTAGGATTTTTTTTTTTGGTTAAAATGTAACCCTTTAGGGACTTTCGTTCATCGATAGAGGATTGATTCATCTAGTTTAGTTGATTAACGACGTTTTAGTTTAGGCGGAGAACACAGATGGTACAAGACTCCAGAGATCATTCTCTCTATGACTGAAAATGAATGCGTCTTTTCACTGTCAAGATTTGATATACATTTTTAATTGATGTATTATATATTTTAGAGGCAGAATTTATTTATACGAAAGTGTAAATATTGTACATAAGCATATTTGCTTATATGTATAATGTACTTAATATATTATACATTACATATACATTGAATTATTTCGTATATATACGTATGACTTGGATATTCTATCTTTACTATTAAGGCAGGGTTTATATTTATATATAAATTTATATAATTTATATATACTGTATTTATATATATATTAGAATTTGAGCGTATTTTGTACAAGGCGACTAAATTATCGAATAATTACAGACTATTCGAAACTCATCCGGAAACCAAGGATGTTTTTTTAGCATTTAAAAATATCGCTCCTCGCCAATTGGAGGAGAATGCTGAACTCAGGGCACACGGTCTAAGAGTTATGGGTACCGTTGAAAAATTTCTCGCAAGAATCAATAATGAAGAAAGATTGAGATCTCTATTACACGATTTGGGTCGAAGACATGCATCATATAATGCTGAAGCGAAATTTATACCAGTTCGTATCAATTACGTAATAATGTACGAATAGACAATCTGATTTATTGGCAGATGATGGGTAATGCTTTTATAACTGCTATAAAACCGTATTTAGAAGAGCATTGGAATGAAGACGTGGATAGAGCCTGGCATTCCCTCTTTAGTCTTTTATCCTATTACATGACGGAGGGTATGATAGAAGGATCTTCCTAAAAAAAGAAAATTTTTTCTTAACTTTTTTATTCATTGGCAATTAATAAAAATCGAGCCATTAACAAAACGTGATCAGAAGAAATACAAGCGTTCGGTAATCGTCCCCAATCATTCATCTCTCCAACGGTGGGCAATCTCAAAGTACTTAACAATTGCAGATTACCCTCGATGGAGGCCAAAAATTCTTTTCCATGCTCCTTCTTTCGTTTTTTCTCGGCAACATTGTAAAAAATATAATCAACTGTTTGATTTGTTAGACGATGAGAAGTTGTTGCTTCCATCACTTTTCCACCTCTTTCGTTTCTTATGAGATGTCGGTAAGCGGATTTCAAGTTTAAATGGTGTTTTAACAATCCTGAATCTTGGACGTACATTGAACTCTCATCGTTAGAAAAGCAACATTGGTCAGTTATATTTAGGCGCTTAGAAATAAAATCTCTGCCTAATTGGGGTTTTAACGAAAAAGAATTACGTTGCTCATCTTGACCTGATAACGTTTTCGTTTCAACATGATCAACCTCTAATCTTCCCTTATCAATGAAATTATATATGTTACTGAATGGAACAGCATTAAAATCCCCACACAAGATAATTGGATATCTTCTTCTATCACGGGTCATGAATTCAATCTCAGCCAATAGAATCATTAGTTGGGCCAATTTGATATCTCCTCTCCGAGGATTATACAGTAAATGAGTGTTTGCCACGCATAACCGACTCCTGAATTTTTCATTAGTGCTTTCTAACATGACTATAATGGCAATGTTATCCCTGTCCATGACAGAATCATCCGATACTCGGTTAAATTCTATCAACTTATGATTTATCATTCTGAAAAGCGATCTTCTCCAAAAAGTTGCACAACCGTCTTGCTTGTCATTCGTCCTCTTTTTAAACAAACTGTCATAGCCGAGCCTTTCTATTTCCGGTTTGAAGAAGCTTTCGTAGTGTTGTGCATTTACTTCTTGCAGGCATAATATCTGTGAAAGTGTGTTTTATTACAAAAAATAAATAATAATGATTATTTTGTGGTTCGTTAAGCGTATAGACAACGCAGATTAAGCAATAAGCCTTACATCAGATCGCCTATAAGACAGTTCTTCGATGAGTTTATTTCGTCTATAATCCCACGACAACATCCAATCTTCACAATGTTTATATAAATATCTGTTATCCTAAGATAATGTTTTTGATTAATCAATAAAGTAAACGTATGGAAAAAATTGTCGTAAATGTTTTTCTCTGTTTTTTTTTTACCTCTAGAAGATTTTGGGCTAAAAGATTATAAGAAGCAATCGAAAAATCTATAAACTGCTGAGCCTTCTTATATTTGATTTTTTCATTAAAGTTAATCACTTTGTGCCATCGACGATTTTTAAACTTGAAATCTATTCGTTAAAGTTCATTACTGTATGAAATATTATAAGAATGACATTAATTACTATGATTCATTTGTATAGCATCATCATGATGTGTCGATAGAGCTGAGCAATCTTCTTGACTTGTTTCACCCGCAATAGTTCCACCTGAAAATCCTGTAGTCAACTTAGAGGAATTTACCGTTCGTTCTTTGGTCCTTTTCACCTTTGATTCGTCAGATTTTAATCTTGTCCTCTTAATTTGAACTTTAGAGTCTGTAGATGATTTTCTTGAGGATGAAGTTGGATTGTTTTGTTGAATATTTGTACTCGTTTTCCTTTCATTGTTTGCCTCTGTCTGCAGTTGTCTATATCTAACAAACGCTGAAGGTTGGAAAGCTGGAGGTCTGAAAATCGGCTGGCCTAATACTTGTTGTGGATTTTTTATTCTGAAAGGCTGAAATCTTGGTCGGAAGAGACTGTCTGAGTTAGTATTATGAAAGGGCATTCTCTTCATTTTACTGATAATATTATTCAATCGCATTAGAGTAAAGCTGAAATAGCGCTATTTAAGGGATGCTCTATCGTTTAATTAACTATTCTACACTCACATTATTTGTTTAATGTTTGCATCAAATAGTATTTTTTTCTATTTATTACGGCTATGATGAAACACTGAAATTTGGAATCACCAGACACGGCATGTTCGTAGAAAATTACGAAAATACTGATATAGATAATAAAACGCCATCTGCTAACCATTTCATAAACTAATGTTATATATTATAATAGGAAATATAAGAGTCTAATATTAGGTTATATGTCGACTAATATAATAAACTAATTTCAAGACTCTAGGGAAAAAGTTTTAATGCTTTTATTCGATCATAAATTATCTATATTTTAGTCTTTTATTAACTTAACCTTTAAGTTTTCCCTCTGAAATCGGACATCGTTCCTAGTAATATCTTCACAGAAGAAACTATTTCGATAATAACTTTATTCTCTTTATGACTTTTCTTCATCAAGCTTCTTATTTATTGACTTTGTTAAATGAAGATGCTGAATAAAATAAGGCATTTATCTAAGCAATTAACAAGACTCCATTGTCACCGTCAAGCAGCCTCTCTTGCTACTTTATCTTACACTGAATATGGAAAACCCTCGAAAAACCCTCCTATTTTCATATTCCACGGTAATTATTAGGAATGCGTAGATATCAATCTATAATTACATCTGCTCATTTATTATCGTTTATCTCAACACTCAATATTTATTTCATTATTGTTTTATTATACAAATAAAGGTTTATTCGGATCTAAAAGAAATTGGACGTCTATATCAAAGAAACTAATTGAAAACAACGATAGGCATGTGTTCGCTGTTGACCTTAGGAATCATGGGAATAGCGAACACACCTTTAAAATGTCTTACGACTTGATGGCAGAGGACTGTATTGCCTTAATAGAAAGTTTTAAATTATCTAAACCACCAGTCTTAATAGGACATAGTATGGGCGGAAAGGTGGCAATGACCATTGCCTTGAAGTATTCAATTCCTCTATCTTCGTTAATAATTGCAGACGTTAGCCCATTAAAGAATGAAACTAGAGGATCCGTTGAATTGCGAAGACTCATCGAGATTATGAAAGGGATTGATTTATCGAAATCGAATGCAGTGAATGTATCGGAATTTAGGACGAAGGTTATGGACTATATAAAACCGAGAATTTCCGATGAAATGCTACGAGCATTCATTTTATCCAATTTAAGAGAGAAATCCGATAAATCCTCATACGAATTTTCATTTAATCTTAACGCTATTGACAACAATTTAGACGCTCTTTATAGTAGTCAAGACTTCGATGCAAAATACGAAGGATCAACTTTATTTATAGCTGGTTCAAATAGTGATTACGTAACAGAAAAGCATGTACCAACTATAAATAAACTATTTCCAGCTAATGAAATTTATCACATAAAAGACGCTGGACATTGGTTACATTATGACAAACCGAAAGAGTTTTTGTTAAAAATTACTGAGTTCTTATCAAGATCAAATTGATTTTATTCTTAAATAGACACGAGATGCTGATAATTGTAGAGAAAGAGAGAAAATTCGTGATTAGAGTATTTTTCTTTGTTATTTCCTCATTTTGTTTTAGAAAATCTAAGCAGTTTGTTACTAAATACCGAAACTAATTTTTAAAAAGTAAACTGAAACTTTATAGCTTAACTTTCAGAGCTGTTTGACCAGTTTCTTCTCTTCATTTCTTCTGAGCATCGTATATCTTCATGACTACAACGTAATTTTATAAATAAAGAAATTCAATCAGGATTTATTAATTTAATCAGTCATAAGAAGGACTTAGAATACAATCAGTCTCCAGAAGCCTACTAATTTTTAATATCCCTTTATATTTTTAGACTTTAAAATGAAAGATTCTCTGAAGTTATTAGAATGAGAAAAAGAGAAAGGAAAAGGTGAGAAAAAAGAGGGGGAAAGAACCGGTGCCGTTTGGAAGTTTTTCTCTCTTTTTCTCCTTTCTCTTCCTGCATTATTTTAACCGCTATTGATTTTTTTTTCTTGTATAAAAAATACTTAACAATGCCCGCCTCTCACTGTTCGTTATTTGTTCCTCTCCTTTCGAATTTCCGTTTGCAAGATGATTTTCTAAAGAGTAAAAATTCCGAGAATTAACCGCAGAAATCCTGTGTTTGATGCCAACAATTTGTTTGGATTCTGTTAGTTTTTGATAACAGCAATTCGCTGGATCCTTACAAGTTACTCTTCTCTTTAACAAGTTTTCAACTGTCTCAAATTTCGATTCTTGACGTCTTGGATACAAAGTTGTTCTTTTTGAGAACCATTCCCAGAGCGTATCAATCTCTATCTTAATTAATCTGGTTTCTCTCAATGTCCACTTTAGTATTTCAAGTTATCATTTTATCATAATTGAACTCTATATATTTGTATTAACAAGGTCCATGTTATGTAATTATCAGATTCAATAATCGAAGTATCTTTATATTTATTTCCTTTCTTTTTTACAGCGTAAATACAATTTCCTGTTTAGAGTTTTCCTTTCATTGTGACGCCTAAAACAATCGTCAATATTGAGACTTAAGAGGCTTTAATTCTACCTCTTCTTGTATGGCGAGAGTGTTCTCTATTTTCCAATTAAACAAACTACTCTGTTTGTTAATTCTTTTCATCATTCTTCCGTTTAACTTACAATAGCCAAGAATATCTGGAAAGGAAACAAATATTGATTTGGGGGTAAGACAGAGGAGGTGAGAAGGATAGAGAGATAGAGGAAAAGATAGATAGATAGAATAAAAATAGGAGGTGAGAAGAGAAGGCAACCAAATGATATATATGCATAGAGAGAGAGAGATGGATAGATAGATAGACTCAGTACTTTAGTCAAAGAGTAAGAGAAAATGAAATGAAATTAAATAAACAAAAAAGAGAATGCTGAAGAGAAAAGGAAAAGAGAACTTTCAAATTAGACGCTAAACGAGCATGATCTATAAGTAGGTTTAGCTATAAATAACAGAAATAAACTTTTTGCCAACGTAGTTGTAACATCTGCCATTCTAAGATTATTAATGAAGTTGTTTTATATTTAGATTTCATTAATTTTGGAAACTAAAGGGTACCATAATTTAAATGACGAATTAAGCAAAGGTTAAAAACACTACATAACATCTTTTATTGCCTTATCTTTAATCGTTATCTATGTTTATTAAGATAAAAGAAAATAAAAGACGTAATAAAGAAATCTTCTTCACCCCCCGCCCGACTCTCTTTCTCTTCCCATCTTCCCTCCAACTTCAACAACAAAAACATGTTTAAAAATTTTTGTCATATAAATAGAATTATACAGAAATAGACGCATGTTTTTAACAGTTGAAACACGAATGCTTTCAACAACTAATTTCTTTGTAAGCCCAAAGATGTGCGAAATAATAACTTTGCCTCTCTCTCGCTTTACGTATGAATCTGTCCATCTCTTGGACATATATACATTTACACCCACACATATATATATACATAGAGAGAGAGAGAGAGAGAGAGACACGACTTTTCTCATCATAATTCATTTACTGTTATGTAGTCATCTGATGCTGCCATCTACCGACTATTGAATAATTACATTTTACAAACTATGGAAAAAATTTGTAATTGAATAAACGAGTCGAGACCATCTTTTTCCTTTTATTTTTTTAAAAGGCAAACAGCTTGCCAAGATAAATAAGCAAAACAAATAGAAAAAATACGATTAATGTTGACGGATTAAAATGAAAAACTGTAGTTTTATGTATTAAATTATTGGTATAGTTGTTTTTTAGCTTCATGGGATAGATTGTAAACATAAATGAAGTGGTATTAAAATTTTATAGAAAGAACTGGTATAAGAGCAATATAATCCTGAAATCTTTCCTTATCCTATAGTCTTTAATAATGCTTAGGGCCGTTATCGATAATTATATAAATATCGATATACTTTTGTAAATATTTAGTTCTTATTTTATTAAATCCCCTTATTCATCATTATCCCCATTTAAGAAAAAGGAGTATAGAAGAATACGGAGAATAGGTAAGAAAAGTCTTTTTAAAACATCTATTAAATAGTGTCTTATTTATTATTTTTTCTTCTTTTTTATCTTCAGTCTCTCTCTCTCTCTCTCTCTCTCTCTCTTTCTCTCTTTCCCTCGTTTTGCTAGCTCTCCATCGTTCTCGCCTTTTCTGTCTCTTTTTTCTTTACTCCTCTTCTTTTATATCCTCCTTTTTCTCTTAGATAAAAAAATACTCGTTAATTACTCAAACAAAAACGGAACGTGGTCGGTTGTTTGTCGTAAGAAAAGAAGAAAATAAAAGAAGGTCGTTAAAGTATCAAAATAGGCTTAGAATGGGTGCGTCAATCGATTTTTAATACGGTGAGTTACGTACTTAATAATATTTCAAGTTGACAAGAATCCCTCATTCATCCTAAGCTAGCCTATAATTAGTTGAAAGAGTTTCGTAGAAAATATAGTCGACTTTTAATCGCCTCCCTTATCCAGACTAATTGAAGATGTTGTGTCAAAGGAGTCTTTTCTCTTCTATTGTCCTATTCGTTCCATTGAGGATGTCAGTTGACGTGCGACCGCTGCTTAACAGATCGAGCATGAAATTTTTCTACTTTGAACCCGAGAGAAATTTTGTAGTTTAACTTTATTAAAAAGAAATTTCTGTTAATATAAAAAAGAAGACAAAAAGAAGAGAAAAGAACAAAAAAGAGAAAAAGAAAGACTCATGAATATTCATAGCTTGCTGAAAACTCGGATTGAAAGCTTATAATTTAGAAAAGGTAGACTGTTTTGTAAGAAAGAAGTGGGGATAATGTTTAACAAGCTCCTACTTATCTTTCTTTCTTTTTTTTACGGTACGAAAATATATACTCATTCATTCTATACAAGATCTTCGCGGAAGTTGGGTATAGTATAACATTATTCCCAACCACTCCCTTCCCCTTGTTTCGGCGTCTATTACAATAAAAGGCGGTGTTGCCATCTGCATGATTGATCGGCTTTCCAATACAGGGGAGTTTGCTGGATGCCGCAGCGCAATTTGTTATCCTTTGCAATCTCGCACCAATCGAATTATTAACGCATAGTTAATATTGTTGCATAACCTTATCCTTTACGCATTAACTGCCAATTTTATGACTTTATCATGCTGTGATTCATTCGATAAAGACGCGGAGAAAAGGGAAAAATCGTTAATTAGATTAGATTCTCTTTAAATATAAAGAAAGAGAAAGAGAAACGCGAATACTCTTCTAATACGGCCTTTATTATAATACACAATATTGCATAATTTATTTAACATATTAATAAGGAATTAAAGAGATTTAGCAGAAGAATACAGACACTAGGCAATCTTTTTACGTAAGTTTAAATATTAACGTACGATCTGACGTTCTACTTTGTTCTCGCTTCCGTTTCGGATTCTTTCTTCTTATCGATTCAACATTCCATATTTTTTCCCTACTTCTCTCTACCCCTTTTCCTTGATTCGTTTATTTTAGTTTTCTTTTGTATTCATTCTCTTACTGTCTCTCAATCAATCTCAATTCATCCTTCTTCTCCTTCTTTTACTTACTTACTCAAAGGACTTGAAATATTTCTCGATTTCATTCCTGCATCGCTGGTGGTAGGATGTCAGTTATTCGTGCTTATAATGCAGAAATATTAAATTAAATGCTTGCTCGAATACGCTCTTAAATTGTTGCTATATTCGTTTAGGCATTTTAGTTGCGTATTTGGCCTTCTAAACAATTATTAATAGTATTATTGTTAAAGGAGAGAGTTGCAGAATTATTGAGTGTCTGCGTATACGCGTGATATAGTTCTTTATACATTGTATATATTTAGAAATACTTTGTAGATACTCGAACGAAGGTATCTAGTAATTTGCGGTATAAATAAGGTAAAGCTTATTGCTGATCACGTAGACGGCCTGACCACTGCAGACCAGCGAGCATGTCAATCATTGTGGACGTGATGCAGCGTTCTAATTGACGCTAACGAGCTCCGTAGCGTTTTCTTGCTTGATTTAAGCCGATTTCGGTCTCTGCGTAAGTCTGCATAGGAGCTTATACAGTCAGAGACGGATACGCCGTCAGAAAACGCTCGCCGTCGCCGGATGTCGGGCGTCCATTGTTGGAGGTATAGAGCGGATGACGTCCATCGGGCGTCGAGCTTCCGCCGGAACAGCGTCTCCCGTTGTAATGACCTAGTTGCGTAATGGCACACGCCGGGTGACGCGTTCTCGTAAAGGCCTATATAATACAGCGTTTGTATATGTTTTCAGTAGTTCTTTTTGTATTTCTTTCAGCTTAATTGCACTATTGCGTGCTTGTTGCATGCGAAGAGTCAATGAAGCAGCAACTTCAATCACTTTAGCCTGAATCATAATCTTTACTGATTATAGGATAAGCTAACAAAATTGTCAGCAATCGTTTTGTAACGCCCGCTAAAGAAATGAAACGATTAATGGACGCGACGTCACTCTTGAATCGAGTCTAATCCACCTGCTGCTCCCAATTATTTATCATTATTGCGTCCGTACGGCTCGCCGTCGTTGTTACACGGTCCGTCGGTTCAAAACTCGGGGCGTCTGTTTTCTATTCTCTTTTCCTGCTTAATTCGATTGCTCCCGTTACGAAGTGAACGGCCCCCGAAAATCAGAACGTCATGCACGAGACGCCACCAAGTATAATCGTGCTTGAGGCAAGGTTGCAAACTTCGCAATTGGCTTTGTTACGGCCGTATGTAACGAGTTTGAGAGCAAAAATAGACTATACGTTCGAGAAACGTTTCGTTTCCACTATAATTTCTGCAAAACTGAACTAAATGATTTTAGCTTGTTTGTTAGTAAATGACTTCTAACGCCGTATGAGCTGCGCTTTTTTTGTTTGCCGTTTCGGTTTATGTATATTGTGTAAAAGAACGAAGGCGTGAGTGTAAGCTTTTCAGCCACGCCCTTCAATTGTTTCGTAACAAGAATAGACGACATTGAATAGAAATTATACGCGACATTCGGTTTTGATTGGAAAAAAATTTGACGAACGCGTGTTAGAAGCAACCGCGCGTTTTAACACTCATCATATATAGGCAATAAACAACGATGGATGAGTGCGTTAGTAAATATACCTAGAAATAGCCGGGAGCTAAACGTTTGTTCTCTTTTTTACAAGAGCATTAAATTTTGCGTTCGCAACTGCAATACTGCAACTTTAGACGGTGCGACAGGCGCTCAAAAACCTTATCGGTGAAAAATCAAGACCGACGCCTGCGCAAATGACGAGGTGTTATGCAATTAACTACAGCGTTACGTCGTTTTTTGTAGCAAGTATATACATTTAAGAATGCATCAAGGATAAGAGAACAAACCCCAACAATTATATTTGACGAGAGAGTCCTAACTGAAAATCGCTGTCACTTTATAGACAATCCTTCTTGTCAGGCGTCTCTTTTGGGAATGCAGCGTCAGCAATCCATCATGGAAAGTATACTGAAAGGTGCTCGTTTCCTGCGTTGGAGAGACGGCACTGGGAATGAGTCTCAGGTGCTAGAGACGATTCTCTGACGAGCTTGTCATGTCATGAAGACGTCATTGTGCACGCGTGCGCAGCATCGAATATACTAGAGATGTTCAAAAGGAAAGGCGAGATGACAATTAGCGCAACAAAGCAGGACGCTTGGACGACGCTGCAGAGACGCTACGTGATGCTTTTCCTCCATTGTCTCTCTACACAGTTACGTTTTCTCCGCCCAGCTTCCGACTTGCGACGAATTGCGTCATTTTTACGAGCATGAATGTAGCACTATATACACTTTGGTATATTGAATGAAGCATATATCTATAAATAGACATACGTAGAAAGTGAGTTTAAGATAAAATGCTCGATATACACTGGTTAGATGTTCTTATCATTTGTAAAGTTTACTATAAGGAAATTACTGCAGCACGCAGAGAAACGCTACTGAAATCTGCAGGTGCCGCGCGTTTTCGAAATGACATCGATCTGACAGCTTTTTGGCACGATCGTTACTTTTGATAATCGACTGATAAGGTTCAATATCGTTTCTTCACGCTACTTCGCTCTTCACGTGATCTTTGTCTGAACATTCTTTTTCAAAGTTTTAATTTTTTATCTTTGGAGGAATTCATTAATAAAAACAGCTAAAAAATCTTAATTTTTGATATAAATGAGCGTATTTTTTACTAAAGCGGAACGTTTCACTTCGCATTTTTGCACAAGAATGACGGAAAAAAAATCCTGGATCCCACGGGCAAAATGTGTCAAAGATTCTAGCGCGCTAAACGGAGGAAAAACTAACCAATCAGCGAAGAGGGAGGAGCATTAATATGGCAGCTAGTCGATGATTGGTTGTGGTGAGAATGCTGGGGTTAAAAGCAAACCATCTACCGTGCCGTTTCCATGCTTAAATTGTTTATAAAAAAGCGACGAACTGCTCACGTTTTATTGAGTGTCATGTGAAAATCAGAACACAGTATTTGGTATAGTGGATTATGCTCGACAAGACTTATTTAACGATGCCCGATCCGGAATTCGCTGATTTACAAACTGCTTCTACTAATTGCTCTAATAACAGCACGATTAACGACGAGGTTTGTATATAAATACTACATATACAGATTGTTAAATCTTATTTTTTACTTTGGAATATTTTTTTACTATTCGCTACTTGGTTTACTAAAAAGATCATGACTGTTTTCTATTGACCGTCTTATGTTTCCCTTTTGTAAATATCCGCCTTTCTATTTATATTTTGGTATATTATGTATGTAAAGTTTACCCGGAAGAAAGAAAGGAATAAAAAATACATACGATACGTTCGACCCTCTTAAAGACCCGATAGTTCATCAAAAGCAGACCACGTAGTGATACATGCGGGTGAATTAGCCGAGGCGTGTAGGTTCGATGACCTACTTATAGCTGCAACGACTACCGCAATCGTCGCAGAGGCGTGCACTAAGAGAATCGTTGACACGTACTCTATTGAAACTGTTACCATAGAAACTCAACATATCTCCCCTAGTCGAGTGCACGTGCGTGCAACGTAGAACCAGAAAGAAGTATTTTACAATTTTGTTCGGCTTTACAAAGACTCAAAGTTTATTGACAGTCGTAAAATAGAAATCAGGAGGGGGAAAGAGGGCGAATCAGCACTTGATCCTTTTTCTAACACGTAACTTTTATTTAAAGTTTAATATAGTATTATTATATGCTTAGAGCTTCAAAGAGACGTTCTACTACGTAACTGAAACCGATGATTAGAGACATCATTGCGTCACCAGAAAATCGACCTGTCCCGGCATGTAAAATGCTTGCGCAATTTCGGTGAGGCGTGTAAATTCCAGGGCGAATTATCAATTATATACGGTCAATTTTCGCTGAGGAAGGTTTTAGCGATGAACGCCAAGAAAGGCGTTTCTATAAAAGGTGCTAATGACGATGACGCCCTCGCCCCCTATTATGCCATCAAGACCCATATAACGCTTCGACGCCTTCATCCTTTATATACTCATTCCTTACGCTTCTTTGCAGACCGTTATCAATTCGAATGACTCGTCCGCCTCTTCATCGTCTACTACGTCAGTGACGCCTGGTTCTTTGGCTACCTGCGCTGCTTGTGGTAACAAAATTAGTGAACGTTACAAGTTATTTGTCGCCGACCGATTTTGGCACGAATCTTGTCTACGCTGCTGCGTTTGCAATACCCTACTAGAAGATTCGCTATTCGTCAAGAATACGCAGTTCTACTGCAAAGAAGATTACTGGGAGTAAGTATACAAAAAGAGTTACATATTATCGCGTTTTTCACTTACATGCGATTCGCATCAAGCTGGAAAGACGTGACGTCTTCCATAATCGTAAAGAGTGGAATAGGAAACACGTGATTTCCTACAGTTTCATTCGCTACGATTCACCTCCACTCCTTTTATATATATTGCACTTGTCGCCTGAATATTTCATCGCTTCATTTCCGCGCCTTCGCTCTCGCAGCTGCAAAAATCCTCGGCGGCGAAATGTCAAACGAGCATCTGCTAATACTCTTTACAGATTGGGTGTCGATTAAGGGCGGCTGACAGCAACCAGCCTCGGCTCATTGCTGACAGCGGTCAGTTAAATTTGTCGCCGAGGTCGGAGGTTAGGGTTGGAGGTGATGTCGGGTCGTCGAGCCGTAGCCGCTTTCGGCATTTTTCCCCATTTCGTCCTTCCATCTACACTTTCTTCAAAAACGTTCCGACGGGGCATAGAAGAAAAGGAAGAACGGAGGTAGGAAGGTAAGGGTTGCAATACGGTCTTCGAAGCGAAAGAAAGCTGTAAGAAAAATTTCTATGAAAGAAAGAAAGAAAAGGAAAAAATAGAAAAAAAAAAGAAGGGGTTGGCTGAAATAGAAAGAGCGAATCGTTTGATGGTCAGGCGCCCACGCCTACCTTGTATACTTTTATATATGCTTATAGCCTGAAGGCCGTAGAACATTCACCTGCTCCCTATGGCAAGTCAAGATAACGCCGATACTAACCGTATTTTCTTTCGTTCAACGTTTGCGGCAAGGGCTAGTGTAATTCTTTTGTACGGTCGACGACTGTACAAAAGGCGACACGCAGAGCTATTATTGAACAAGTAGAACATGTAGGCCTATTCAAAATGTACGAACTTTAAGAACTTTTGCTTGAAAGTATAGGGGATATATTTGTAATGATTGTGTTAAAGGTACGTTATAAATGTATATTAAAAATCGGGAAATGCCCCGAAGGCTTCGAAATGCGCAAAGCGTTAAACGTACTTTCACCAGGTAGTTGTTTGCCCGCGTACTACGCTAATTACAGAGCGGTCAGACGCCAATAACGAGCCTTAGACGCCCGCGGACGCCGCACGGCTGCTTTGTAGTCAAAAAGACGTCAAATCGGGAAGCGCGCATTGTTCATATTTTACTGTCAAATCCGACCATCGGCGACCCGGCCAACTGCCTCGGCGGGACGCCTTCGTGACGCCTTCGCGTGGCGTCTCCCTATCGATCTTTTTACAGGTGGAAAATTTGAGAGGAGACTTTCACGGGGGAGAAGGGGAAGGCTCGTTTTTTTTCTTTAATTGTCTTTTTTTTTCTCGAAATACTTTTTGTTAGCTACTCTAAAAATTGTTTTTTTGCTTTTCTTTTTCGTAGACGCTTCGGTCCTCGTTGTTCTCGATGTTCCTCTGTTATAAGGAGAGGAGAAATGGTAATGAGAACCCCGCAAACTCAGCATATCTTCCACACCGACTGCTTCTTTTGCATCACTTGCAATGCTAGATTTCAGCCGGGTGAAGAGTTCGCAATGCGCGACAACCTAGTCTTCTGCAAACTTCACTACGAACTACCGTTTACCCCCGATTACTGCTCGACGAATACAACACCAGCACCTCAGATACCTCCTCCTCATTTCTATAATGGAGTCGGAGTAAATAAGGGCAGACCTCGGAAGAAGAAAAATGCTCAACAGAATTTGGAACACGACCGCTGTCTAATGGGCATAGGTAAGGGCAAGATCGCATGTGTTAGCATGCTCACTTCCGCGTCATTTCTCATAGACGCCGCTCAGCAGTCACGCATCAAGCCCCTCTAAAGAAAAAATTGGGGGTGGCGAATAACAAAGTTTGACAGTCGAACCGTAATACGATAAGGGTGAAACCGCGTAAGAGAGGAATTTATATAAGAGCCGTATCGGATTGGCGGGGGGAATGGATCACCGCAGGCAAAAACGGGTGTGGTTCTAGTATCCCATACGTCACAGTCCTTGCGTTTGCCCCCTCCCTATACTAGTCTTATCAGTCATAGGGCGTTCCGCAGGTGCCATCTCCTTATCTACAATCCCCTCTCTAATATCGTATATCACCGTATACGTGCGCACATTTGTACATTCGTTGAAATGAAAGAGTAAGAGTTACCAGGATAAAGAAGTACGCAACCACATACACTACAGAAGAGCGCTTAAATTATGTATATAAAAAAAAAACATTATGAGTATTTGAAGGTGGAAGTTACGTTATATCTGTTCATCTACAAACCAATGTTTGTACATTCGTGTACTGGTGAGTGGGCATCTGTGCGTGTCTGTATCCGTGCATGCAAAAGTATGTCTGTGTGTGTGTATGTGTTTGTGTGTGGTCAGTAAAGGCTGCGACTGATCCACGGGTTCGCCCTTCCCGCCCACAATTTTCCAATGATAGGTTGATGAATAGGTATTAAATCGTAAAAAAAAATTAGACAATAAATTACTGTCTAGATTTGGTAAGGAAGCAAAGTATTCGCCTAACATTTACGACATTCCCTTCTCACGAGGACGCGTGCTACGGGGCCTTCTTACGCACGTTCGCAAACAATAATTTTGTATTCGATAGTGCAAATATTGTGAATTGACGGAGCTTTTCCAACTTCTGCGTGCCTCGGTGCCTGGCGAAGGCTATTGTTGTTGTATGAATGGCACAGTGCGTGAGAAGAGACTAGGTTCGAATGCCGTAAGGACAAGTACACGCATTTCGAATGTTTTCCATTTTCCCAGATAATATATAATCTTAATCATATTAATATTTCATTTGACAATAAGTTAGTGAGGGGAATGAACGTAGCGTGCCAAGAAGATGTTGAACGCCTTCGGCGCGAATCATTGACACAATTAGACGCTCGCCGTGGTGCCAGATTTGAGAACAATGCCACGACATCCTTAGATCGTTTGACGCACTTTATTTTATTCGCTTCATTTCTTCCGTAGCGCCTTGTCAAAATTTCTCTTACTTTAGATTTTTAATAGTCACGAACTTGACATTTTCCAGTCATCCGAGCCGTGATCGTGCTGCCTCGCCTAAGTTCTCCTCCTCTTTTTTCATATTTAGCCAAAACAAATCGATTTTATACTACTAAACAAACTAGATAATTCGCTTTTACGTCTTCATTTGCAAACTGTAATTTACTCCACCCCATCTGAACCTAAATCACCTCACTCCCTCTACCCCCCTCCGCCCTCTTTCTTTTCTCTCTATACATCCTGCTCTCTCTCTCCCCCCCTTCTTTCTCTCTCTCTCTCTTTTTGTTTCTCTATTTGTAACTCTCTTTTACTCTTTACGAAATTCTTTTACATTCGAAACGTTTTTGGAAAAACCTCTTCCGCTCTTGAACGCGAATGGCGCTTAAGTGATCAAAGAGCAGAAGTAGGTCAAGAGGATATATATATATTATATACAGAATTTATATATACTGTATATATATACTGTATATGCTAGAGGGAAGAGTCTATAATTTAGTAGCGTAATCGAATTGTATGTATATCATTATTATTATTATTTATTAAAAAGGGAGAAAAAATAATTTTTACTTTATATAGAAATAGTGCAGAGAAATATTTGCGGCGAAAGTTATGAGAATGTCTATATTTATAATAGCAGCGATTAATCGATAGAGTGTATTTAAAGAATAGAAGCTCCCACGATTCATACGGTAAAGATAGGCCTCCTCTTTTCGCTAGCGCAAGCTCTTTCTCCCCAATTCCTTGTCTGTCTATGTTCCTTTCTCTGTCTCTCTCTCTCTGTCTCTGTCTCTGTCTCTGTCTCTCTCTCTCTTACTCTTTCTCTCTTCCCCTCTATGCATATGTATATCTGTCTTTACTGTTTATTTTGTCCCTTCTTTGCTTTGCATCGAGCATAAGTGAGTAGGTAAAAAACAGGAGGGTTACGACCTCTAATAGTTTGTAAAATGTATCACTTGACTCGCGCGCCGATTAGCAAACAAATTGTAAGTGGTGTCAAATCTTGAAGAACGTCAGAAGCTGGCCAACCTCCAGCCCTGTCGACTTTCGCTGCGTTTGCCCTAACGTTTATGACGCAACAGTGACGTCACGAGTACTGGTATTGTTGACGGAATGACGGGGCTAAGGCTGTTGGTTGATGTGGAAACAATAGGGCATCCGGCAGGTTGAATGTAATTAGGATCACGTAATCAGGAAGGGATTAATAAAGTAAGGGCTGGAATATCCGACTCGCGAATATACAAAGCCAACATATGTCGCTTAAGTATAGGGTAAATTGAATAGAAGCCTCTAATCAAGTCAGTACCACGCCTACCGAAAGCGGTCGTCCGCGCAATCAGTTTTCCCTTTCTGGAAAAAAGATCAAAATGCTCTCTTCTCTAATCATACAAGACCGACTTATCTTATCAAAGAAGATTGAAGAAGGGATGGGGTCAAAGATGTAGAGGGACACTAACATATTCTCGTCGTAAATCATATGACAAACGCAGGTGCAACTGCGTTCCGAATGGAATGCTGACAGTAGCCATCAGAATCAGTTATCGCCCGATAAGAACGAATGGCTGACACGCAATGTAATTCGGTCTTTACTGTTGCTTAGAGAAAGCGGCCGTTCTGTTTACGTAAACAAGCATCTCTATTGATGCGCACATGTGTAAACATTGACTTTTGCGGTCAACTTTTGCTTTTCTCTTATCGCTTCATTAGCCCTCTCCTTTTAAAAAAATTATTATTTTGTGGTTTTTTCTCCGCCCCTACGATCTAGTAAGCCACCCCCTCCCACTTTTATTGAATATTCGCCTATATTTAAATACTCCTCTAATTACTCTCTTTTAACATTTTACGCACGTTTTTAACCAAGTACTTTAACTTTTTGTAGCACTCTCACACGATGAAAATGATACGATTTCGGCCGACGGCTACGGAGGTCAGCAAGCACCTCGTCAAAAACGAGTACGAACCTCTTTCAAGCACCATCAGCTGCGAACCATGAAATCGTACTTCGCACTGAATCAGAATCCAGATGCCAAAGATTTGAAACAGTTGTCGGAAAAGACGGGATTAACGAAACGCGTTTTGCAGGTATGCTTACTTCGCTTATCCGTAAATAAAAAAATACTAAAAAAAAGAGAGATAGAGAGAATCCTGGAGTTTTTTTAACTTAAGTACTTTATTTTTTTCCTAAATCTAGGTCTGGTTCCAAAATGCTAGAGCGAAGTACAGGCGGAACATTCTAAAGCAAGAGCAAGACAAGGGTGACAACCGAATCACTGCGGACGAACTCAAACAAGAAACGCTGTCAGAAATGCACAACGGGAGCGTCACTTCACCGGCCATGAGCGACACTTCGTCGGCAACTTCAATGACCGATATTCACAACGGTCACCAGGAAAACGAGCACCCGTCATCCCTCTCCGACCTTTTTTCGAATTCCTTAACAAATATGGCGACGGCTATGTGAACATTTTTTCTCTATATACAAATATATCTAAATATATACAATAAACATATATATATATATATATATATATATATATATATAATATGTATAAGTACATATTTGTGTATATATAAATATTATATATATAAATATTATATATATATATATATAGCCTTTTATAGAGATATATTACTTATATACCTCTTCTGTCTCTATTTATGTATATATATATATATATATATGTGTGTACAAACATGAATATAAACATATATATATCATAAAACAATCAGGCAACTACCGATAAAAAATGCTAATGACTGCTCAATTCTGTTTTCTTTGAGCGAAGTTTGCTCATTGTAAATATACTCCTCTATAAGATGTGTAAATATTAGCATAAATGTGTCACCTGTTAAAGTATATACGTGTAATAATAATAATCGAGTGTCTATTTGCGCGTTATACATATCTGATAAATAAAACGAACAAATTCCACATTCCTTCAGCAACCGTCTGTCTTGTTTATCTGGCGCAGAGTATTTAATAAGAACGTCGGATCTTTTCCGGCGCCCAATGCTTTAGCACTAATTTAAACAAATCACTTAAATTGCCTAAAAATTGTCTTTAAACGTTTTCCTCGAACAAAAGAAAGAAAGAAAGGAAAGAAGAGATGTAAGGAAAAAAATTAGAAATGGGTAAGATAGAGGAGGAGGAGGATGAGGGGGAGATGAGGGGGGAGTAAAAGGGGATGGTTCTCTAAGGGAATACTTTTAGTGCGTTGAGGATAGATGAATACGGGGGTGTGGAAGAAAATTGAAAGACGGGGGAGGATAGAAGAAAAATGGAGAAAAGGTTTGAGAAAAACCTTTAACCTACGGCAATTCTGGACGCTCTATATATAAATATACATTATAATACATGAAAAAGGCCGTCGGGGCAAGTAAAGGGGACATCTGCTCCAAAAGGCTCTATTGCGATTTTGATTAAAGAAAATATTTAAATAGAACAATGTATATGTATTTTTTTTCATCAAAAAATAGTATACACTCCTGAATATAAATATATATATATATTTATATATATATATACTGTGATGGAAAGACAAAATAACAGACAAATACGTTGGTAAAGAGAGAGACAGACGACACCCCTTTTTTCCGGCGCTAACGTCTTTACATTTGTTGAATATATGCACGGATTTTCTTCATTATTAGACGCGACGAAGAAACAATATGAGGTCTTCATATGATGTTAATTTACGGTTGGTAATTTTAAACGAATGTTTACGTTTCTCCCGCCATTCTGAAAAAGCAACTGAATCGTCCGCCGGGATTCGGAATACTGCAAAAAGTCTGCTTGGCAGACGTGCAACCAAGGCTATGAATTCTCCAATGGCAAGTCGGGAAAAAATTCTTGGAGTACTCCGTACTCGTTTTCTATTTCCTCTGCATTCTCTTCGTTAACAATTTGTTCTGTAATATTTATTGTAGAAGTTGCTACTATCCCAGAAGAAGATATTGAAGAAGTCGATGACACCTCCGACCCCCTCCTTCTGGATTTGGGCGGTATCTTTTGATTCTTATACGTCGTCGCTGAGGTGGACATTGTCTGTTTACGGTTCTTAGCTCTAGCATTTTGAAACCATACTTGTAATACTCGTTTACTGAGGCCTATTTCCTGTGACAACTGCTTTAAGTCCTTGGAGTCGGGATTCTGGTTCGAGTTAAAGTAGTCCTTGAGAGCGTTCAACTGATCGGGTTTGAAGGAAGTTCTCACGCGTTTCTGTCGCGGTGCGTAGGAAGGGTAGGGATCACTTTCGTAGGTTTCTGAGAAAAGTAAGAGTAAAATAATAGTAAGGGAAAAGAGAACGAAATATGGTATAAATGTCAGAAAAAGAGAGTATTGGTTACAAAGCGTCGAAAATGTCATATTCGAAAAGGGGTGTTACAGGAACACGTCATCTACGCCCATGTTCTCCGTAGCCAACGCCCCACGTTGATCACAAAGGAACTTGCTTTGCATGTTAGACATTTTCTACATTTATACATTTATAACAGTCTTTGACAAATCACGTACACCATCCCTTTTCAACAGTCGAGCTTTTGCGCTACAAACAACATTCCGTTCTCATAAAGTTCGGTCGGCAAACTTTTAAAGGCGTTCATTAAAGCAGCTTTGATTATAGCGCCTATTGGCGTGCGGTTGAATGATGCGTGAAGTCGATTGCGTAAGAATTCGGTTCGATTGATGACGTAACACAAGGAGCCGGTACATAGATACGACTCCTTTTATAAGAATACTGTATTGGCGACTACGTTCACAGGGATACTGTATACTTTGAGTACTATAAACAGCATTGGGCTACTAGAATAGTAGTAGGTATATTGTAAACGTATCTATAAAGTATATATATATTTCAAAACCGTTTTCTAATCGTTTCACAAAGACGTAGGCGTGGCAAAACGGATCAAACAAATCTGCTCCCGCGAGGATAATCATAGAAGATGGACGGTTCGTGATTACGGATTAGCGGCGTCATTAATTCCAAGCGCGGCGCCGTTTTTTCTTCGATTTTCCCCCACGTCCTTCCAACTACCTACTTTTCTTTCTTTCCTGCTGCCTATGTCTGACTCCCTCCCGCTCTCTATTTCGCTCTTTCGCTCTCTTCCTCTCTCTCTCTCTCTCTCTCTCTCTCTCTCTCTCTCTCTCTCTCTTTTACTCTTTCTACTTGACAGCCTGTCTATCAGCCTGTCTGTGAATATATTTCTTTTTTTTTTTACTGTCTCAGTCTCTCTGCATACATCTATGTCTTTCTCTTTCATTCTCATTTCTATAACCCGCCCAGTTCTTTTTTTCTTTCCCTTTTATCGCCTTTTTTTCCCAACCAATTAAAATCAATCCTACGTCCCTATGCTTATGTAAAAAAATTCAAATATTTAGTCTATATTAACCCCTCTAAAAGGACCTCACCGCCGCCTAATTGCAGTTGACTGGCCGCGTTCGAGCATGCAAAATTTCCCAGTTTCGCACGTCGTTGGTTCAACACAACCGCATTAACTGCACTTCACCGCTGGCTTTTTTGCGCAATTTTCCAGTAGTCTGGCGCCATTCAGAAGCGCCGCAAGCGGCTTAAGCCGACGGGTCACACCGCCTGCTTTTCAACAGAAATAAACAGATAAACAATAGACGCCTGCCGTGACCGAAACAAAGCTGGACAATACGGTTGACGTAAGCTCATTAGTTAACTTCCTAATCACGTCGACCGTCTCTTTGATGGGATACCGCTGGGCGTCACTTGAGCACGACGTTAATAAAATGTTCAATTCTCCTCCCACAATTCTATTATTCGTCGCCCAGTCATCACAAATACGGTTTTCTTTTTAGAAGAGGAGGGTCGGACTATGTTTATGCAGCAGCGGGAGAGGAAGATACCGGATCTTCTTCTTGGGTAGCGCGTGTGTGTCTGCACACATGTGTTTCTGACCTATTTCCACTTTCGAAAGTGAAGAGCGTTGTAACGCCCCCCTCTTATCTATTTTTGAGATAAGATTTTACTAGGTACTTTTCAACACCGTCGTATTTACCCACAACACAGCCCTTACGTCATGGGGAAAAAACGGAAGCTACAACGTTCAACCAGCTTTGATCAACTGACGTCGAAAAAGTGGAACGAGTAGGATTTTGAGTGGAAGAGCGAGTTCGCTAACGAGCTCTCTCAAGGTCGGCGACGCTGCGTGCGTTTTCCTTCTTTTTTCTTTCACTCTCGCCTCGGACGCTTGCGCAATACGGCCATGGGCGCTGTCACGGACCTACACCTGCGCCCGGCGTCACTCTGGGAACGGAACATACGCAGCCGGCCGGCGCGCGTACGTGGAATATTTTCGCAAATGTCAATAATAATTAGTCCTTACCGAATTCCACGTCCAGTAGTGGATTCCTACGTTTCCGTGGTCGCCCTTTGTTAGTTAAGCCGACGCCGTTAAAGAAAGGTAGAGCGGCAGTTTCGGCTTTTGGCTTCATCTCTTCTTCGTAGTGCTCCCTTTGAAAAGAGAAAGCAATGATTATACAAGTTTTTTTCTCATAGGAAAAGAAAAGAAAAGGGAAGGAAGAGGAGGGGGGCAAATAGAAATAAAAGGAGAAGAAATTAGCGCCGATTAGCGATGACGAGAAAATTTGACAGCATCGCGACGTGTTTCCAAATACCTGCAAAATACTTTCGCTCCGAACATGCCAAATTGCTGTCCGGTCTGCAGTGTTCGGTTACAAGTTTCACACGAGAAACATGTTACATGGTAAACTTCTTCCGCAGCGAAGAAGACAGGTTCGCTGGATCTAATGGCAATTTCACATCTAGAACACGACCTTTTCTTAAAGATTCTGGAATAAATAGAGAAAGTATAGTAGAAGATACTTCATTCTTTGGATAAAAAAAGGGGAGAGAAATTGATACAAAAAGAAAAAAAATTGAAAGATTATATTGTTAAAGGAAAAAAATGGGTGGAACTGTGTGGGAGGACAGAAAGGGTAAAACCGAGCCGTAAAAATGACCGTTTTATAACTAAAACGAATCGGAGCGTGAAGAAGAAGCGGCTATTACGCTGTGAGACGCAACTAAAGTCAGTAGGAAAACTACCCGGCAACCGGCGTTTATTTCGGAGGGGGGCGATGCCTGCGAGACAATGAACCCTTCTGGCGTCTTGCCCGCGCAAAACAACGCTCCTAATAGGACGTCCCGTCGATAGACAGCTTCGCTTTTTATTGTTATCTCCATATATATACTCGTCACTCTACTACAATATACTAAATATATATATCTATACTGTGTACAACTCTCTTGAAACTCGAGGGGATCTGCCGTTCAACCCATTCTGAATGGAACCCTTTCGTGCGCTGTCAATCAAACTTAAGGTTCTCGACACGAAATAAAACTTACGACCGATAATCCTCCTTACAGTAAATCCTACCGTCCATCGAATAGCATGACTCCTGGAATTCTAGGCAGGTTTGACAATGACTACACCGCAAACAGGACGCGTGCCACCAAGAAAAATCGCATTGGAGAATCCATTT